TCACATTCCGTGGCTGGTACTTTATCTCACATTCCGTGGCTGGTACTTTATCTCACATTCCGTGGCTGGTACTTTATCTCACATTCCGTGGCTGGAACTTTATCTCACATTCCGTGGCATCCTTAGCGTGACTTGCTGAGGACTGGGTGCTAACTGTCTGACAGCCGCATCCAGTGGAAAACAGAAGCAAAAACAGACCCCTCTCGCAGGCTCTGACGTCGTGACAAAAGCCTGGTCTGACCATTGAGGTCTTCTTTTCGGACTCGCGTCGATCGACAGTCGCTCCTTTAGTAGCTTGATCTCGAAATGGAGAAGGAAAAATAACTCCGCTCGTGAACATGACAATCATTTAGACCCGGACAAGTACATACGGAAAAGCAGAAAACAGATGTGACTGTGTAATCCCACGGGAGGGTCACTTCCCGAACTTCGAACCAAGACTCAACTGCTTGCGGTACGATGGTAATGCACCGCGGCATCGCAGTTTCGTCTTGAAAAAGTGACATGCGGTGCTTGTCAGCACGGTGAACTGACTAGGCACGTGGGTCGCCGGAGGTGGAGTCCACGAGACAGTGAGATTCAGGAGTGATGTCGGGATCGTTGTTACAGCCGGATGATGGTTGTAGCAGCCTTAGGCTGGCCTGGCAGTATGGATACGGACCGAGGACGGAAAGACGCTCATAGTTCCTGCAGGGCAAACGCGGTCTCATCTCCAATAGTTGAGCAGGGACTTCCGGGGAGATCAACTCTCTCATTCTCGTCCTTGGCGCTTGCACTCTCCCAGATCTCAATCTCGACGTCGCCATCGGCATCAGCCCGTGGCTGAGCATCGGAATAGGTGGGAGAAAGACCTGGCACGTTGGTCTTGCCAACAGCGACATTGTGGTTGAAGTCTGGTGTGGCAGAGCTGAGGATCTCGGCAAGGCTGGGTTCATCTAGGTGCTCAATGACCTCCGAAGCTGGTGACGATGATGCCTGAAACGTAAAGTCATGATGCCGTGTTGAGTCGTCACCTTCAACATCAGTTTCGGCTTCCTCGTCATCCTGTACAAGGACGACACTGGTCGCGTCAAGACCCTCAGGGTAGAATTTTGCAGGATTGAGGTCTCCAAGCGGGGTTCTAGCTTGGTCTTCTTCGTGCATTTTGACTTCCTTTTCCGTCACGGCAGCCGCCGCAGTCCGGGATCTAGTCACTGGCGCCGTAGGTAGCTCGTTGGGGTCAATGTTCTCCTTGCCTTTGTCTGCCGACGAGGAGTTTTTGTGCAGGCTCTTGCTTTCATCGTCACTGATATCAAGTCCAGTAGTACTCTGGGTCATTGTCCACTCGTTCATGCGGTAGTCTTGTGTCTCCTCGGACTCTTCGTAGATATCGAAGAACCATGACTTTGGCCTGCTGGTCTCAATTGTGGCATTTCGGGCTCTGCGGGAGGAGGGACGAGCCTTTTTCGTGCCAGTCAAGGCTGCGGATAGTGACAGCGATGGTGATTGTGTGGAGGCAAACGCAGGTGGATTGAATCGTTTGCGTGGTTGTAGATGGCCGGAATTTCGCATACGGGTTGGTGAACGGCCTGCTGCAGGGGCTGAGGCAGGTGCAGTAGAGGGCTTCACATACGTGTTCAGTCGTGGAGTCGATACAGCAGTCGTACCCAGACGAGGTTTGCTTGATTGAAAAGCACCGGGCATCACATTCAAGGAATAATGGTGGGATTTGGAGGCGGAGACGTCGTCCTCGAAGGCCGATCGCTTGCGCTTGCTCAGAGAATCCAAAATATTCGGATCAATGTTCTCGCCATCAGAACCTCCTTCGACATCGGGAGAGGGAGCTCGTCGCTTCAACGAAGTCGGTCCGGAACTGGGCGCGATAGCTGAAGGCGGAGTGTTAGTTAACGTGTCTTTCTCCCCACAGACGCGCAGCAGTCCAATTCCGAAGCAATAGAGAAGAAGAACACGTACAGTTCTGGCGGTTCTTCAAGTTCTGCAAGCTTCGAAGCTTCGAGTCATTCAGGATGCCAAAAGGCTGGCGAGCCGGAGTGGACAGGGGAGCCAGAGTGGCCATTTCGACTGTCTTCGTTGAGAGTAGGACTTCTAAGATGTCCCCAGCTGTTGTCACCCGCCACCTAGTGGCGTAGGTGTTCGCTGACTGAAGTAAAGGACCGGACTGTGTATTGCAGGACGCGAGGCAACTATGCAAGTCGATGGCCTGAGATTGGGAGCTTCAAAGCTGTCAGCTCTATTGGTCCAGCACCTATATCATGCATGCAAGTTCTTGCAACGAGCTCTGAGAGGGAGAGAGGATGTTAGTAGCTGGGCGAAGGCAGAGAGTATATGGAGCTTACCAGCTGATATGACCGAGCTGGCGCAGCAAGGCACAACCGTTCTAGACGCGGGGTCGGCGTGAACGCGAGATCCCTGATTGAGGAACGAGGCTTGACTCGAAAAGAAGACAATCTTGTCGATTGAGTAAGATGGCAAGGTTAGTGGTGGAAGCTACTGCAGGTCGGCAAGCAGAAGTCGACGTCAAGCACGCGTCCTGAGGCAGCGATTGGGTTGCCTGGGCAGGTCGAGGGCGGAATGGGTGAAGTGAAGATTGTGAAGACAGGGAAGACGTGAGACGCAAGGACGCGTCAGTGGAGCAGTGAGAGACGCGACGAGATCGAGCTGTCACGGACATCAAGGGATAATTACGGAGTACATAGTTTGGGGTCGACCTCCATTAAGGAATGCGACGATGCAGTTCGAAGAGAAGTATCTCCGTTCAGGATTGAATTGAACATCGATTACTTTGCCCAGCTCTTGCACCCAATCTCTCTGGCGATGAGGGACAGCTGGATTCGACTTTGGTGTGGTGGCCCTCAGCCTCAGCTTCGGCTCCGGTCAACACGCGCTTGCCGCTGACCGACTCGGCGGCCCGGACGGTTTCACCGCGCTTTCCGCAATGCCGTTGAACTCCAATCGACGCCAGGCAGGAGTGACGTGATGATGCCGTCTCATTTATCGTTGCTGCTTGACTGCGGACGATGCTGCATCACGATACTGAGGTGCAGATTGTCTCGCCTCATCACGGTGGCGGGAGTAAATTATCTAACAATTGAACATTTCTCGTCGACAAGCGCTTCAACTTCCAACAGGCTCGCAACAGGAGAAACATCAAATCGCGAGCGAGACCATGACGGCCCCGCCATACTTAGACTCTCTCCTCAAAGAGCAAAGATGAGGTGGCTACCACGTCGAGCGCGACCTCAAAGCACGTCATTATTGGCCATGGTCACCCTTGGTCTCCCATCACACCTTGAGGCGAGACGTGCAAGATCGGCTCGCCTACGAGAATCATCGGTAAGGGAAGAACCATTCAGTCCTTGAGGGAAGACATTTGGCTGGATCGCGAAACCCTCCCTCGCCCCTTCTGCTCAAAAACAGCGCTCTATGTCTAGGTCTTCTTAGGGTCACCACCGAGCATCTGCAACCGCACTACAGTTTCGCCTTTTGTTCAGCCAGGTCCACCAGATTCTCGTCCTTTGCGAACTGATAATAGTAGTCTAAGCTCCCGGGATTGAGCAGAGTCCCCGAAGGTTTGATGACTTTGCCGGAAACGATCTGTTTCACGGGTAGCTCGACCTTCTTCAAGTTGACAGTGGTCTGCATATCAAGCGGGTCAGCATAACTTCCCACGTATCATGCCTAGCATAGGAAATGGGTGAAAGACTTACCGGTATCTCCTTCGTCTCAAACACAAACTTCGGCACATGCCTGGGGCTCGTGGCCTTTCTGATGGCCTCCTTTACCTCCCTCACAAGCTGCGGCGTAAATTGATGTCCTGGCTTCATAAGCAAGAACAAAATCACCCTCTCGTCCTGATCCTGCGGTCTTCTCTGTCCCACACAAATACTATCACTGATCCGGTCCGCAAACTTGGCCTCGATGATGCTGTATATCTCGGCAGATCCGAATCGCACACCACTGGGATTCAAGACACCGTCCGCTCGGCCAAGGAAAAATACCTGCTTGGTGACTGGATGAATCATGATGAAGTCGCCATGCGTCCAAACATTGTCAAACCGTGCGAAATAGCTGTCAAAGTACCTTTGCGGACCATTCGCACCCAAGAATGTGAGTGGCATCGTGGGGAACGCTTGGTACGCGACCAACTCTCCCGGAACGCCCTCCTCGACCTCAACAGCCTTGTATCGATCCTCGACCGTCTGATCGTACACCTTGACGGGCACACCGAGCGACAGACATTGGCATCCACCCACATAGAGCGGCAGGATGGGGTTGCCCGTCCCAAAGCAGGCTGCAAGATCCGTCCCGCCCGAGATGTTGTCGAGCTGTACGGAAGGAGGAAATCCTTCATCGTAAACCCACTCGAATAACTGATCTGACAGTACCATCCCCGTGCTGCTGATCACCTTCAACCCGCTCAAATCAGCCACGTTCTTCGGAATCACGCCGCCTGACTGCAACGTCTGTAAGTACCGCGGACTGATGCCCAGATGCGTGACCTTCTCTTGCCCGACCAGTTTGATCAGATTCGTCAGATTCGGCACAAAGGGTGATCCATCATAGATGACCATTCGACAACCCGTGATCAGAGCCTGCACACTGGCCAGGTACATGATCCAACCCGTGGTGGTGTACTGCAATTGACTCGACTCAGCATTAATGCGCCGATGAAGCCGGTACTCCTTGTGGCCTGACACGACGACGCCTCCAATGGCGTGCACGATACATTTCGGCTGCCCGGTGGTGCCACTCGAGTAGACCACCAAGAAGGGATCTGAAAAGTCGGTATCTTCAAATACCAGCTCATCGGTCTTGGCCTTGGAAATGAACTCGTCCCACGTCCTCGCCCTCGGGACGGCACTGATATCTGCCGGCTGGCCTTTAAACCTCACCTGGCTCACGATGCCCTGAAACTCCTCCACACTGTCCATGCCGGCCATGATGTCCTTCATCTTGCCCCTCAGATCGATCTTCTTGCCATTATACACGGCCCAATCGTCCATAAATAGCCACGTGGGCTTGATCTGCGTAAGTCGATCCAAGATGCCCTTGACACCCATATCCGTCGAACTGGAGCTGAACAGCGCCCCGAGCGTCGTCGTCGCAAGGAACACGACGAGCGTATCCAAGCACGTACTCGCCACCAAGGCCACGCGGTCGCCCTTCTTGACACCCCACGCTCTCATCGCATTACTCAACCGTCCCACCCTCTGCCGCAGCTCCCTCCAAGTGACATGCCTGATGGGCTCGAGAAACGCCCCCTCCCGCACCTCCGTGACAGCGATCTTATCGTCCGCCTTTGCGGCATCCACGATCGGTTTCCCCGTGGCCAAATCTCCTGAGAAAAGAATGTTTTCTGCAAAATTCATCCGCACCCCTGTGAACCACCGCGGGATACTGTCCATCCGGGCGGACTCGTCGACGACCACGTCCGGCACATCCCCACGGTACACGATGGGGAAGTAATCGAAGACGAAGCGCCAGAAGGTCGACCGCTGCGTCACCGAGAAGTTGTACAAGGCGTCGTAGTTGGCGAAGGTCCGTCCCAGGCGCTTTTCCAGGCTGATCTTGAACTTCCACATGTCGGTCGTCTCTTTGTGGGGATGTTCCCATAATTTGCGCGGGATGGGGTGCTGGTGCTGCTGTGCCATGGTGGATTGATTATCTTGGCGTCTTCGAAGACAATGATCCGAGTGAGAGTCGACGCTTTTCAAAGCTTTTTTCTCTGCGCTTTGCCAATCGCGCGACCAGTCTTCAGATCTGCAGAAGCGGACGGTGTGGTTTCAATCTCCAATGCCGCGTATCCAAGTACTGTGAGTAGCTCAAAGAGACAGACCGGTGCAGGAAGTCGCCGGCAGCTTCCGATGTCTATGTGTGTATGTATGCACGCGCGAAGTGTATACGACGTAGGGATGCCAAAAAATTAAGTAGACAAGTCAATAAGTCGGTACAGGTGGCCACGAGTATCAAAATGCAGACACGGATTTAGGCGGGATGGAGTGGGTAGATAGTAATACTCGTATGGAGTACCCCAAGATCCCGGTGTGGGAAGGCTCGAGGAACTCCAGGCTAGCCTTTCTGGCTCAGAGCCTCGGTAAATCAAGTCCGTGGAGCAAGAGGTCCCGCAATGTCTAGGAAGCAGGGACGGAAGAGGAGGCTTGTCCCACAAACGCGTAGGGCAGCCAACATGTTTTAGCAGGGAGATACCGAAGCGGCAGTGATACTGTAACAGGTATGTGTGCTATGCTGTGATGGAATTCGACACTTAATGCATGCCGTGGAACCGCACTTCTCGCCGTGCGAAGGGCGGAAATGGAGCAGGTGAGAATGGCTACGCAAAGAGGTGGGAAAGTATCGCAAGGCCTGCTTCCGCTGCCTACCCCAGAGCAACCTGTCGCGTCCGAAAGTTGCAATTCTGTTACCCATCGGTTATGCTGGCGACGACTATCCGGCCTGGATTGTCCGTCGGAATCCGGCCACGGCACTCAGCATGCTTTACCGGTCAATGCCGGTTTTGTCTGACCGACAAAGAGGGCCGGCGTGTTGATAGATGGCAAGCTGCATTGCTAACCTTAGCAAGAAGGGAGCAATGTAGCTTCTTCACTAAGGATACCTCCTACATCCTCCAACCGACCGAGTCGCGACCCTGCGCTTCCCCTGAGGTCATCGGCGTGCTCCCACGATGCCGTCGACTCTCATTCTCGTTCAGCCCAGAACTTTCCGCTGCTTGCCTCCCGATGCCCGCTTTCGGTCTGACCGAAGCTCCTCAACCAGCTTTGCGGGGTCTTGATAATCTGTACTAGTATCACGGTGATCAGTTGATTGCGATGGGACTGGTAGAAAGGAAGCAGACGCGACCATCGTTGGGGTCACGGGGTTCGGTGCTGGCTGTTGCTTGAGGTGGTTCCCATCGCAACCTGTCACAGAGCGCACCGCCCACCTCTTCAATTCAGCCATGGTGATGGGCATCATGATAGACGAGCTTTTTCTGCTTTTGCTCATTTTCATCTTCTTTTGATGTGCGTACAGCTTCTGCTCACGGCCGGCGAAAGCAGCAACAGCCATTAAATTTGCTGTGCGCTGTTCGATAATGTCGTCCTCCTCGTCCGCAAGCGTGGATATGGATCCACTCTGTACTTGCTCAATCCATTCAATGTCGGCGGCGGCCTTCTTCTGGATGAGCTTCCGATTGCGCCGCCGTTTGCAACACTTGACTGCAAGGCATCCGATCAAGACTGAGACCATAGCGAGACCGGTGATCCCACCCATAACAATGAGGAAGAGCCAAATAGTGGGCTCCTGGCCATCATGAGGTATAAGGATGAGACGCGCTTGCAGGAGCTTTCGTGCTTGGTGGCAGGATATAGGAGGCATGACGATGCGGAAGCAGTTCGAAACTTGTAGTGATAAGGGGAGTGCTAGTCAAGAATGAAGTGCTCACTGGGAGTATCAAACCCAAAACACGTTCAGCAATGCCGCTTAAGAAAGGCGATAGAAGAATATGGTTGAAGGGCCAAGAAGGATCCAAGTTGGGATGATGAACGGACGGTGCTGAAGTCATTCACAGTCAAGAGCTGGTTGTCTTGCTCCTCAAGACCTCAATGCACCTATCATCGCTCTTGACATTTCTGACTTTTGTCTGAATCGGTATCGCGCCAGTTGCGGTCCTCAACTTCGAGAATATATACATCGCCGCTCGAGTAATCGACGGCGGATTCCCTGCATCCATCGCATGGCAAATTTTGGTGTCTCTTAAATGTATTCTTGACTGAAGCGAATCTCTCTATTCCAACGAAGCGGCGTCTTCCACCCCGGAATTCAGGGTGCTGTTTCTTCTCCTCCTTTCGATGGGATCCTCTCTTCTCTCGACGCCTGGACCGACGGAGCGAGATGATCGGTGCCTAGGCCATATCTATTCAGAGGACAATTAGTTACATCACTGCATGAAGCGGATTGATCTTACATTTATCGAATTCCAGCCTAACCGGAAAGCGAATTCGTGCGCCAGAAGCTCACCAAAACCCAGCATCATGCCATTGACAAAAGGCAGTATAAGATTTATGGCAGCTCCTCTTAATATTGACCATACCGTCGGAGGCTGATAAATTATGACCGGCCGCGAGCCATTGTTGTCTGATGACTGGGGCGGTGAAGAGGACGGAGGAGAGAGGGACGAGTAGGCTTCGGAGTCGGAAGGAATGGTCAATTGAGATCCCGAGAGGTCTTGAGGAGGCGAAGGCGACTGATCTGAACGAGACATGGTGTAAGGAGAGTGAGGGTGTTGAGAGCGGGCTAGTAGTGAAATAATGGGAGTAATCACGAAGACCTCAATCCGGTATTCATTCTTCCTCAAAGGAATGGGACGAAATGAGAGTGATGCGTCTACAAAACTTCTCCCGCGGCTGGAGAGGATAGCTTGGAACTTGGCAGTATTGGATCTCTCCCGCCTAGAAGTGATGATTTGAAGCTTTGAGTGAATGCGATTGTCTCAAAAGATGTCCAGGCACGAGATTCACCTTTTGGCAAATCAGAATTGCTGGAGCCCGCCAAAGCTACCGCCAAATTAGGCACCGCCTAACTCGATGGTGAAAGTCAACTGATGTGACGTACTTTCGTGACTGCCTCACTCACGCTTCTAGTGGCCTCTCTTCTGCTGCTCAGTTCGTCTTCACTTGCACTATTTGCTCAGTCTTGCAGCATCTTGCTTGCACTTGTCCTCTTCCGAAACCCCTCTCTACCGTTCTTCGCACCTGTCATCCTCATCCCAAATCCGCCCACCATGGCCAATCCTGATCCCGCAGAACAAAATGCTCTCGTTCAGCAGTTCAGTCAAATCACGGGAACCGCTCCCCGACAGGTCAGGGTCAATTGCGCCACTACTCTGGCAATCTGCTGACTGCGCTACAGGCTCAGCAATTTATGTCTGCTAGCGACTGGGACTTGGAAACTGCGGTCGCTAATTACTACGCTGCTCAAGAAGACCACGCCGAAGACAATCAAGACGATTCAGACTATGTCGACGAAGATTATCCGGAATCATCGAATCCAGCTCAAGCGCAGCCCGCCCGCTCTGCTCATGGCGCCGGTCGAAGACTAGGAGATGTTCCCTCGGATTCCCAGCTAGCCCCTTCGGTTCCTACATCAAGCTCGAGTTCGTCCCGACCCAGAAATCACCCTAGCACACAGAAAAAGTTTGCCACCCTGGGTGACGTCTCTGCGGGTAATGGGAATGGCGACGACTCGGAAGACGATGATAAACAAGATCTTTTCGCTGGTGGGGAGAAGTCAGGGTTGGCAGTGCAAAACCCCGACGACCTGAGGAAGAGAATCCTGGAGAAAGCTCAAAAGCGAGGTCCTGTTCCCAAGGATGATGCGCCGAAAAAATCACACTTCACTGGTTCGGCTCGCACCCTTGGGGGCGACGACGCACCCTCACGCGAGATACCTGCTGCACCTCAACCGCGTGGCAGGACCGAGCGAGTTGAGCGTGTGTTGCACTTCTGGCAGGACGGCTTCAGCATCGATGACGGAGACTTGTTCAGATTTGACGATCCTAGGAACGCTGAGATCCTGAACTCGATTCGACAAGGACGCGCGCCACTCAATATCATGAATGTGCAGCCTGGTCAGGAAGTTGACGTGGAGATCAAACAACACGAGGAGAAATATGTTAAGCCCAAGCAGAAGTACAAGCCCTTTGGAGGATCTGGTCAGCGGCTAGGCAGCCCCACTCCTGGTGTGCCTTCAATGCCTGGAGCCTTCACGTCGGAGACTCCAGCGCCAGTGCCTGCGTCGACTGCGGCAGCTACACCTACGACCGAGGTCGACGAATCGAAGCCGACAGTCACATTGAGAATCAGCTTGGGCTCCGGTACGCGACTGACATCCCGCTTCAACACGGATCAGACTATTGGGGACGTCTACGACTTCGTTGGACGAGCCGAGCCCGGCGGCCGAGAGTTCGTGTTGCAAACCACCTTCCCGACCACCGATCTTACGGACAAGACGAAAGTGCTCGGCGAGATGGCAGATTTCAAGCGCGGAGGTGCTGTTGTCCAGCGATATATCTGAAAAGCAGGGGTCTGCACAATTTGGCGTACCGGGCGAAACTGAGCTCTAGGAGCTGTCAGAACTGGACCTGCAATGAATGAGGATTTTGCGGGTTTCGACATGAGATGATGAGCACGACCACGACAGAAGCTTGGTAGAACGCTTCCGCCATTAGAATAGAAACCAAAATTCGTGAAAAAGACGTACATCTACCATTGGGCCCTGCTTTCGTAGCCTCGCTCGCCAATGCGGGAAACGCGATTTTCGGCGCACCTTCCCTTTGCGCGACGATCGCGACTTTTGTCCAAGTCGAAGCTGTGACAGCATCTGAACGCGATGATATGAGAATCGTCGGACGCCCAGTATGTCGATGTCTACGGGGTTGAGGTTGAGCAGCCGAAGAGTGTACAGTGGTCAGACGAGGTTAGACGCCGGATCAAGAAATGCACGATACGTATGCCATGCGCTCCTGCAATACCTCCGAGGGAAAGAAAACTGACCCAGCACAGTTCTCACACCACACCTCGATATCCCGGTTGGCGCGGAGACCAGAGCTACATTCAAGTCGATTGAGCTCGATACAACAGACTCGGTCATTATCTTTATTTGGCTGGGGTTCCAGTAAGACGGCAGACGAATTGCCCAAAGTCCAATCTCCCACCACTTCACCCTCACAAGCAGTAGACGGCACTGCCACTCTACCCACCGTCGAGCCGATACGAACAGTCAAGGCTACTCGTTCCACAGCGGACAGCCCCGACACGGCTGGCAGTAGCAATGTCGAGTCAGATGCCCTCCAGAACCTTGAGAACTCGGTGCTGGAGACCCAGAACACGAATGCAGCCGCAGCCGCCAATGATACTGCGGACCTTGCTTCAATCCCGGAAGGTATTGGGTACCTGAAAGATGTCTGTGGTCTTGACTTCGGCTGGGGCCCAACGTCACTCATGCAGTTTCTTCTAGAACACATCCATATTACCGCGGGATTGTCCTGGTCCGCATCGATAATAGCAGTGGTCTTCCTGCTTCGAGCCGCTATCTACCCTTTCGCAGTTACCGCCTCCGACATGACGGCCAGGTTTCAGGAGATGAGTCCGATGATTAAACAGATACAGGCCAGGAGTCGGGAGGCGCTTAACAACAATGACCGTACAGCAGTTCTCGAGGCACAGATGCAAATGAGAGAGCTGAAGAAAGAAGGCAAATTCAGTTTCAACAAGATGTTCAGACCTTTATTGCTCCAGTTTCCCTTGGGGTATGGAGCATGGCATCTTCTAAGGTCATGCTCCAACGTACCTGTTCCAGCATTCGAAACAGAAAACTGGCTATGGCTAAGCAATCTGACCGTTGGAGACCCCTACTACGTCTTGCCCATAGTCACAGCCGCCATGACTTGGGTCAACGTCATGACTTCTGCTAAAACACAAAACGCAAATGCAGACATGCCGGGAATGGCGCTGATCCGGAATGTCTTTCCTGTGATTACTGGTGTCTTCATGCTGTTCCAGCCGGCTGCGGTACAGATCTATTTCCTCTGCAACGGCCTCTTCACTCAAATACAAGTCTCATCTTTGCAAAATCCGACATGGCGGAGGCTCCTCAAATTGCATCCTCTTCCCGGTCAAAGCCCGAAGACGGCAGGAATTCCTCCCTCTCGCATGAACATTTCTCCCCAAGTGATCAATACCACTGGCAGGGTCAAAACAAGTTCAGCTCCCGCTCCAGAACCAGCCTTTGCTTCAGCCCAACCCACAAATCGCAGCTTTATCGACAGAGGAGTGGACTCTCTAAAAGCCGCCAGTCAACAGACGTGGCAGAAGGCTATGGGTTCTACAAAGGAAAAGGCCGAACAAAAGGCCCAGGAACGGAAACGCCAAGCACAGAAAGATGCGGCAGCTCGCTACGAGGCTCAACGAAGACAGGACCTGGAAAATATCCGTGCTTACCGGAATGCTGCTCAGAGTGGCCACAGTGGCAGTCCGAAGCAATAGTCCGGCTGAGAAGCAGAGGCAACTTGACGCAAAATCGTACAAGCGCGCATTATCAAGCCTGCCACGGTGGACTCACCTGGACAACAAATATCTTGTTACTATTGTGCCTTCCGCCGGGCATTTAGCGAGTAGCCTGTACCAGGGAGGGCGGTTGAGTCCATCTCACCGAGGAGGATAAGACGCTGCCACATCTCGTACAGATGGGATATGATAAAGAGGTGGTCACGATATTTCGGATCGTGCGACACTTTGTACAGAATCCCAAGAGCGATCACCAGGACAAGCAGAATCCGATACGTCTCCCGTCTCCCACCTCACCATGCAAAATCACCCATGTTGCGTCCAGATGTAAAGAGTCGCACATGTAAAGTGGCGGTGTCGTCGTGGTGGTGGTGGCGGCGGCGGAGGGGCAGGCGGTGGTTCTTCACGATCCAACGAGTCAATGACTCTTGCTTACTATATGCACTTCCATGTACATTACATTACATTAAGCAAGTACCTGGTACTTGGGTATCGAAAATGTCTTGCCATGTAGTTTTGAGAACCATCACTGGCAATGAGCGTCTGTCGCTTCTTCTTAAGGGCGTTTTAAGTTCGATAGCATTCTCGTTCAAAATGAGTCTTCTCCCGTTCGTGGCCTGGTGAGAGGCGGAGTTGGTGAGTTAATGTATTGGTGAGGTTGGTGAGTTGATCGGACTCCTAACCTTTGCATTGCGTCCATCCTTCATCGTACCAGTGGGACTTGACTCGCCGAGAAACGGGTACCAGTGGCGCTAGAAAAGCAGTTTTTGCTGCTTGTTGTACTCCTATGTCCTTCGATGGGCCGCGAAGTGCTGCGAAGTGCTGTGGTACATATGCTGTGTACAGTACGGGTCGAGTCGAGAGCCGTGTCACACGGCTGGATAGACTTGGACTTGCTTGATACAGTGCTCAGAGTTGGACATACGGTTCCCCAGTCAGGAGATACAAGGAATTAAGTCGCCAGTTTCGCCAGATGAATACAGGACAGATCAACTGTACGCAGGACGCAGGATGGAGGGCCTAGTACCGATTTACCATGTCTGCCTGCGATGCCCTCAACGTAGTGAATGCAATGCAATGAATCAGGTCGTACGCATTCGACCGACCGGAGGACTTTCTTCCATATCTACTCCCTCGATGCAACAAGACCTCCACTCTTATTGTGACCATTCGCCAGCGCCTCACCCCTCCGGTCCAAATCCTCGCGATAGTACGGCCTTGGCACATTCTCATAATATGGCACGACGATCCAATCCCCATCGTCCGTCTTGCCGACCATGCCCTTGGTGACGTCCGTGACGGGCTCCCGGCTGACGAGGACATTCACCAGCCCCGGGCCGGGCCCTGCACCCACCATATCTCGCACCTTTGTCTCGACATCACCGAGGGACCCACTGGCGAGGACACCGCGATTGTTGAACCCCTGCGCCACGACATCATACCGACACGACTCGGACAGCTGGACGACGGGCCTCGCCCGTTCCGCCACGTCATACATCAGATCCTGGCCCGCGACGGACATGCCCCAGAAGTTGTTGTTGAACACGATCGTCAGCACGGGGAGCCCGTGGCGCGCGTACGTGTCGAGCTCCTGGATGTGGAACCCCGCGGAGCCGTCGCCGTGGATGTTGACCACGAGGCGATCCGGGCACGCGAGGGCCGCGCCCAAGGAATAACCCCACCCGTTGCCCAGGAAGCCGAGGTAGCCTGTCGAGACGATCGCGGTGGCGGGGCGGGCGAGCTCGAGGAGGGAGGACGCCCAGACGCCGCACTCGCCGCCGTCGATGACGATGATGGCGTCGTGAGGGAGGGAAGTCATGATCGCCTTCATCGCGTGGTAGGGGTGTAGACGGCCGTCGGGGCGCAGGGGGTCATCGGCGGCGTATTTCGACGGGAGTGTCTTGACGGTGTGGATGTCCGTGAGCCAGGCGTCGTGAGAAGCGAAAGGGATTGCGGGGGTGGCCGCAAGTTTCTCGCGCAGCGCGGCAATAAACTTCCCACAGTCCGCCACAATTCCCAAATCTACGGCGTGCGATTTGCCGATCTCCCCGCCGTCGAGGTCGACTTGGACGAGCGTGCATCCCGTGGCCGGAATCAGGGCGCCCGTGCGTCCGCCGAGGAGGAACCCCGTGCGTGCGCCCAGCAGGAGGATGAAGTCCGGCTGCTGCTTGCCGATGAAGGGCAGGTACGCGAGCAGGCTGGCGCTGCCGCCACGCAGGGGGCTGTCGAAGGGTAACGCCACACTGTACTTCTGCGAGTAGAAAACCGGCGTGTGCGTCGCCTGGGCGAGTCGGAGGAGGGGACTCTCTCGTGAGCTGCGGTCCGTCGTCCTCGCGGCGCCGGTTCCCGTGATGATGGCCGGCCTCTTCGCCGTGCTCCACAGCGAGATCAGGTGGCTTAAAGCGGCCGGGTCCGGACCCGGCGAGAGGGCAGTCTGTTTCATGACGCTCCCGAACGATAGGGCGCTCATCCTCGGCGGATGGAAGAGCACGTCGATGGGGAAATCGAGGACCACGGGGCCCGGGATGCCCGAGGCGGCCGTCTTGTACGCGTAGCTGACGAGCCGGGGGATCTCTTCCACGTTGGTCACGCGGTGGGCGAATTTGGTGATGGGTTTCGCGAGCACGACTTGGTCGTGGAAGCCCTGGAGGCAGTTCGTCTCGGCGTCGCGGAGGGGCGGCGACGAGGTTACCATCAGGATCGGCGAGCGGTCGGCAAACGCGGTGGCGAGGCCGGGGAGGGAGTTGCAGAATCTAAGCGCACGAGGTATTAGTCTTATCAACGCTTCGTCCTGCGGAGCGTAGCACGGCAGGTGGTATTCTTCATCTCTTTTACAGCGATGATGCTCGCGCCGTGAATGCGGACCACGTACCCGCTGTTGGCCGTGACAAAGCAACATCCCACCTTTCCCGACAACTTCGCGTAGGCTTCTGCCGCTTGCACGGCGGGTGCTTCATGTCGCGTGTCGACGAGTCTGATGCCCGCCAACTCGCAGCCGACGAGGAAGGCGTCGAGGTGGCCTCCGTGAAGACCGAACGAGACGTCGACGCCGAGTTGGGCCAGACTTTGGGCGACGAGGTCACCGCCTAGGAACTCGCGCTTCTGAGGCATCTTCCATTTCAGCTCGGAGTCGGTGTTGGTGTCGGCCATCTTGGGCTGGTAGCGGCGAGGTGAGCGTACACGTTAATTGACTAGTGAGCAGGAAAGGAAATCTGAGCCCGCTCTTTAAACAATGTTGTGCTTCGATTCTCCCGCGAAGAGCTTCTCACGACGCAGAAGCCATTAATCTCCCTTGTCGAGTCTCGGAGACGAAAGAAACGCTTGCTTACCTTCCCAGACATTCTTATGTAGCTGGGCACGACTCATCGTGTTGACCGGTTCGAGTCAACGACGTGAGCACCAATAGTGCCGGCATTGGAAGGAATGCTGCGGGGTCCGCACCTTGCATACACACACGGAGAGACTGACCCGTGCCTGGACCGACTGGTGATCTGCCCTGTTGCTGATCAGTGAGAGTGGCCATGGATCCGAGGTCGTCTCTAGCGTACGAGAGCCGCAGCATGCAATTTGGACCGAGGAGATCTCAATCATGCGGGGGTGTGGGTAATGTACAGTAACCACTATCCGACTAAGCGTTCAGGAAGCTGAGGGTCCGAAGCTCCAGGTGGCCAGCTGTTACAGTCTGGATGCTAGAAGTGCACCATCTGGCTGCTTCGTCGAATGTTGACTGACTGATTGAGTACAGACATGAGTACCAGTCGTCGATTCGAAGGGAACACTGGCGCCAAGCACCAGGTGGTAGGCACCGCAGGTGCCACAAAGCCTGCCATGATGCCACCACCAATCATCCTCTTCACCTACGACCTATCTGTCTTTGGGAGGAAGACGGAGTGGGTGCTGACTCTCAAAGGTCTAAAGTACTTCCGCTGCATCGTGCTCAACCGCCTTCCTCGCCCTGTGCTGCAACAACTGGGCATCCAGTACAGGCGAATCCCTATCCTGGCCATCGGCCGCGACATATACTGCGACACGAGACTCATCATTGACAAGCTCGAGGAACTGTTTCCCGACAACAGAATCAGCAGCACAACTCCCTTCGAGAAGGGTCTGGAGCACCTGTTCGAGAACTGGCTGATCGATGGAGGCCCGTTCTGGCGGACAGCAGGCCTCATCCCCCCCACGGCGGAGGTGGTGCAGGACAAGGAATGGCTGGCCGACCGGACGAATATGACGGGTCGCAAATTCGACGTTGAGACACTGAAACAGGGCAGGGCTGAATCCCTGGCACATGTGCGCATGTACTTCACCCAGATGGAGCACGAATTGTTGGCCGATGGCCGAGAATACATTTTGGCCACGAAGGAACCAACGGTGGCGGACATTCACGTCATCTGGACGTTCGACTGGGCTCTCCAGGACCAAGGGCACATGCTGGAGTGTCTGGAAAAGGAGGTCATCGGGGAAGACCAGTTCCCCAGGACGTTCGCATACGTCGACCGGTTCCGCAAGGCCATGGCGAGCAAGGAAGCGCAGAACGGTGTCGCCGAAGCGTTGTCCTCAGCGGACGCCATCCGACAAATTCTGGCTTCGGAGTTCTTCGAGAAGCAGGGCACGATCGACCCGAGAGATCCGCTGAAGCTAAGGAAGGGGCAAGTGGTCAAAATCTGGCCGGTCGAGTCCGGTTTCACGCACCATGACAGAGGTGAGTTGGTGTCGATCGGGGTGAAGGAGGTGGTCATTTCAAGTAGGCCGAACGTGGGCGAAGGGAGATTGAGGCTTCACTTCCCCCGGGTGAATTTTCGGATCAAGCCGGTGGAGGAGCCGAAGTTGTAGCACTGGAAGGCTGCTGTCAGAAACGACGAGAGAGATGGGGACCCGTGTGCAGGATCGGTAACGGATTAACCACGCGTTCTGTGCTGGTTTCACTGCGACGCAATCTCTGGCGACATTTAACTGTTGGCTTTTTGATATACAGCGAAATCCAGCTACATATTGATACACTATGTTTTCCGATGATTAAGACATCACCACGCTGTGTAACCGCCGTCGATGACGAGCTATAGACAGGCGTCAGTAAGATCTTGACATTCTGCGCGGTTCCGTCGCTAATACTCACATTACTACCAGTCATGAATGAACTCGCATCGCTCAAACAAAATAAAGCGGCACCTCTGTATTCTGCCGGTTCCGAAATCCGCCCAAGCTTGGGGACCATCGTAAGTCAAAATACCAGCAATAGGGGCACCGATCAGAGCTTACCATGTTCTCCTTTTCCCAAAGCGCCTTGAGATTAGGGTCGTCCTCGAAATTCTTCCTTACCATTGGTGTCAAGATGTTTCCTGAAATCAATGGTCAGAATATGCGCACCGGCGCAATCTTCCAGCGCCAGGCACTTACCTGGACACAGCGCATTGACCCGAATAGGCTTCCCGTTCACAATCTTTCCCCACTCCATCGCCAGAGATCTCGCTAGCTGGCAGACGGCGGCTTTTGAAGAATTGTAGACGGATGAGGTAAAGCCCTTGTTGGCGACCATGCCACTCATCGAGGCAACGAGTAAGATTGATCCGCTGCAGTTGTGCTTGATCATCTGCCGAGCACAGCTCGTGGCCGAGCAGAAAACACCCTTGTAGTTGATGTTCATCATCTCCTCGATCTTCTCCGGAGTGTAGTCCAGCGCGGGGGTCACGTTCTGAACACCAGCCGCGGCAATCAAGCCATCAAGGCGGCCATGGTTCGTGGCGATCTCCTCGATAACGCGGTCAAGGTTACCAGCTTCCCGCACATCGACTTTGTCGTACTTGAGCGAGCCCCCATACTTGGGACCTAGACGTTTCTGAACCGTGAAGAACTCCTTGTCCGGCTCCGGCAGTCGATCGAGGCAATATACTGGACGCGCAAGGAAGGTCAATGATGGATGGCTCCAAGGTGCGACTTGTGGTACAACCTACCTTGTCCTCCAGCTTCGATCAGGGCTTCTGCCAATACCAGGCCCAGACCACGCGCACCACCTGTCACGACAAAAACCTTGCCCTCGAGATCGAATTCACGAAAGCGGAATGGTGTCCGGTCAGGATCTGGAAGCTTCTCCTTGATGGACGGAGCCTCGGCGCCAGATTCTTTGACGGCCTCCATTGGGGTAGAATGCTGTTTACCACCGGCTGCGGACAGGCTACTCGAGAACGGCCGATTGTGCCGCTGTTGGTAGACCAGGGGTCTTAGAGAATGCCGAGAACTGCTGCAGTATCTTGCTATTGAACGCGCGCCGGATATGTAGTTACGCGACAAGATTGACTGAGCTCGTAAAGACAGAGGAGGCATGTGTGTATGTGCCAGACAGCGTGGTGCGGTACTTTGAACAGACCACGGGACGGTACTACCTTGGGGTGAGGATCAACCCGGATCAGCATCTCCCTGGCTTATATCGGAAAGCCCAGACCAAAAGGCTGAGGAGGTGTGGATGGGTTGACTGGCCACACCATCGTGATCACCGGCATAACGATGCATGTGACGTTAGACGACGGCAAAGGTGGTGAAGGCGGGGTCCAGCCACCACGTAAGCGCGATCGTGAATCTTAAAAGAAACTTGCAAGTACTCTGTTCGATTTGCTACCGACATGATACCTGCCTCCACCATTATCTCGGTACCATCGACGATGGCGAAAAGGTGGTTCCTGTTGACGTATGCGGCGATCAGCTTGCAGGGGACTGAAAGACGGATAAACAGTGGGTGAGAGAACACTGAGGCTCAATCGCTTAAGCGAGAAGCTTCGGTACCGATCACCAAGCGCCAATCGGGGGATTCGGCGGGTCTTTTGCTATGCCCGGACAGATTTCCGATCGATCATGCCAGGCACCAGAGACTCCTCACAGGCCAGAGAAGGCTGAATCCAGAGTATACTGCGAGGGCCACGCAGAGGCTCGAATATCTTTTGAACCGAGCGAGGTATATGGCGCCACCAGTTTCGACGTAGGGATTGATGTTATATGCCAGACCCGGTAAGTCTGACGACAAGTGAGAGGTCCAGCTTCCGATCAGACTTGCAATCCTTCTAGATAGATCAACAGACACCAGACAACAAGACATGTGGGAAAGAAGTGCCTTTTTCGAGATCTCATCGACGCCGACAACCTCCCCACCATTCTTGCTCTACAGCGCTGGAACGAGGAAGCGCATCCAACCCGAGATGTGTACGACGAGGGCGCTCTGCTGGCGCACGAGCTGGGGGCAGCTGGCATCGAGATCTATCGTGCGCATGGATATTGCGTCGACCTGTTCTTCTCACATGAGACTAACCTTCGCACCAACTCATATGGCGAACCGACGCTGCTCGAGTGGGCACAGCACCCTGTCGAAATCGTCCGAGCTATTAGGAAAACTGTGGGTCAGGATTTGCTTATGGATTTCCGCTTTTCTCAATGGGAAGGGATTGACTACGAGGGCAAGAACTCTTCCTCACCCGGGGCAGGGTGAAAGGCCTGCTTGAACAGCTAAGGGAGGCCACAAGCGACATTTCCACGCCTCAGCGCGGTACACTGATCGATCTGAATGGTCTGCAGATGAACAACCTCGGGTTTGCGGGCTGGACAGAACATCTGACTGGGGCTCCTGTGATCGCAGTTGGATCCGTAGGAACTGAGATCGACACATTGTGTCCACAAAGGAGATGATCCACAGTGATGTCGAGGGAGGAATGAAAGCGCTTAAAGCGAAAGTGACGGCCAGCGAGTTGAACATGGTCGCTGTGAGGCAAAGCATATGGACAGTTAAGAAGGTTCCGCTACGTGTAAAGCAATTGGAATAGCTGTTTGTTGAACATGTGGACAACTTCTACGGAGCGAACGCGGCTCTTTCCACTTGAAATCATATCTCAGCAAGCTATTCCGCCATCCACGGAGAAGACTGCTCCCGTTGTCCAACTCGCATCGTCACCAAGAGCAAAGCATATCGTCTTCGCCATCTCTTCCGGCGAGCCCAGTCTCTGGAGTGGCACGTTCTTGTAAGTATTAGTGACTGCTCGTTCCTCGGTTCCACCGTCCATCCGTATTCTATCCAGCATGGGAGTGGCGACTGGGCCTCTGAAAGAGGGAGTTGATGTCAGTGGTTATTCTTCAAGCCAGACCGAACAGTGGGATAACATACGGAGCAATTGCATTCACGCGAATTCCTCTTTCTCCAACCTCTTTGGCGGCTGTTCTTGTCAGACCGATTGCGGCATGCTTGCTGGTACTGTAGGCTGCGATGCCCGGTCGGCCCATGAGCCCTGCCATACTGGCGACATTCAAGATGGAGGCGCCCCGTTCCATCACCCTCAGCTGCGCTCGGACGCAATAGAACAATCCCGTCACATTGACGTGCTGAACAAAGTCCCAGTGGTCGTCTGTGATGTCGACAATGTTGTTGAAAACGCTCCCTCCTGGCTTGCCTTCCACTCCGGCGACATTGGCTGCTCCGTCAAGTCTGCCAAAGTGCTTCATGGTCTCCGCCGTCCAGTCGTCCACGCTCGCTGATTTGGACACGTCGACCACGGTTCCAATCACCTCAACGCCTCGAGCCCTGACCTTCTCAACCGTTTCGTTTAATGAGCTCTGGTTGATATCGCTTAACGCGAGCTTAGCTCCCCTGGCGGCACATTCTAGTGCAGTTGCTCGACCAATGCCGGACCCTGCACCTGTGACAGCAATGACTTTGCCCTGGAGATGAGCCATGCTCGCGGCGACGACTCCAAGAAGGGTACGATTGTCAAAATACGTGTGAATTAGAAGAATGATTGGAAACTGCAAAACTCGGACAGCTGTGACCCATATACAAGTACTAGTCGACTCTCGGCTCGGGATCTTAGCCGGTCAGGTGTCGATTCGGCTAAGACGGAACATGTAAAATGTATACCTAGGCTTTTAAGAAACATTGTGACAGAGGAAATCTCCGGCGGCCTTCTCAAGCCGGTGCTGGTTTCACTATAGAGGTGATTCAACGGGTCAAACGAAGAAGCAAAACTGCCAAGACTCATGTCATGAATCCGACAAATTGGAGAACTCGCTAGACTATACAAGATTATTGTTCAAGTCTCCGATTCGCCTAGTAGGTGATCGCCTCATAGCCTTGATCGGGATTGTCGAAGTAGTACGTAGTATCCCTGCCAGGCGCCTCCTTCATGGAGAAACCATTGCCCAAGTACGCAAAGCGATTCGTCGAGAACGTCTCCCAATTAAAGTCCTCGTACCGAGGTTCTTCCAGCATTTGGAACCAGTGGACTCTGCTGCCGGGATGTAAAGCCACGACGGGTCCATCGATCTTTCCGTTTTTGAACCAGGATCGACACTTTGTGCTCCAGGCTGTTCTGGGCATAAAGGCTTGGATGTGTTCGTCGAAGTCCTTGACGGCTTCCATTTTGGGTTCCACCGACTTGATGCCCTGCATCTGACATTTGTGCAGCATGCGAATTATATATTTCGCGGAATGTTCGATGATGGGGAGGACTGAACCGTGTCCAATCGGGGCATTGGGACCAAGGAACACTAAGTATAGAATGTTAGAGCAGCCCTTGCAGTAAAAGTGTCGGGGGTGGAGATAAGGGTATACGTACTGAAATGGTTGGGGAATTTCGGCACTGCCAACGACAAGTAGGCGGCCGGATGTTCTTTCCACTCGTCTGCCAGACTAACTCCATTTTTGCCAATCACTGGGTATCTCGGACAGAAAGAGATGTCGAAGCCGGTAGCGCATACGAAGATGTCGACCTTCAAGACTTCTCCAGTAGTGGTTTTGATGCCCTCCGGTACGATTTCCGCAATTGAATCCGTAACAACCCTGACGTTATCTTTGGTGAGGGCTTCTAGGTAGCCATTGCCCGGCGTGGGTCGACGGCATCCAACGCTGAAAGAGGGAATGAGATGTTTTAGGAGAGGGGAATCGGCTCCGAGCTTGGTTTTCATTTCGTTCGCAGAGAAGGCCAAGGCCTCGGCCTGTTCAGGGCTGTCTTTGATGATCTGGTTCACCGACGTTAGATTGCCGTATCCGAATGGCATAAAAAATGTCACGTCAACTTACAAATTTAAATCTCGAGTTCAGCTCGGATTCGACTTCTTTCCGGTAGTGGAGGTAGGCCGAAGGATCGGTGCGGAATTTTTCCTTCTGAGCGTCGCTAACTTTTGAAGTGTCAGCCAAATCTCGGATTTCTAGTGGCAATCATATACTCACAGTCAAAGTTGCTGCCATTTGGACCGGCCTTGCTCTGGGCGAAGCCGGCAGTGATCCAGGTTGGACTCCGGATGAAGGTGACCAGGCGCGCCACATCTGGTTGTAACGTAGGCACAATCTGCACTCCAGAAGAACCACACCCTAGAACCGCAACATTCTTGCCTCGCCAGTCCACACTCGGATCCCAGGCAGCACTGTGAAGTAGTTGGCCTTTGAAGGTAGTGAGGCCCGGGATATCGGGCCATTTCCAGTTACTATGGAGAAGAGTCAGCCCATGTTCGGCAAAGACGTAGGAATGCCTCGATATACTTCAGAATACCCGATCCACTAATCATGAAGTGGCCCCAGTCGTGAATGATGTTTCCAGTTGTCAAGTCTTCCACCGTGATATTCCAAATGCCCTTTTCCTCGTTCCATTTGGCTTCGATGACTTTGTGGCTCAATTTGATGAATCGATACAATTCGTATTTATGCGCGACGCTGCGGAAGTAGTCGAGAATCTCGGGAGCGGGAGAATAGCTACGAGGCAAAGTGAGCATATTCCACCTCCGAGGTGTCTTGACGTATGGGATTTGGGGACTTACAAGTGATTCCACCCTGGGTACGGTTCCCAGGTAAACTGGTAGCTGTGCGAAGGAATGTCGCAGGCACAGCCTGGATACGTATTCTCATACCACGTCCCGCCAACCTCAGGATTCTTTTCGTAAACGACATGAGTAACGTTCTTCATGTGCTTTTCTATTTGATGCGCAAGATTGAGTCCCGAAGCGCCCGCGCCAATCGTGATGACTCGAAGTTGGACGGGATCGCCTAATCTTCTGTCGGGGATGGTATAACCACTGGAAGTGCCATTTGAGTCTGTCGGCTTCGCGTGTCCATTGAGGACGGGTGGTTGCCCATCCGTTTCATTCTCCTGTGGCTGCATGTCGTTGGGTCTGGTGGCTTGAGGCGATGGTGGTAAATTACAGCTTGGTCGAATGTTGACAGCTTGGTCAAAATGTTGAAAGACAAGTATAGAGAGCAGTGGCCAGCATGCTTCTTGGGCTCCAGCGACTTCATTTATCTGAATGCTTCGATGGAAACCGTGTTCGACGATCTCTCCGCGTTCGCATATCTCTCCACGCCTCTTCCCCCCCTTCCCTCCCGCCTCACAAAATCAAGTGGTGTGACCTACACGATTGGGCGCCGCGTCCGGGGTGGGCACGGGCGGGCCGGGTCAAGTAAGAAAGTTGACTCAAGAAGCCGGATCAACAAGCCGACTCAGGAAATCGAGGTCAAGAAGCCGAAGGTACTGGGTCTCGGCACTGGCGATTGGGTGGTGGCGCGAACCTGGGCGCGAACTCGGCAAGTCCTGAGAGACGCTAAGCGGCGTATTTCGGGGGGACCCATCAGCAGCATGGATATAGCGGCACGAACAGCTCTTTACCTATTTCAAATTGCTTGGATTTTTCCATCAGACCAAGACAAGTTCTACTTTTCTTCAACATCTATTAGTATTGAGGCTGGGAAACTTGGGGTTGCTGACCCTGTCAGCGCGATTCCACCTTCGCTGCCTCCGGCGCACGGCGGGAACCCCGGATGGCCCGGGAATAGGTCCCAAAATTCCATGTACGGGTAGGTGTCCGGAGCACCAACTCCCGCACCCGCTCCTAAGTCCCGGACCAGTGGTGCCCAAAATGGTTCCAAGACACGGTGAGATGGGAATTTCCCCCCCAAGATCCACCTCCCCAGACCCTGGAGAATGAGATTGGGGTGCACCCGTACTCCGTGCTCGTAGTGCCCTCAATGATACAGATGTGGGGACATGAACGGGGGCGCCTTTCGCCTAAGGTGCTAGATTTGGACGAACCTCAGCTTTTCCAACCTCTGTCGTAGAGCCTCTGTGAATGCGAACCTAAATTCAACGCTCAAAACACCTTCATATAACAAAGACCTTGTCCTCGCGCCCATCCGTCGAGATTCACGCAGAAGATGGCGAGTCCTGAAGCCCAGCCTCGGTCACCTCAACTGCTGAGGCAGTCCCGCAGAGCCAAAATTGCCTGCAAGTCTTGTAACGCGCGACGGGTCAAGTGCGACGTGGTTGACTCGCAGCCCTGCTGGCACTGCAGAGTACGACAGAAACCTTGCGAACTGATAGATTCGCGTAGGGGAAGGTTAGATTTGCCCCGTCGCATGGTTTCAACGCCAGCTGGCTGATGGAAATCCTCACAAAAGGTATCCGCGAGCTCGCAATGGCACAAGCGGCGCCAAACCCCCGGAGCGCGAAAGTAATGCAAGTTCCATACAATCAGGGGAAACCACCATCGCCTCTGTTGCCGTAGAGAAGTCTCCTGAGCAGTCGCGGCACGACTCTGTGGCCTCGACCAACGTGGAGGAGGTCTTGCAACCAGCCACGTCGCCCATATCCACGGTCGAATCGGCACGGAAAGCCGACACTTTCAATTCCGTGGACGGCCCCGAAATGCTCTTCGCTCGCATGGCAGAGGTGCAGCCCGTTCATGACAGCCCGTCCGACATTCGTAAGCAATCCAGGATGCTGTACCTCGGCGAAACGTTCACTTTGGCATTTGTGGTCAAGACCGTTTGCAGTCCTTCAGCGACTAGTAGCGACATCAGGAATCACTATCCAATTCCAGGCTCGGTCGCCGACAGGCTAGATCGACCGGACGATCCCGCCAAACTCTTCCTACAACACGAGGAGGTCTTTCTACAAGCCCAAGGCGCTTTTACGACTCCGAGGAAAGACCTCAGTGATGAATTGGTTGCCGTTTTCTTCAAATACTTCCATCCCGCTTGGCCAGTCTTCGATCGCCGACGCTTCGTCACTCTGTACGATCGAGGCCAAGCTTCCCTTCTCGTTTTACAAACAATCTACTTTATTGCCGTCAGTATTTGTGACGAGGCCCTTCTCACCCGGGTTGGCTTCACGGATCGGTACCAGGCGAGGCGAGTTTTCTATCTACGAGCAAAGGGACTATATGATGCAGACTACGAAAAGGACAAAGTCATTCTTGCTGCGGTGTTGCTCCTCCTGGGATTCTGGTGGCAAGGCCCGGAAGACCAAAAGGATACCTGGCACTGGGTAGGCTGTGCCATTAGCCTGGCGCAGACTCTGGGGATGCATCGGTCGTAAGCATCATACATCTCATTATCCTTCTGGAACTCCGTGGCTAACTCCATCCTAGGACAGCTCGATCTGGCATTGATCCACGTCAACGTTCGCTGTGGAAAAGGATATTTTGGTCCATCTATGTAATGCCTGTGGCCCAACATCTCAAGGCGGGCAAACATGTGCTAACCACCATATATAGGCTCGTGATCGGCACGCCGCAGCAGCTTTGGGTCGCCCTGTCCGCATCAATGATCAAGATTGTGATGTGGAGGAGCTTTCCGAAGAGGATTTCGAATTGGATATGGCGCCCGAATCGAACATCATAAACTCCCAGGAACGATACCATGCTCAATACCCTATAGCCATGTCAAAACTCGCCATTATATGTGAGTGCGCCATTTGCCCGTTGCGTCCGCCAAACTAATCGCCGGAGCAGTTGGTCGCATCATTCTGACTAGATACACCCCCCACAGCCATAATACTCTTCAGGACGTCAAATGCATTGGCGAAGATTTGACTCGTTGGAGAAAGAGTTTGCCGAAGGAAATGCTCCTCCAGGACATCGGCGAGGCTGGTGGAGCAGGGTTCTGGGCCTTCATGCTGAATGCAAATTACTAGTAAAGTCCTATGGCGATCAACCCCTGTGTTACTTTACTAATCAATGGGCCAGCACTTGTCAGATTCTTCTATTCCGGCCCAGTCGCGTTATGGTCGAAACGGATGAAGAAATCCTACACGATGCAATCGCCAGATCGGCCGCAGATGGCATGACGCGCATCGCCGAGGACTTGCTGACTTCGGGCGTTCTGAGGCAAACTCAGGTACATTTGTAAGTTTTTGGTCGTGGGAATTGGCAAAAGCCTTCACCTAACGATGCCAGGGCTCCTGCTTTGTTTGCCGCATGTAGTATGCACGCGATTGTAATACGACGGAAGAGTATCATTCACGGTCAGGTGGCTGAAAACCGGGCTCGGCAGTGCATGCTGGCCTTGAGTGAACTAGCAAAATCATGGCCAGTGGCAGGTTGGATACTTCGGCTCTTCATTAGCTTGATGACCAGGCTCACCGGTCACTCCTTTGACATCGACCCTAAATGGGGCACTGCAGCGGGACCTGCTACCTCGTCCGCTGTTGTTCCTCCCCAACAGCCTTGTCTAACGAATGCCAGTGTTTTACCCCACCAGCAGCAAGAACCTCAAGGCAATTCAGCTGAGCAAGGCTTGGAGGCCGGACCAGGAGTCTTCCAGGCTTCCGCACCCGCAAACCCTTGGTCGCATGACCTGGGATCTGAGGACCTGGACTGGATATTCCAGGATTCTTTGGGCGGCTTCAGCCTGTACGACTTCAGTCTTCCCGCCGCGCCCGCCAATTTTACATTTTAAGCTAGCCAGCACCGTCATGATCTTTCCGCTACACGTGGTAAATTTTCTCTGAATACCCCAAAAGGGGAAACCAGTCGCATGTTGTATCATGTGGACCTCATTGCGGGTTCGAGGAGGGCCGTGTACACATTGCCGGCCAATGATTTTCGCCGTATGAAGCAACGCTTCTAGTATAAGGGGCGCACAAGGCGAACTTGGCTGATGTCGCATCCGAGCCCACATCTGCCGTTTTTCTCGAGGGAGTTGACGTTGGTCAAATCAGAATCAAAGTGAAGGGTCCTCGTGCGAGCGTTCAAGCACATTTTGAGTTGATGAATGTCGCCAGATGAGACATGGCGATTCGGGTGTTGTCGTGAACTTCTTCGGAGAACAGAATAAATCCATGCGGGCTTCCTGGGTAGCACTTTACCACTGCCTCGCCCCCTGCAATCATCCATCGTACTCCCATAAACACCGAATCCTCGAGCAGGCAATCCTCCGTCCCGCAGCTGATGAATGCCGGGGGAAGATCCAGATTGCTCAAGTCGGCGTAAAAGGGAGATATTTCAGGAGCCGACCAATCTTCGGAACCCGTGCTGGGAAGATAGGCAGCGCGGAAATGGTTCAGCAGGTCCTCGTCCAAGATCAAGCTTGGCTGCTTTTTGAAGTGTCTCGTGCTCGCGTGCCATTGTAGCGAGTAGGCACCGTAATGTAGCAACACACCCTTCAGCCTGACGGAAGAATACGTCGAGTTGGGCGAGCGTAACAAGTCCAAAGCGGCCAGAAGCGCCAGATTCGCTCCTGCGCTCTCACCGCCGACGAACTTGAGGCTTGTGCCAAACTCTTCCTCTCCGTGATCGATCAACCAGGTGGCCACGTCGAAGCAGTCCTGTGGTCCTGCTGGGAAAGGATGTTCTGGAGCCAGTCTGTATCCGACCGAGAGGCAAACCAAACTGCCGGCGTTGGCGACTTTTTGGAGATAGAGATCAGATGAGGTCTCATCGTTAAGGACCCATCCACCGCCATGGATGTGCATAAATATCCCTTGGGGCGCTGAATCATGCTCGGGCATTAGAACTCGACAAGGGATGGAGCGATTGTCATCGCGAGAGGGAACGGAGAAAGCAGTGGCCGATGGTAGCAACGTCGCTCCCGGCAACGGAGTCAGTCCAGCCTTTCGCAGCCTCCGATACTCTGCTGCGCCGACCTGGGATTCAAGAAGCCAGAGTAAGTATTAAGAACTTGGGATATGGGTCTGCCAATGTTCCAGGGGCCGCCCGCAGGATGTTGACTCACCTCGTACCACTTTTGCCCGCGGGACTCGAGTTCCTGCAGCCTCAGGTTAAAGTCACGAGTAGCAGGAGTAATGGCCGATGATTGGAAGATCTTTTGATTGATGTACACATCACTTTCAAGTTCGTTTGGGGATGAAGCGTCCCCCATTTGTTCACAGTGGATTGGTTTGATGGTAGACCTTTGAAAATCATCTACGGACTTTGTATCAAACGGAAGACATGATCAAAGTCGTCGAAGCATAGTACATGCACTTAAATGCTGATTCCCGCGGCAAAGATCAACGGCCGACCCGCCCCAACCTTCGGCATGGGAAAAGAGGATCCTGAGGCCCCCGGGTTTTGGCACAAACCCTTTGTCTTACCAATCAGTAACGCACGCATGGTGGCACCAAAACCATTACAGCCAGTCCCATGTTTCTATTTCTCGGCCAGGATCTAAGAGAGCTCCGATTTGTCTGAGGGTGGAGTGCCGCTCCTGGCTGAGTCGGCTATATGCACCATACCGAACCTGTTTTGAGAAACTAGGCATGCCTATTTGGCTCTCCGTGCACTCCAAATTCGGACCAATTTAGGCCACCTAGTTTCGTTATCATCTATCCTGCCACACTCTAAATGCAAATATCACAGGAACGTTAAACGAAAGTGAATTCTAGTTTAAAATAAAAGCATTTACAGAATCGCAAACATGGCCAAGCCTTGGAAAGAGCCAATTGCCCTCATCGGACTAGGCTCCATCGGCGTATCATTTGCGGCTCTGTACCTTCGACATACAGAGTCTGTCATCCGCTTGTACGATCCCCGTCCGGATCTGGTTCGACATCTCGAGACGGTACTTCCAAAGTATCTCAATACAGATGCGGCCGATCTACAGGTCAGACATTTGCTCGACAGCGGTCGACTTGTGGTTTGTCGGTCCCTGGAGGATGTTTGCCGAAATGTTAGCATCATCCAAGAGCAAGGCCCCGAAATCCTTGACCTGAAGTGTACCACGTGGCAAACCATTCTGCGGGTCGCCGCACCACACACTCACCTGTGGAGCTCAACTTCTGGCATCACGGCATCGCAACAGAACGAGAAGCTGTCTGATCAAACCAGACTCCTGGTGGTACACCCATTTAACCCTCCTCATGTCATGCCACTCATCGAAATCATACCATCACCGGTGACGCAGAGTGGAGAGACTCAGTTTGCACTGGAATTCTTTAACACCTTGGGATCTGGCCACCAACCCGTTGTGTTACGCAAAGAAGTGCCCGGGTTTGTCGGGAACCGCCTTGCGTTCGTCCTGCTGAGAGAAGCGATGCACTTGGTCAAGGAAGGTGTGGTGAGCGTTAAAGATCTTGACAAGATCGTGGAGAACAGCATCGGGCCTAGATGGGCCGTCACTGGTCCTTTTAAGGCCTACAACTATGGCGGTGGCTTTAACGGCATTGGTGGATTTCTGAATAACCTATCCCATACAATTCAAGCTGTGTGGGACGACTCTGGTGTTCTATCTTTGCAAGATACTGCCGTCTGGCCCTCGATTGCGGCTGCGAAGGATGGTAAATCTGCAGAAAAGTCCGACTGGGCCAAAAGCCTTGTGCAACAAGTTGACCAAACTTACGGTCGTCCCACGCCCGATCAACTGAGGGAACGGGACGACAAACTGGAAAGGGTATTGCATGCCAAATGAAGGGTGTTGGTCATGTTGAAAAGGGTTCTGATCCGCTCGGAGCCACTTGTGGCAGACCTGTAAGCATAGTTTCGTTCTCGCCTTGGCGTAAAAGCATGGTACAATTCAGAGTGCATGAAGACTGCTTCCGCTTTTCTTTAGCCTCGATTCTCTAAAGTTGGCACTGCAGTATTTCCTTACTTCCTTTCGAGACTCGTACCCAACAGACCTGCTGAGGACTTGTAGCAGATTGGGTTAGCGCCGTTGCGTACCCCTCAGGCCTATATATGCCCAAGATGGCCGCCCCCCTTTCCCCCCTCCCTCCAGACGTCTTCAAGTCGACACATCAACCAAAGCAGAAAAGTCAAAAAAAAGAAAGAGTTGCCGTCGCATAAAACCATGAGTAACAAAGAAAGCATTTGGAAAACGGCCTACGATGCTTCTAAAGACAGTACTGTTATTCAGACGTCGGAAGTCGAGCCCGGGGTCTTCGTTGTCCAAATGAACGCGCCAGAGTCGCACAACATCCTCACGCCGCAGATGATGGGGGCGGTGGCTCGTGAGGTCGATCGCCTATCTGCTATGAAAGTTGACGAAGTATGTACTGGTTAGTGTTCAACTTTACGTATTCAGAGACTGATGATAGATGCTTTGTTCCACCAAAGATCACAGCCATTATCCTGATGTCGTCTGGGAAATCTTTCTGCGCCGGAATCGACATCAATGCGATCAGAGACGATCCCACCTTTGAAGAATACATAACCCGCTCGGTAGATCCATTCTACGCGGTCCAGGAATCACCCGTTCCCACCATCGCCTGTGTCCAAGGGGCCGCCATGACGGGCGGATTTGAACTTGCCCTGAGTTGCGATATTGTCATTGCTTCACGCGATGCTGTCTTCCGCGACAATCATGCAATGTGTAGGTTCGAAACCCTTGTCCCCAATTTTTTTTCTGAAACAGTGCAATGCGACCACGATGGCTAGCTCACTGGCGAACACAGATGGAGTCCATCAGATAAGAGGACTTTCCCAAATCCTCCCCCGGGTTTGTGGGCCCTCGAATGCGAAGTTGGCAAGTCTGGCCTCTATGCCGGTCACAGCCAGCAAAGCGCTCGCTTGGAACATAGTTTCTGAAGTAGTGGACACTCCTGAAGACTTGTTCCCGATGGCGATGCGCATCACCAAGGGTTTCGCGTATAACAATGGTCCAATCCTTCGAGCTCTCAAGAAGACGATGAATGAAGCATACGAGCTTTCTTATGGAGAAGCACGGAAGCTTGAATTGACGAGTGACGTCGACTACTATGCCAGTCTCGGCGATGACAAACCTCGAATATTGACTGAGGGAGCCAAACGCTTCAACAAACGTGTTGAGGAGCTCGGCACCACTGCAGGGATGCGGGGCGGCATGGTGGAAGAAGATTGAAAATTGCACGAATCGACGGTGTCGTTCAGATACCTAGAGTGACTTTCTCAAGTCCTTCTCGACCGTCACATTGGTAGCTCCTTGAAAGTGTCGCCTGTTCTAGTCAAGTTTTAGGGCAAAGTTGCGGCAGTGGTCAGTTTCACTGACGAATTTGGCTTCGAGCCCTTCAACGCCTGCCAGCAGCTCCCTCGGGACTTGGCAGCTCTCTGGGCCGATGTCACGTGATCTCACTAACGGGTTTGTACTCTGGAGACCCCGCCAGCCCCCGCCCTCCTGCCGTCCCTTCAGAAGCCTCATTCATGATTGATTGGAAACGGACGTCCCGTACAAAAGCTGATGGCCAATCTCGCCCTGGAGAAGAGGGTCTAAGATCTTGGCGTTACACGCATAGAACTCAAAAAGGTCTTCATCCAAGACGCTGTTGCTTGGTATGTAGGTTCAGGGGTTTCCTAAGGATCTTAAGTACGGAGAAGAAGGGGGTTTAGAGGTGGGGAAAGCTGTCTCCTGGCAAGCAGCCTTTGACCCTCGGTTACTTGTTTTCGGCTTCTAGGCCTTTTCCCTGCCTTACCACATGACGTGGAGTTCCCATTGTCGAATGGCGCTCCTTGGCTCCGCATGACTGCATAAAATGAGCCCCTTAATTCAAACGGATCCTCGAGCTCTGAGCTGGCACAGTGACAAGTGAGAAAACCTATAGCACCGAAGATTCGAAGTTATACAACAACAATGACATCCACTACCACTTCGGACGGTGCTGCGGACCTTCTGGTCCGGGCGACAATCCCGGCGTATAAATGTCCTCCGGGGACGAAGATGCACATTCTCGACTTGGGCAGTCTAGAGATCGATGAGGGATGGTAGGGATTGAAAGCTGCTCTCTTCAGTAATCGTAACTCAACTCTTGTGCAGGCTTCTTCGAGGAGCCAATACTAGCTCCGCGGCCAACAGGAATCCAGAAAACAAATACCGGGAGTTGATTGTGATCTCGGCACTGATCGACTATCCTGGTGTTGGTCTGATCCTCTACGAAACAGGCTGTGCTGAGAATCTCGAAGTGGTAAGGCACCTCCCTGCGATACAAGGAAGCTGTTTCGAATCGTTCTCGCGTAGGCATGGGGAGCGCCTCTAACTGATATTTTCCCACGAACTGAGTACACCGAAGAACAAAAACTACCGGCAGCTATCAAAGCTGCGGGGTATGATATCAAGGACGTCAAGGCGGTGATAATCGGCCATCTTCACCTCGACCATGCTGGGGGTCTCGAACACTTCATGGACACAGATGTACCAATCTATGTCCACGAAGAAGAATTCAAACACGCATGCTGGGCTGTTGCTACAGGAGCCGATTTGGGTGTTTATTTACACCACTATATGGACCTCCAGAAGTTGAAGTGGGTAACCTTCACGGAAGATCATCTCGACTTATATCAAGGAATCACCCTGCACCATTCGCCCGGGCACACCCCTGGACTCTGCATCATGCAAATCAACTTGCCACAAGACGGGACCTTTATCTGGACGACAGATCAATTTCACATTGCAGAGAATTATGAATTGAGCCACCCCCACGGGTGGTTGGCGCGAGACCACAATGCTTGGATCCGCAGCTCCAAGATGATCCAAAGGCTGCAGAAGGCATTCAACGCCCAGTTGATCTTTGGGCATGATAAGACAGTAGCAACCAAGTTCAAACAGGCCAAGCCGTTCTACGAATGAGCTTATTGCTGCCTTACACTCGGATGTTAGCCCTCTAGTTGGTGGTGAATGCGTTTCTGATGGCATTGATGTGTTCCCCAAGCAAGCTTAAGAGCTGAGTAAACTCGCACTCGTAAGGTACGAATTAGAGCAAATCCTGTCCGAGAATAACTCCGCCAATTGCTGTGCTGGGTTTGGCTCGAAGAGGCCGACACGGCCCGGGTTCTTTCGCTGGCCAGACGCTTGGAGTACTTGCTGCGCATACTGGACGATCACTTACCCAGTACTTTCGGAGCTTCCGATGGTTATATACGTCAAGGTTCCAAAACAATGAAACGATCGGGGTTCGACAGAGATCTTCCCATTGCTGTTCATAATCGGCTGCTTTATGATTTTGCCAATTCTCAAAGACAACCCCACCGAACAGTGACACCGACTGACTGCCTTTCCCCGCCAAAGGCTAAGTCTACAAGCAGCCTGTTGCCTATGATGAACTCCACTCTACGTCCACTTGCTGGGCTCTTTCAACCCACCAAGCTTAAGGCTCTCTACTATGGTCCGCACACAGTGAAGAACTCATTGCTGTCATGCCTACCATCCCAGTCTTCCAAGGCCCTCATCGTCACGGTTCCCACACTAGCCACCAAGACAAATCTCATCAAACAGATTGAGCAGCTCTTGGGGCCAAACCACCATTTGAGTACGTTTCACGACATCAAGGAACATGCGCCCATCGCACAAATTGACGAGGCAAGCGATCTGGTGCAGCAAGATGGCAACCTCGATACCGTTATCAGCGTGGGTGGTGGAAGCCCGATCGACTCGGCCAAAGCCATCAGTTACCGTATGCATAACAAGAATGGGCGCTTCCTGACGCATATTGCCATTCCTACCACTTTGTCTGCTCCCGAAACGACTGCATTCGCCGGCTTCACCATGGAAGACGGAACCAAGACCACCGTCTACCACCCAAACCTCCAGGCCAGCTATGTGCTCTACGACCCATCATTTGCCAGGCACACTCCACCAACTCTGTTTACCAGCACCGGTATCCGTGCTCTGGACCATGCCGTCGAGATGCAATACCATCCCACCGCAACTGTCGTACCTTGTCGCCAGATGGCCCTCAGCGCCATCCACGATTTCTTCAAATACTTGCCCCAATATCACCGAGATCCGACGGGCGTAGACGACGAGGTGATCACACGTCTGTTCCTGGCTAGCTTTTCGAGCATGGGCTTCCTTGGGCTCAATATGAAGGGCGGGTTAGGACTAAGCCACGCTCTCGGCTATGCTCTGGGGAGCCCCTACCGAATCCCACATGGCATTACCAGCTGTCTCACGCTTGGCCATGTTGTTAAGCTCAAAGCCCGACGTAATCTTGAACACGCAGCAAGTGTGGCAGCCATTCTTCCGGCAATGGGTATTCAACGCTCCGGTGACGACATTGAAGATGCTGAGAAGGTAGGGGACCTTATCCTTCGCCTGGTCGCAGACTTAGGCCTCAGTACGACGCTCACAGAAAAGAATGTGTCGCGCGACCAAATCGACATCATCACTGCTCGTGCGACTGTTCTAAAGCGTAAAAGTCTTGACTCGGACGGGCAGAAAATGTGGGAAGACGTTAGTACACTAGTGCAAAAGTTGTATTGATGATGAGAAGGATCCACAAAGATATCGCGATGGTACTATCCTTTAATCGCTCTCCTATAGTGTGTGTATCGTCATCATCGATTCCGCAATGCCTGCCCAAAAATTTATTATCTATCTGTTGAATGATTAGCGTCTACGAGCACTCTTTCTGTAGTCGAAATACTGGTGATAGAGCTGGATCTGTTAAAGAATAAGATACTATCCTCCACCACAAGGGTGTCTGCAAATATTTGGTCAGGGGATGGTCCAATTCATTGACTTGAGACATGTATTCTTTGAGACCTTGCGTTGGACTATGCTTCTCTGAACTATTGCCGAACTTGCTGATCTTGCATAGACTCCAAGCCAACAGTGTAACAGGACGGATGCCAACGAGTAGAATGAGGAGGTCAGACGACAGTCTCAATGACTGCAAGGGCTGCAAGCGCCTCAAGTTGTCTATCTGAATTGCTATCTGAGAGAGAAGAAGAGAGAGGGAGAGAGAGCGTTACAGACGCCTTGGAAGTAGGGAGGCACCTTCCCACTAGCCATATCAGGCTTAGTGGCGTCATGTGACAAACAGGAACAACATCGTGAATGTCGTCCATGATGACAGGTAACAGTGAGGGTGACCTCACTGCTAAATCCGGGAGACAGGTCGTCGCTGGAGACGGCCCGGCCGAGCCGTTCGAAATGACTAAGGCACTTGACGGCTAGCTTGCTACCGAGTTCCAGCAAAGGGACTGGGAGTTTCCTGTTCCGGATATTCAGGTATAACCGTGCGATGGGCCAGGATTGGTGTAGCACATTGGGTGGAGTGCTTCAACGACCATAGCCGAGCTCCTCCGGACTTCTGCCCGTACTAACGTTATGCTCTTCCGGCTTCTACACTCACATTGCATATTGTATGCTGTTAATAATCCATAAGCAAGTCTCAACGACGAAAGAATTGTACCTCATTGCAAACACCGTGCACGTTCCGCCAGGGTAACAAAACATTTCCAACAATTCCTAGGAACTACTCGCGTAACCATCATGGCTTACGTCAATGCTCAAGGCGATGCGCCCCTCGCACCTGTCTCGGAGCTGTTCAGCCTTCAAGGGAAGACCGCCGTTTGCACAGGCGCTACTGGTGGACTGGGGCTTTCAATGTCAATCGCATTGGCAGAAGCCGGTGCAGACATTGTCAGTATCCAAATCGCGAATGACCCCCGCGCGGACATGCTGAAGGAGGCGGTCGCGGCATGCGGACAGAAACTTCAGGTGTTCGAAACAAACGTGGCTGATTCCGTTGCCTTGAGAAGGTGTTTCGCGGAGATCTGGGCTGCTGGCGTCGTGCCCGATATTTTGCTCAACTGTGCAGGGATCAATCGACGTGCCAAAGTGGAGGACTTCACGGACGAGGACATCGATGCTGTAAGTTGAGAATGTGAAATCACTGTTTATCAGCACATCAAAGTATTCAGGAACCACGTTCATGGCTGCTGACTTGCACCCCCACCCTCTCCTAGATCTATGCCATCAATCAAAAGGCTAGCTTCGTGGCGGCCCAGGAGGTAGGGAAGAAGTTGCTGGAATTGAAGCGACCGGGAAAGGTGAGAGATGGTTCAGCACTTCACTAATCTTCAAATATCTCCTGACAAGGTCGTAGATCATCAATATAGCATCCATCATCTCGTTTATCGGCAACTATAACATTGCAGCATACGCCGCCACCAAAGGTGCAGTACTGCAAATGACCAAAGCCATGTCCAATGAATGGGCTAAGCATGGCATCAATGTCAACTGTATTTGCCCTGGATACATCATGACGGCCATGACAAAGAACTATACAGAGGACAAAGAATACTACAACTACATCATCGGAAGAACACCTGCAGGACGATGGGGGCTACCCGGTGAGTCGCTACCGTATTCAGGAAAACGATCAACAGAACTGACTTGCCCTGCAGAGGATTTCAGAGGAGCGATCATTTTCCTCGCCTCCAAAGCCTCTGATTTTGTTTGTGGCACCAGCTTGGTTGTGGACGGTGGTATGATTGCGAAGTAATCGAAGCTTTACAAGATAACTGCTGGTGTGTTTTCGCGCTTCTACAGGCTATTTATTGATGTAAATCAAAGACTGTGGTGCAGTATACCCGTAGTTTTGCTTCACTCCAAGTCTTCTGCATTTAATTGACTCTTGTATGTTCACTCGCCTTCTTTGATGCGCAAGCTTACTCTCCAGTTTAATCGCCGGAGAATCGAGTAAGACGGCGTCATCAATTGACTTTAGAGGCAAACCCCCCTTTGAGGGTTTACGTCGCAATTGACATTTCCCCGCCTTTTCGTACGGGCCATCGGGTTCATGAAGGCTTCCTAGACCAAGTCTATAATAAGAGTTTGTGACGTTCTCTGGTCGTGTTTCCTCGAAACAACTCTTCGAATGCGCAGGATTGCATTGTTGCTCAGATCAAGATGGCTCCTAAATTTGAACAGGTGTTTACAATGAGAGGATATATGAATAAAGAGAATACGGTTAACCTCAATGCCATCAAGAACGGGGCAACTCGAATCATCGTCCCTATCACTCACGGATTCATCAAGGGTGCCGGCCTCGAAGCCGAAATCCTACCCGGCGGTGGTGACTGGATTTTGGTACGTGAGCACGTTTTGAACAGGGTCACGGTGTCATGGGTTTCTAAATTTGTCACAGTTGGATGCTTCCACGGGTGTCTCCCATCTAGATGTTCGCACTCAGGCCCGAACTTCCGATGGTCATTCACTCTACGTACACTACCACGGCGTCCTGAAAGTTGACGAGGCTGGGCAGCAGGTGCTTGGGTGGAGCCCGGACGCCAAAACAACCAAGTCTGGGGATCATGAATGGTTCTCTGCTCCGATCATGGAGACGAGCGACCCGAAGTTCAAATGGGTTGAGACAAGCCTGTGGGTTGGTCAGGGACACTGGGTGGTTGACGAGACTGGCTACGCGGTAGAATACGAGATCTACAAGGTGGTCAACTAAGTTTATTGTCGGCTACGTGTATGTATGACCGAGGTCAAACTGTCAAATCTCAAATGCTGTCCTGTCCGCCTTTCTCTCTGGACCAAACCTACATGTAGGCTACTTGGTAACTTCGTGCAACCTCGGGGACTTGGGGATATACTCACTCACTAGAGCCTTTTCCACAACCCCGCGAGGCGAGAAGCCCCCGGATAACTTATGCGGGGGTCCAATAGTGGGCCACTTGGAAGAGTAGTGGTAGTAGCTCCCCTTTCCCCAGAGTCAGGCCGCTCATGTACCCAAAGCATTCATAATAAGCTGCCTCCCCCATCGCTTTTCCTTCAGCGTGTACCATACGCAATCAACTCTTTGTTCTTCTCTTCAATGTCATTGGTCCTGATTGACGATTGAAGCTCTTCTCGTAACGTCCCCAGCACGCTGCAAACATGACGAGAAGTGAATCCGTGCAGACGGCGCAGACGGCGCATGTTCAGAAGATTACATTTTTCAATCTTGCTGTATGTATGGAAGTACCCCGTGACAGAAGTCTCAACTGACACAGCTTCTAGATCGTCTTAGCATTGTGTCTCGGTAGCTTGACTTATGGCTACACGTTCAGTATTGTGTCCACCACTCTCGGTCAGCCTTCTTGGTTCAAGTACTTCAACTTGACCCAAGATCCCACCGATACGGAGCGCTACGCTTACACGAATCGCATCATCGGTGGAATGAACGCTTGTTTCTCTGGCGGTGGTTTCTTGGGTGCCCTCTTCGTCGGATGGTCCTCTGATTACCTTGGTCGAAAGAAAACACTCCTAGTGGGAACGCCCATTGCGATCCTTGGAGGAGCGCTTCAGGGAGGTGCGGTCAACATCGCCATGTTTTTGGTTGGCCGTCTGCTGGGAGGCTTTTCAGTTGGTATGTTTGCCGGCTCTGTCAAGTTGCAAACAGGTCTCGCCCAAGCTAATTTCAAGTAGGAATTTTGGTGGTTCTCGTTCCGTTGTTCCAATCTGAGATCGCACCACCAGCGACTCGAGGTTTCTTGGTTTCTCAGCACGGTCAGTACATCAATATGTCCATCGGCATAGCACTATATTGTCAGACTCTAATATACTCACAGGTGTCGTCCTTGTCTTGGGATACTCACTCGCCGCATGGGTCGGCGTGGCCTGCTACTTTTCAGATAATGAAGCTTTCCAGTGGCGATTCCCTCTGATCGTTCAAGTGATCTGGCCTCTGATCATGTTGATCCTGACTCCTTTCTTGCCAGAGTCTCCGCGTTGGCGTGCGTATACAACACCAACGCAAGCTCCGCATGAAGCTAATTTGTGCCAGTCTTGTTCAAAGATCGTCCTGCTGACGCCTGGAACGTCGTCGCCAAGCTCCACGGAACCGGCCAGGAGACAGATCCTGCAGTTGCATCCTTTGCCCGAGAAGAGTTCTATCAAATGTCGCACCAGGTGCAAGCCGACAAACGCATGGCTGCTGGGGAGACGCTCATGACCCTGTTCAAGAAGCCATCATACCGCAGACGCATGATTTGCGCCTTCTTGACCATGTTTGGTGCCGAATCCACCGGTATTCTCGTCATCTACAGTATGTCTCTTCCATGCGCAACCACGGGCCCCCTCGTCATACTTACTTCTCTGCGCAGATTACTCCGTACTGCTCTACCAGGGTCTCGGATTCACAGGCAGCATTCCACTCATCCTGGCAGCCGCCTATGTCAGTGTTGCATGCTGCGGCAACTACATTAACTCTATGATTATCGACCGTATCGGCCGGAAGAGTTGTCTCGGTAAGTCCAGAAACAACGGATCGACCCATGTTTCTACCGTTCTAATCTTGACCGACAGTCATTGGATTCTCCGGCTGTCTTATCTGTCTCTGCTTCGAAGCAGCGTTAAGCGCCCAATACATCGGAAGCTCAGACTCCGCCGGTCTTAGCGCTGGCGTGTTCTTCTTGTTCCTGTACATCACGTTGTAAGTTGGATTCCAAGGCCCTCAGTGAAATCTTCAAACTTTCCGGCTGACTCGAATCTCCCCAGCTACGGCTGCTTCGTCGACGCAACAACATTCGTATACTGCTCAGAGATCTTCCCGACCCACATCCGATCTCGCGGTCTCGCATTCTCCTTGGCTATCCTCTTCCTGTCAACCATCGCTTACCTCGAGGCCGCTCCGACCGCTTTTGCCGAAGTCGGCTGGAAGTATTATCTACTGTTCATCATCCTTACAGCAATCAACCTTCCGCTCGTCATGTACTTTTTCCCCGAAACAAAGGGCCTCTCGCTCGAGGAAATCGGCGAAAGGTTCGGAGACGAAGTCGTTGTGCATCTGACGGATCTCTCTGAGGAAGAACGCGCCAAGCTTGACGAGAGGATCATTGCTGAGAAGCAGGGGCTTGCTGCTGATCACGTAGAGATGACTGCGCCTGGCAAAGCGGTTTGAAAGTCCAGGACCCATCTGACATAGTCACTGGCACACGCTCGCGCTAAGCCAAGCTAATGGCACCGGACAAGGGCGAGGAGATTGCCCCGACTCTCTCGAAGCTGTCTTCACATGTATCTTGTAGCAAAGTAGCCACACATCGAAGTGTGGGTTGATAGAATGAACTCTGCATCCTACAGTTTACCGTATTCTTGTAAGATAATGCAGTCATCGAGGGTGGCGGGAAACTGGATCTCCGGGCTGAGGCGGTAGTCGACGCTTAGCAGGAGGCAGTTCGATGCCAGCGCGAGATGAGCGCTGAGCTTGCGGTGGCCGCTCGGAGAGCCGAAGCTAGGGGTTGTTAGTCAACCGACGGGTCGATCGAGAACGACTCTGTACCTGAACCCACCGCCATGCATAAAGAGTATGACGTTTTTGGCTGACGATGTCGCCTGTGGTCTGAACCATTTGCAGGGTATATCGAGCCCGTCGGCTGGGACTAGAACATCTTCAATCGTGACACCTGGAGCCTGCGTAGCGACTACGTGGACCTATTCATACAAAGCACGTTCGAGGAAGCAGTTTCCATCTTGGGGGAAGTTAGCAGCGAGTCTCTTGAAGTGCTCCGCGAACCTGCCGGATGATTCGTTTGGGGCCATTCTGCGGGTTGATGCCTTGGGTCCGGCGAGTGCTTAGGCGTAATGTTGCGAATGGGGAACATTCCCTAGGAGATCTATGTTACCAGCCGCTGGCCTCGACGCTGTGGTTGTGGAAGCACAAGGTGGTCATTTCAAAGGACTATAGAAATGTCCTAAAGTTTTATATCCAGGTAGTTATCGCCAAGCCTTTGGTAGTAGGGGGTTCGTCACCAATGCGGTGCCTTACTCGTCAAGTAAACTGTCAAGCACCAACACCGATGTTGGACCCTTGAGAATTTTCTGCAACGATAGGAAGCCAACGAAACTAGATAACATTCCGCTGTACATGAAGCCGCTCCGTCGCCACAGGCTCAGTGGCTCTTCCAATCACATAACCTCTACCGGGGATCAGAGGATTATTTCATTTGCGTAAATGTAATGGAAGATCCGGCACATTGTTCACGATTCCAGGGCGAGGCAGCTTCCATTTATTGTCAGGACTTCGATAGCAGATAATGACGCCGACTTTTTCCCAGGGTCAGAAATTGATACTCGCGAGGACTTCAGAGCTACCCTATCTACATCAGCCCTTCCACGCGCTCCTGGATACCGCTCACATACACTAATTGTCGCTCTTGCTGTACTTGAGCACAAAGTCCATCAGCTCCTGATCGACCACTTCTGGATGGCTGGCACTAAGGTAATGCTGACCTCCCTCCACGACCTTAAGCTGCGCATCCGGCGAGTTTACAAACATCTTGATTTCGTCTTGCGCATTCGGCACGCAGTATGCAGGATCTTTTGTACCGTGCAGCCACAACACTGGACACCGCACCTCATACAGCCTGTTGTGAAGTCCATCTCGATCTCTCAAATTGATCGTGACTTCCTTCAAGCGCTTTCGCCCGGCATCGCCACTGTAGTTCCTCTTCATCTCTTCGTTCCAGAAGTTGGCGGTCTTCTCGTCAATGTCCTTTCCAAACCCTACGTAAATCGGGAAATTGCGGAATTCCTGAGAGATCACGAAGTCTGGCGTCGGTACGTTGGATTGGAGCTCCTTGATCGGCCCAGCCAGCGTGCTGAGGCAGTCGAAGTTGCCCAGCTGACGCGACCGTTCACTTTCGTAATCCATGCTTGTCCCGAGTGGAAGAATACCAGCAATGCGCTGTGGCTGTAGAAGGGCCATCCGAACCACTATCCACCCGCCTTGACTGGTGCCCAGCGCGAATACTTTGCCCTTGATATCTAATGCGTCAAGGACTTGAAAGATCATGATTGCCGTGTCCCAGTAGGTAAAGGTCTCAGTGCTCGTTCGCGTCTCACCATGGCCCAGAGGTTCCACGGCAATGATGTTCATGGTATTGAGGAGGGCCTCGTTCTTGTATTGGGCCTCGTACAGAGCGGATGTCATGGTGAAGCTGTTGACGAGCACACATGTTGGCTTGGTCGGGTCATACGCCCTGGGCATCTGGTACGCAGCATCCGTTCCAAAGAGGTGTGGAACTCGGACCGTCTTGGTGTTCGGCATGCTGAGATGATTGCTTAACGACGTGTGGGTGTAGTCGAAGTCTTTGCCGGTTCGTGTCCCCAGGATATGCAGAGCACGCCAGCTATATCTGATCTCGGATTGGGTGGACCTACCCCGCATACTACTCTCGGAGCGACATTCTGGGCAAACAGCTACAAACGTTGGCAACTTACCTAGGCACCTTGTAATTTGGTGGTCTAAAGCCGAGAATCAACTGTGAAGCAAGTGGTCATCGGCTCTTCAGCCTACTAAACCGGAAGAGACCGACTCCTTCTCTCCGTCAAACGTAACTGATTCCACATCATGCCCAGCCACACCTGTAGAGTCCAGTTTGATTTTACATATCCTGGCTCCCCTTGACGACATGAGCCGTACATTTGCTCCTGATGCTATGCATCCATCGCTGTCGGCAGATATCACTTCGCTGTCAACGTGGTATGGCAGAGCATGTGACTTTCTGATGCTCTTTGCCGCGGTTGCTGTGGAAACAAAGACAGATGTGCTTTAGCGTCACCACCATATCGGCTATATGTACCCGTGCACTACCCGTGGTTGGGAGAGACCGAGGTTTACACGGGGATTGGATCAAGAAGACTGCCGCTGTACGGAGTACGTAAAGCCCAATTCGGGGCCAATCACTGAGCCCACACTTCGGTTATGCCCCCGCATGAAGTCCCCGGGTCGTACCACAATTACTTACAGCTTCAGGGACCATTGCCGGTGCTGTGGACCCGCAACCAAGGACAGCTTCTAGCTACGGCTTTGTCGGCATCCGTTATCCGCTTGCTAAGTCAAGTCTCGGTGCGAATAATGAATTGACCAAGTTTCCTTTGATATTGATTGTGCTCTGCGTCGCGCTCGGCAGTTTGACAAGGGTTACCGCGCCGGCATTCACCGCAGCCACTTTTGGCCAGCCGTGATCTCATATCGTATTTCGAGTTGGGAATCCGTACGAATGATGCTGATCTGATTGGTGCCGTCAACGTCCTCTTCCAAGGTGGAGGCTTGGTCGGAGCACTCTCTTGCATCAAATCAATAGCTATGCTGGGCTGGCGTAGAGGTTTGCTTGGAGCTGCTGTCCTGTCAGTCGTCGGCGGTGCTCTACACGTGGGCAGTATCAACATCGGCATGGCCCTAGCAGCGAGATTTGCTACCGGAATGGGCATAGGTACGCTGCACCCGAGCTGCAAATCTTGCATCGTGGCTAATATAGAAATCGGGTGCACTAGTCGCCCTTGACCCTTCATGCCGGGGGAGATTGCTCCGCCCAAGATCCGCGGACTCCTATTGGGTATACATGTCGGATTAAAGCTGCTTTGGTCATGCAAGCTCCAGCCGGATGGACCTTGCCTTTTATTGCGTGAAAGCTGCTGGTGCCCAGTGGCGGATTGCGAAAGCAATGTCTGGTCCCTCTTTGCTTGACCATGGGTGTTTCTTTGTCTATCAGAAGTCCCGACGTGGCGTAAGTGTAAAAGGTTCTTTGCAGAAGCTGTTTTAAGCTCCCAAAGGACATTGCTCGACCAGGACCGCGTGGAAGAAGCCCCAGTAGAGAACTAGCCAGTCGCTCCATGTGCAACTGGTTAGAGACCGAAACAGACAGTCCTCTGGTGCGGGTGGACAGAGGTGAGCGGACACGGATGCTCAGTGAGTCCAGATGGTGTCTGTGAACTACTTTAGTGACCCAAGTAGTGATTGATTTTGCTGGGATAGACCTTGCTCTAGTTTGGCGAGCGTATCATGGTGTCCATGTTTCAGAAAACGGGTAGCGGAAGCATTGCAGGTGGCGCGATCTTCCTTCTCTTCTTACATATTGTTTCCTCAGTATTGATGCTACGACCTATATCTATGCGTTGGAGATGTTCCCAACTCCAGTCCACGTCAGGGGATTGTCTGGTTCGATCTCTGGTCTGTTAAGCATCACATGGAGCAAGTGGCTATTACTTGAGTTACATTGTAGTCTCGAGTGGGGAAGGAACACGCCCCGGAAAAGAGGCCACGGTGGATGTCCCGATACTCCGGACATCTGAGATGCGTGCCTGAGCGACTGTCATAGATTTGTTCCCCACGCGAGCCGAGAAAGTACTGTCCCCGGATTGTGAAAATGGTAGCCAGTGATAGGCCAGCTGTGGGTAATGCATTGTTGCGTACTCCGTATATGTTCGCAAACGTTAGGGCGGGACGCTTACCTCGGTTTCTTCGCCGCGTCAGGGCGGCTATCCTCAGCACTCGATCTTTCCCGTCGTGCCACAAATCCTGATTTAAACTAGGCCACCGTTTGCCTTCCTTCCACGACTTTTCTTGTCCTTTCATGATCTATGCACATCTTGAAACGTAACCGAAGCTCGCCAAGGCTACGCAATCACCCCCGACATGGCCGACTACAGCAATTTGCCCGACTTTGATTCTCTGCCGAAGGTCGAAGGTATGCCCCAGGGTTGTGCCTGGGGTATCTTTGACAAGGACGGCAAGAAAGACCACCTCGGGTGCCTTAATCTCCTCACCCCTGCTGTTGTGAAGGAAGCAGTCAAGGAAGTGCAAGAGGGGATTTCTGTATCTTTAAACTGTAGCTTGGCACTGATTGAGACTCCTGGATTTGCTCGGAAAGGCTTGGTTCACAACGTGCTTTCGTTCATGGACAGTCCGAACCCTGCTCTTAGACTGCATGGATACGACGATGAGGTCGAGTTTAACACGCAGGCTTCATCTCAGTGGGATAGCCTTGCACATTTTACCCACCAAGCAACAGGTTTGGGGTATAATGGCGTCAAGCCTACCGTCGATTCTCTGAGACAGCCCTTTGGCAAGGTGGACTTGGAGAAGGCAATTCCCACTCTGAATCACTGGCATGAGCGGGGTGGCCTTGTTGGCCGAGGTGTCCTGCTTGATTACCGAGCGTATGCTGTCGCTCACGACATCCAGTTCAACTGCTTTGATAACGACAAGATCTACGTCGAGGATCTCGAGAAGGTTGCAGAATGGGAAGGTGTTCAGCTTCGACAAGGCGACATCCTGATTGTCAGAACAGGTTTCACGGAGGAACTGGCATCGGCAAAAACTGGAGAGGAGCAACAGAAATTACTCAGCAGTCACAGAACATGCGGCGTATACGGATCAGTGGCGACCGCAAAATGGTTTTGGAATCACCACTTTGCAGCTGTTGCGGGTGATGCGATTGCCTTTGAGCAAGTCCCTCCTACACTAGAGGATGGGAGCGAGGGTGCCATTAACCAGCTGGGTAGGTCGTTTTCAAGATCAGCCGATGATATGCATGCTCCTACTAACCCGATGATTAGTCTTGCACCAGTACTTCTTGTCTCTGTTCGGTCTCAATATCGGCGAGCTTTGGGACCTGAAAGAGCTCTCGAAGACATGTGCCAAGTTCAAAAGGTACAGCTTCTTGATCACAAGCATTCCACTGAATATTCCTGGAGCCGTTGGCAGTCCCCCCAACGCACTGGCTATCTTTTGAAGCAATGGATGGATAAATGGAGCGTAGCCAGTGAAGAATTTGTGACAGATAAGTGCCGGCAAGAAAGCAACCACACAGGCTAGTTTATGCTCCTCTTTCCCGCGCCCACTGCGAGTTCGAAGTGTGGCAGTTGCTGAGACTGTACTGTGACAATGGTCGAACGTTGGGGACGAGCGAAGGCGATGAAGTTTGCATCTTCGGCGTGTACCCTAAGAAAAGTCTACCTCAGCATTGAGTTGCCTGCAAGAGGGCGTCAGTTCGATGGTGCTAGGTTTGGTAACAAAGCGGGCTGCTTCCCCTCGAGGCACGTCGATGAGCTTAGACAGCTAAAAAGGCCGGCAGCGCTCTACGGGGCTTACGATGCTGCTATTTCTGGTTGCTTCGAGGCCCGCGTGATGTGAACTCGATAAAACTCGCTGACGGTGAGAGATGTGAAAGTCTCGAGTGTCTTGAGTTGTGAATAATGCTTTACAGGTGACTATGCTCCCCTGTACAATTGATTCCATCCAAAATGACGCGTCTCCATCTGTTTTCCCTTTCGTGCATCTGCCAAAGCTGGCCTTTGTGCCTCAGTCGCTCGTTAAATTCACCCCTAGCTGCACATTGAGACTTTGTTCATGACAGCTCCGCGCACTGACAAAGAGCCGATACCAAGAGCAAGGCAGCGTGCGGGCCGGCCTTGAAACCATTGTCGTTGACCATTCGTCACTCTATCTAAGATCCGTTGATTGGACCGTTCCGGTCCCCGGTGCACAGTCCGTCGTCGCATGATACATGCCCGAGACAGTCAACTTCAGAATGGATTCGAAAACAAGTTGCTCATATGGTGAGTCTTGCGTTCTGCAGGGGGAAGGTTTCGGGCGACAAGCAGACGAGCAACAATTGAACAAATGCGTCGATCGTGGCGAGATTGAGGTGCCTGATCACGTTCACCATCTCAACCATCGTTCAAATTCTTCAACTCAGCAGTAGCTGAGGAGTCTCTTGTTGAGTCATGAGGATCTACCAGGCTTTCTCAAATAATCCTTCCTTGTCAATGCTATGTTCGACAAATCGTTTTTGTGTCCTTCCTAACTCTTTCCTGCGATCGTGGGCGTCCTGATGCGCGCGGTTGGTCCCACCGAGGAGCAAATCCAAGACGAACGGCAAGATTGCAATCCACGATGTGGTCCTGCACAGTCTGTTCATCGGGGTAGCCTGGACTCTCTGGCCATACTTCAACGAACCCAGGCGGAGTGACGCGTCCTTCAAACACGAAAATGATGTTTCCTGGAGAATGTTGACTCCGGACACGGGGGACAACGAATGTCTTTAAATCTTTGCTAGAGTGTCGGAAAGCTTGGTGGTACAGCAACAGGGATCAACAGCCTGTTGTGAAGCTAGCGCTTGCTGAATGGAGCGATCCACGATTCTAGTATCGATGGGAGAATGGCCGGGAAGCGTACAAACGCACCTGCTCGATCAGCCTCCCTCTTCGCAGCATCTGGCTCTACCCACCATGCTAGTACCCACACCGTCTCCGGTGAGAGCTTTCCTCATCCACCGGCACACTTGATCAAGCGTTGGAGGCCATTGATGTGGGTTTGAATGTTACGAGTTAACGATTTCGAGAGCAATTGATCCTGCGTGGACATTCACCTCTCTTACTATTGGCAATTTACATCGACAAATTGACCTTATACCACCACAGAACAACCACAGCCAACATACTATTCTCACACCCACTCTCTGTCTTTTGGAGTTAGTCTTTCAATCAATGGACGTTTCTAGGACAAGGCCAAGAGTTTCAGGAATTGGAATTCGACGTTCAGCTTCGATGTCCTAGTTGAGACTGGAAACTGTAAGTACGACTCTTCTCGACGATATTTGCTTCGATATGTAATGTATCAAGTTTGATGTCAGAGTGACGAGGACGCGACCAATCGGAAAACAACTGACGTTGAGCTTATCGCGTCGGGAGAAGAAGGAAAAGCTTCTGTCGCGGAGGGGGAGGGGAAAAGTCCACCAATAAGCTGGCGGGGCAGTGCCTGTACAATCAATTACCTAGTACTCCGTACTTTTAGTGTCGGTGAAATCGGTGCCTAAAGAGTACTTTAGGATGATCTGTTGGCCTCTCCACTCAGTCCTACTTACTAACCCCACCCCATCTATATCCTCTTCATCTCATCTATCATGCTTGTCTTCCGTACTCCAGATCGGGAGCCGTCCCCCGGCCAGTGCTTGATCTTCATCTTCTACAGCGCGGTCCTTTGAACCAGCCCAGGCTCTACGAGCTGCTTGGGAAGAGCAAGATTGCGTAAGGTGGTGAACGCATACCCTCCACCGAGGGACGAAGTACCCGCTGGCGTCTCCCATGTGCATCCACCACTTGACTCAGATTGACGTGAATCTGATGATCGACCGCGCTCGCTTGTTTCGATCAAGCGAATCTGCAGGCACCAGACGGATCACCTGGATCATCCTTGACTTCAAGGCGACTGCTGCTCTTTCGTCAGCACCTTGGTGACTCGGATGCAATATCCAGCTCCCACGGCGGTGAGAACATGCCACCACCCATGCAACTCGAGGAGAAACCCCAACGGAATGCCCAACGCCTTCCTGGCATCGCGCAAGGCGCCGCAATAAGCCGAGTCCAATACCCACACCACGAAGCCCATGAGGAAGCACAGACCACCCACCCGGAACTCGCCGGTCCAGTATCGCTTGACCTCCCCCTTGAATCGAGTGCGAACAAGATACAGCACCCGCGGCCAGATGGCAGTGACCAAGGCAATAAACGTCGTGTTGTGAAGCCACAGCTGATGCAGCGCGTAGTGGTAGCCGCTAATGATCCCGAGCGCGATCGTCAAAACCGATCCAAAGGCCAGTTTGGCGGATCGTGACCATCCCAGCGTGTACAGTTCGTGCACCAGGGCTGCACAGACCCAGAACATGGACAGGTCGTCGCAGACTTGGGTCTCGTATTTCAGCGTGAGGTGAAAGAGTAGAGACGTGACACCGACGAAGAAGAGAGCGAGGTTGCTGGGCTGGGTGAGCAGGTTCTCTCCCGGCAGCAGCGTACGGAACGCCCAGTAGACTGGAGTTGCAAAAGTTAGCTCGAGCTTAAGCTGGAGGTGCCGCTTGTTTGAAAGGGGCCCGCACCATATGCTAGGTTGGTGAAGCTGTTGACAAACTCGCCAACATAGAGCGTGACCGAGTAGTCTTCCTCGCAAAAGCTGGTGGCGTCTGGTTAGCAGATGTCGGCTTGGCTGGGAACTGTGCACGGGACTCACTTGGCGACAGACGTGGGAGGGCCCCAGTATCCCAAATGCGCCTTTGGATCGCCAGCAAAATTGCGTTCCAGGCCCATGATGGGAAATCTGGCAACGGTGTCGGAGGTGATGGTCCGGATCGACGCGTTCTATTGCAAGGCAAACCACGCGGCGGCGAGGTCGGTCTAGAAAGCAAGCTCGAGGAAAATCTATTTCGCAACCTTTTCATGGACAGCAACAAGCTAGGCAGAACAGTTCCTCTATATTAACGCCAGGTCACAGAAGAATAGAAGGCTCCGTCTGAAGCTTCACGGCCGGGCTATTATTAGCCGAGAGATACCGGTTTCCGCGTACGCCCGTGGCCCCGTATTTCGTATATCGGGTAGCAAGCAGCCGTATTGGTGCTGGCCCCCACCGTTACAGCTTCGCATTCTGGAGGTGCCCCTCTATCCACCTCCTGATGAAGTTGGCCTTATGTACAGGGAAACCCGTATGCCGAAGGTGCACTCGCCTATATGTGACATGTCGACTCAGTCCTCCTCACTTGAGCATGACCCGCAAGCCCTTTGAGTCAACCGCCGGAAACGGAGAGAAATAGTCATGCTCAATCTCAATATTCTTCCTTGTCGTCTCAAACAGCTCCGCGTCAAAGTGGTGGAAGAACGCTGCAATGGTGAGATAGAGATTCATGAGGGCCAGCTCTTTGCCTATGCAACTCCTCCCTCCTCGGCCAAAAGGCACGAAATACTTTTCCAGCCGCTTCAACTCTTCACCTTCGACCAGCCAACGTTCGGGATTGTACGTCAACGGCTCCGGGTACACCGGCTCGAAGGTATGGTTGCTCCGGATGTTCATGCTGATGACTGTCCCCGGAGGAAGAAGGTACGTGCCGTAAGTGTACGCTTGTCGGTGATTTACTCTTGCAAGTCGGCCAGAGACGCTGCACGCGATACGAAGACCTTCATTGATCACAGCTGTGAGATACGGCAGGTGCTGCAGCGTGCTGTAGTTGGACAATGGGTCTGACGAGCCTTTGGATGTTTCCACGACTTGAGCTAATTCTTCCTTCAGCCGATCAAGTTTATCGGGGTTGGCTAGGACGTGGAAAGTGATGGTTTCGAGGGTATTCCCGGTTGTCTCGCTGCCAGCTCCGACAAGCGTTCGAGCTTCTTGTGTGATTCGGTCGACGCTCTTGTCGCTTTCCGGGATGGCGTCGGAACTGATAATTCCGTCGAGCACGGATCTGTCGCTACGCTTTTCGGCGTGCACGGCGTCGGCGGCTTGTCGCGCCAAATCCTGTAGATTGTCAGGTCATCGGCGGTTGGCTGTCATATGTGCTTGCTTACTGTCTGAAAGTCGAAAGCCATCACGGCCCCTTCTGTTGAGGTCGCAGCGACTGCCCACCTTGGCATTCGCATGAATATCTATTGTTCTCGGCAGGTCAGAATTGGTTTCGGCACCACGTCCGGTGCAAATATTGATATTGGTTGTTGCTGATAGAAAGCCCAGCTCATTGCTCAGAGCCTGAACAGCAGCAGAACGAACTTACCGGAATAATGATGGGGATGTGACGATGCCAGGCGGCAATATGTGAAATCACACGTGCCTGGCGGTTGTAGTCATCGGCGAAGTCAATCGAATCCAGCAGATTGAAGGCTTTCGGCATGCAACTGCGTGGAATGAGTCTGGTGCTGTTGGCATTGTCAGAAGCGCGGCGACCTACTAGTTGGTAACAGAGTCGGCAGCCAGACAGCGAAAAGCGTTGGACAGATTGACCGGCTTACCCGCCTCACGCATGGAACGTAGCCGCAGGCATAGCTGGGAGACCTTCTCTCGCGACGATGACTCGAGGTTGGAGATGGCAGAGGCCGCAAAGAAGCGACTCATGGCCTTGCGCCTGGCGCGATGAAGGTCGACATTGGCGGTCCCGAACCCAGCGTCCTTGGAGCCAACGAATGCATAGTACCAGGCATCTTTGTCGAGGCGGCTAGTCACGGTATAGAATTCGTCAAAGAAGTCCGGATCGTGGATATGTACCTCATTAGGTCCTATGCGCACAATGGGTCCTATCGAGCTTGCTGGTGAGCATTGCGTTCATGTGTCTGTGAGAAACGCAAGACCTCAATTCTACTCACCGTATTGCTTGTGTAGCTCCTCGATCTTGAAGACGAACTTGCCTCCTAGGACGCAATCGTAGTAGAAGTCATAAAGGCGCGAGATCGCGGCAAGTTTGGGCCCAGGGATTTTCGACAGTGGGTGAAAGAACACGCGGTAGAGGACCAGGCATGCGAGGCCACCAAAGCTTGCCACCGCCAATGAGGCGGCCAGCTTGAGGTAAGAGTCGAATGCCATCGGCGCCTCTCACTTACCTCTGAAGCAGATCAACCAAGGGAGGAGACTGCAGATGCGACAGTTATACGACTTACACAGAGTGCACATGAACGCTCACTTTCACCTGAACTGGAACTGGAACTCAGAACATCTGCAAAGCTGGCGATCGCGTAGGCTCGTAGCGACAGCCACTACGGAGTATGGTCTCCGCATAAAGCCAACTGCATATCTGCGACGGAAGCGACGGGGATGTCTTCGTGCTGGGCCATCGCTTCGTTTACAAACAGGGGTACTCGTAACTTGCGAATCAACGTTGCATTGATTCTGATTTACCATGCTGCTAGAGTTGGCGATTGCGCCGGAATGGAGGTGGCAAAATGGCTGGGAGATACACAATAATTAGGCATGCCCCTGCTCTGACTTTGCGGCCGGGAGCAAATTAGCAGATGCCCCGAAGTGCCTGGGATGCTGCATAGTGGATGCCGAGAAGCGGGGCTCCATGAACTCCCCTGCGCGCCTTTGATATCGCCTTCACTTTCCTCCTCCAGGACCGATTCACAGTTTTTCCCCCTGCTGCGTGCCTGCACGAGTCATGCCTTCCATGCTGCATGGCCGCAATGCGTCCTAATTGTCCACTCAGCATTGCAGGCGAGAGTTTCGCATGCACGAGTGGCCGACCTAAGGACGAACACCATGTGCTTGTGGACCGCTGCTGATCGGGCCTTCCTCAATGCTCTATCCTCCGCTCTCAATCCTTTTTCGTTCTTTTGGACGAGTTCCTGCCGTATCACTGTGTGGCTGCTCACCAATAAGGGTGCTGCCACCGCGTCGACCCCGGGCGATGGCGCCTACCACCCTTGCTGGGGCACGGACAACGTGGGTGTGATGCAATGTCCCGTGGTGGCTTCGGTCCATTGATTATGCTTCCTGTACGGAGTCCATGCCATGCGCGGACTCAGCTGTCACCGTTTCCTGTCAGAATGCAGACCCTGCGCAGGAAGAGCTGTCTATTCGCTCTCCATTCAATTCTCGCGTCGCCTCCCTGGACGAACACCCTCATCACCATGCTCCCCAGTGGAGAAGTGTCGTGCCTGTGGTCAGATAGTGCCCACATCCAACTTGGACTCTCATCACCACAGCCTCATCAGCTGTTTCCTTAAGCTACCCTCCGACCGTGTCTGAGCGCTTCCTTTTCCTCCAGAGTCAGCGGAAGGCACCGTTTCCAGCACCATGAATCTCAAGGACCGCAGGGTATAACGTACTCGCCCCCAAGGCACGGTCGTCATGGCCGACGACCGTGATGTCGATTCAGCATACGCGGAAAGCGTCGGAGACTACTCGGAGTCGACGTCGATAGCCTCCAGCATCTTTGACTATCAATACGAGAACGGTCGCCGTTATCACTCTTACAAAGCCGGCCAATATTTTGCCCCAAACGATGAGCAAGAGCAGGAAAGACTTGACCTGTTGCACCACGTACAGTCTATGGTTCTGGGCGGAGAGTTGTACAAATCACCCATCCAAGAACCTCAACGAGTGCTGGATATTGGCACCGGTACCGGAATATGGTAAGCTCAGCCGGACGCCACAACGACCATGGCTTATGAAGTACAGGGCAATGCAGATAGCCGACATGTTTCCGATGGCGGACGTCGTCGCAACTGACCTCTCTCCCATTCAGCCAACCTGGGTCCCGCCCAACATACAATTCATGATTGATGACTGTGAGGCAGACTGGACTTTTGTGCGCACTTTTGATTATATTCGTCTCGGGCACATGGTACGTCGACGTCTTGCTTTGGGTATCCACCGGAGCAGAGTTGTGATGCTGACAGAGACTCGCTGATATGACTCACCCCCAGGGCGGTAGTATAGCCGACTGGGTGAAGCTTTTCCGACAGTGCATGGACAACCTTAAACCCGGGGGATGGGTAGAGGTGATCGACTTTGAAGGTAGGCGCATTTCGAGCTACAGTGAGATACGCGAGACTAATGGCCCGGGAATTGCAGCCTGGGGCAGCACAGACGACGACAGCCTGCCTGAAGATTCTTCCTGGCACACAGTATGGCAATTCTAGCCTCGCGCACTGAACCATAATTGATGCTCTTTAGTGGCAGACAGAACTCAGCACCGCGGCCGAGAAGTTCGGGCGAATAATGAACATCAGCCCACAAATCAAGGGAATGATCGACGAAGCAGGTTTTCAAGAAGTTCAGCACGTGGTCTACAAGGTGCGTGTCTTGCTTTCTTGAGGAAGAAATGTCAAACCGGCTCATAGGGAGGTCGTAGGTCCCGCTCTCAACCTGGCCCAAGGAAAAGCATCTGAAAGATCTCGGCGGGTATATGAGTCTGATCATGACGGAAGCGATGCAAGCTTACAGCCTCGCCCTATTTACTCGCGTCTTAGGCTGGGATCCCGCCGAGGTGGAGGTTCTTCTGGCTGGGGCGAGAAAGAATCTACAGAACCCAAACTACCACTTGTATACGCGTCTGCATATTGTTTACGGGAGAAAGCCGCCGGAGCGGGAGGGTCTGTAACGGGTGGGTGGATTAACACAAGGTATGCTCGTTGGCACGGAACAGATGTAGACTTTATGAATCATGGTATCTGCCGTAGCGACGAGGCGTCTGGCAAGGGGCATATTACCGTAGCATGGAATTAGCGACTCTCTCTTGCTTTCTCTCGCTCGCTCGCTCTCTTCTTTAAGCCAATGCCTCCTCGCCCAGCGGGTACAAGGTAGTTTTGACAGCACCTCTACCACTTTCCGGAGCACAAGCTTCTGCCGGCTCCAGCGGCCATCTAGGTCATTCTCGGTGCTGTCCACCGAGAATACCCCAAATGGCAGCCTCACTCGCGGCACTTTCCAGTAGTTGTTCGAGTACTGTTTATCAACTCCCCCCCGTGTTCGGTGTTTAACCCTGTGGTTACTGTACTGCAAACCGACCGGGGGTCCCGGCTCCTTGTTGCCAATCCCATCATGGCGGGCGATGTGGTTGTGGTTGTGGTTGTGGTTGTGGTTGTGGCTGTGACCGTAAAAAGAAGAACGAATCCATGAAAAATGCAAAGTAAAGTACCTAGCTAGGTAAGTAAGTAAATAAGTAAGTAAGTAGACCAGGAATAGCAGGATCTATCCAGGATCCCCTGGTACGCTCGGTTGCTCGCCACAGATTCACTCACCGTTGAATCTGCTCATACAATATAGCTTGTTCTGAATCCCCAATGACGATGGGAGGAGGAGGAGGAGGAGGAGAGGAAGGGACCCTTCACGACCAAGTACAACAAGTGCAGACACACGAAAGGGGACGGATGAGAAAGAAAACATATCGTGTTCATCATGCACATCACATGGCATGCATGACATTGTACTGTACTGTCCTAACGCCGTGCTGTCCTGTACTTTATTGGTGTGGCCATCCTACACCCTGATCAACAACCGACACCGCTACCACCGCCGTCGCCGCCGCCGCTGTAGACAACGACACGGAGCCCACGCAGGCACACGCATAAACACCCCAGCCTAACCACGCAGGTTCTCCAACCCAGCTCGACGACGTAGACCGTTTCCACCGGCATCACCAGCAATAACAACGGCCTCAGGCCGAGGCACAACAACGGTGCCTGTCTCTGACACCCCGGCCTCGCTGCCACTGCCACTGCCACTACCACCACCAGCACCACCGCTCCTAGTGCTGCTATAATCAGCAACACTCCAGCCCTCCTCCTCCACCTCTTCCTCCTTCTCCTCCTCCATCACCTCCTCCTCGTCCTCCTCGTCCTCCTCGTCCTCCTTTTCCTCCTCCATCACCTCCCGCCGCTCCTGCCGTTGCTGCTCTGCCTCTTCATCCATAAACGGTGGGAACGGCTCGGTGTCACAGCTTATGCGAGCCTCCTCGACGACCACGTTAGTGGCATGAGGGGCTCGAGCACACACACGCGACTGCCACAGCGGTAGCTCCACCGTCGTGTACGAAGATGGGTTCCCCTCGCTACTGGGACCGCCGCACGCTGTACACCGAGCCTGAATGTAGCCGTACCAACCATCGCGGACAGTCGAGGTGTTAACTTGACTGCGCGCGCGACGGCGGCGGCGGATAACAGCCAAGGAGACTGTGCACACAATAGCGGCGACCAGAGCGAGGGGACCCAGAGTGCCGGCTAGGATGGCGGCGAGGTTCTGATGAGGGGAAGGCGAGGGTGGCGCGGTAGTGGTGGGCGACGGCACACTGATCACAGCGCCGGTTGTGGTGCTGGTCGTTGTTGTCACAGTAGTCACCGAAGTGACTACCAGATCAGAAGCCAGCGCCGGCGTTGTGACTAGCATTGTTGTGACCGTCGCTGTAACGAGGCTCACGGAGAACGAAACCACCGTGACTGTGGCGGACAACACCGACACCGACACCGGAGAGATGATTGTCACCAGTATAGTTGCTGGTGGCAGATCGAATGGCTCAACGGATACTGATGGCGGTGGCGGGGGAGTACCCGTCACAGACAATGGCAGGGCGTTGACGAATGAAGGATCCAGGGACCCAGAGCCAGAGACCGAGACAGCAGAAACCGAGGAGGCGGGAACCGAGAGCAACGGCGCGTCGCGCATAGACCGTGCTGGCACAGTCTCTAGGCCAAAGATGGCCAGGGCGATGACGAAGAAGACAACGAGGACCGCTGGCATCTTCAGTTTGCTGGTTCCGCGATATGCTGTCAGTTACTATTTCGCGTGAGCGTCATAATCCGGTAGGGACGTACGTGTTGGTGTTGCCCTTGTCACGAGCGCCTTGGTCGAGGTGGAGGTCGTTGTCGACACACTGGAGCGGGAGATGAGTGAGCTAGAGGCGAAGTTTTGAGCGCTCCATCAGACTTACCTCGTGTCTCTGGGTCCTGCTGGTGCGCTGAGGAGAACCTCTGTCTTGTTGTTGGCAATCTCAATTGTGGATTGGCCTTTGAGTGGCTGATCGAGCGGATCGGAGATGAAAAAAGGGTTTGATATTGTCGAGGTTGGAAACAGAGACAAGCAAGTAGAACCAAACAGGGTTGAAAAAGATGACCTCTGCATCGTGGGCGCCAAGCTCAATGATGTCGTGGTCGACGACGAGGAGCGACGGCAAAAATGTCTCGAGCTGTGTCGACGGCAGTGAAGGACATCCTGCATGAACCGCGGACGATGGTGTGATGTCGTCGACATATGCCGCGCCGGCTACCTTGGACAGTGGGCAGGTACCATATCATATATATATATATAGCATGATGTCTCTTGAAGTTAGAAGACTGGGGGTGGAAAGGAAGTTTGGGTGCTATGAAGTGGCTAATGGAACAGATATCTATGGAAGTGCGAATGCGCACCTCCGCCAAGGGCGACAGTCACGAGACAGTGAGGATCTAGATTACATACTGGAAAGAGGTCAGTAACGTTGTGCGTGTGTCATGCGAAAGAAGACGTTTGACTCACAGGTATGAATAGGTACGGCACTTGTCTCTCATACTCCTCCCAGGCCTTCCCGTACTTGGCCCGACATTTCTCAATGTCTCGCAGGGTTCGATGAATAATCATTGCCGTGAAGAAGACAGGGTAAAACCAGGGGAATGGTGATCGCAAGCCCGTCACTGCTCCCCAGGACAAAGCAAAGAAAAGGTCACAGGTATAGTGAATCTTCCTTGCATAGCCATCTGCGCAGCCGTCAGTATGGTGACAAAAATAACTCACAGGGAACTCACAAAAGCCATCAGCAAGGATGGTGCCCCCATTCTCTGATGTGATGATCTTGGGGTTCTGAACTGTCTGCCATGGCAGCTGAGGGAAAGCCTTGCGCGTCACGGCACCACCAGATTGCTTCGCCCGGAACCGGTTCTTCTGGCTGTTGGTCGCGTCCCAAACCCAGTACACGAAGAGGTATGCCGCGTACAGTGCAGCAAGGGCGTACTTGTTCCAGGGGTAGGTGCTGGGATGGTGGTTTGCCAGATAAATGGTGCAATGGCAGTACGTCAATGGGACGCCAGCTAGGTTCCAGAAAATCAACATGAAACCCCATTTCTCGTGGTACATATCCCAGGTCGGCACAATGAGTTCCTCGCCTTTGCTACAGGCATTTGCGTACAGCCAGTGGGCCAGGAGCAGGAATGCAACTTCGCCAGAGACGTATCCGTAGTTTTCGTATTGTCGGGCAGCCGTCCCCAGCGTTATCAGGAACAAGATGTACCATGGCAGTCGAACCTCGAAAAACATTTTGAAGTCGAGGATTCCGAACATACGTGGATTGAGCTCGGCTCCCATGAAAAAGTCGTACATGAGAGATCCGGTCATGCGGTGTTGCTTGCCCCGATAGATTGCCGAGACATAGGCAATGATTGAAACCGCAAAGCCTGAAATGATGGCGACAGACATGAGCGGACCGAACTCGTCAATGATGTTGTAGAGCTTGAAGAGGCCAGAGAAATGAAGACCAAGCGCCACGATGATGGTCGTCCACCACGACCACATCGCGCTGCAGTAGTAATCCAGCCTCAGTCCGTTCTCATGGGGCAAGGGCTTGCCTTTCGTCCAGATGCCAGGCATCAAGCAGTAGCAAGCGCCTTCGAAAACAAAGAAGGTCCAATACATCGCCCAGGCTTTCGCTGAGGGCCAGGCGCCGTAGTACGCCATGCGGAACATGCCACGGAAGAAGTCTGGCAAAGTCTCTCCATCGCGTGGCACCGGGAACTGGCCATCGTAGTATGTCGCGCCAATCCACATGTAGTACATCAGGGCTGGAAAGCCGATCATCATGGCCGTGACGCCCCATGAGCCTCCAAACTCGAAGCGCCCAGAGGTATCGATTTTGGGGTCCATGCCTGGTCGCCATCCGTCCACCAGATTCTCGGAAGACGTTTGTCGCTCTGATTTTGGGGCTTCCTTGCTGGCATATCCATTCAACTTTTCGGACTTGACATGCCCGTTGGCATACCCGTTAACATGGTCGTCCGTCTCTTTGTCTTCAGCACCGTCGACGAATTGCGACGACTTCCGGCCACTCTTCCGTGCAGCCCTAACGGCTATCGTGTCGCCGCCAGCGCCATTGGCTTGTTCTCTGATATCCGCATCCTCAGGAGCTGGCGTGGACCTGCGCGATCGTGGCTTCCCGTATGTACCAGGGGTCTCGACATAGTCAGGATGCGCGGTTTTCCTGGTCTCGGTCAGCATGGAGCGCATTAAGGGGCACCGTCACTGCGTACCTGGGTGTTTTGCCCGCCTGCGTACGGGTGACTGGCATGGTGAAAGGAGTGGTAGATTAAAGCTACAAGAACTGAGGAAAGAGCGAGTCAACGCGACATAAGGAAAGAACGCACTCTGCCCGTAGCGGCGGTGCCGTGCATGGGACTGTATGTGGGTGGTACGAGGCAGGAACGAGAATCAATTCATCATGAAGCGCGACTCCCGAAGATTTTCCAATTTCTCGTGCGCACCGCAAACAATTTTCCCCATTCGTCGACCAAACACGTGCTGGACCAGGGTTGCGAGGCGACCATTCTACTGTACAAAGTAGGATTAGGTCTGAAAGATGGATGCTCTCAAATGAGTCGTGCCCTATGGGTTCGCGATGGCATTCATATGCAATACATCGCTAAATGTGGTGGTTCAAAGTCAGATATATGAAGATAATATGGTGATAAACACGCTGCAAAGGATGGCGTCCAGATTTGCCTGAGCCTGCCGTGCTACGTATACATGCAAGATGGTCGTTACATTTCCCCCCACGCTCTTTCTACATTGTCACGCTCATGAAATGCTCTACAAGATCAAGCCAACAACAGCAACGGCCAAACAGGCGGCCACGCTCAAGACGGTTCCCGGTAGCTCCTGCTGGGCCGCGCCACCTGTGAAGGTCGCGGGCGCAACGGGAGTAGTTGATGAACCAGAGGATGAAGCGAGCCATCCGCTGTTGGTCGCCGATGCTGCGGCCACAGATGCCAGAGAGTCGGTCTGTGACTTTCCGCTCCAGCCTGACGGCCCTGCTTCCGAGGTCGCGGCCGGCTTGACGGCAGTAGAGACGATGAAAGATGGGCCAGTGTAGCCGCTGAAGAGGCCAGAGGGTTGATCGACCGCTGCAGCGCCATCAGTGGGCTTGACAGGTACGAGGGTCTGTGTCATGACAGCGGTGGCTGTTGGAGCTGTATAGCTTTCCGTCGAGGCGGTCTTTTCCCAGTCAGCCCAGTCGGAGCTGCTCGACGTGGAGGTGGAGGCGGCCTTGACGGGCTTGTCGGAGGTGGTGGTGCTGGTCTTGGAAGCCTCCCAGTCAGCCCAATTGAAGTTGGAGGTGGTCGTTGCCGGGTCAACCGGTTTGCTTGTTGAAGAAGATTTGGAGGCCTCCCAGTCAGCCCAATCGAAGCTTGATGTGGTGACGGCACTCGTCGTTGCCGCATCAACTGGCTTGCTGCCCGAGGAGGTCCAATCGCCCCAGTAGTAGCTGCTGGTAGTGGAAGCGACAGCAGCCGAAGAGGTGGGGCTGGAGTGCGAGTCGCCGTGGCCATGTGAGGATGCTGTGGTGGCGCTCATGCTGCTAGTGGAAGTGGCTTCTGCAACAGGATGGCTGTAGGTGGTGGTAGTTGTGCTGGAGCTGCTGGAAGTGGTCTCATCGCGTGCATGGTGGGTGGCAGACGTCGTGGTGGTGCTGGGGCTGCTAGAGGTGCTGGATGAGGGCACGCCAACGTGTACGCCGTGCGAGCTAGTGGTTGAGGTAGGGCTGCTCGAGGAGGTCGTACCGCCAATGGCAACATGACTATAGCTGGAAGTGGATGTCGTCCAGGTGCTGGAGCTGGACGCTGCGGGAGAAGCAGACGTTGTGCTGCTGCTGGTGGTTTCTGGGACAAACTGATGAGTGGTGGTGGAAGTCGTTGTCGAGGCTGAGGTGGACGTTGCCGGGGCAGCAACCGTCGTTGGGGGAGTGGTAGTAGTGGTCAAGGACGATGTTGTAGTGGTGGTGATGGTGGTGACAGTGGTTGTCGAGCTAGCAGGTGCCTGGGGTAGCTGCGCGCAAGAGAGCTGACCGAAGATTTCCTTCATGTTGTACGCGTAGCTCTGGCCATTGAGATCCGGATCCGTGTTCTGGTCGGAGTAGGTCGCGTCCCAGAGCATGACGCCTCCGAAGGAAGACGAGTACTGATCGGAGCATGCATATTCCTCGATCAAGGACTTGGCCTTGCTAATGCTTAGGTAGTCTTGCGAATGAGCTGCGCTGGTTGACGCAGGCAGACCGAGGAATATCTTGATGTTCTTGTTCTGCGAATTGTCTGCGAGCCACTGTTGCCAACCAAACGTGATGTCGGTGTTTGTGTTCAGCGACCCAGAGCTGAATAGCGAGGCTGCGGAGCAGGAGTCAGTGTTATAGAATTGGATGAACCTGGCCCTTGTTAACATGATTTACGCGGCCAACGCAACAGACATTCTTACAGATAATCAATGTAGGAGTTTGCAATCGCATCTTCGAGGTGAGCGTCCGGCACAACGCACTGGGGAGCAGCTGAGATGTAGTAAGTGCCGGTGCTCTGAGCGAATTTGGCCCTCAATTCGTTGACCAAATCGGAGTAGAAGCTATCAGGGCCAGATTCGATGTCCAGATCGAAACCGTCCACAATGGTGTCCGTGCCAAATGGCCGGGGATATTGCTTCAAGGTGGGATCCTGGAGAGGGCCAAACGATCCCCAGAGGAAGTCGGCGAATGCAACGGCAGACTCCTTCGAGGCGAGGAAGTTCGTTCCAGGCGCCGCACCTCCGATCGATGCAAGGATCTTCTTGCCGGCATTCTGACAAGTCTTGATATCCTCGGCGATTTGTGAACACTGGGTGAGCATCTGAGTCTGCTTGTTATCTGGGGTCACCCAAAGGTCGCTGCCACAGGCATTTCCATAGTTGTTTCCTGGTCCGTTCGTCTCGTCTGGGAAGATGTTTACGAATGCAATGGGGATGATATCCAATGTCGTGTCCGCGCAGAATTCGGCCAACCGTTTCTGTCCCGGACCTTGTCCCTATACACGATCAGCCCAAAGCGCTCCCCGAGTCAAACACGTATTTCTCACCCAATATACCGCGAGTTGGGGTTCTGCGGGGCCTGCCAAGGAGGTGAATATTTTGGGACTGAAAATCGGTTTCGCGATGATAGTGGAAATGAGAGATGCTGTCGCCAGCAAGCTGGTGATAGCGATGTTCGAATGCATTTTGATGGTGTTTGTGGATAAAATGAGCGAATTCGGAAGACAACAACAAAAGAATGACTGGGCTATAAGAGCACCAAAGGAAGGACTGGACGCAAGCAAAGGCTTGCAAACTCAATGTAAGGACCGTTAGGAAGTAAAAGCGTTGAAAGCAAGAAAGAGAGAAAGAGGCTCAAGAGCAGAAGTCACGGAGCCATATGTGCCATCTTAAGAGCACGTCAAACCTTAACCTCCGAAGAGCCGCCCAGCTAAGGCTTCCCACAACCCACTGGATCCATACCGAAATTGCACTGACGGCTATATCGCGGTATATAGCAAGCGTCTCTTACCCTTGGGGCCGAAACTATAGAAGGAGTTCTTGAATGCTTTCGCTGCATCTTCCTGGCGGATGAAGAGACCTCAAACACAACCGACAGCTTGACGAGGAAGCATCAGGAGGAAGATGATGTACTTCGGTGGCTTGAGGAGGAAGACCAGTTACTCGGGTGGCTTGAGGGGAAGGGGGAGCGAGTTTGAGAGGCGTCGGGCTTCGAGATCCCATGTCGTATGCGGCAACATCGCTCCGGAGAGTGGTGTTCAAAGACTCGAAAGCCGGTTGAGGACAAGCGTGTTTGCGGGACGAGACTCAAATCTCCTGGCCAGACGAGCCACGGTGATGATAGAAGGAGTGGAGAGCCAAAGAGAGAAGCGATACGTCGAGAAGCCAACAAACTAGAGCCAAGCTTTGACGCCAGGGGCAACCGCGGCCCCACTGGAGGCCAGACACGCCGTTCCTGTCCCATTCAGGGGTTCACCAGGACTATCATTTCATCATTATTGGCGTTCCACTCTCCAGATGGGTAAGTAGGAAAACACCCCTAAAAGGTTACACGAGAAGCGCGTGGGTTTGTGGCTTCACTTTCTGGTCACCGGCACGACAACAACCAGCGACAGTTGCGCACTTATGAAGATCGAGACGCTGCTTGCTTCGGGCGGTTGCTCCTCTTGAATGACCACTTGTGTCAGGTTGCTGCGACGTTGCAGGTCCGCAGGTTGTCCTAAGCGATGTGCATCTCCATCTCCGGAGTACTACCGAAAGACGTGGACAGAGCCTCTGGGAACGGCAATCTGGTGCGCCTGCCATGACCAATACTTTATCCCAAAGTTAGCAAGTGAAACGCTTCGGTTTGGGAATAAATACTCCCTATGTCCTCCGTACGAAGGGCCTTGTACACTACTACTCCTTCTACGTACTGTACATGCCGTTTTTTACGACGATCAAAATCGCGTGCTTCTTGGGGCCTAGGGAATCGGAATGTTGCTGCTGGCCGCCCGTCGGCCCTAGACCTCTCATGTCGTCCTCAACACGTACTACAACTACCATATAAGAAAGAAGTTCGTCCTAGACGAAATGTTACTTTTTTCCTGGCGAGGAGAGCATGCGCCGATCGACCATTATTGCGGGATTTCACCAGGGCAACCTAGAGTGAATTCTGTGGTAGAGCACGAGCACAAACATAACCTGTCGAAACTTCCCGTTGACAGCCTGCCTATGATACACTGAGCTTGTGGCGGTCAATAATGCCACTCCCACTCCGCGACACGAACTGTAATCCCCGTTGCCATGGTATACTCGTCGATCAGCGACGATCGGATCTGCAGGATCCCACAACGTGGCCGCTGATACGATCTAACACTCCTACCAATTGTGCTTGTGAAACGACTGCGCTGCCGTAATGGTATTATGACCTGCCGTAGGGCCCTCACGGTGAAGTACCTGTTCTGCACAAAATCTGGCTTGCAAGCAGAAGGATAGCACCGCGAGGAGGCAATTGCTTTTGATGTCTAATACAGCCCCCTAACAAGACAAAAGAAACATGTACAAGCTATGTGCATCTGCGAAGCCCGCCGGCTGTGACACCCGCTGCCCAAGCCGATCGCCTATACCCGTCAAATAAAAGTCCAGCCCTCAAAGTCATGTGGCTTGCAGTGATGCTTCAAGATGTTTCCGAATTTGCGATGTTCTTTTCCGGCATGACGGACTCGTGGGTGACTTCTTCGCTGCTGGTCTCACTGCTGACTTCCTTGATGGGACCGGTGAACTTCTTGCGAGCGCGAAGAACATAGTTGAGCGTCGCGAAGATCATGACGGCTAGGAAAACAGGAGAAGCGTAATTCATGTTCACACCAGTGACGGGAAGGAACGGCGGGAATGGCAAAAAGATGATGAGGAAGACGCAGAAGGCGACCGCCAGGATGTTGACAGGCAGGCCAAATCTACCCATTGTCCAGGGTCCGAAGGTGATGGGGTTGGAAACATTGTAGCGGCGGATGGCGAACATGACCGTGGGAATGGCGTACGAGAAGTAGAAGCCCAAGGTCGTGAGGGAAATCAGCGCGTTGAAAGCCGTGGTAGATCCGATGTTGATCAGAGACAGGAGGGAGACGCAGGCGAAGAGCAGGACCACGGCGTTCGTTGGGCACCTGTTCCGCGATGAAATTTGGGCAAACGTCTTCGAGAATGGGAGCCCGTGGTCTCTTGCAAAAGCCCAGATCAAGCGAGAGACTGAAGCTGTGCATCCGAAGAGGTTCATGGAGAAGACGATGATAACGGCTGTTATCATGGCAGTTGCCGCCTTTTGGTTGTTGGTTGCCTGCAAGAAGACGGCAATAATGGGCAAGCCGGTCGGTGTCGAAAGAATTGTGTCGGCATCCGTAATCGCGTACAAGACGGCGATAATGTACGCGAACCCGGCGCAGCCATTGATGATCACTGACCCGATCATTGCTCGAGGGATGTTGAGCGGTGCATTGTGGGCTTCTTCGCTCATGTGTACAACAGCATCCACACCTGCGAGGGCGAATGCAGGGGTGAGGAAGCCAATGCAGAAGCTGACTCCGTCACTGTCCCAACCGCTGGCGTTGATGAACGTTCCCCAGACATCCCCGTCCTTGGCTTTCGTACTGGTTGCCAATATCGCAATGAACACGATAAAGAAGAACAGAACGTGCAACAGTCCTCCCAAAGTCTCCCAAAGTGGCAGGTACTTCTTGCCGAAAGTATTGCCTAGGGAGGCGATGCCAGAGAAACCAATCATGATGAGCGTGGCATGCCACCGTTTTGGTTCGTAATCCGAGTAGTTGAGGACGGCCACGGCTTGAATCATAGAAGCGATCAAGAAGCAAACTGATGCCACAGCAGCGACCCAACCAGTGACTGTCACCCAGCCCTGGACGTAACTGATGAGTGCCCTCCATTTCGGTGGCGAATGCTCAGCACTCCAGTGATATTGAGCTCCGGCGATGGGCGAGCTAGATTGCCCGTTAGCACTTTCTCCTTGTTGCAGGAGGCTCAATTCTCACATCGAAGCCATCTCAGCGAAAGAGCCGGCGATGCAGAGCGTCCCCAGCACCGAAACAATGAAACCATAGACGACTGAGGCAGGACCACCGTTGGAATAGGCGCCGGCGAACAAGGCACTGGTGGCTTCCCACGTGCATAGAGTGCACAGCGACATGCCCAGCAAAGCCCAGAAGTTCCATTCTCGCTGCAATAGCAGTTAGCGACTGGCGCATCGATAAGGCGGCGCGAACTTTACCTTCAATACTTCCTTCTTTCCCGCTGCCTCCAACGCAGCCGCATCTGACGTGTACGCAACCATCTCGACAAGCACCACTGGCTCCACGGGGACTGTGCAAAGAAAAAAAGGTTCAATTAAGGAGGATGAAGAAAAGAGCCACCTGCGCAGGAGGAAGGAAAGTCGACAAGCACGGGTGCGACCGGCCTGTACTTGAATGTTGCTAGGAGCTCGCTTGGTTTGGGAGGGTATGCGGGAGTGTCAACCACATGGCGCCCCTCGCGAGACAAGATGCTTTGGACGCTAACTTCGGAGGGCAGGCGCGAGAGGTGCGGGAGAAACGAGGGTATGGTGTTAGCTCGGATCCGTGCTCGCCTCGAGTGTGCTGGCAGGTTGGAAGTCGGTGGTGTCTACGAGCAGACCCATTCCCTGCGTGGGTACCATGCAGGTCGGAGCCACCCCAACAATCTAGCAGGATAGCTACATGAGCCAGAAGTTGTCTGACACTGTCGCATATTTCACAGGCTGATGTCAAATGACAAATGTGAGCCCGCCAAATCCGTTCGTTTTGCAGGGAGAATGACACCGGGGACGGATAAAGCTGTTTCAGCCAGACGGGATGACTTGACACTTATCTCAACCCTCCCAGGGGTGGGTGTGTCCTCTGCCGCTATCGACCAATAGATCAACATGCGGATCAGCACCGTGCATGCCGGCAAGTGTGATAATGGAGGCTTCAAGTGCGCCACCGAAACAGGCCCGAGCCTTGCAAAGGAGGGACCCGTTTCCGGCTGGTTCTCAAAAGGGTTCGACGGATGGCACACCTTTACCCGCTATCGTCTGAGCTTGTCTGAGCGTGCCGCCATCATGTGCTCTGGAGACGGACACATCACTCTCGAGTTGTACAGGTCAAAATCAAGTAACGAGTCGATCTTGCTATAAGCACATCCTTCCGCACGCAGCGTGGTTTAGATCACAGTATACACCTCTGAAGATGCGTGAGGAGTGCAGATTGATCTACATGCCTCGACGGACGCAGTTGGCCCCCCTTTTCAGGCACACAAGGGTCACTTGCTAGCGCGTGAAGTCCCCCCGAGCCGACCATTGAGCTAGCAACCCGCACTGGCGGCGGCTGGCAAATGGTCGAGCAGATGAGGAACGAAGGCCGGCTGTGCGAGAAACATCTCAGACTGCAGTTGGCTGTTCCGGGACTCGCAGAAGCCCGCGTCCAACATGGCACACTACCAGCAGTCCCACTTGCTTGCATGAAAGAGAGGCGAACACAGCCAGGCGATTGTTGTTACCTCTCGAAGCGAAGATCTCACCGCTTTGTTGCCTTCTAGACTTGGGGCCCTATCTTTATGCTTCGCCAACCCTGCAGGCAACGTGGGCATGGAAGAAAGCGAACGATTTTCTGACACCAGGCCTTGCCGAACCGAAATTCTTACTCGTAGCGAGGCCAGAACGCATGGAGTAAAGCCTGATTTGAAGTTGAAGACCTGCAGGTTAGGGTCAAGTTGCAACGAAGCTTGTCAGGGGCGAGCTTCCAACTGTAAAGCTTGGGGGTTCTGGGCGAGCTTGACTGGGTCGACTCCGCAAAGCCAATCAGAACCTACAAGTAAGCAACGACCAACAGCATGCAGCGAAGGTCAGAGAAAGCGGACAGGAAGGAGGAGAAGAATACAGGGCTATGTTGATCTTCTCGTGTTTGAGTAAGCCCAATTATCTGACCTGTTAACGTAATGGCAACAGTCCTTGCAGTCTTCGGGGAGTCTGGATATCGGCCTCTCGACATTATGCAGGTCGGAGGATTAGTCGGCTTGCAGTAATGCTGCACGCATCAACCGCGTGTTCGGTTGAGATGCTTGTGACACGACATGAACTCTCCATGCTGTCAGCTATGCTGTCAGCTATGCTGTGAACCACATGTGAAGTAAAGGTCAAGGCAGCCACCCAGCAGAAAACTCTGGAAACGGCCAGGAAAATCAATCCTCCGGTGGTGATGCGCCGAAAATGACGTTGACTTCACCGCTTTGGCATCGCATGGCAGAATCCCCAGAAATTTTTGGGGTTGCGACAAACAGCCCTCGTTGGTCTGAAATGAATATTAACCAGCCACCATCGAGCTTGCAAATATTCCTCAAGTTAAAGCAGACACAATGGCAGTACCTTCCGAAGAAGTCGCCGAGGTGTTCGCAACTCTTGGAGACTTGGAAAGAGAGTTCGCTGAAGTAGAGCTGGATGCTTGTAAGTGCATGCTTCGCCTTTTTGTGGTCCGCTGCTGAACTTCTTCCAGTACGCAGAAAAGAGTTCAACCTACGGCCTCTATACAACAAGCGCAAGGAACTACTCGACAGAGTCCCGGACTTCTGGCCGACTGTTTTCGGTTCTGGACCAGAAGAGATCCAGCAATTCTTTACGCCTGACGACCTAGCCCTAGGCGCGAGCCTTCAATCCTTCTCAGTCGAACGATATCAGATCGAATCCGCAGAAAAAGGAGAACCCAGGAGTCTGTGCTTCAGCTTCGAGTTTGCGCCCAACGACTTTATCCAGGACACCAAGTTGGTCAAAGAATTCGAATATCGGCCTCGGAAGGACGGACCTGGGAGTCTGATCTCGAAACCCGTTCCTATCAAGTGGAAGTCAAAGAAGAAGGATTTGACACATGGTATCCTTGATGCCGCTGTCGAGTTGCATAACGCAGAAGAAGCGCTTCAGCTCCAGAATGGAGACAAGGTTGTCGACATCGTGGATCGAGAAGCCTTATGGCAGCATGAGAAGCTGCGCGAGAAGTTGAGCAAACTTGACGAGGAGCAGGACTATCAGCCAAGTTTCTTCAACTGGTTCGGCTTTCGTGGGACCGTCGATGCCACTCCGGAGACATCGACGAAAAATGGCGTTGACAATGCCGACGAAGAAGAGGAGGACGACGACGAGGACGACGACGAAATGGAGGAGATGCTTGAGGTCGAGATCTTCCCTGCTGGTGAGGAAGTGGCCATTGCCCTTGCCGAGGAACTGTGGACGAATGCCATGGATTACTTCATGTCCGCTCAAGACGGAGACGCCGAGGAATTTGAGGGACTCGATGCAGAGAGCGATGACGAGGACGAGGACGCTCCAGAGCTGGTAAATGCTAAGGAAGAGGAGATCGCCCCTCCGCGAAAGAAGCAGCGTAAAGGTTGATGTGCTGCGGTCGTCGGTAGTTGTTCGTCTCTTGCATCTTCTTTGGATACCATCGCTTGATGTCCGACGTGTTCCATTTGGTGCCTGAAGTCGGTAGTGTACTCGAACTGGTCAGCCTGCCGTCGGAACAGCACCCATCGATGCATGTTGCGTCGGAACGGTCAGGCACGTCAACGCGGCTTTGGTGACCTCTGCACGACCACCGCGTCTTCTCAAGCATTCCATAGCATGCACTCCCAGACGAGAAGACCACTCGTTCTCGCACGTTCAAAGCGCAATGACCAAAATCAACAAAATAATCAAAACCACAATCAACACCGCAATGCAACAGCTGCTCACGCTGTCCTCATTCCGGCGTATCACCTCTCCCACCTTCTTCACCCCAACCTGTAGTTTCCCACCCACCCTGTCCGCCAGCGTGTCCACCTCGTCCAACAGCGTCCCTTGCTCCTCCAGTTCGCGCCCCATATCCTCCGCCTGGCCCCTCAACACGCCCACGCTCTGAAACACCCCGTCAAGCTGCTCGTCCTGCTCCCGCATCATCACCTCCTGCTGCTGCTGCGCGAACTCTCCGTACGGATCATCGTCGTCGTCGGCGTCATCATGCGCATCATCCTCAAAACTAGCCGGCGCGGGTAGCCTGCCGCCTTGTCCAGCACGACTCCCGCCATCACGAGTCGCGCTTCCCGCAGCCATAGAAGCAACATGCCCACCCGCGACATGCGTCTCCTGGGTCGTGATGCCCTCCAATTCCCTCCTCATGCCCTCCACCTCGTCGCCCACATCCTTTACGAAACCTCGCCGCCTCTGCACCTCCGCGACATCGAGGCCGAATCTGTAGGGGTCCGACTCGACGGCTTGGACGCTGTCCAGCAGATCGGCCAGGTCGGCCGTGAGGGTTTGGAGGTTCGATTGGAGGTCCGAGCGTGACTGGATGAGTTCGGGGGATGTCGGGGAGGGGGATAACGTGCGGATACGCAGGTAGGAGGAAAACAGATGCCGGGTCGAGGAGAGGGTGGTCAGGACGTCGGACTGGACCGAGAGGAAGGGGTCGTCTTGCGCGGGATTCATGGTGGGATGGGATCGAGCGAGGGAGACTTTGAGGCAGGGAAATGGTGTGCGCGGAGGCGCGAGTCTGTGGGGTTTATTGCATCGTTTCCGTGCTTAGGCAATCTGATATAGTATATACCCTGAACGAGGAGAGCGCGCGCCTGTTGGAAGTTGTTGTTGGTCCGGGGAGCTGTCTACAGTACGTTGCGCTGGCGTAACTGGGTCCTCGAAGTGACATGCATGGATGTCATTGACAGCAGCCTTGCCGAGGCGGGACAAGGCTGAGTCATTTACAGTACGTTACACCATTGAATCGGATCCGAACATGAGAAATACTACTTCGCAAGACACGCTCTACAACGTCATAGAACTTGGAAACGTAGGAATAGTCAGGACAATATTCTTGCACCTTTTCTATTATCCTATACATGGACTATCTGTCAGGGTATTTATACAACGGCAACGAGATTGTGATGCCAGCAAGGCTAACCCAAAGTTGCAGCAACGACGCGGCTCAGTACGTCAATTGGAAAAGGTATCTTCAATGATTGCTCATGGTTGTTCATCCTCTTTTCCAACGTCAGCAGGTGAGGCACTGGGGATTGACCTCGCAGCATTCGTGGGCTGCCCACTGAGCTGATCGTACATCTTTAGGCCTCTTCTAGGCTTGTCGCCGACCGCAGCACGAACCTTGCGCGCCAAACTGTCCATTGTTTTCGTCAGGCCCCTCAATTCGGTGTCCAACTGATCCCCTAGCTGGGAGTTCTTAATGGAGTCGACCTTCGACGCCCACATTATCGAATTCTGGATGGGTATCAACTGCACCAATGCGTGGTTTTGCTCGTCGGCCGATAAACTTTCGATATCGGGCTTCGGCGTTCTACCCTCTAGGTGAAGGAGCCTGGTTGCATAGCTGGCGACCTGACCGTCCTTGTCTGTGCCCTCGTGTTTGTGTATTGCCTTCTCGGCGGCCAACTCCAGTAAGACGGCCAACACGACTGGATCCTTTCGCGCATCACACTCGCCGTCTCTGAGCTTGTCGCCAGTGTGTAGCTGATCTTCTACCATTCTTGCCACATGTTCGGCTCGTCGTGAAATTGTTTCAAGCTCAGGACCCTCGAACCCTGCAAGGACTGCGTGGTTGTGAAGACCCAACATCAGCTCTCGTGCTACATCGTGCTGTCGCAACGAAATGCCCATTTCCTTCGGCTTCGCCACGGCGCTGATGATAATTTGTTCTTTGCCCACCTCGCACGCTTTTCGGGTGAGTTTGGAGGCATATATGCCAGGTAGTTTCAGTTGGGCTGAAACTAAGCCTCTGAGAAATGGAAGGAGGTTATTCCAATATGTATCGCTCTCGTTCCCGTCTAGGAATTTCGCCAGTTGTTTCATACTCTTTCGCATGTTAGGCTTGTCGAATGCATGTCGTGGCTCGAGCTTGATTTCTTCGCCATCGTCCATTGTGACAGTAACTCCAGGTTCGTTAACGAGGGTGGCCTGTTGGGATGTCTTGTACATCAGGTCTCGGTGATGAGATTCGACTGCGGCCGGCATAAAGACTTTGTTGCGCCATGCTAGGAGAAATTCGTCGAACTCAGAGTTAGAGGTTGGTGAAAAGGAAGGTATCACTGAGTTTATTAGCTGATGCACCATGGATAGACAGAAATTGCGCACCTTTTCGTTTCGTCGGAGTAGAACTGAAGGATCGTACGGACTTCGACCAGCGTGGACCGTGGAGAATCTGTCGACAGGTTCTGCAGATATGGAAAAACTGTTGAGGTTGCGCCATCTCGCATGTGGCACTGCAGGACCTGTCTCTCGCAATGGCTCAATGAGAAGAGTTAGTTTCCGCTGGTGCTTTGAGACTTGGGACAGGTGTTAGCTACGCGGAGTATTCGAATCTCAATGATTTCTGAAAAGGGAAATCGCTCGACTTTCCTACAAGAGCTACTCCGTACTTCATCAACACTTGCGCCTGCCTTCTTCATCCGGTACAACCACGTTACAACCCCTAAGCCTGGGGAAGATGTCGAGGACGGCTGTGTCCCGCATGTCAGCATGCTGTTGGCGATCTGTTTTTGCAGAGATACATCCGCAAAGACCATTGTGTCGGTCTCTAGCCACGCTACAACGCGGACCCGTTGAGAAACTCGAGGTTCCGACAGATCTGCCACCGCAATATTGGTCCCAATTACCTGCAAGATTGAAACGCGACAGAGGTGCAGCTGTTTTTGCAATCTCCAGGGGCTCAATGCTAATATAGTTTTCAGGAAAGCGCGAAATAGTCATACACAAATCTCCTCGATCGGAAGCCGAAACCTGCAAAGAACCTATTTCAGTCGTGGACAAGTCGCAGTTAGCGCTGCTCGACCCCACCGGCGCGAGAACGAAACTGTTTGACAAGACCAACAAGGACCGAGTGAAAGTCGGAGACATTCTGCTCGCAACGTTTGCGTCCGGCGAGCCAGTATCGGGTGTTATACTTTCGATCAAAGGGTCAGGCCCTCATACGTCAGTGCTTTTACGCAACAATCTGACTGGTGTTGGAATGGAAATGCAAGTCAAGGTGCATAGTCCGCTCGTGCAGAGTATGGAAATAGCTCAAAGAGCACCTAAGAGGAAGAGGAGGGCCAGGATCTACTACTTGAGGAAACCAGAGCACGATATCGGAAGTGTACAGAAAGTGGTGGATCAATATTTGAGACAGCGGGCCATGTTGACTGGTGGCAAGCCAGGAAGTCAGTTCGGTCGTTCAAGACCCAAGAAGGGCAAAAGATGAGGACGATCGCGTGCGATGCATCAGAGACCCAGTTGACGGCGACACGTTCCGCAAAGGCTTGGTTAACATGGGCTTCAAGCTTCGAGCGTGGTGCGCCCTTGAGTCGGAACTCCTCACTTCGACCTCAACTTTGTAAGAGTACTGTGCAAATTGTCCCTCACCACAGTGATGGATTAATGAACTTCAGCGGACCAAAATTCAAGGGCACACGGCACTTGGAGGACTTCATTCACAATTCGATCTTCCAGCACGTGCGAACTCATTCGACTCTGAGACTCACTTCACTCACTTAGTCACTGTCACTAGGAGGGGCATATTGCTGCAGCGCTCCCTCCTTGGCAGTGACACGCTGATTCTTCCGTCTACAAATATCTCCTCTACCTCATCTGCCCTTCCCTCGCCTACTTCTCACCTCTTCAACTCTTTCCCCTTCTCTACCTTACTGTGCATGATCCATATATCACGATGACACAGCGTGTCAAGTCTACCATCCCTCCGCCCCCATCATTTGTCACCGATGCACCTCTCGATCGCGTGGCCGAAGTCAACCGTGGTGACTGGACGATATCCCAGGGCGGCTTTTCGAACGACAACCTGAAAACCACGATGGGCGACAAATCAGTCAATAACCCGAAACATAGCGAGGAAGAGGAGACGAAGAACGCTGTCGAGGCACAGAGCCGTCGATCATCGGAAGAACACTGCAGCGCCGTGCCTCGTCCTGCGGTTTTCGACTCTTGGTCGCAAGAGATAGCAACGTCCAAAGGAAAGGCGGATGGATCGTCTGAAACTCACCAGTCTAAAAAGCAGTCAATTGCAGATCTCATACAAGCGATCAAGACTGACCCAGAAATCAAGCGACTCCTGAATGACGCTCTCTCAGAGAACAAGTCCTTCGCCACGAAGGCCACTCCTGTGAGCCCTGCTACAGTACCACTTGGTGAGTTTCTTTTACCTCTCCATTAGCTTCAGATCGCGTCAGAAAATATGGAACTTCAAACGCTAATCCTGGAGGCAGATTTCGCTCAGCAGGTCTTGACCACGGAGACACGCGCGGCTGAAGGGTTTCCATCTTGTGAAACCGGTCCTAGTGACTTCGCCGCTTGCGCACTCGATAAGTGCCCCACGTGCAAGATTACTAACGTCCCTACTCGTCAAGTTGAGCACGGTGGAAAGTGGCAAGATGTGGCCGAGTCTGTCGCAACATCGTCGAAAACCTGGACTCCCTACCGCCCGGCTACACCTGTCTTCGACGGGTGGACCAGGTAAGACGCTCTAGAGGAACGTATCCGTTGGTTCTGGGCTGATACAGAGTCTTACAGCCACCTTAGTTGCCCAACGAAGCTGGTCGTCGTCAAGGACGTCAAATACACGATCCATGATACGATCTTCGACACAATGTTCCCTGCGAACAACACATCTACCAAGCTTGATCAGCTGGATGACGACAGCTTCCTTGTGTCCGGGATTCAGAGCCGATACTTTGCAAGCGCATTGGAGTTCCTGTATAGCCAAGATACGAAGCATCTCTGCTCTATCCCCGTCGAAGGCCAGAATCAAATCCTCTCATTTGCTGCCAAATATGACAACAACTATTTGTTGTGCGTGATGATTCCCATTCTGGAGCTGGACTTTTCGAATCCAGGCTTCTCTTCTCGAGCTGCCACCATCTACCGGTCCTATGCGGCACCCGAGGATTTTCGACAATACTTTCGCCAGACCTTGAAGGTTGAGCTCCAAACTCGTCTGGACGATGGCTCCTGCGAAGAGTTCCTCAGTGGTATCCACTCTCAGTTCTCCGACGCAGGAGTAGCTCTCCTAGATGTGGCTCTGGTGCTCAACTCGCTCTGGACGAATGCTGAGCTGAAAGTCGAGCACGCTGATCCAGCTGAAGATTGGAGTGATAAAGGTGTTGCTCAGGAGGACGATGGTAAGGACGCATACGACGACCGTACCTCCAACACCTGCGGAGGAAACATGATTGGACCTGACTACACAAACCAATGGGGCGATTATCCACCCAAACCCTCCCAATGCTCACGCGTTTGGCATGCGCCAGTTCAATGCGACAGCGAACCTCAGCCACCTTGCGCCGCCATCAAGTCCAACTTGCAAACCGCCAAAGTCCCTGCCCCGTCCATAATCACGCCTCCATCACACGTCGTTCTTGAAGCCCTGCAGCCGCGAGATCCGTCACCCAGCTGGGAAGAACCACTCGCTCAGCCTTTGCGCGCAGACACCAGTCATCGTGCCATCGACAACACAAATGATGATTGGATAGCAACTGCTCTGCAGGGTACCTCAGCCCTTGCTCGCTGTGTCTATCATCACCTTAGGCACAGAGACGTGGGGAAAGTGGCTACTGTGGCTGAGTACCTAGGCTGCACCAAGGACGAAGCTGATCGTGCTCTCCAAGAGTTGATGCTGGTAGGCGTCGTCGATAACCGCGTCTCCGTATTTGGCGACGTAACGGTCTTCGTCGTGAAGAAAGAATTGCCGCAAGAGCCAATCACCACGGCCTTGCCTGCCAACGACGTTGTTGAAACTGAAGACTACGACAAAGCTAGAGCTTGGCCGCTGTCGCTGGGAACCAGGTCGGAAAAGACTCGTATGGTCTATCTCTGGTTGAAGTACGAGCAAGCGTTTTCCACGGAAGAAACATGGTTTAGTGCCCAGGACGTTTCGGATGCCCTCGGATTTGATATCCCTGAGGCGCTGCTTAGCCTCAACGAACTTGAAAGCACCGGCCATGCCGAAATTGCGGGCGGCCCATGGGACAGCGACGTGTTTAGACTCTACAGCTCGGAGCAGGGTCACTAGCTTCCTGATCGCCCCTGGATCGGTCGGTCAATCAGTCAGTCAATGAGTCAATCAGGGCATGATAGTCTTCGTGCTCAAAGCGAGGCGGCACGAGATCGACTTACGACTCCGAGCGATGTTCCGTCAGGCGGTTGAGGTACCCCAAAGACACCTGCGTTCTGATTCTACCCGACCCATTACCGTCTCGATCTTTACTCAGATCGCCACGAAAACGCCTTTCCATCTGGAATGTTAGATTCCACAGATTCCACCGCCCCCAGATGGCCCCAGTCAGTTCCAGCAATTCGCACGAACAGACGTGCAAGAGACACCGAACGGAAAACACCAAAAAAATTTCCCTGCGTTTTTCAGCAAAGCCCTTGATAACAAGGGCCATCTCTGAAGTCGATCCCAGAATTCGACCCAGCTGACAAGCTGCGCTGCTGATGCCTCCAAGGGGAGAAAGTCAATTCGAAAAACCAAGAGTGAAATGGGTGAAACCTCAAAGCAGACAGCAGACAAGCAGACAGGTAGGGAGGGAGGCCGACCTTTTTCCATAGTCACGCAATTGCAATCACAATCGCAACCTCAATCAGATTCATAAACTTTTTCTATGTCATCTCAGTCCGTTTCATCTCTAGCTAAGCTCATGCTGTGGTCACGTCCATCCAGCCTCAGCCTCGACGTCAAACTCAGACTTTAGACTCTTGAACAATAAATAGCTCGACTCTCTTGCTCCCCAGCTCCCAGCTATAGGACCAACATCGACGGCTTGCATGCGCATGCGCGGCTCTCACAGCAACACAGGTTATGGTCGGCGTCAACACTTACATGCGCATGCGCGGCTCTCACCCTCACAGCAACAGCAGGGTATGGTCGTCGTCAATCTGCACCTGGAGACCCTCGATCGTCGTCTTGCCGCCCACGACGGCCGGGCCTTTGACTGTCATCTGTCGTTGTAGCGAGGTGGTCAGTATGATGTGCCCTTAGGAAGTAGGCAGTAGCAAGAGGAAAGAGAGGTAGTCAAAAGAGACAAACAAAATACAAGGTGGGTAGGTAACGTTATATTATGAACTAAAAAGGAACAAAACACAACCTAGGGCGGCACATTATATCCGGGACACTACGGGAACATGAAATCGTGTGAAAATAATATGATATGATGTGATGTGATGTCATGGGAGGTGAGGGGATATAATGGGAGGTGAGGCGATATGATGGGAGTAGAAGCGATGGAAGTGAAGTGACTTGGCATGCAACAAGCAATGATGGCACTTACCGTCCCACGAGGTGTCCTCGTCCCCATGACGTTTTCCTCACCACTCAAATGCACCTCCACGCTGCTCAGGGGTGCGCCCACGCCGACGACCTTGCCGCGCTTCTCCCTGTAGTCGAAGATGTTCGTCTGGGCGATCGCGCCTGCGACCTGCGGCGCGGTAAGGGCGTACCCGGTGCGACATTTCAGCAGCGTGCGCAGGGTATGCAGTGTCGAGGATGACAAGCGCGTCGAAGCAGGCGCGGTGGTGGACTGCGGGATGAGTAGCACGCGGACGTGCGAGAGGGGGCTCGTCGATGAAGACCCCTTAGCCGGCATGTTCCCTTGTTGGAGGGTTCGCTGGGTCATGAATTTGCCGAGTCCGCCAGTGAATTTGGTGTCCGGGTGGTTGAGGTATGTGGTCACGGTGGCTGGGGAGGCGAGCACGATGGTCGGCGAGGATTGGGAAGTCGCGTGCACGATGTCGATGTTGTCGCCTGCCACGGAGTTGAGGGACAGGGTGGCGTTGGAGAAGAGCGCGGCAAACGTCCATGAGAGGGTGTAGCTATCGGTTAGCGGCGTGGTGGGCAGGAGCGTGTCTGATGGCGAGAGCTTGTGCGCGCGTGGGAGGGTTGCGAGAAGGGCGGCGGTCGCGGAGATGAGGTTCTGCACAGAATTGGCATCAGACATGTATGATGATTAGGCTGTTAGCCAACTCACCTCGGAAGTATACTTGACCAAATCGTAACCACCGCTGGCGGTCGGGACGAAGACAGATACTGGAGGCACTTGGGAGTCCTTGTCTAGGGGCAGGACGTCGGATTTGGCGGTCCGTCGGCTCTTCTCCACGAGTTCGTGCCAGGAAGTGACGGTGTAGCCGTCCGGTGTGCCCTCCGTCCAGTTCATGTGGTCGTTGGTCGACCGAGTCACCCAGATGACGGTCTTGATGGACTTGGCAGTTGATGCCAGGTCGTCAAGGTCCAATGAACCGGCCTCGGCGATGACATGGTCGGCCGAGGTTTTTGCGAGCAGTGAGTTGAGCTTGTCTTGTGGTAGGCCGTACGGGAGCAAGATCGTGGAGAAACCATAGAACGAGCCGGCTGTTCAGCACCATCAGATAAGGTTGCTTGTACGGAATGTAGGATCGATGCAGGTATTCACATACCGAAGATTGCAGACAACAGTTCCACCGAATTGGAGAGACATACAGCCACTGACTGGCCGTTGTTTCGTTTGACGTACTGGCCAATGACATTGATCCCAAGCGTCAAGTCATCGAAGTTATGCTCGATGACCTTTTCCCGTCCCAAGACAGTGAGGATCTTTCCTTTCGTGCCTGTCGAATTGCCCTCTTCGTTGACCACGCCACGTGCAGCGTTACGCCAGATATCCCTTAGGTCCCCAGGTCTGCCGGAGCTCCACTTCGGAGTGCCCGGGTCTTTGACGCCTAGGCCAGCACGGAGAGGATAACCATGGGGGATATCGATCGCGCGATAGACCGCAGACTCACCTGACTGCCGGATGGGAGCGACTTGTGCTTGTCGTGCCAGTAAGAAGGGGTGGGTGTCGGGGTCGCCGCCTGTAAGCACCGGATATATGAGAAAGGCGACGAGAACAAGCGCCAGGATGGTCGTCCAGATGTTCCATGAAGAGAAGAACTCGGCGATGGCGACATCCAGTCGTTCTGCGAGGCCTGCCTCCGCCATGATGTTCAATCTGGTGTGAGGTGGACTGAATTGTCGAAAGGTGTACGGACGAGGTGGCCATGTTGTACGAAGAGACTTGGGAATTCCGCCGCGTCGGAATAATTCCTTGGCTCAATCTCCACTCGCTGCTTTAGACGAGCCTCTTGTGGTAAAGGGCTCCTCATCGTCACTTTCTGCTTTGTGCAAAACATTTGAATGTTTTACCCAGTAGACAAGTGATGATGGTTTCAGACACAGTGTCGCCCGTTCACTCGGATATACAGCCTGAACGGTCTGCATTTAGCTGATTGGTAGATCAGCAGCACCACGGTGAAATCGGTGACATGTTTGTGATGAGCATGAAAGGCAACGTGATTCGTTTTCCAAATTGCTTTCAAAGCGTCTGTGTTTGAGACAGAGCAGGGTGTACGGACGCAGCTGTGACAGCGAGCTGCGAGGTGTAGGCCCGCAATGGAAGTCAATCGTTCGAACTGATGTACTCCGTGAAGAAAGCAAGTATCATTACGGGATACGTATTCTACTTGCCACACTTGCTCGCCGCTTCTTCCCTACAACTGGTGGAGTGCCCGCCTACGGTATAGTATACTCTGCTTAATCATTTTTCAGGCCCTGATCTATTGGCTCGAAAGGTACGCCTGAGTCTCCTTGACAGCATCGTGACCGAACAACCACTGGAAAAACGATGGGCTGAGGAAGGGGGAGGACATGTCTGCTGGCGGCTTGGGATCCTTCCTCCGCTCCTCCTCTGGTCGAGCCAGCTGACTCCTTCCAATCTCCAGCTGCTTGACCAACATTGCATCGCGCACCTCGGCGTTCTGGCCATTCATGAAACTCACGCCTTCGCGACTGGCGGCTTGTATACGCTCCACGCGCGGTTTTTGAATAGCTTCATATGCCTTTGTCGCATCGGAGATCGATCGATCGTTCTTCCAGGCCCAGCCGACGCATTCCCCCAGAACTGCACCGTCCTCAATGGCGGTGGAGCCGCCGGCGCCGGCATGGGGAAACATCGCGTGCCAAGCGTCACCCAGCAGCACCACACCACCCTTATCACTGCGGCAGGTCTTTAGTGGCGGAATCTCAGCGAAACGCCACTGTATACAGGGCCCGATGTTGGCAAGCAAGTCCCGTATTGTCGGACAGGCGTCGCCAAATTCGTCAGCGACTTGCTTGGGGTCGGCCTTCATGCCCCAGTATCCGTGGGGAACATCGCATCCATTACCAACACAGACCACGACATCGTATGGCTTGTGAGGCGGCATTGGCCAGGACAGAACATACTTGCTTGGCATTAGCCACAACTGACTGGTTCGGTTCTGCAATAGCCATGCTAAATTCGGGTTTTTCACCATGGCCGCTTTATCGACGGAGCATCGATATGCTTTTTCATTCAGGGGGTTTAGCTCGGCGGAGGCTGTGGCAGGGATGGATGCGCGCACCACTGACCGGACGCCGTCAGCTCCGACAATCAGGTCGGCGGTGAGTGTACGGCCATCTGCTAGGTATACCGTGTTGGTGTCTACGTCGACCTTGGTGACTTGTGCGTTGAACAAGATCTTGGCCCCGTACCGCAGCGCGCCCTTGGCAAGTAGTTGTTGATAGTCTGTGCGGTGGATGATCCATGCAGGTTCTCCATAGAGGATCTTGCTAGTGTTCCCCTCGTTGGTGAAGACCGCACCCAGAACTCTGTTGTCGGCTCCGGCGCGGATGTCAATGTATCTGTTCTCCGTGACGTTTGGCCTGAACTGTTCCTCGAGTCCATATGATTTGATCACTCTGACTGCATTAGGACTGATGCCGATGCTAGCACCAAACTCATTCAATTCGGATTTGCCTTCGAGAATAGTCACTCCAAGGCCTTTACGGGAGAGGGCAATTGCTGCAGAGAGGCCACCAATTCCGGCTCCAGCTATCAACACCGTGTAAGGCTTTTTAGGGGCAACGCTCCCCATTGTTGGGGAAGGAGGTAGATGTGAAGCTGCCCGAATCGCGCACTGAACTGGATGAGACCCTTTGCGGGACATAATTACCTGAGATATAGACCGGGCTCGTCTGACGAAGGCGAGGCCCGGTACTATCCACTAAGCCCATATTGCGTCTTACCACACATCCATGCTGAAGGGCCTGTACTGGAAGAGGCGATTTCTGACCATATCTGGACATTCCTTTCATTGGTGCTTTTTCGATGACAGATATAACTCGGGTCAGCACCTCCAACCTGAGTTCCCTGGTCCCGTGTGGAGGAAAGTCGCTGGACGCCCGAAACCGTAACTTGCAAGGGTCCGCATGGACGATTCACAATCCTAAGCTCCTTCAGCTATCAGCTGCCGGATATTCCAAGTCCCGCGCGTAAGACTCTCGTAACGATATGGCATCGACCAGGCAGGACAGAGCCTGAGCGCCCAAAGAAAGTTGTTCGGTCACAGTGTGATCGACAGGTAAGAGAAAGTGGTCGGTGAAATAAACCAAAAATGCTCGAGCTCGAGTTCAGCCGCATCATCACAGCGTCTTGGTGCGAGGACGGTGCATTCTTTCACCGTTTTACCGTCGGGAACGCTGGTCCACAAGCTGGGCATAGACATTTCGAGCACGTGGACAGGGCCTCCGTGCGGTCCTGTCCTGTCAGGGAGGATCGAATGCGGCTATCCAACGTTCGGAGCAAGGAAGTAGCTGGGCAACGCGATTGAGTGGAGGATGGCTTCGAATGCCACTGGAGAACGTGCTCTCAGCTCAGGTCAAGAAAGGTTGTTACCCTAGCATTTGAGGACGGAAACTACGGACGACGGCACTGATGTCAGCGCAGGGGCATGCACATGGCCAAAAGGACAGATAACGGAATGCTGAGGTGATCAAGACGGGACGCTTGATTCCCAGACATGCCGGCATCTAAGTCTCTGTCTTGAAATCTGTATCAAAAACGCCCGCATCGCCGAGGCCAGACCATGCCAGTATCAACTACAGCTTGCTCTGAGGTTGATAGAACTTGCGACTCCGCTCGATAGCTTCCACAGCCTCCTTCTCAATCCTCGACAGAAGTTCCTGACACGAGGGAATGTCATGGATCAAACCAATCACTTGGCCGGCTGTCCAGACGCCGTAGTCCTTGTCTCCGTTCAGGAAGACTTCGCGGCCACGCTTTCCTGAGACATAAGGCGCGACCTCTTCGAACTTACCACTTGTGCTGCTCTTCTCAATAGCTACGGCCTCCTGTGCGACTTTGTTCTTGAACAATCTCGAGGTATTTTTCCACCTTCGCAGGACGAGCTCAGTGTCATGTTCTGAGGCATCGACGATTGCTTGCTTGATGTTGTTGTGGATAGGGGCCTCGATGGTGCACATGAATCGAGTGCCCATGTTGATCCCTTCAGCTCCGAGAGCTAGGGCCGCTGCTAGGCCCTGACCGTCCGCAAAACCACCCGAGGCGATAAAAGGCACCCCTAGCGACTGTCTCGCTCTTGACAGCAGGATGAAATTGGTGATGTCTGATTCGCCGACATGGCCGGCGCACTCAAAGCCATCGATTGAGAGGAAGTCGACGCCCAACTTCGCAGCGGATTGGGAATGTCTGATGGTTGTGCATTTGTGCAAGATGATGATGTTGGCCGCCTTTAACTGTTTGATTACAGGTCCGGGCGAGTTCCCTGCCGTTTCCACAATCTTAATACCCTCGTCAATGCATACTTGGGCATATTCAGCGTAGGGTGGGGCATTCATCGTGGGTAGGAGGGTGATATTGACGCCGAAAGGGTTCTTCGTCATGTTCCTCGTCTTTCGGATCTCCTTGCGAAGGTCTTCTGGAGTAGGTTGAGTGAGGGCTGTGAGCTAGAAACATAGTCAGCACCCTCCAAATACTGTGCCTCCGCAACACTCACGATTCCTAGACCGCCTGCATTCGATACAGCAGATGCCAACTCTGCGTACCCGACCCATTGCATGCCACCCTGGACGACCGGGACTACGTCGCTTTTAGCAGAAATCACCAGGGAGACGAGACTGCTTCAAGTACCTTTGATGCCTAGCCGGCGCGTGAGTTCGGTGTTGAAGACCATTGCTGCTGTGCCGACTCGAAAGTGAGGGACGGTTAAGAGGCGAAGACAACTTGTGCTCTGTTGCAACGTCTAGTACAATAGTCTAACACAATGGAAATGACTGTAGAGAAACAGACCAGGCAGAGTATAAGAAGACCAGACAAATCAAAACCTACAGCACTTCTTGACCCGAGGTGGTTGCAATCCGCGCAGATGATTGCGCAGGGAGGATGGAGAGTGGTGGAGGGACTCGGTACAAAGCCGGGGACCGAGGCAAAGTAAAGCTGCAAGGGCAGTTTAAGGCCGTTACGAGTAGCTTTACCGACCCATCATCTGAGCACCACACGAGACCTGCTCATCGCCGCCTCGCATACTCCGTATACAGTAAACGGCCTTTGAAGCCTTGCGTTTCCGGATCCCATGGGTAAGTGGTGCTTGATGCCACTCCATGGAGCCAAGGGAAGAGGCGAACTGAAGGAAGCCCGCTTAGCCCGCCGGAGCCACTGTGACTGGGTCCGCAAGATCTTTGTTCCGCCCGAAGCTTATGTCGCTGGCATGCTTGCTGCGTGACAAACGCACTGGTCACGTTTGAAAGAGATGCAAACGAGCCCCTGAGGTCTACGATCGCGAGAGGTATCCGCATTATTGCGCACTTCAACCGCAAAGCCCGACTGGCCTTGGTGGCATTTGCTAAGCAAGACGCCGAGGTGGGCCAAGTGCTCGAGTAAGGAAGAGGTTTGCATGACCTCGTCGAAAAGTGGCCCGAGAGATGTTGGACCAGATATTTTTCGTCCGAGCTCACGAAAGAAGAACCAACCGGCCCATGGTACCAAAGCCTGATGTCGATGTTTGAGAGAATTGATGGTGTTTGGAGATCGCGAGTAACTGCGGCCGTAAACGCGGCGTGTGCGCAGCTCGCGAGATGTCCCCAGAACGGAATGGTCAGGCTTGGCAATCTCAAGTGTTGACCTTTTGCCTTGTTCTCTCGATCGTGCCTGCCGATCAACCATCAACCACCTGCTACCGCATCGTTTCGGGCCAGGCCGCGGCATGTGCGACACGTTTCTATGACCCGTGTCTGCGCCTGGTCCCGTGTCTGCAAGCGAACTGGATTGGCTATGCCTCTAGACGACAACGACACTAAACTGCAAACAATTGTATTGCGCGAGGTTGACCCTTGGCTCATGCATTGGTTTCATTGTCACAAGGTTTCCGCCAACTATCTGATCTCGTGGATATTGCTCTACCCGTCGAGGCTGTACTGCATGTTAAGTTCTACCGTTGAGGCAGATACCTATATCTATCACCAAGTCTGCCCCTTCTTTTGTCGCTTGTCCACTCGAGCTCTGTTCAGACATTTACTACAGACCAGTTTTCCTCGTACCCTCCAAGAACCATTTCCAGAGTCGTCGCCATGGCTGTCAATCCATACCACGTCAACCCACTCGACTGCGACGTAGTATCCGAAGCGTGTCCAGTCAAAGCTTCAATATACGGTTATTACCCAAGCTTGGGATCGAATGCCTTCTTCACTGTTTACTTCGGCCTCTGCTTCTTTATCAACTTCTGGCTCGGCTGGAGGTTTAGAACATGGACCTACCAGATCGCGATGTGCCTAGCTTGCATATCTTCCGCCATCGGATATATTGGGAGATGCCTCATGTACAACAATCCGTTCAATTCTCTCGGGTTCCAGATACAGATCTGCTGCCTGACCTTCGCCCCGGCCTTCAACTCAGCCGCACTTTATCTGGTTCTCAAACACTTGGTGATCCAGCTAGGACGGGAATGGTCAAGGATTCGACCGAAGTATTACACATGGAGCTTTATTATAGCCGACTTTCTGGCGCTCACGTTGCAAGGCGCTGGTGGCGGAATAGCTGGGTCCGCAGGCGACAATCAGAGCTTCCGCAAAGTCGGCGACAACCTCATGATCACAGGTATCTCTTGGCAGGTCTTGACACTTCTCGTCTTCGGCGCGGCTACTGCGGACTACACCATACGCCGATTCAGATCTTCGCAGCCATGGAGTCCCTCGGCGCAGATTTTGCTCCATGATCGCAAGTTTCGCATATTCGTCGCGGCGCAAGTGATCACATATATCTGCATCTTCATCCGGTGTGTCTACCGCATCGCGGAGATGGCAAAGGGCTGGAGGAACCCAATTATGCAGAACCAAGGTCTCTTCATTGGGTTGGACGGCGTGTGAGTATCTCCCCAAGCTCCACGATCGAATATAGCACTGACTTGGCTACAGCATGGTGGGCATTGCCACTCTCCTTCAGACATTTGTCCACCCAGGACACTTCTTCCCGGCCCTGGCAACGTACCGTGAGTCCAAGAGGACACGCACGGCACCGCAGGAGCTGAGCAGCAGTGAGGATTCGGTGGAGAAATCGCTGGCTTAGATGTGACATGCCCTTGTTGGAATTGTACTGCAGCCACTGGGGTGATTTTGTACGCGTGATTTGGAAAGCAAGCGGGAGTTGAGTCGCTAGTAATAGAATCACATGACGGGCATACACAAGCATCATGTACAGTCTTTATGCATATCCCTTTGCACAGAATTATTTGCACATGTCCAATCTTGCCAGTATCGTGATTTTGGAGTGTGGTAACTGGTACAGTACCTTTGTGCCAGGGGAAATGAGCCTCCCACGCCTCCTCGGCCCTTTCGAACCACGAACCACGTGTCCCCACTAATTCTTGGCGCAGCTGCGTCATCACAATTTGGCGTCACCAGCGTGTCCGACTGGGAGCGGCCACTGTGAAGGTGTCTGTCTATTGCTTCCCGTGCATGTGGAAGGATACCTCGTACCATTCACGGATTTGCACAACACCTTACTCGTATCTTGGCCCTTCTGTTTGCCTTGCTTGGTTGATCTTCTCCTTGCCATGTTCTCGCTGCACCATGGGTGCGTCCGAGTCAAAGCTGATCTTCAAACAAGGCATCTTCAGGCTCTCCGAAGAGCGCAACATTGCTGCCAATGACCCATACTGGACAAATGTAGGCCTCCCTATTGTTGGACGGCTCTGTTGCTGATCTGGTGGTAGTTCTGGGAATTACCCGAGTCGGTCGAGGACGTCTTCAGCCTCTTCTCGCATACCGATATCCGGCGAACTCGAGATGCCGCTCTTGAGAACCTCGAAACCCTTATCCTCGCGGTAACATCGCGCTTGATCGTGTTGAAGAATCATCCTTCGTTTCCAGACCCGGATCTTGCCCCTGAGCGAGATGCACTCAACTGCATCCGAGTCCTCACCCGACTCTTGCCCTACGTCTATGAGGCTGAACAACTGGCAGATTGGGAAGAGAGGTTCTTCTGGGGCATGCGCCGCCGCCGAACAAGGAGGGCGCAGGTGTCTGGGGAGGTATTGTTCGACGACAACCAAGGCGACGATACCACGCCTACGGAGAGTCCGCAACAAGAATTCGAAGATGCGAAACCGCTTGCGGAAGAACTGATTGACACTTTGGTCGATCTCTTGTTCTACACTAGTTTCACCATACCCGAGCTCCCCAATGCGAAGAGCAAGGTCACGTATGCAATCTGGCAGAGTGGTGTAGGCTGCAAGTCCTCGATCCCGACAAGCAAGGAGCTTGAGAGCAATCGCTGTGAAGTTCTGAGGCTTCTCCTGACCCTGTCGAGCAAGGCCATGTATATGCCCTCCAGCGTCCTCCCTGTCCAGGGTGTAAGGGCCATCACATATCTTTCAACATGCCCAGACAAACAGATCGTCCTCTCTGTGCTATGCTCCCTGATCAACACCACTATCAAGGCAAACGTCGGCTCATGGCGCCTGCCCTACGACCACATGGTGCGCAAGGACTCGCAACAAACTCTGGTGGTATACAGCTTGCAGTTGCTTCTTACCTTGTTACTTTACCCTGTGCCTGAAGACGCAAGTGGGACGGTACCGAAGAACTTCTACCGCCACTTTTTCGGCCGCTTGCACCGACCCGAAGATTTCCAGTTCCTTGCCGACGGCATGACGAAGGTCCTGAGCCAGCCAATGCAGGCTACGACTGCATACCTACCTGGAAGTCAGAAATCGGTCAAATGGGCTCCCGAAATGATCATGCTCTTCTGGGAAGTGCTTCAGTGCAACAAGCGGTTCCGGTCATTCATTATAGAATCTAACCGCGCCCACGATTTTGTGATACTGATGCTCTTCTACGCCATCGAGTATAAGACCGACGCAGCGCGGCAAGGGATCGTGAGGATGTGCGTGTTTGTGCTTCAGACTATGAGCGTGGAGTCGAGTTTCGGCAAAAACCTCAACAAAAAGTTCGAAGCACAGGAGACACTGCCTCCCTCAATCCGCGTTGCCAACTTTACAGGTACCTATGCCGACTTCCTCATCATCTCCATCCACACCCTCATCACGGGAAGCAAGGGCAAACTGGATGCCATCTATCCAGCTCTACTCGCCATTATTAACAATATGGCGGCCTATGTGCAGCATCTCTCATTGGCGGCAAGCACGAGACTCGTGCAGCTACTGAGCTCGATGTCTACCCCAAGTTTCTTGCTGGCCGATGAGACGAATCACGTACTTCTCCAGGCTTTGCTCGAGTCGATAAACAGTATGGTCGAGCATCAGTATGAGTCAAATGCGAACTTGATCTATGCCATCTGGCGATCAAGAAAACGGATCGAAGCCCTGCGGAAATTTACGTTAGAAGGCGGGCAGGCAGAAATCGAAAGAGCTGCTCAGCGTCACAAAGAAGCGGCCCTCACTGACAGCCCAAACAACCTTTCCAGAAGTTCGACCATGGGCATGGTATCACCATCAGCGACTCCAAACCCTGAGAGCGCAGTCGATGGAACCTTTGCAATTGGAGACTCGGACGACTCCGACAATGAAGAGCCACCGACGCCTTCGTATTCTACTCAATCCATGCGCACATCGCGGACGCCTTCAGCAGCTTCCTCGTCAGTTCCCGAAGACAACATGCCGATTCAACTAACAGGCATGTCGGAAAAGGCCAGAGGCAAAATGCCCGCCAATGCCGCCACCTTCTCTCGCCAGAACAGCACGACCAGCCTCTCAGCGACATCAACGTACGCTCCCGGTCGCGGCGCCGTTGGCTTAACTCCTGAATGGCTCGAAAGCTGGCTCCCAGACCTACCACTGCACACCCTCCTCACTGTGATCAAAGTCCTGTCCTCCCACCCTCTAGCGTCGCCTCGAAACAACACGAGTAGCGACACGACAAATCCGCCATCGATAGCGTCTTCCCGCCGCTCATCTCTTGCTGCCGATGAAACCATCCCTAGTCCTACAACGGCCGATGTTACCAACACAAACGCAAGCAGCACCCCGTCAGGCTTTCGTGCCCAAATCCCCTCCACATCAACGCATCCCTCCATCGCCACAATTCTAGCCTCTCCTTCCCCCATCCGCGTTCACCTCTTCGAATGGTCCCCGCTCTCTCTAGGCTGGTACATGTCCGTCCTTTGGTCGTTGATCTTCACCGCGGAAATGACCATCGCGCCTACCTCTTCCACTGCCGCCACATTAACAGGCCAAGGGACCATGGCTGGCCCCGTTGGCGTGTGGAACGGTACGAACGTGAAACTATTCCAGGTTGCCACGGAAGGCAAGAGGGAGGGTCCGAGTTTGAGCGCACCGAGAGGGGCGGTGGACGCGGTAGGGACGAGGCTTGTGCAGGGGGTGCAAGGGTTGAATCTGGGTGGCTTGGTAGGTAGGGTTGGAGCTGGTGTGAGAAATGCCGGTCAGGGGAATAATCGTGAGGACGGTATACCCGGGACGACGAGGGAAGTGTAATAGTTGTGTGTAGCGGGCGGGCCCTTTCGAGAACTGTGGATTGTCTAAACTACAGCCGATAAAGGAACGACTGCGACTCCAGTCCCGGGGAGGAACAGCGAAACCCTCACTTTAGCGTTTTCGGAAGGTTTGCAAAGTTAGCATTTGGCGCAGGTCTGGGTAAAACAACAAGAAGTAATATCTGGATGGGTTTAGAACTACGAGACAATCCTTGGAAAATACGAGGTACCATAGCTAATCCAGGTCTCGCGCGGTGCTGCCTACTACTGGGCCTGTAATACAAAGTGTACGCGTGCCAAATGGACCATATGTAGGCATTGTCGACTTCCTTGCTTCCTTACACGGTAACACGGGATACGGCACCACACGAACGATGACGAGAAGTCAAAGCAAAATGAACGGAGCGGGAGCGGGAGCAGGAGTCGGAGCAGGAGTAGGGGTAGGAACAGCTCTCCGGGATATATAGTCGCTGTACTGTTTTGTCTGACTCTTACGTCTATTCCCACAACGACCGCGACGATCCGGAGCCGCGCAGCGGTAAGCCAGTTGCGATCCCCTGAGCCCACCCTCTCCACCCCTGTGCTTGTGCCTGCGCCTGGGAGCGACGATTGCGATTATTGTTCGATCCCGCCGCACCCACACCCGCGCTCGGACTTGGACTACTAAGCGCATACTCCCACGTGAGCCGGCCATCGACATAGAGACTATACTTCAAGAGACTTTGCGGTCCCGCGCCTTGCGCCTCGCGCCTGAGGTTCCGGATCTCGACCACCCCGACTTTACTGTTCCCGTCGGGGATGTACGTGATGGGCACGTCCTCGTCGTCGACCTGCCGGAACGTGCGGAAGGGGAGGTAGAACATCGAAAGCGGGCCGCATGAGAATTCGTGCGGTCCTGCACTGGCGGTCTGGTCGCGCTGGATGGGGACAGATGTATCGCTGGCTTCCGTGGCTTCGGTTGTGGCAGCAGAGATTGGCGCAGCCGCAATCACCGGCGGGGGGTACCTTATCGCTGCGAATTCGTGTCTGTCCCCAGAAAGGATGATCACGCGGATGCCGAGTTCGCGCTCGGCGTCGTGCATGGCTTGGAGGATGCGTGCGCGTTCGGCGAGGAAGCCGCCCCATGTGTCGGAGGTGCCGAAGCGCCAGTTCTTGGTGAAGGGGACGGAGCTGGCGATGATTTTCCAGTGTATGTGCGCTGGCTCGGGGGTGGCGAGGTAAGACAGTAAAGCGGAGAGCTGTTGAGCGCCGAGCATGCTGTGAGCGTTGGAGTTGAATGAATCCGAAGGTGAACCAGGGATTGCAATTTCGGGCGGGAAATGGGTCGTTTTTGGTTCGGGCTCGGTACGGTACCGGCGGGTGTCGAGCATGAAGAACGAGGCCGGGCCGTGCGAGAATTGAAAGTACGTCGTGTTGCTGTCGGGGCCGACGGGCGCTCCGGGCGGGACGGGTGGATTGACAGAGACATGGTAGTGGATGAAGGGGTCTGAGGCGGCAGGGAAGGGTTCGGTCTCGTTCCCGGCGGACCAGTCGTTTGCGATCTCATGGTCGTCGAGAGTGTGGATCCAGGGCAAATTGTCGAGCCCTGGCAGGGACCACGAGGGGGAAGCATACACGCGGCGGTATTCTGCCCGATAATGTGCCACCGAGTAGGACAGCCGGATCGGCACGTCCACGTAGATAAAGTCGCCCAGGAAGAGCATGAACGAGGCCGGAGACGGTAAGGACCTGGCGACCCTCGACAGATAGCTGAAGCCGTGGATTGCCAGCGAGTGCGCGTTGGCACGGTACGGGAAATTGGCCTTGATGCACGACGAGGTGAGGAAGGTCAAGCTGTTCGCTGCGTCCGAGTACGGTGCTGGCGCGGTGGTAAACGTCCCGGACTTGTCATTGGAAAGCGAATAGATATACTTCCTTGCAGGCCGGAGACCGTCAAAGGTAAGCGCATAAGTGTAATCCGTGTCCGAGCCCATCCAATATATCGTGTCGGTGGTCTTCCATTGCGTCCTGTCGGCTGGGGACAGGTAGACGTATATAGGGAATTGGGCTGGGTCCGGCTCCCTGATCAGCACTTTTGCAGACGTTGTATCGACATATCCGACTCGCACGAAGCTCAAGTCCTTCTCCGCGTGAAGGAGAGGGCCCCGGAAGACTAGATCCAAGGTGAATAAGGCAAGCAGGACATTGGCCGCAATTGTCAGGAAACTCTTTCCCGGGTCCCGCCAGTTGGGTATCCCGAACAGGAGCGTCTTGAATAGAGCCTTCTCGTCCTCATACAATGCAGGCTCGTGATGGTCGTGTATGATCGGCGCCTCCTTCTCATCACGTTCCTTGTTCTCGTCCTCGTCGGGATGCGGAAACAGCTTGGGAAATGCTTCATGCAGCGTCGGCTTGCTCGAGCCGAATGCTTCGGACCAACCGAAGACAGTGCTCAAATATATCGCCAGCGCCGTCAATACGGTCGGAGGCCAGGGCCAGCCGGGGATCTAACACGCGAGTCAACAATCTGATCCTCAGCTTGAGGTGGTTCTCGGAGTGCGCACCCATCGTAGAAAGACGAAGGCAGCAAGCCTGAGTATTGTCGAGCTCGTCCCAGCGACAATTTCTGGTGTGGACGGCATTTTGATCGATGAAGGAGCTGCTCACTGCCTAGGCAGCGACGAGCCATGAATTTCACATGGTTGTCCAAAAGTTGGTAAGTAGCAGATGTGAGGTCAGGTATGAAGCAGGCTTGTGGTGTGAGTGCGTGTCGGTTTGGGGCGCCAATGACGCAGTGGGCAGGGATCGGAATTGGAAACCATTCGGGCGTGATAGGCGGACAACGACACTCTCGAACCATGAGACAGTGAAGCATGCCGGCAATGACAAATTTGACATGGGGCTAGGGAACGGAGTACCATCATGGTCGAGGTGTTTCCATGACGGCCGACGACATTATCACTATGCAAATATTCAAGAAACACCTCATCATGCGCCCAGTTGCTTTTGGATCGACGCTCACAAAAACACACCATCTCCAAGCATGAGCATGCCCCATTATCTTCTTGTCCAAGAATGCTCATCAATTTCCGTTCATGCTGTAGAAAGTGACTTCGCTGCTGGGTCCATCGAAGCTCCCGCCGATTGCCCAATTGGAATAGCCGCCATCGCCCACGAGGTTAAATGTGCCATGGTCGAAGACCCAAACCTCATACCCTTTGGTGAAGCCCAGAGCGATGTCGAATTCGACATGTGCATGAGTGGCATCGTACAGATCGTAGCCGCAGTCTTGATTGTGGTAGACCAGAACGTTCATGGTGGGATATAGATCTCGAAGGGTTGACACGATGCCTGTGGTATATTGTCCTTCGGCTTCCTCGATCTCATCTTCAACGAGGTCGACCAAGCCTTCGATGCCTTCAATCACGGCCTTAGCAGCGCCAATGATCGCAGCCACGTCGACAAGCACTTGTAATTGGCGTCTGTCGACGGGGGCTTCGCTGACCAGGCGAGCAGGGTGGTGGACGTTCTTAGTGGGTGCGCTTATGGAGGTGCCGAAGAAGGTAGTAACCGAGACGAGGAAGTAAAGGAAGGATGGGAGATACATCGTCGATATATGTCCTGGAGATGGATGCTGTGGTATGGTGGACTCGGGCGTTCAGGGTATCACTGGGCAGTCAAGGGGAGTAATTGTTGAGGTCTGTCCATCCTCGATCTTTGACGGACTCTTATATAGATCTCGCCGGGCGTGTTCACTCAGGTCCCTTCCAGACCGTTCATCAGGCGAAGAGTTGGTACACTTACCGTGGGGGCCTCCTTGACCCGAGTCTCAACTGGTCGATAGGATGAAGTCAGGCGCATTTCGAAATGTAAAAGGAAAACAAAGCGTAGAAGGCGGCGTGCTGAGACGCTCTGCTGTTGTGGGGGCCAACGACGCATCTGCGCCCCAAACCAAAATGCAGGTGGTGCAGAAGCTTCATGCAACAGCGGGAAGTCCATCATGACATGGTGCCTTCGCAGTGGTGAAGCAAGTCAAGGCTTGAGGCTGAGCGTGAATGGAATGGAACGGCTCGAACGGTCGCAGAAGTTTGCGTGACCGACACCAATGATCGACCGTAATACTTGCGGTTGGCCACTTGATATCCATCGAATGCTCCCCCGTGTCTTTCCCTACTTTTCTTTGCACCATTTTCGGTCAAGTCGATTTGATCAAGAGAAGATGGTCGGCTGGGAGTCGCGGCACCTCTACGGAGGACAGTACCAGTGCAACATCGCTTAGCTACATGCTCCGTATTCAGCGAGGGCAACCTTACATCGGGCCTCCCATGGCGCTTGGCCCGAGCACACGCGCAAGCGGACTTGATGTCGAGATATGCGCGAGCTGCTGTCTTTCTTTCCTTATCTCCTGATCGCGCAAACCTAACTAACGGCTTTGACCACATATCCCAGCTGTATCACGAATTTGTGCGAACGCGCCCCGAATGCCACCCACGAGGTCCGCATTGTTCGCTGCTGTGCTCGCTGTGACACCAGCCTAATACCATCCCGGGGTAGTGCGGGGGCGGTTCACACGCAGTAAGGCAGCTATAGCAAGAGCTAGGCTAACGTGTAGTCTACACAGTACAGATTCGGCAGGTCTTGAGACTTCTAGACCGCTCCCGTTAGCTTTGGTGCTGTTGGTGCGGCTGGGCCCTCATCTCATGCGATACCATTCGGTCGTTACCACATTGCATATGCAAGAACGGCACAGCGCCTCGTTGGAGAGAATGCGCCTTGTGAAAATGAGGCTCTGCTCGACTTCTAGGGACTACCCCGATTGGCAATCTCTGTGCAGATGCAGCCTTCTGAACTCCTTTGGCTTCCTCCCTTCCTTCGATGCTTCGGAATGTGGTAGACATGGCACAAGACCAAACAATTTCTCGCAATTCCAGCGAAGCTCATTTGCCGCCTGATCGTGATTCAACTCACAATGCTGACACGTCTCCCACAGTCCAGCACGCTGTTGAGCCTGACAGTCAGTCAAACCCTCTATCAGACGGTAATAACAACCAAGACCGCTCGCCGGCCACGACTGAGGATGGTGCGCCGAATCATCACCAACAACCGGCCTCAGATGTTGAAATACCGGAGCATCCTCGAGTTGATGATGATGCCACAACGGCTTCGGGAGCTCAACCACCGCTACGCCCAGGTGATCCTTCCCCAGTACCGCGTAAACCAGTCGCCCAACCAGTCGTGGTCACCAACGGGGCCGAAAGTCCAGAACAACAGCCAGCTAAGGCGCCGGCACAAAGTGCTCGAGACCATGGAGGATTCTGGCACAATTGGTGGTCGGAGATGACCTTCCTCATCCTCATGTTCGGCGCCTTTGCTGCGATTGTCGCAGTCATCGCCCCATACCAGCATCGTCGACTGCCTTCCTGGCCCTACAGCATCACTATCAATGCGCTCATCGCCGTTTTTACCGTAATCCTGAGAGGCTCTATCCTTTTCATAGCGACAAAAACACTCAGCCAGCAAAAGTGGATTTGGTTCGGTAGTCCCAAAGCGCGGCCATTGATTGACCTTTCTAGGTTTGACAATGCGTCGAGAGGGCCATGGGGATCGTTCCTTCTTGTACTTAGCTTGCATGGGAGGAGTCTCCTGGCAACGCTAGGAGCTTTGATCACTGTCCTCACCATTGCTATCGACCCCTTTGCTCAACAAGTCGTCCACTATTATTCCTGCAGTCAAGCATTCACCGATGTGAATGCTACCATGCCACGCACCGGTCTATTTCAGGAAGCTGGAAGCATTCAGCTTCGAGTCAACGCGAACACGGTGACTCCAGGCCTAGCGTCGGCAATCAATGCAGGCGTCTTCTCTGCGGAAGCGGCTATGCGGATCACCTCGGACTGCCCTAGTGGGAACTGCCAGTTTCCCGAACCTTACCACACGCTTGGCTATTGTTCGAACTGCAGCGACATTTCCGATCAGGTCAAGGTCACAAATTTCGACGTGCCGTATACATTCCTCAACGAGACAAGCATCATACAGGCGTTGAACACTTCCCTCCCTTCTGGCTACAACACGCAATACGTCACCTTTGAGAACGCAACATATCTGGTGACAGGTGTTTTAGATCCAAGTGTCATTGAGCCCGGCACTAACGCGCCCAGTCCCTTTGCTCTCACCCATGAGAAGGACTTCCAGATCCTGTACGGGGCATATACGGATGATAATGTGAACAGTGGCATGTCACATCCTACATGTTCCGAAGCTGAGAAGCACGATGCTCAAACAGAATGGGGATGTCGCGGCTATGGTGCGGCTCAATGCTCTCTAGTACCGTGCATCCGCACGTACAAAGCAGCAGTCTCCAACGGCACCGTCTCCGAAACTCTCATGTCCACGTCCAGGGACTGGGGATACAGTTATCGCGTTTCCAAGGCCTCTGTCCACGTAGGTTTCTCTTTATCTCCTAGCCTGTACCAAGGTCTTAGACCATGCTTCTTCCAGATCACGGTCCCCCTCGAGGACACTTTCTGACGATAATGCAGGTCCCCTGCCTCAGCGCCCAACAGAAGAGCGCCCTAAAAGACCAAGGCTACCCTATCACCGATTCCATGATCTGGCTCCCCTACGACCATAACATTGACCCATCAACCGGTCTGTGGGAACTCAATGCAACGTATGGTACCAACCAGTCGGCCACCGACATCGTCCCGCCAAAGTGTCTGTACGAGTTTTTCTTCCTGTCCATGACAAGCATCAACGAGTACCTGCAAAGCCAAATCTTCAACGGCACCGTCACGGCGTACGGATCGGATGGACGCGCCGCCTTCACCAGCACGAACCCAGTGGTCGCTGCCATTTATAACGGCGGGAACATCTCATTCCCACATGTCGAGTCTCTGTTTGAGAACATCTCCCTGGCAATGACGAGCTATATCCGCCAAAACAGCAACGGCACGTATCTGGGCAGGTATTTCCAAGTCAGCAACACGAGCGTCTCGTTCGAGCCCAATTTCCTGGCTCAGGGAGTAATTTTTCAACAAGACACGTGCGTCGAGGTCCGCTGGCCGTGGTTGATCCTCCCGGGCACTTTGGCCGTGCTTACAGCTCTATTCCTCTGCGCGACCATCATTGAGACGTCGCTCGCTCGTGCTCGTCCTGATAGCTCGTCACTGAAAGATGGTTCGGCAGCGGAAGGTGGAAGCCAAGGCGGTGGACCCACACATCGCCGAGCAGCCGTGTGGAAAGAATCTCTTCTTCCACTCCTCTACCACGGTTTAGACGAGAAGGTAAGGGAGGAACACGACACTTCTGGCTTGACGCCCATTGATGAACTCGAGAAATGGGCAAGGGCGCTCAACGTCAGAATGGACAATGGAGAAAAGGGCTGGAAGTTTGTCAAAGTCGACTAGACATCAACTCGTAAAGCGATATCTACGCCGGAAGTGCGTCCTCTCAAACTGTCCTCTGCCACCCCTGATACGACATCTGGAGCCATTCTAGCAGGAATCCGTACAGCTGGGCCAGGACAGCTAGTCCGCGACTACCCGCTCCAAGATGGTTCCTGATCCTCACCCCTGCCTCGCCACTGTCTGCCCTCCGACAAGCATGTATGGATGTGCACCGCGATAGCGGACAACATACCAATATGCAGACAGCTATAGCCTCTATATACTCAGCCTTGTTTCCTACACTGTACAAAGGGCCAGTGGGGCTGTCTATTGACTCCTCTAATGCCACATTTCCTACTCATCTAGTCAAACCCTCCCTTTCCACACCGCCATGGCTGCTGCTGACGCTGCTTTATTGATCGTACCCCCATCTAAGCTGTCACCATTCTAGAGCAGTGGGACAGGCAGGGGATGGAGAGGCATTCAAGGAGGCGCAAAAATAGATGAGGGAAGAAGGATATGATTTCCGAGTATCTGATTCTCGTCCACTCTATGAATACGTCGCGTTGGTATCAAGGATCTACAAGTCGTGTTGTACAAATGTCATGTCGGTAAGCGGCCATCGCGGGAACTTGGCAAGTCTCTCATTCTCGCCCAGTGATGCTGGATTACCTGTTCGGTCGTGGACATTTTAAGGGAATCGATGACGGCCACACGTTCCGTGCCGAAGTTGGAACAGCGCGGGATCCGTCGAAGTACTGTACGTAGCTAGTCAGGCATGGCGGTATAGTGTTGAGTCGGTGAGCCTGCCCCAAAGAGGGACAGGTACCGAGAGGCACAGGCGAAGGGACCCGTTGGCCGTTCTGCCACATTCCTCTTTACTGTATCACTTGCGTTGTATGCTCGGCGATATGGCGCGCTTGCGGGCTGTCGCCGGTGCCGACTGCAGAGCATCTCATCCTGTTGATCCATGTCGACACAGTGAGCAGCCAGGGCGTGGGCAGGTCTTCGTGAGCCATCGCGACACCGTTAGCAGCCAGGACGGGGGCAGGTCTTCGTGTTCGATCCCGACTGTTTAGAGCGTCTCGTCCTGTTGATACGTCCTGAGACAGTCAGCAGCCAGGATACGAGCAGGTCTTCGTGGCCCATCTTGACAGCAAGAGGTCCGGGCAATCGCACTCTTTTCGACCCGACTTGCCACAGCAGATTGCTTGGGTCGGTCTTTTTGCCTCTGACTCCCGATTCTCTTGGGGAGACACATGACAAGTAGCCTCACCACCATCTCTTTGCACCCACATGTCACCGATTGACACCAACCCTCGCGAGCCCCCTCCCCAACTGCACCACCATAGCCGCATCCCGCACCTTCTTCATCCCCATGCACAAACCCATACAATAAGCCCACATCCAAGCCCGATCGCCCCCCTCCTGCGGCAGCGCATCCCAATACTCCCAGCCCATGACGCCGCCAAACCTCGGGTACCGCTCCACCAAAAGGCTCAACACCGCGGCACTCAGCTCCAGTGGGACATACCCGCTCCCGCCGTGCTTGGGGTTCGTCAACATCCCCGCGACGACGCGCTGGGCATCCCACCCATTGCGCATGATCTCGTCGTACGCCTCTGTCGAATGCAGCCCGCCCCACCCATTGTAGAACTGGGCATTATACCAACCGATCTGTGGCCCGCGCATGGATTCTAATACGCGATAATCAAAGCCCGACAAGTGGCGCCGGCCGGCCATCAGCGCCGTCGCCACGGGGGCCAGCGTGATCAGGAAACTGGGCCCAAAGTCCTCCCGCAGCCGATCGATCAAGTGCACGATCCCCGGGAGGGACATTTCCTCCTCGACGTCCAGGTCCAGCCCGTCGAGCGCGTGCCGGCGGATCAGGTCCCTCAGGGGGATGTAGTAGGCTTCGAAGCGCGCGAGGGGCACGTCCGTGCGGGATTCCGAGTAGTCCAGGCGCGCGAACGTGCCGCGTGCCGCCCCGCCCAGCATGCCGAGCACTTTGATCCCGCTGTCCTGCAGCACGAGCACCTCGTCCCACAGCTGCGTGTACTTGGTGTGTGTCGAGGGGTCGTCGTTCAGCGTCACGTTGCCGGGATCCCAGTTGACGTGCAGCGCCGCGAGGATCACGTGGGTGATGCCCGACGGGTTGGTCAGCAGCGGGAGGAGCGAGCAGTACTCGTCGTCGTTGTGGTGGTATGTTTGTTGGTAGCATACTATCCGTGGTTTGAAGGGGGGGAGATCTGTCGGGACTGGGACTGGGACGGGGACTGGGACCGGCGGCATGGCGGTGGTGGCTACCTACCTACCTCTCGATCAAGCAGTGGGGATAGGAGAATTGCGCCTGGAGAGTTGGTTTCCACACGTCCGACGTGAAGAGAACCAAAGAGAGGAAGATTGAAGGGAAGGGGAAGTGGAAGCACCAAATGCCAAGACTTGTCCGCGGGGCTGAAACTCTCACGACCCGGTGGCAGGGCAAGGCTGAGCGTATAGTTTGTAGAGGCAGGCTTACTGTAAAGTAGAACACTTGCTGTCATCAATACCCCTGGCAGGGTAGAGTACAGGGTTCCTAGCCGCAGTGATGAGACATACTTGGGCATGGCCGAAGGGACTGTTCAACCATAACATGTCCATGTAATTCCACACATTCATCGTACTCGAGAGAAAGCCTCGGAAATCGCTCGTGACATTGCATGTTGCTACGATGGAGTCTAATTTTTAGTACTGCCTGACGGCGTCGATACCAGACCTAGCCCCGACCCCCCAGAGATGATCAAGAACAGCCATCCGGAAACCGTGCCCTCCTTAGCCCCGCTCTCTCCTTTCGTGTATATTGCTTTTTCCAACCGAACCTCTCATAATAGTTTCATCGTACATTCAGCGGCAAAAGCGGTGCCCCTCTGAACCCAGCACCCAGACTGTTGTCCATAGGGCCCGGTTCTGTAAGTTCAGATCCACGCATCGTGTTCAAAGTACCCATTCCCACGCCCATGCCGACGGCCAAGCCTTGCCTCATCCTCAACGGCGAGTTCAGGGCCGGTGCCGGCGCCAACTTCAATGTCCGCAGACCACCATTGCCGCCTATCATCGGATCACCCCCGACAGGCACCCCGATTTTCATGCTCTGGCTTTGAGCCTGAGCTTGCATGAGCATATCGTTCTGCTGCTGCATTTGCTCGAGCAGTCGGTCATTGATGATCTGGGAGGCCGTTTGAGCGGGTTCAAGAGGCAGCATGCCTGGTGGGAGCGCTTGCACGCCCTGTATGCCTTGCATGGGCGGGTTCCGGGCTAGTGGCCCGCTGCGCAAGGATTCCGCATCTCCCATGATTTTGTTTTGTGATGATGACGCGGAGGATGTCTTGCGGCGAATGAGTTGCGGTTGCACGGCCGATATGGCCGTGCCGGGGATGCCAGATTCTTCTTCCGTCATGCCCATAGGAATCGGGGTCCGGTGCATCAGCCCGTTGATATTGTCCTCTAGTCTGTTCCGGGAGTGGGACCGGGACCGACTTCTACTAGCGAGGCGTAATGGCAAGGGAGGCTCGGCGGTAGAAGTAGGAGTTGCACTTCTCGACTGGGGCGTTGCCAACGGTCGACCAACGAAGGAGGCATGGCTTTGCGGACTTGGCGCCGGGTTATGTGGAAGTCCCGTCGCACTCGAGATGGAGCCGTTGGTCGGTCTGCGCACGAGGCGCTGCATACGTTCTCCTGACGAATCGCCTCGTATCCGGGTCAGGGATCGTTCGGGGGAGGTCGAGGCGAGCGGATCACGAGCTGCGTGAGATGACCGGGGATTAGATCGCGGAACTTGACGCAATCCTGCTTCACGGTGAGCTTCTGTCACTTCCGACACAGGAGGAATGGAGGGCAACTTCTTGTTTGTCGTGCCGTAGGCGGCCATGATGTGAGCGAAACTCAGATCCGAGGGTATCTGGCTCAATCGCTTGATTGACTGTTTGTTGAAGTTCATGAAGCCGGAGATGGATTGAAGGGCATTCCGCGATTGATGTGCTTCGAACGAGGACGGGGCCTTGGCACTCGACGCTGCCCGTGCTGTATGCGAGTCGGCCAGGCGAATTGGACGGCCTTGGTCTGCACTGACGCCGGTGGAACTCGAGTAGTCCGACCTGGATTGGCTGACATCCACTGCTTGCTGGGCTTGAGAGACGACTTGGGCAAAGAAAATGTCTTGATCGGCGTATCGTGTCGAACGGAAGGGCTTCCTGGTTTCGCTTGAGGCCGTGAACGCTGTGCCCTGCGCCAGGATGAAGAAAGATCCATCGCGAATTTTGCGTCGCAGCAAGTTCCACCGAGTCCGGGCCGGGTTCTTCTCGAGTTCTGGGCGGTAGATGGATTCTCTGGATAGTCGAGAGAAAAAAGTATCAAGCCGCTCGGCCACTCGTTCCAGGACGGAGAGCAAGTACGTGCTGAGACTGACTAATCTTTGCTTGTCGGTGGCCGAGTTCATTGAGTCGATGACTTCGAACGCGTCCATCCCAAGACAGACATCCTCGCGTACTTCTTCTAGGAACTGGACATCCAGCTCGGTCACCGCCCGGGCATATCGCAGGATACCGTTCTCTTGGAACTGAGCCTGTTGGTTGTTACACACGAATGAGCCAATCTGTGCAATCTCGTTGGCGGCTGCTGCAGACGCCGCAGAGGCTTGTGCCCTCGTAATGGTGCCGATGACATCTGGCACTCGAGTGCCTGGTGTGCCCGAATTCACCAGGGCAAAAGTCAGCTTCAAATGGAGCTCTTGAAGCTTTGCACCAAACAGAGTCGAGAATCCGTTCTGCATCAACCGAGACTGGAACTGATAGAATTTTCGAACCCCGCCCATGTTGAACAGGTCACCCTGGAACCAGGTCCGGGCATCTCGTTGGATGTAGTCGACCTCGAAATGCAACGTGGTAAGGGCTTCCACGCAGTTTCGGAGGTACTGGTACCAGAGGTCGTAGATGCTACTGAGTTCAGTCGACCGGAAGTCGGGCTTCGTTGCGAGATGGCCAATGAAGTACTTTGACAGCAAGCTCATCACTTCCGGGTTCGTTGTGTGAGCCACGTCATCAAATGTCTTCGACGCATCCAGGCCGGCACTGGCCTGAGCAATAAGTGTGCCGCCGGGGTGAATGGGCAAAAAGTCAGTAATATCGTACACTCCACCGTGGACGCCGATGTACATCCGTGACCCCTTGCGATGGCCGGTGTTCAACGCCAGCTTCGACAAGGGTATTCGGGGAGTAGCGTAGCTGATGGGCCGTGGTGACATGAAGATATCTAGCATGAAGCGCCGTTCTGCAAAAGCTCTAGCCAGTAGGCTGTCTGCTGACTCTTTCGTAGATGTCCAGTTCTGGTAGATGGCTTGTCGAATACCAGACATGATTGTCTCGTACATTGCCAGGGAGCCACAGACATACAAGTGTCCGCCGAGACCACCCTGGCTCTTCGAGATGACCAAGTCACACACCGTGCGACCTTGCTCGACAATAGCAGCATCGAGATACCGAGGAGGCATCTGCTTTTCGACCAGCTCGCGTGACATTGGATCAAAAGCCAGGCCGTTCTTGTCTCTGGAGAAGGCAGTATGTAGTTCGATCTGGCCGCTTCGGACATAGTCTCTGAGCTCGTGTTCGTATGACAACCGCTCCCTCGACTGCACTCCGAGGAACAGGATGTTTCTTCCCACACTGGTCTGCGCTCTTGCTTGCCAGAAACCCCTGAAGGGTGCAATACCCGAGCCGCCAGCGAACATCGCAACGGGACCGGTAATTGTGGCGGGAAGCTGGAAATTGAGGGGCCGCGAAATTCCAATCAGGTATTCTTCGTCGTCAATCATCTCTTCGGAATGCGATGGCTCCGGGTTCAGGCAGCCACTACTGACTCCATAGCGCTGATTGGTCGTCGATGCAGACTGCAGGACCGGTGCCAGCTGATACTCGTTGCGCGCAACAGTCAGGTCAAGGATGCTGGGAAGCAGTTCGCTGGAGTAGTTCGAGATGCTGTACGTTCTTGGCACCTCGATCGGTATCAGTTTCGGAAGCCACGAGAGATCAGCCAGGTCAAATGCCCTGTCCCATATCGCAGGAGAGACTTCTGAGACGGCAAGCTGCAGCATATCTCCCACGGTGCCCTGAACGGGCCACATTTCAGAGCCCAGAACTTTGACCACGGTCGATGAGGAGGCTCGCAAAGCCATGTGAAAAGCCATGACCAGGTCCTTCGTCAAGGGCGCCAAATGGCCACGTCGAAGAATATCTCGCACCGTTAGCCAACTGTCCTCACCGGTCCCGTTCAGAGTCTTTAGATGCTTAGCAAAACGGCTCCAGTCGGGCGAATGCGAGACGGGCACTTTGACTTGGAGCAGATTGTCCAGTCCTAGAGCGGCGGTCACCTTTCTGACTTCTGTCCAGCTGTTGAGAGGCATAATGGCAAGTCGATCTCCAGGTTGGAATGTCATGCCAGTTCCCTCGAGACCAAAAGTCACCATGGCAGTTGACCGAGATGGATCAGTGTCGACGAAAGAGCGAGATAAAATCCTGGCTTTGAACCTGCATTCTTCGAACGATCCACGCAGCTCGTGCGGCTGTATTGTGACTTTGCCCCTGAATGGTTCCAGGCGCTCCCGCATGGATTCAGAAAGTGTTTTGTGAACTTCTTCCCATGGTCTCCCGGCATCGTCTCCTGAGCCAGCATTGCCATTTGTCTCGCTACGCCCCGTCTTTGCAACGACTTCCAGGAAGCCGTAGACCTTATCTGTGCACCGGTCAGCTAATTGAATCCCGCAGCACTTGGAAGAGGAAGCGGGAACATACAACGGTGGGTGCCGAACCAGCCTCGTTCCGACAGATAGGCCTCCAAGATGCCTTCCATCACCCCCATTAACCGCGGGTCACCAGATTCTTTGACGAAGGCAGGAACTTGATAATGATACTCGATGGCGGCAATGAAGGCTCGGATATTCATTGGCAGCCAAGCTCGGAGGTGAAGGGCTTCTCTGCCGAGGAAGCTGTCATATTTCCTCCGCCCGATGAATGCGTCCATCAGCAGAAAGACCGGAAGCGCCAGACCTGACAGAGCTGGCACTCGTTTTGAAAGAGGAGCACTGAATTTTGCGTATCTTTGACCCCACTACGAGCCATTAGTCTCACGAGGCTCGAGCAGATCCGAGTCACTTACCTCGACAGGATTCGCAAAATTCTCGCCCGAGTTCGGGTTGACACTGATCTTCTGAAAAACATGGACGAACCTATCGACGATAGCTTTCAACTTGATGAGTTCTCGAAGGAGGCCCTCTTTGTCCCTCAACATGACCCTTTCTTGACATCTTGTGATCAACTCGACGCCCTGTGTGAAGCAACCATGTGTCTCTGCCATACAGAGGAGAAACATGGCCTCGCCTCGGTCGTTGAAGACTGGCCATCGCAGATCCATGTTTTCACATCGGGCAACGTAGGGGTTGATGCTGGTTGGATCTCGGAGTTTGTAATTGTAGACCGACACATCATACTGAGTCAAGTGAGGCAGTACCCTACCCATTCTCGTGCAGATTTGTCGCAAAGGTATGGCAATATTTCGCGGGATGCCCTTCGTCTCCTCTTCTTCATCATCTGTCTCACCAGACAAGTTTCTGAATGTCCCAGGTGGGGCGGTGACGCTGATGCCTTCATGCCCATCGTTGCGTTCTTCGTATCGGTAAACGCTCGCAAGAATACCTAGGCAGACAACGGCAGCCCACAGAGCCTGATCCGGAATGACATCTTCCGTGCCGTAGATGAGAGGCAAGGCCAAGATCGATTCACGCATCTTGCCACGTGCAACAACCGCTGGCATTCGCTCACACAGGTCGGACCATATTCTTCCAGGTGACATCGCAAGCGCGGCGGGTGCTGCCGAAGGATCCGGAGGGCAGAAGCCATGTGTGCTGGTCAAGTAACCATCACGCCATCCTGTGCGAGGACCAAGCTCTTGGGCACGGTTAAGCACTTGACGAGCAGGAGCACCCAGGGCAGAAGCAAGGACATCGAGGTCTGGTGGATTCAGATGGTCTGCATTCGCCAGGCCATTGGTGACCGATCTGGGTGGAGCGTCGGGAAGCAGCATCTCAGTGATGGTTTGTCTCTCCTGCGATACGAGGTCCTCTATCGATTGGCCGTCCGCAGGGATCTGCTGGTATTAGCAAGGTTCCAGCACCCGCTCGGGTAGATACTTACGCCTTTGGGCGTGTAATGTGTTTGCGTGGTCATCTGGTACGCTGCAAAAGCGCAGCCTCGAGGCCCGACTCGTTGAGCACCGCCTGGGCAAACCGAGCCTGGGCCGCTCTTTTGCCCGCTGACAGGACATGATCTCTCTGACATGGTTGATAGTATAAAACAATGCTCGCTCAAATTATCACAATGCAATAGCAGGGGTATCACTTCGTAATTTTCGAACAAAGGCTTGAAGCAAATGCAGGTTGACACAGTCTAGAAAGGCGAGTGACCGGCACTTGGAAGTGAGTCCAGCTCCAGGTAAGGAAAAGAAGGTAGGGTCTAGACGTGTGGTGGACGGAACGGAAGTGCAGACCTACCGTGTATATAAACTGCCCCAAAGTAAGCATCTTAGGCCAAAAACTTAAGACTCGGAAGGAGGCCGAACTTGGAACGTCTGTCGATCTTGGCCAATTGTTACGTGACCGAATTGGCCAGGGGATCATGGCTTGTTGAGCGTGGACGTTTTCAGCACCGATGCTGTGGATGAAGCAAGCGCTCAGCCTGTCAAGCAGGACGATCTCCGACGTAAGGCTTCCGCCAAGATCGCTTGTAGACGGGATCAGGTTAGGGATAGTAGCGAGGGCCAGAGTCATCTTGCATCCGGAATGAGCGCTTTCATGGTCGAAAGGGGCCAAGTATGGTGGATCAAGCAAAACAATTGGGCTGAGTGTGAAAGAAGGGAGAGAGCATGGGGAATACCAAGAGTTCCCCGTGGTATCAAGAGATGGTCGATGCGAAGTCAAGGGATGACAGGTGCTGAGGCGACTACTGAAAACCACTCGTAGAACGTGCTGTAGTTGTCAGTCTAGCCCAAGAAATGCAGTGACCGAGCAGCCAAGAAGGCTTGACTTTATGAAACTTGTTTGAGGTTCCGGCTCCCCCTTTTTCCGCCCTTTGGCGCGCGTTTCATGCTCGGAGGCGTCCAGAGACATATCAGCTCACGATCGCATGTCGAGGGTGCGGATGAAAATAGAGTGCTCAGGGGTCGAGTCCAGACGCGCGGGAGACTTGTTTTATCCACGATGAAGGGTGAAAGAGTAGGGAGACGACTGAGAAAAAACAAAGCGGAATGCTACTGGAGCCTTGTCGGCCACCGTAACCGCACGTGCCATTTACGGTGAAGTATTGGTAACCACAGCCGCTGGGCCCGTCATACAAATTTGGTACCACAATAAGTCTGCCACGTCTGCCGCTTGAGAGCAGCAATACTGTACTGAATTGAAACTGAATCAACATCCTTGCTGCGCCGAGCACATCATATTCCACCTCTGCTATATCTCTTCATGTCATCTGGCAATATATGCCTACAGGAACTTTGCCGTGGCGCTCCACATTCCATCCGTGGGCACCTTCTCCCGCACCCTCATGTGAAACGCAGCTCGAACGACGCAGGGAGCCTCACCTGAGCTTACCTTGAGGACGGGAGTGGCTCTTCTCAAACTATGGTGAAGATGCTGAATGCGCTCCCAGCTCGGTGAAATCAAGCAAGATGGCCAAGATGGCCAACAGGGAGACAAGCTCACTTTACACCGCCATGTCCGAGCTCATTCTGGTCCGCCTCGAACAAAACCTACTATTGTGTAGTACCGCAGCGCCAAGATGATTGACACCCACTGGGATACCATTGCGAGTTAAGTCACACTACATTTTCGGTTCCTGCATGGTGCAGTCCTGGCGTGCCTGTTCAACTTCACGTCATTTCCCCAACTTCCCCAAACATGGCCCTGACCGGCGTCCCGTTTGGAGTTTGCGGAAACCGGACATCCATGAGAACGGTGTGAGTGCGGATCGTAGACGGAGCTTCGAGAAGCTCAGACTGAAGCGCTGTCCCGACCGCACTTCATGCTACCGCTGCCACTGCGGTGGTGCTCCAAGCCACTTGACCTGTCGGCAACAATCCGTGGGGTTCAGATTTAGCATGCCGCTACAGTGACAACCTCGTGCATAATGGTAAGTGAGTGTATCGAAGCTTTTGGAGACAGCTCCGGTTGTTATGATATATGTAGCGAGCAGCACACCTGTCTCGAAACATATAAGACGTGATTATTCGCCCAGCAATCTGTGGCCAACTCTCCGGGCTGTTGAAAAAACCATTCAGGATTGACACAAGCGCATGATGAAGATTCTCGCGTTCGTCGCACTCACATTCGCGGCGGTCGTGGCAGTACAGCAGCAACCGCCGGGGATATCACAACCGATCGTGGAAGATTGTGGGTTCGGCGGCTCGGTGGTGTGTGTGAACAGATATGTGAGTATGATATAATCAGCAATGCTCGAGCGAGAGGCATAGCCGGACCTGCTGAACATCAGCCCAGGCAGCCGTGCTCCCCTACCACTTCAACCGGTCAATCACGTCCCTAGCGGCGGACTATGACTTCCGCAACACGAGCGTGCCCAGCGCACCGAGCTTCTCCCTCCTGGAGAACGCGAGCTTCGTCGTCTTCGACCGCGCCCGCGGCCTGCAGTATCTCGGGTCCAACCCGGCGTACGAGTTCATGTTCGCAGTCGGAGACAATGTGCACGAAGCACCCGTCTACGTGCCGGAGCTGAACAAGCTGTTCATGTCGCAGCTCCCGCCCGTCGTAGCTCCCATCTCCACCATGTCGCAATACCTTCCGCAGCTAGTGATCGATCTGAACCGCCAACCGCTCGCCCTGGAAGAATACATCACCGAACCCCCCATCTTTGCTCCCAACGGCGGCGTCTACCACGACGGCCGCATCATCTGGGCCTCGAGCGGCGGGTTCAACAGCTCAGTGCTCAACGGCACGGAGCAGCGCATCGCCCTCCACGCCGTGGACCCGACGACCAACGTCTCCACCGTGCTCCTGAACAACTACTTCGGCTTCTACTTCAACAACATGGATGACGTGGCCGTACATCCTACGTCCGGGGACCTCTTCTTCACAGACCCAGACTACCCGTGGTTCAACGGGCGGGTGGACACGGCGCCCCAGCTCCCCACGGCGAGTTACCGCTTCAACCCGGCCACGGGGGCGACGTTCCTGGTCGAAGACACCATCGACCAGCCCAACGGCATTGCGTTCTCGCCCGACGGGTCCACGTTGTATATTACCGAAACGGGCGCTCTGACAGGGAGTATCGACCCGGCGGTGGGGCCAGGGACGAAACACTACAACACCACGGGCAGGCGGTCGATCTACGCGTTCGACGTGGCTGAGAATGGCACCAAGATCAGTAACAAGCGCGCCTTCTACCTGGCGCAGGATTACATCCCGGATGGGCTGAAGGTCAGTCGCGAGGGCCTGGTGCTCACGGCGACGGGACATGGCGTCGACGTGCTGGATCCGACGGGGCAGCTGGTGGTCCGCGTGCAGACGAACCATTCGGTGCAGAATGTCCAGTTCACGGGCGAGAGGCTGGATACGCTGTGGATGTTGGGCAACAAGGGTATCAGCAGGGTGCATTGGAACATTACGGGGCAGGTACCCAGGTAGGTAGGTAGGTAGGTAAGTGCCGGGGGCCGTGTCTACATAGTAAGTGGGCCTTCGGTACAGAGGGTGATATGACAGCGCCCGGTATCGATCTGCCGTTCTGTCACATAGCGTGGCTACATACACCATGATGGGAAGTGGCTCTGCCTTGGATCCGCGACAGGGCGGTACTCCGTACGTAGCTCAGTTGGTTCTTATCGACTTTGGGTCACCATAGTCCACCTTACATATCTATCCTATACGCCAGTGGAGTAGACGTAGTGTGCAAACCCAAGATGCCCGGATGGCAGATCGAATGTTCTTCGACTACTTTGGCTTCTGGGGTCCTGGCGCATATAACTCATGATTGATAATCCTTGACGGTAATGAATGAATTATGTGCCTGCTGCTATCGGACTGCTGTTCAGATGTGCCGAAAAGGCAGTTCTCAATCGGCTAACTTGACGACCAAGGACGACTCTTCCTTCGCGGTCCGGTCGAGAACACCTCCAAGCTGATAGACTACCAGGTACCTAGGTAACAACCAGAAGGTCCACAGCTAAACACGGAACTCCGTGCTCAGCATTCAAGGAGCGCATAGACTGGATATCTCCTTATGACTATGAACCTTTGTTGAATCCTATAGTCATTACTCGTCCAACGCGTGACTAGGATTCCAAAGAAGGGAAATTTGTGGGTCTCGCATCAGTCCAGCAGCCTTCCAGCGACCCATTTCTTCGACCCATTTCTTCTTTACAACACTACCGCGACTCTGTCACGACCATCAGCATGAAGTCTGCGCAAGGTTATACCCACAGCGCCGGCCGCTTCGAAATTCGTCTCGTAGACCTTCCAATTCCACAGCCGCCACCAGACCAGGTTCTTAGCAAGGTTGTCGTCTCTGGCACCAACCCTAAGACTGGAAATACCCAGTCCTATTCAACGGTCCGAAGGACATGAATATAGGCGATGCTATTACTGGATATGTCGAGGCGATGGGATCCAACGTCACGGAGTTCAAGGTCGGCGATCGTGTTGGTGCGTTCCACGAGATGACGACGCAGCATAGTTTGTTCGCCGAATACGCCATCGCGGTGGAGAAATTCACGTTCCACCTAGCGAAGCAGACGTCATTTGAAGAGGCGGCTACCATACCACTTGCAGCCATGACGGCGGCCTCGGAGCTTTTCTGTTCTTTGGGCCTACCTGAGCCATGGGCCATGCGGTCTCAGGCTTAAGACGATGCGCTCACGGGCGGTGTCGACGTTTATGGCGCCGCTTCAGCGGTGCGCGCTTTCGCAGTCAAACTGCTCAAGAGGGCACGGGTACACCCGTTATTTCTGTTGCGGGGCGAGGTATTTCCTTCGTCGAAAGTCTGCTCGATAAATCCAAGGGCGATATCGTGATTGCCTATCGTACCGGCAACCGGAAAGTCTTTGAGGGTATTCAGAGCGCCATCCCTAACAGCAGTAAGCTCCTGTACGCTTTTGACGCCGTCAGTGATGGTACTAGCCCCCAGAATCTTGCGCAGGTACTCGATCCTCACGGCAATGTCACCTTTGTTGTCCCAGGAGCATTCCAGGAGATGCCACCAACAGTGAAGAAAAGCGTCACTCTCGTGTGGGCTGTACATGGCAACCCGATCGCTGGATCTGCAGAAGACTTAAGTGACTTTGGTATGCTTGGTTCCGGCTGTTTAGCTGAGGAATGAACGAGGGATGGTTCACTGGGCATCCATACGAACTTATCCCGGGTGGGCTGAATGGTGTTCAAACCGGACTGCAGAATCTGAAGGACGGCAAGGCGAGTGCTGTGAAGTATGTTCACCGTATTGCTGAACCAGAGGCATTAGCTCCGTACCTAGGTAGCCAGACGTAAAGAGCGGGTGGCCTAATAACAGAGCTGTGGGATATGGAACAGAACTGAGAGTAGCATGAGAGGCAGAGTCGTAGCGTTCACGCCTGTGGGCCTGTCCTGCATTTAATCACTGTGCACCACGGACCTTGGCTGCACAGCTCAATGTATAGGCGCAAGATCGGGCAGATGGCTTGTATCAAAGCTGCAGATATCAAGTCATGCAAATAAATGCCCAAAACATGCGAGGTCAAAAGGGTCAAAAGGACTAAAGTGAGCACACAGAATAATATGAACTGAAGTTGAGTCTAGGTGAAGCTGAACCCAATTGGCAACTGCCAAGCACCTTCCGGATTCTGCAGACCGTCAACAATGGAGGCTGCGCTGCGTTTCACTCGGACCTCGACAACTGCCCGCAGACAGACACGACAGTGTGCACAACAACAATGTCAGCTAACCTTTAACCAGGTAAGTCCTCGCCTGCTTTTTCGAATCGGTAAGTATCTCGATGTCCTAAGTTCTGCGACCTTTCCGCTGACTCCACGCGCAGTCTCAAACACGCCAATATGTCGACGACAACAACCTCCCTCGTGCCCTCGCCCCTCAGTTCGAGCTACAACACGGCCCTGCAGACGACACAGAAAGCCGCGTCACAAGCCTCGCATGCGGTCACAGCTGCCACAAGTCAGGTCTCGCAGCAAGCGCAAAGCCTAGGCTTGACGACACCGAAGCCAGCCGCAGTGTCAACTCCGACGTCAACGCCAGGCAAATTCAGACACCCGTCAACGACGGAAATCTTAAGGCGTAACGCTTCGTCCACTATCACCGAACGGCGTGTCAAGGGCGCATTGACGAACGCTGCGGCTTTGCTCGCTTCCTTCATTTTTAGCGATGTATATTATAGCAGGTCTGTTAGAGCTGGGTTCTTTTTACTGGACCACAACTGACAATCGTTTCCAGCGTGACTCCTCTTCTCAGCAAGACGGGACTACTCGACGGCTCGCAGGTTTCGTCGACCGTGCTCCTCCTTCTCCGTCTCCTCTTTTGCATCAACATAGCACTCCTTCTCCGCCCTTTATTACCCTATGCCCCCAGCCGGGACGAAGTCGACGACATTCCCTTGACGCCATCCCAACGACAACTGTTGGGTCTGGCGCCTTCGACCAAATCTCCGCCCGCTTCAGGAGAGGTATCGGCAAGCTACATCACACCTCCGCGCTATCGACGTGTTTCGAACTCCCAATACTCCGGTGAAAGCAACAACGGTTCCCCTCATGCGTCGACGGGCCGCCGCAGCATTTCCGCAAACTACTCTTCCTCCCCGCTATCGACATCGCGGTTCACCCACGGCTCCTCACCCACGCCCTCCCAATCCATTACTTCACGTCGCACAAATTCCGGCTCACCCAGAGCAAGCCCGCTCTTCCACAGAGCAATTAAGAATCAATCTCAATCGCAGATCTCTGACATTGACTACAACGCGAGCGCATTTTCCTCATTCGGCGCCAGCACAGGCACAAGCGCTAACACCGGCTTTGGTGGCGGAAGCTTAAGTCGATCGCAGAGCATGCGCGAGAGACAGAGACCAGGACGAGATAGCCAGGAGCCGATGTCGCCTTCTCCCACCAGAGGACCTCAGCTCGTGCCTGGGTTGAATTACAAGTGGTTGTACGACAAGGGGAGGAAACTGCCGAAGAGCGAGTCAAGTTATGGGTTTTGAATGGCGCATTCCATACTGGTCCATCCATTGCAGGATATACCTCATGACCTGGAATTTGAGAGACGGACCATTGCGCGGCTCATTGTCGGGGCAAATGCGCACGGTGTACCACAGCACATCGCCGTGTTGATTTCCTTTTCCCTGTACCGTTGCCCCTTCCCAGTCGTGTTCAGGGTATGGATGATATAGGACGGGCACATGGGATATGGACTACGTTTGAGCGTGGCGTTGGACGCACGTGCATGCATGCGTGCTTAGGACATGCATACTCCGTAGACCAGCTGTCGGGCCATCTCGCTCCCATGGAAAGCGGATGTTCCTCCTGAGCTGCCCAAATGAACAACACTTACTCCATGCGCAGTCCTTCAGTGGAACTGACATACGTGGAGCACGATATCCGAAGTACTTGTCCACCAAGCTAGCTACTCACCTACCTGCCGTGTGCCTCTCGACTACCAGTAGCTTCACTCTACGGGTCTGAACATTTTCCGCGCCTCTAGATAAACCCTCTCTCACCCCTCTACTGAGCATCCAGTAATTGTCTACTGTGGACGCATTACCCTTGACGAAGGTGTTTGAACAGCGTCACCGACTTCAATCTATTTGGCGGAATGTGCAGCTCTTCTTGTCCACCACCTGCATAGTATTTGCGGCTGGCTGGATAGAAGTCATGTTCCCCTTACCCTGACGTTTGTGTATGTTTTGCCCATTTCAAGGCTACCTAGGTCCCGCAGGTCCACCGCCTGTCTCTACCTAGTGTGTTTTCATATCTCATAACGAATAAATGATAAGAGCCACCCATATCTACAAAATGTGGTATTTCCATATATGCATCCGTCGTAGCCTTCGGCACCTTTTAGGCACCCTCAACAACTCTTCCCAAACCGCCGATCAAAGTCCCGCAACACAGCCATGACATTCGCCGCGTCAATCTCCAGTGCAGGTCGGCCTTCCACGTTTGTGCGCGGTTCACTGGCATGTAATTTGGGCATCCACTCGCCTATCTCTCCCGCTGCGCGCTCGTAAGCGGGATGGCGGGAAAGAGTCGTGTACGCGTCGGCACATGTCAGAGTCACGCCCGACGGCGCGTGGTGCCCGGACTGAGGCAAAGGGAGGGTTACGGCAGCGGCGCGCGACCGTGTCGTACGGGTTGAGCTGCGGAGAGGGACCACGCTGGTCGCGGTGGCTCGGCGACACGAACTACCCGGCAATTGCCCGCCACAGCATCCCGAAGGAGTGGTCGTGGATTGAGCCCTTGACGCAGCGAGCGACTTGCAGAAGAGCGTGCTGTTGGGGTCGGCGCGGCACTGTGCACATGTTCCTGGTCGTGAAGCACCACATCCAGACGTTCCTTCTCGCGGCAGAGTGGGCATAGAAACATCACCCTCCGAGGGAGGTGGCGTAAACTGATCGAGTTGTCGCGCGGCTGCTCGACTGAGACTACTTACAGTGGTGGCGTTGCTCTGAGCCTGTTGTTGCTGCTCCTGCTCGGCGGCGACTTCCGCGCAGATACAGGGTGTGCCATCCGAGCAGAAGCCACAAGGATCCGCAACTGCAGAAGTTGGGGAATGGTTTTCCTCTCTCCCGGCAGCAGCTGCTGCTGTGGATTTTGAGGAGGTGTAGATTCCTGTAAAGTCAATTTCTAGACACTCTCGCGGTTCGAGCTTGATTCGCTTATCTGTGACCGAGGTGTGCGAGGGCGAATGCGGCCGCTTTTCGTGTTGGTGGACGGAGGCTCCGTCCCCGGACATTGCTGCAAACGCATCATCTATACATTGGCAGCGGGTCTCCAGTGTGCAGTTTCCACAGCCAATAGCTGTGTCGCTGGCGGCGATGTGATCAGACTTGTCCTGTGCTGATGTGGTGAGTTTCGAGGTGGTAGAAGTCGGCTTTTTGAAAGCAGCCAATTCGCTTTCCAGTTTCCGGCATCGATCCATCCAGAGTGCCAGATCCGCCCGGCATTGTTCAAGTTCCTTCCCAAGCTTGCCCACTGTTGTTCTTAGAACTTCTTGCTCATGTTCATTTTCCTCTTCGATCTGCTTCAGTGTCTCTTCCAGTTCGCCCACCCGGGCAGCGCGTCGCTCGCGGAACGCTCGCTGGGCCGCTCTATTCTGCGCTTTCCGTTTGGTAGGAGGTGTATCCGTCGCGGGCTTCCGACCCGGCTTCGGTCGTGGTGGCACGACCCATTCTTTAGTTGTGAGAGATAGTGGTACCGAGCTGGCGGTCGCAGGTGGGGAACTAGCGGGCAGGGTCTGAGCGGGTTTGATACACAGCGACGGCTGTCTGGTGATTATAGGTTTGACATCGCCCTGAGCAGCGCTTGGCGATGCTGCCATAGGAGAGGCAGCTTTGGAGGCCATCCCTCGTGCGAAACAAAGCGACTCGAATTAGACCGAGGCTCGCTGCTCGGAGCTGACATGTATCACGTATATCTCCTGTCGCTGACGGCGTGCTGCGGGCTGTAAGTCCACGGCAGCAAGGTTAGATTGGCCTACTGTGGTAGAAGCGGTTGCGCAACCTGTTCTCTGTGCCTGCCGCGAGAGCGGAAAGTGATTCAAGCAATATCGAGTCAGTCGATATTGAGCTGAGATCAAATTTTATCAGATTAGATCAAAAGGAGGACGTGACCGATAATCGGCCTTGGCAGCGGGGCTCGGCCTTATCAGATCAGGCACATCAGGTCACACCACCGTGGACGCTAATTGATACGGGACGCGGGAAAAGGTGGTCGTATCATTCCAACTGTACACCAGTCTAGAGTATCCAGTGCCTCAAAAATACGATGAGTAGAGAAGGGGTATCTTGAATGTCGCCTAACTCCATGCTGTATGCCACAACGAAAAGCTCGAGCTTCGTGTACATGCTGGAAGTATCTCGAGTCACGTGATTTCCAGCTTCTCATCAAAATTTACCACCATGGACACCGGCCTCAGATGTGGCTGCTTCCGTGCCACTTTGCAGGCCTCCTACGAATGATGTTCCCCAGACGCCAATCAAGCCCCAGAAACCGACTCGCCAACCACGATAGAGCCCTTCAATACCCTGACCCTTTCTCTTTCGCCGAGGAGCTTTACCCATCAATGCAGCAGTCTTATCTTTGGGAGTTTCGGAAAAACCCTCTTCCCTTGTGATGCTCCAGATTGTTGGTATGATGCCGCGGTAGGATTGGGGCACTGGAACAATGGTCGTGATGGCTTTGCGTTTCGAAGACGGCTTTGGTGGGGAATGTGCTGGTGAAGTCCAAGTGGCAATCTGTGCTCGACGAAGGACTGTCTCGAGGGGGAATTTGATAGACAAATCCAGAGCGGAACCTAGAAATGTGGCGACACTCCAACTAGCAGGGTTCATAGCAGGATCCAGCCCGAGATACGACTTCAGCACTACTGGAGTGCTCGTTGATATGAGTGTAGGTAGGGTCGATGTAAAGAACGTTATGGGTAGCAGGTGAGCGGGTATCAGATAGGGAGTCGGCAACGCCTGCAGTGTTCCTAGTAAGGTGCGAGGTCCTTCGGTGGAAGGTGTAAGAATCAACCGCGTTCTCGCTGCGTCGATTGGTGCGAGCACCCACGCTGACAGGGCCGCCGCGGCAGTGCTGATCAGAATGGTGGCGGCTGGGGTCGTCGAGGTGAGTATCGAAGGATCTGGAACTGCACCCCCAGCCGAGCTAGACAGAATATCGTTCTCTGATACTGCGAATACAGCCGCGAGGAAGCCCTTGAAGAATGTCTCCAATGTCCGATTTAGAATATTGTAGACGAAAGTTGAGTTGGTAGCGCGCCACATTGCCAACGCTCCGCCATTTGACGATAGGGCCGAGAGTGTTTCCAGTAGCGAATGGGGATTTTTGAGATGTATCCGACCACTCGAGTCCTGATGACGGTCGTTCGCTCTGGGCGAGGCGAGATCCCGGGGTGGTCTGCCACGGCGTCCCCGAGCTGGCGAACGACTCGATGAAGGCGGCTCGAACGGCGCCGCGGAAGTAAAATAGTTTGGCTCATCATCCGAAGAGTGCTCCTCATAGCCATTATATCCATTCATCTTGTTTTCATCCTCATATTGGTATCTGTGCCTGTTTCGTGGCTTTTCCTCGTCTTCTTCATCTTCCTGTGCAACGCGTGTCTGCAGAATGAGCTTCGCGACCTCAAACGGCTGCCCGAGCACTACAGTCGTGTATTTCCAGAAGGCTTGGTCGATATATGACTTTATCGACCCTGTGAGAGATGGTGAGGCTTCTGGGATGTAGTCTGCGTAGTCAATGTCGGGAAACGTGAATCCAGAACCCTGGCTGCTGGACTTCGGGGCGCTGGAGGTCGCATTTGCTAAGGCGTCAGTACCGATGGAAGGAGGAACATAGTATGGCCTCAACGGATTGGGAACATATTGTCTCGAGTCCTGCATCTCGCGAGACTGTAGTGTGATGTCGACAGTTGATCACAGGTCTTGTCTGCGCTGCTTGAACAATTCCCGAACACAAGGTGATGAATGTCGTAATAGTGCACAGCAATATACGGTGCGGCAAGCAACTATCCGAAAGCAGTTCTTGTCATTTCAACTCGACGTCATCTGATGGTTGACGGACGCAATCGACAGTAGAACCTTGGAACCTACCTTGGGTACGTAGATGTCTATATGACTGTCAATCATAGATAGGAAGATTGACATCGGTTAAAGGTCACAACTGGCATTGGCTAACTGACGCTGTATGTTTCCAAGTAGGCGTCGGCGCATCAGCCTTTGTACAGAATTGCGGACACTGTTGGCATCAGAAGATAGCCATCCTGCCATGAATACGTTGGATGGAGATTCCTGTCCTTCACATATAACGCCAACCCATAGGAGTATATCTCCTTCTTTATCGGCCCTGACCTTGGTCGTGGTGTCCTTGTACTTTTCTGAACCTCGTTTTAAGATTGAGGGTGCAGAAACAGTCCTCACGCGATAGACCAGCGGCATGGCAGATGTCCTCATTGCAAACAGAACCCATCCTCAACACCAAATCAATGTCTGCAAACCTAGGAGCAGACGTCCCGACCGGATGCGTGCTATTTCCTCCACGGACACTACAAGCCTGGTCTTGTTGCGCGAGGGCATGTCACATGTAGAAACCCGTAGCTAATTTAGAATGCCACAAATGCCTATTTACTGGATTGTTGTCCATCATAATGGGCGAGAAAGCAGTGACTGCTGATCAGAGAAATTGTATCTAAACTGACGACAAGCTACTTAAGTAGACTTCCCGCGTTATGGCAGCCGGGTGCAGAAGTGCTACAGACAGTTCCCGCTGCACGTTGAACAAGTCGGAGCCAGGATGCGGCCTCCAGTTGATCGTGGAAGGAGTGAAGATGCGGGATGGCGCCATTGTTGCCCGGCGAGTTTGGCAATCTACTGTAGCGCGCAAACGTTTTGAAACACACCGAATCTGCTTCGTCTTCTCAGGTACACGCTCACCAACTTGCTTCGTTTATTGTTCAGCTTTCCAACAACCAAGGCCTCAACACTATGCATTTAAGGATATACCACCTTTACTGAAGAACATAGGCCAAGCGTATGTGCTTTCTCTGTCGCTTACTGAGTTCTTCTGCACCTCGATGTTCGATGTTACCTTGTCGCCCTTGTCCATCTGCTGGAATGGGTGGCTGCCACTTTGAGCTTGCCAGACGTTTCATTCAGATCCAAGTCGCACAAGGCACCCAGGTCTTGAGAGATCATAGGGGTCTCCCCCCAGCTGCAACGTCAGTATCTACTGCGAGCAAATCTGTCAACAAGTGAATCCCTTACACCAAAAACGATCCGAACAAAGAACCTTGGGAAGTGCTTTAGCTCGACTAGGTTGGCGATGAGTCCCAGATTGCAGGCTCAAGCCAGACCGTTTGCAGCTCCCGTAGATCCGTAGCGATGCGGCTGTTCAGCTCCAAAGCGAATTCAACACAAAGCTTGCTTCCCTGCCGAAAGATGAGTGAAGAGGTGGGCGTCCTACGGTGCTGCTATATTGGTTGTGGACGCCGGCCTGGGCCAAACTTCGAACAGGTTCGCATACTGTTTCAAATGGACAAAGCTGAGCCGGGTTCGAGTCATCGTTTCCTTTCCTAGTCGCTCGTTCTGTTACCCCAAAGGTTTTCGATGCTCTCCCGTCTTTTGGCTTATCTGACTTGCGCTGGATTCGCAGCACCCACACTGGCTCAGTCAGTCTTTGCGCACGTGATTGTAGGTAGTTGTGCCTTACGTTATGGCCATACAGTACTGACACTTTCCAGGTCGGAAACACGTACAGTTATACACGGGATGACTGGGTCCGCGAAATTGCAATAGCCTCGAATGCGAGCATCGACGGCTTCGCACTCAATATTGCCTATCTCGACACCATCAATCCTGGCGGCTTTGTGCAGGCGCAACTTGACAATGCATACCAGGCAGCGGACGGAGCTGGGTTTCAACTATTCTTGTCACTTGACTATGCCGCGCAGGGCACCTGGGACCAGAACGCAGTGATCAAGACCATCACCGACTACAGTTCGCGTCTGAGCCAGTTTAAATGGGAGGGGAGGCCTGTGGCGTCAACTTTCGAGGGCCCTGACAGTGCAGGCGACTGGGGATACATCAAATCTCAAACGAATTGCTTCTTCGTGCCGGATTTCTCCAGCCAGGGAGCATTCGGCGCTGCAGCCAAGCCCCACGTTGACGGTCTTCTGTCATGGAACGCATGGCCTGAGGGTGCAAACAATATGACAGATGCTGATGACCAGGCCTATGTCGCAGCGCTCAAGGGCAGACCGTACATGATGCCCGTGTCCCCATGGTTTTATACTAACCTGCCCCAATGGTCGAAGAATTGGCTCTGGCGAGGCGACCATCTTTGGCACCATCGATGGCAGCAGGTAGCAGAGATGCAGCCGACACTCGTGGAGATTCTGACCTGGAATGACTGGGGTGAATCCCACTATATCGGCCCACTACCAGCTACTGACTCAGCGATCCCAACGGGCGCTCAATTATATGTCAAAGGCAACACCCACCACGCCTGGCTGAAGGACCTACCACACTATATCGCAAAATATAAGCATACAACCCGACCTGATGAAAGCCATGTCACCTTCTGGTACCGCCTGAACCCCAGCAACTCAGGCTCATCAGGGGGAACGACTTGCAACGCGCCCAATTTCCAGACCCCGAAACGTCCGCACGAGTGTGTAGCCGATGCAGTCTTTTTCACTGCTTTTGTACCGGACAACGCCATTGCGACTGTGAATGTAACGATTGGCGGAGAAACGCAATCAGTCACGGCGATTGCGCCGGGCATCTTTCATTCTAGCGTGTCCTTCAATGACGTGGGTGATGGTGCTGTGTCTGTCGCTGTGAGTGCCAGCGATGGTACTGAGATCGGGCCAGTCAATGGTGCTGCCATCACGACGAACTGCGTTGGCGGCATAGTCAATTGGAATGCTTGGGTAGGCGGATCGTGACGAAGCGAAAGCATACAGTGCAGGTACTTCATAGTACTACAATCAGTTATTATCGATATTGAACCAGTTCGTACCTCGTACTCTGTAAGCAAATTGAGCTCGTCTAAACTGTACGGAGTACGGAGTATGTATCTTGAGCTCGGGGCGGAAATGCATCGGCCGAGAGCCAAGCGATTTGCGTCACTTCGCTGCGGCCCTCCGGACATGCGTTTTGGACTTTTTTGTCACCTCTCATCCTCTAGCCGTAGCTTCCCTTCTGCTAGTGGCTGTGGACTCTAACTGTCAGCTGGGGAAGAAGGGGCGCAGCATGTCCGGATGCAATGGGGTGAAGAGCCTCATCGGAGTGACCGCTTCACGATGCCTGCGATCTTGTTCGATATCACCACTGCGACCTGGTGCAACCCGCCTAATTCAACGGAACCTGTCTCGCAATGCATCGTGGTTGGCGCTTTGTCGACGCCATCATTATGAAGTGAATGTCAAGAAAGATCAAATCAGAGAGCACATTCGCTCGCTGGAATTTGGAAGACGGAGGTTCTCTACGAGCCCTGTGCAGAGCCATGGGCACATTGATCCTCCCAAACCAGGCGAGGAGTAGGGTTTATCCACGAGCAAAGGAGGGGATGACAAGCTAAATATGTGGCCAGGCTTCATGTTACTTTTATCGACAAAGACGGAACCGAGCACAAATTCGAGGTTTCCAAAGGCGACAACCTGCTGGATATAGCGCAAGCGAATGACTTGGAGATGGAAGGTACGTTGGCGATATCATCCGTTGCTGCGATGCATCTAACAAGAAAACTCCTAGGCGCTTGCGGCGGTTCCTGCGCGTGCTCTACCTGCCACGTAATAGTCGAGTCCGACGAAATGTATGATAAGATACCCGAGGCCAGTGACGACGAAAACGACATGCTAGATCTTGCATTTGGATTGACCGAGACATCACGGCTGGGGTGTCAAGTCCACATGAGCAAAGAGCTGGACGGGTTAGTGGTCAAATTACCACAGATGACGCGGAACATGCAGGCATCGGACTTCGAAAAGCGATGAGCTAGCGAGGCTGCGGCTAATTAGACTTGTACAACACCAGAAGAATACCGACTTGCTCCTGGCTTGCTTGAACCGAACGGGCAGAAGCTCGGCGGTGACTATCATCATGACACGGGAGTGCTGCTCTTCATGTTCTTCTTCCCCCCAATCAGTTCCAGAAACCCTTGCTTGCTAATTTCATTCACTTTCTCTTGTCGATTCGCCATACCTATCGTGCCCTTCTTGCGCTCCTCTTTAGCAGCCTGCTCAGCTTTCACTTGCGCCGCGCGCACAGCATTGAAGAGCTTGACCACGCCTCGCTGTGCAATCTTCCGTAGCCTCTTTTCTTCCTCGGCGACGTCGCCGGCCTGTCCAGAACTCAAGCCTAAAACGTCCTTCACCCTGCCTCGCTCGAGTTCTTCTCTGCGATCAGCCCGTAGCTTGGCTTTTGCCCTCTTCTCTAATCGTTCGTTGGCGAGGGCGGCACTCGTGTCGACGGCGTCTTTGCTCCGTGATAGGACGGGGTCTTTACGGGCAGATTGGGAGAGCTTGGTGGATAGGATTTTTGATATCGAGGTAGAAAATGCTTCGGGGTCGTTGCGTTTGCTCGTGTGTTTTCTTCGGGAGACACCATCTTCATCTCCGCCATCCTCATCTGAGCTTGCAGCATTGTCTGAATTTGCGTCTTCACCTTTTCCATCGGTCTCGTCCTCGGAATCGTCCTTCGTAGCAACCGGCACAGCTTTCTTGGTTCTCACTTGTGCCAAGGTTTTCGCGGGTACCGATTCCTCGTCACTGTCTTCTAAGCTGACCGGTTTGAAACCCTTATCTTCCTGCTCGGCTTCATCTTCGGAAGAACTGTGATATTCCCGCTGTTTGCGAAAACGTTTCTTGGGTCGATCGGTCTTGCCACGGATGCCGTCCTCAACCTTGCGCTTCTTGGACGATAGCGGAGCCATATCAGACAAATGGGCGTACCGTGTATGGGAACGGTGCTGTTTATACGGGGTCCTAATGGAGGACTGACCGAGATTTAGTCCAGAATTTCTCTATACTTCTTGAATTGCTCGGCTAAACTGCGGCCTTTGTTCTCGTTTCCCACTCACTTCCTCCACAAATGAGCATCAAGGTGGCACCTTGATGCACCTCTCTTCACATCCAGACACCATCCCATCACAAGAACCAGCGGTCTAGTCGGGCAAGATGGTTCTCTCAGATCTTGGGCGGCGCATTAATGCCGCCGTCACGAACCTCAACCGCGAAGCCAATCTCGACGAGAAGGCGTTTGATGCCATGATCAAGGAGATCTGTGCTGCCCTCCTCTCAGCCGACGTCAATGTCAAACTAGTCAAGAGCCTGCGCAGGTCAATACAAAGCGCCGTCAATTTCAAAGATATCCCTCCCAACACGACGGCGAACCAGAAGAAGCGGCTCATTCAACAAGCAGTCTTTGAGCATCTTGTACATCTTGTCGACCCGCACGCCGAACCATATAAGCTGAAGAAAGGAAGGCCGAACGTCATCATGATGGTCGGCCTGCAAGGTGCTGGCAAGACAACAACGTGTACTAAGCTGGCAAGATATTATAGTGCTCGAGGATACAAGTCATGTCTGGTTTGTGCCGACACCTTCAGAGCAGGCGCATACGACCAGTTGAAACAGAATGCCACAAAAGCAAAGATACCGTACTATGGTTCCTTGACACAGACGGATCCTGCTGTCGTGGCGGCTGAGGGCGTGTCGAGATTCAAGAAGGAGAAATTCGAGGTTATCATCGTGGACACTTCGGGAAGGCACAGGCAGGAAGAAGCACTGTTTGAGGAAATGGTTCTCGTCCAGGATGCCATCAAGCCGGATCAGACCATCATGGTCCTTGACGGCACCATCGGTCAAGCAGCCGAATCACAATCAGCAGCTTTCAAAAAGACTGCGAATTTCGGTGCTCTCATCATCACCAAAACCGACGGTGGCGCTGCAGGGGGTGGTGCCATTGCCGCTGCCGCCGCAACGCATACTTCCATCATCTTCCTCGGCACTGGCGAGCATTTGGCTGATCTAGAAAGGTTCGATGCGAGGTCGTTTATTTCCAAACTTCTGGGTTACGGAGACATGAGCGGTCTCATCGATCATATCCAAACCATCAGCAGAGAATCAGCGGGCATCAAGGAGACGCAAAAACACTTGGCCGAAGGCATCTTCACCATTCGAGACATGAAAGAGCAAATCACGAGCATCATGAAGATGGGTCCCCTATCCAAGATTGGCAGCATGATTCCAGGAATGAGCGGTCTCATGCAGGGCATGTCCGACGAAGATGGCTCCGAAAAGCTCAAACGAATGGTCTACATTTTCGACAGCATGACGGCCAAGGAACTTGACTCAGACGGCAAGATTCTACTATCACAGCCCTCACGAATGGTTCGAATCGCCTGCGGATCAGGCACCAGCGTCAGGGAGATTGAGGAACTGCTTACGCAGCATAAAGTGATGGCCAGTGTGGCCAAAAACATGGGTCAGCAGAAGAAGAACATGGCCAAAGCGAATAGTATGTTGCAAGGTGGTAACAAGCAGCAACAGTTTGCAGCGATGCAGAAGCGAATGCAAAGCATGGGCCAAGGGAGGGGTTTGCCGGGTGGTGATATGGGGAAGATGATGGAAATGGTAAGTCGAGATATCGTTGCTGTATTTTTGCCGCGGCTTGTAGCTAACGGTCTTCGTAGATGCAGTCAATGGGATTGGGATCGCCCGGGCAAGGAGGGATGGAAGCTCTCATGAACAGCATGGGAGGGATGTTTGGAGGTGGTGGCGCCGGTCGGGGCAGAGGAAGATGATGCCCACTTAACGAGGTTGGCCGATGATTTATCGGCATCAATGATGTGACGACCCACAGTCCAAGACATGCCACACTGAGGACCGCTAGCTATAAAATGGCCTTGGATGTCGGCTGCTCTGTGGCTACGGCAGGAAGACCACCAACAGCTCGTACACTGCCACCATACCATTTCCAAAACACGGCATACCACTAACTGTCGCCAGCTGGGGGCAACTGCCTACGTGCTTGGGCATGTCGGACTACATCCAAGGTCAGGAAACAGGGCTTGCACCGAGATACCTCGACTGACAAGCGTCATAAACATGCCCAGTCCTTATGCCTGGGCCGACGGACATTCGAAGACGACTGCGCGCGCTCATCGATACCGCGTATCAAGTTACATGAAGCTTGATTTTCAGCGCCACAACATACGAGTTGAGACATTACGAAGCCACAATATAGCGGCCGAGCACAAAAGAGGCTCGAAGGCCGGCAGCGACAGCGGGAGACTTGACGAAGGCTTTAGCGGAGAATACATGAGACGTAGCGGAGGATGAATGATCAAACCACCTCCGGACGAAGCTTATGGTCGCCCGTACGGTTGCAGGGATTGGTACCTGAACGCCGACCGCGCTATTTGGTACTTAGGAAGGAAACACCAGGCATCATTGCCTATGAACCTGGTTATTTTTTTCTCTCCTGGGAATGTCTCCTTCGCAGAGCATGAACGATGATAGTTACAGCCCAATCCTGTCAGAACTCAGAAGCTGATTCAGGTATCTCATCCTCAACCTATGTTGTAGTATACGGCAAGCGCGTCTTGCCGCTTACGGACATTTAACATTTTGAGCGTCTATGTACTTCATGATTGACTCTAGCTTTCTCTATCTTGACTTCGCTGTCAGCCCCTGCATTCACTCCCCTCAGCCCTCAGTATTGACAGGCCGGAGATGATACCTTTTTCCTGATGTGGCTCCACTTTTTTAAATGATTACCCGATTCGAGAGTCGATGAATATGAAGCAACAAGAGGATGTACGGAGTTACGGGGAGAACAGAGTACATTGTCGTCGACAATTGGGGCGATTCCTCCCTCGACCCTCAGCCTCGTCCTGGCTAGGCGACATGGGCAGCCCACTCCGCCAATCAGAGCCCGCCCTCGCTTTTCGCCGCAAACTCCCGCTTGGAGAAAGTTCACAACTTTCGGCCGCATGCGCCCTTTATCAACCGTGCGTATCAACCACCACAGACGGAAGCCCAGTCGGAATCCCAACCCTCCGACCACACTCGCTCATTTCCTAGCATTTCCAAATCCCCCTTCGAGATGGCATTCCCCGGCGGGTTCGGCGCCGGCGGCATGGCAGGCGGAGCAGGAGCAGCAGGAGGGAACGTCGGCCTGAGCGACCAGGAACAACGGATGGTGAAGATGGTATGCGGTCACCGACACATTCAATTCCAGAGTCACCAGCACGTTGACAGCTAATTGAATGCTGCTACGCAGATGCAAGCAGGCATGGAATCCTGCGTCGCCAAATCCATCCTCGCCGGCGGCGCGGGCTTCGTCCTCGGCGGCGCCTTCGGCCTGTTCATGTCCAGTGTATGTATATGCATGCCATTGCGCCTTACTCAACACTAACGCACGCTCTTGCAGATGGCATACGACACCCCCCTCTCGCCTCAGGGCCAGCAGATCACGGCCCTCCCCGTGCGAGAACAGCTGCGCCGCGGGCTCAAGGACATGGGCTCGAAGTCGTACTCGTCCGCGAAAAACTTCGCCATGATCGGCGCGCTGTACTCCGGCACGGAGTGCTGCGTGGAGGGATACCGGGCCAAGAGCGATCTGTATAACTCGGTCAGCGCGGGGTGTATCACCGGGGCAATCCTCGCGTACAAGGCCGGTCCGCAGGCTGCGGCGCTGGGGTGTGGTGGGTTTGCGGCGTTCAGTGCGGCCATTGATGCGTACATGCGTATGCCCGAGAGTGATTGATTGGATCGGGCAGAAAGAAAGATGGTATGGGGAGAAACGATCGATTTATCTATCTGGCGAGGCTGAAGAGATGGCACGTCCGGAAACAAGGCACGAGATTCTACTACTTCTGCGGCTGCTGCTACAAACTCTGTTCTTCTCCGGGGCGTGGCGTTGCGTTTTGGAGTGACTTTCGTGGGGAGGGACGCATGGAGTACAGTCTCAAGCAAGCATAACCGCGGCGCGGTTGGTGGGCGGGTGTTTTGCGGCGTATCTGGCTTTGAGCCTGTTCGGCCATATGGGATATATGGAATAAGGGACATACGAGGTCGGGACACAAACGTTCATCTGGCGCATGTCACTTAGCGGGTTCCTTGGCGGGTGCATAACAGGTGGGCTCGGGAAGAATGTATTGTAATTGCAGGAAAGTGGCTTACATCCCAGCTCTTAGGGGCCGTTGAGCCGTCAAGTGGTCTGGACAGGGTGTGCGGATCATTGGATAATGGGTGCCGAAGACGCCGGGCATTTATGTCGTGCTTACAAGTTGGAGGCTAGGAAGAACTCGACGGCGATGCTCCAGAATAATGGCGATGGTCCAGGCATCAGACTCCCTCCGTCTCTCGGCACAGCAAACATCTGATTCGTATGCGAGCCGAGCAGTCCAGCTGTAGGAAGTAGGATGATACCAAAAGCCGTCGCTAGACCACCTGTCACTGGGACGCACAGTGAGCGTTACTTATGATGAGCCTGTCTCTCTAAGATTTGGTCGCTTCCTTTTCGGACAATGGAGTTGTATCCCGTACATCACAGCGTACGGTCCTCTTCGTACACTCTCTTTCGCCAAACTGACAACAATATGTTCAAAGTTGTGTCCGGATATCTCTCCAACAGCGACAGATCTTCACTAATGCTGAGCTTTCTCCTTGTCAAATTCAGCCTTGTCAACCACACAGACTGCCTTGCCCTTCATCTTCCCGCTGTGAGCCAGCTCAACCATCTTGGGGACTTCCTCCAGACCATAAAAGATGTTTGTTTCGACTTTCACGCCATGTTTTGCGGCATCGTTCAGCATCTGCTGGCTGTACTCTTGGCCTGCGATCAAGGTGCCTTTGATCCTGATGTCGCGGAAGATGAGTTCGTGGAAGGCCACAGAAACACTACACGGAAGTCAACTTTGCAACATACCCTCCCCTCTTCCACGAGCACTTACCGATCAGGTTGAGCCGTCTGCACCATCGTGCCGTGCATCCTGGTTATTGCGCAGGCCATATCGGCGCTCGTTTCATGCTCCGACACGTTGACGGATGCATGCACGCCCAAGCCATCAGTCAGCTTCCGCACCTGCTCGACCACTTTTGCTTTGCTCTCTCTGGCATCGAAGATGTGCTTCGCTCCAGCCTTCTTGCATAATTCGAGCCCCTCATCTCTAGCATCAACCGCCACGACGTTCAGACCTCTTGCCTGCGCAAACTGTATCCCGAGATGTCCCAACCCTCCGCCCGCGCCAACAATCCCTAACCAACCGCCCTCGGGCACTTCAGCCACGATTATCGCCCTATAAATAGTACAGCCCGCACAAGCCAACGGCGCCGCACTCGCAAAGCTCACCTCGTCCGGGATGTGGCAGCTCACACGACTATCCACGACGTGATACTCACTGAACGCGCCATCCACAAAGATACCAATAGTGCCCTCGATATGTTCACAGTACTGATGCCAATCATTCGGGCCCTGACAGTTAAAGCACTTCCCACATGGGTTGCGTGGCAGTCCGGACATGACTCGATCGCCTTTCTTGAAGTTGGTGACTTGTGACCCGACGGCGACGACAATCCCAGTTCCTTCGTGCGACGCCGTGCAGGGAAGCTTGGTTGGGAACACGCCCGCGGTGACCATGCTGTCAGTGTGGCAAAGCGAGGCAACCACCGTTTTGAGAAGTACTTCGTGTGGTTTGAGCGAGGTGGGCGTCGGGACTTTGTGGATTTGGTACGGCTTGTTGAACTGTGCCACCAGCCAGCCATTACAGTCCCATGTCAGTAGAAGAACCTCGCATAACCCGTTCCTACTTCTCTGATCCCCTCATCTGAATTGAAGCACCTGCCGCAAGACACCGTACTGTGGGTTGCTGCCATGTTGCTCTAACGTACCTCTACTACCTGCACAGCAAGCATTTCTTGGGGTATCCCTTCGAACGCCATTTTGGAGGACGGTCTCTATCGCTTTTCGCTTTGCGATTCCGCGTACCACAAGTTATGTTACAGCGAACCTGTATCAGACGTAAGAGATTCTCATAGACCAAATTCAGAGCTGAATGGCAGGCTACTGTGCTATGTAACGGTAGATGGCTTGCACCCGCTCTCTCACGCTCCGATTGCCGAATGATAGTGGCAGGTGATGATGTCAAATGGAGCAAACCAGTAAAACTTATGGCGCTATTGATTGGCTCGCTCCTGCCAAGGATGGGACCTGGTGGGGGTGATAGCCATTTCCGAACTAGTCAACTTCGGGGACGTTAGCCGACGTTGAATCTGTTCTTTGACACGACTTGGCCTTCCAAATATTCTCTTTGTTCTGCTTTACAGTAATGTCTGTTGTGGGCATTGGGTTCTGATTGTGATAGCAACTCCCACGATTAAACGTCGACCGTCATATTGACAACGATATATCTCGTACCTGGTGGCGGAGCTCTGGTTGCCGTCCTGCAACTACTATTCTCGGGTCCTAACTGCACCATGCCCGAGCCTCAATGCAACATAGCACAAGATACCACAACACGGTGTTGCCATTTCCTTTGTCTATTTGTTGCCCGAGAATATCCTGTTGAGTTTGCTTTCAGCACAATGTCTTTGTTGACTTCGCCGCTTTCGGATACGAGCTGATATACAATGCTTGCCTGCGCTGACTATGTCTCCCATCGTTTGCTGCTTGGGCCACGAATAACTTGTTCCATAGCCAAGGCCGCTGCGTTTCCTAATTTTTCATTGAATGTTTGTGATTCCGACATGGCTCAACAGCATTATCAGGGCAAACGCTTGGATGGAAGCCCATTTGAGAACCCCGACCTTGACGATCTCTTTGTGCATGCGGGTAGACAGTCTAGGAACAACCCGGTTAGGACTTTGCTAGAGCGACTGGCCGGTGTGGACTTTGATCCGATATGGTATCGGGACAGGACGAAAAGAGGCGCTTTCGGCAATCCCAACGCCGGGGATGGCATCAGGGAATTTCTCTCCCGGTGGTTGTACTTTCGGAGCGATGAAAAAGAGGATGGAGGTAAGTGTCCACTTAGACGTCAATATGGCCTTTTCCTTCTTCCAGCTACCCGGTTACAATGCTGACATTGTTTTGAACAGACTGGGGCCCGATTAGGCCTCTTGGGAGAGGCGGCTACGGCACTGTCGGACTCTGGCAAAAGCGGAACAGCCAGAACAAGGTCGTCGACGAAGTAGTGTGCAAAGAGATGAGGCTTAACACAGTGCAAAACGGTACCGAAGATTGGTTTGATCTAGATGACTATGAGATCGACCATTCGAGCAACCGCAAACTTCTGACCGAGGCTGCCATACACCGCGATATCAACGTGCAGCACCCTGGAATTGCTCCGCACCTCCGCGGGTATAAGTTTCTTCAAGACAACGGGCCAGGAACAGGCAGATATCGATTCTATATGGAATACTGCCCCCATGGGAGTCTCGGACGCATCTGCGCCCTTTATCGATGCTGGAACACTTACTTGCCGGAGGTCTTTGTGTGGTACGTATTCCACAGCCTTGCCCGGGCGTGTGAGGCGCTGCGCGACTCTCCACCCGCCGACAGCAAGATGCTGCGGTGGCCTAGAACCCGGGCCGAGGACTACACGGACATCAGGGAGAACCTTTACTGCCTGCATATGGACGTGAAGCCCGTCAACTTCCTCCTTGGCTATCCCCATGAAGGGCAAGATTACCCATCTGCGCTGCTGAATGACTTCGGCGCATCAGCATATACTTCTTACACCGGAGACGGGCCTACGAAGAACCCGACGGAGCTCTTCTGGAGAGGAACCAAAGAATATTATCCCACGGTAGGTTAAATCCGTTCAAGACTTGCCAATGAGCAGCAGCCTTGCATATGCAAGCGTCAGGGCTGACATTTTAATATAGGAACAATCTCATTATGGAGTGAATTGGGATATTCCACCCGATGGTGGCAGGCTCAGAAATCGGGACGAAGGTGGCGAAAGGCTTGACGCCCGAGCAGCATACCAGCGACGTAAAGAGGACAACAAGGATTTCCCCGAAGACGTCATCTTCGAGCATGCGTTCAATGTAAGTCAATATACAGCTCCGTCACACTTGTTTCTTCGACAATGAAAGGAGACAGTCCTGCCGGAAGAGGGGCATCTCGCCCATGACGAGATCTAGCTGACGCGTCTATAGATATATGGAGTTGGGCAGACAATGTTTGAGCTGGTGACCCTCGTCGCCGACGAAATGCACCTCAGGATGATCCGTGCAGACACGCTCGAGAAGTTCCGCGACAACGGTAACCATCAGATCACGGAGGCGGACATCGATACCAAGCCACCCGGCTTTTACACTAATGAGCTACGCCATCTGGTATATCGCTGCCTGGACCCTAATCCGGCAAACCGCCCCACGCAGCTCGAGCTCATGGATCGTACACACCAAGGCCTACAGTTGGCGATCGAGCGAGCCGGCGGATACCCCAAAGTATACTTTCGTGACCATGAGGTTGAGGAGATGCCCTTGGGAAATGCCGATCTGCAGGCCGCGCCACAAGATTTCAAGGACTTGATCAGAAGCGAGTTCGTCAATCCTGACCTTCCTAGGCTGAAGCTACCGTCCAGTAAATACAGGGTACTCGCGAGCGTCTTGGGGTATCCGGGCTGGAAGAGCTTTTATCGCAGGGTGAACCCGCATAAAAGGTGGTTTCAGCCTGTTGGTGCGCCCCCTGACGCTGATCCACCCGAGGAGACCGACGATGACGACGAAGACGACGACGACTCAGACGAGCAGAATTCTTCCACCATGGCAATATATCCGGAATCAAATTCTCAGAACAATGATGCGGAGGACATCGAGGACGATGGTGAGGAAGACCAAGGTCCAAGACCGACTCGCATGCCACCACCGAGTGAGGCCGAGCAGGACAAGCGGACGAAGATGTTAAGAATACTTATAACTCAAAGACATGGCCTCTTCCTGAACGGAAAGGACGCAAGAAGGCTTCTAGGGAAGCATGACTGGTATGTCGAACGCGCCGCTCAAGCCTATGCGAGAATCCGACGTGCTCCTTCAAAGCAGATTGAAAATGCAGACGGTGAGGATGACGACAATAATGGCAGCGATCACAGCCCCGGTGGAGATAGACAAGGGGGGGCTGGATCAATATCCCAAGGTAAGAATCCCTTACCAGAACGCCGAACAGGCCACAATCGCCACAAAGCTACATATACTAACCATATCACTACAGGCTCCCACTCCGGAAGACCACACTTCTCAACACCACGCAAGCACGGCGTGGACCCTCTGATCGACGAATTGAGACGCCGCGTCGAGCATCTCGCCGTGGCGCATAACCCGCCGCGAATGTTCCTCATCGCCCGACCTCTTCTTGTTCTATATTTGGGACTCGCAGACAATAACGTCGACGCAGCAGAACGCCTCTGGCTGACAGAGTACGAGCGGAGTTACGGCGGCGTGGCCGAAGCGTCCGAAGCGGCCCAGCCTTCCAAGTCTCAAGACACCAGCAGCAACAACGATAACGAGGATACTCTGGTAGCGGAGCTGAGACGACGCATCCAATATCTCGTCGCCGATAAGCCTCCGAGACAGTATCTCATTGCCGACGGGTGGCTTAGACAGGTTCTCAGGCGGCGACAGGGCGATCTTCACCTCGCGGTAGAGCTATGGTTACACGACTACACTCGGCTCTACGAGAGGGAGAGAAGTGCCGAAAGTTCGGGCAGATCTGATCATCAAGGTGACAGCCTAGGCCGCGCCGGTGTAAATGAAGGCAAAGACGAGAGTGGTGAAGAACCAACGACTCCCAGCCCGGTCGCGAAGCCCAAATCTCGGAAACGGAAGGATAAGAAGGGGAAGGCCAAAGCTACTGCGCAAGCTAAGCCCAAGCCCAAGCCGAAGCCCAAGCCCAAGCCGAAGCCCAAGGTGAATCATCCTCAGCAGGGAGCCACGCAGCAAGGGAAAAGAAAAGACCCCGAGGATGACGAGGACGAGGACGAGGACGAAAACGCCACCGCCGCCACCGCTGTGCCTCCACCACGGCGCAGCCAGAGAGTGGCTAATAAACGGCAGAAGAAGTGAGGGTCGCATAGCACGGCATGGCATGCTTCTGCCTACGCCTGTCCCTATACCTTTCCGCACCGGCAAGACACGGTAAAAGGGTTAAGGCGAAGGGACATGCAAAGAGACGTGTGGGCGACGGGCGTTTGGGACATCATCCCCGCAACCGCTATATGATACGTGTGGAAAATATGCTATGCAGGAGAATCCGTCGGTGTTGAAGCTAACTTAGTGATATTCGTGGAAGAGCACAAACAAACAAAGTAGAGAAGGCGCGGTCGACGCTCAGGGGGTCAAGACCCCTCCAATTCGTTCGTCGTACGTGGTATCATGAAGCTCCGAGTGGTAGATCTCGTTGCATCCACTGTGTGCAGTATGTAGTACAGGTCTGGTGTCTTAATCTTATCTTTTTTTTTGGTGTTCATTCCATTCCGTCGCGTCGCAATCTCGGCAGGACTCCTTGCTCTGAGACCCATAGAGACATCCCCTGGAGAAAATGCAAGAGTCATGCATGCTGCGTTTAAAAGGAAGACAAAAGCAAGCGCCATCGCTGATGCGTTCGTGAGAGCCAAGCCAAACCTAGCACAAGACGAAGAACCCTCGCTATGCAGTCCACAATTCGTTCTTCGTCCCTTCGTTCCTCCAGCTCCCCGATTCTCACCATCATTCGTCGATTTAAGCCCTCCGGCTCCCATCGGCGGGAAATTCATCACTCACAATCAAGCGCGTATTGACATTCATGCTCCCCAGCTCGTTCAGCAATAACTTGAAAGCATACGGCAACGTCATCCTCACGACGTTGCTCCCGGCCTTCCCAGCCTTCGCGCACCGCTGACACCACCTCCCAAACGCCATGAATCCGCAACTCTCACAGACGTCGACGTCATGCTTGTCGCTCGAGAGCATGAGTCGTTCGCGGAGGAGTTGACTGGCCCCGTACGCTATCAGGCAGTCACGTTCCATTTCGCCCAAGCGGAGACCACCGTCGCGGGAACGGCCTTCGGTCGGTTGGCGGGTCAGGATGGCGCGGGGGCCGCGGCTGCGCGAGTGCATCTTGTCTTGGACCATGTGTTTGAGCTTCTGGTAGTAGATGGGTCCTGTGAAGACGTACGCCGGCAACGGCTCGCCGGTGATGCCGCTGGTGAGGTAGTCCTTGCCGTCGTAGCTGTACCCGGCTTCCAGAAGCGCTTTGGACATGTCTTCCAGCTTGGAACCCCCAAAGGCGGTTCCGTACTCGAATTTGCCTTTCAGGATGCCTGCTTTCCCGGAGACCAGTTCGAGCATTTTGCCCACTGTCATGCGGGAAGGGAAACCATGGGGGTTCATGATGATGTCCGGGGTGACGCCTCGGTCCGAAAAGGGCATGTCGACCTGCTCGGCGATGATGCCAACCACACCCTTTTGACCGTGTCTGGAGGAGAACTTGTCACCCACTTCGGGGACTCGAGTCTGACGCGTCTGCACCTTGATGATCTGATGGCCGCTACTTTCGGCCTGCGTGACCATGATTTTGTCGATGTAGCTCGGATCCGGAAGGCGGTACTTCTGGGGCTGATCCTCAAGTCCCATATCCATCCCGTTCTCTGACAGCAGGGAGGAGTTGGCATTCTTGGGAATAGCCTTGTTCACCATGATCTCACCGGCCCGCACCATCTCACCGACACGTGCAATTCCGTCCGAATCCAGCAGAGTGTGGCCCTTCTCGGGTCCTGTCCCGTCAGGACGCATTGATGGAGCCAAGACCTCATCGTGAGTGTCATTGGGATAGCTCTTGAGAGACACGGGGTATTTGCGTAGCACCTGGCAGCGTCCGAACCCACGGTCGACGGAGGCCTTGTTGAGGACCAGGGCGTCTTCGATATCGTAGCCGCTGTAGGACATGACTGCCACAGTGGCGTTTTGTCCAGCCGGGAGTTTGTCGTACTTGACCAACTCGATGGTTCGCGTCTTCACAAGAGGTTTCTGCGGGTAGACCATGAGGTACAAGAGGGTGTCGATTCTGAGGAACTGATTGTTGGCGATGAATCCAATGGCTTGCTTACCCATAGCACATTGGTAGGTGTTACGGGGAGATTGATTGTGGTGCGGATAAGGAATGAGACCAGCGACCGCACCGAGAATCGTGAAGGGCTCAATCTCCAGATGAGTCGTGGTTGAGCAAATGTCTGACTCGTACATTGCAATGTGGCTGTCATTCTCCTCGTTGACGTCCAAATACTCGACCAGGCCGCGAGCCAGGAAGTCGTCAAAATCCATCGAGCCCTGCCTCAGCGACTTCAAGTATCGTTTGGTAACTTTGGACTTTTTGTCTTCAACAATGATCAATGGGCGACAAATTCGGCCTTCATCGGTGGCGACTTGGATGGTGTTGTGATGATGGTTGATAAAGACGGACACGAACTCGGAGATACGTCCCGACCGTCGCAATCTTCGGAAAGACGTGAGAAAATGAGAGGGCATCCGAGTAGTGGCGAGTGGGGTGCCGTTCAACATCACGACATAGGCTCCTGGCGCATAGAGCTCGGATCCACCAACACTGGTTATATCTTCGGCGCCCAGCATGAAGATCAACCGCTTGATCGGTGCTTCTTCATCATCGGTCGTGATATGTGTCATCAATGCCAGGTTCTTTACCAGACCACACGCTTCGCCTTCAGGCGTGTCTGCAGGGCAAAGCATGCCAAACGACGATGGCTGTAGCGCTCTGGGGCCACTGACTTTACGGGTCTTCTCGAATTGACTCGAAATGCGGGTCATCATACCGAGCGAGGCGATGAAGCTCAACCGGCTGAGGAGATGGGTAACGCCAGCACGGTCCATACGAAACCGCTTCAAGTTCCAATTGCCGGTAGCAATTGCCCTGTTCATCCCTTGAGTAATGTGACCTGATGCCCCAGCCATGATCTTTGCAGGCTCGACGACAGAGGTCTTGTTGGGTTTCCTCAGTTGTTTGTCAATGGTTGTCTTGATATGGTAGTTGTAGTTCTTGAAGAGATCCTCAAACAGCAAAGAAAGTAGTTGCCCTGCGAGTTCCAGACGTTTGTTGCCGACGTAGTCTCTGTCGTCAACTAGTGCCGGGTTACGCTTTGCCATCAGAACGCGGCGTGCCATGTGGGCTACATAAAGAGCCTTGGGTCTAAAGTTCAGGTCTTCCACCGGAACGTGGGCAATGAATATGGCACTAACACACTCGACCGCCTCCTGGACAAAGTTCCTGCGGGTTTGCCCAAATGGTGTATTTTTCGTGGAAATCTTGAGGCGTGCTCCGATGTAGTCCAGAGCCTGCTGCTGAGTGTGTATCTGTGCCTTGATCGTCTCCTCGAAATTGATTGCAAAGTCTTCTTGTAAAGTGCTGTCCGGACCGGCCACGATGGCCATCATGTCCATATCGGAAGCCACGCCCATTGCTTTGAGCAAGATGCAAACAGGGACGTCCTCCTTGAGAATGTTGTGCCTCATGTATAGCAGATCCTTCTTGAGCACAATGTAACTTTTGGATTTCCTGGCGTGGGTGGAGCTGGTGACGGATGCGACGATGGAATCCTTCTTTGTGTCGGCCTCGACGATGATACGATTCTTGCTGAGCTGCTCTTGCACCAGAATGACTTTCTCAGTGCCGTTGACAATAAAGTAGCCACCAGGATCCAGGGGGCACTCGTCCATGGCACACATCTCTGCTTCCGATTTGTTGGAGAGCACGCATTTGTTGCTTCGCAGCATAACCGGCAGTCGTCCGATGGGCAAGCCTGTGCTGCGCCAGGAAGCATCCCCCTTCGCATATCGGACGTCGACCAGGATTGGAGCAGCATACGTGAAATCCCGCAGTCGACATTCATTCGGTGTGACAGTTGAGCCTCCTCTTCGAAGGCTGGATTCCTCCATCTCGTCGACCCTGCAAGGTCGGCCGATGTAGATGTCCTCATATTTGATGTAGAACTTTGGATCGATGTCACTTGTGATGAGGGGCTCAGCATCGATGATTTTTCTCAGCTCGACGTCAACGAAGTGATTGAACGAGTCGACATGCTGCTTTACAAGCCCTTTGACTTTGAGGAACGCCGGAAGCAGATTCCATTTGTCTCGCGCCGTGTCAATCGGATCCGTCAAGGATTTCTCGTAGTAGAACGGCTCCAGGGCAGCGCCGAAGCTGTCGGCAAGCTGATTTGACCGGCGGTGTTGTCTTTCAGTCTTCGAGCCATCCTTCGCGGCTGCTTGTTCGGTGTTGATACCGTCTTTGGGGGCTGCTTTACGTACAGCTGTCGGCTATCTAAGTCAGTCAGGATGCGCTCAACGAGGCAAGACTGCGCATACCTTTGTGGCGGTCTTCCTTGCTGCGGGCGGAAGCGCACCAGGCGCGCCGTCCGCCTTTCTCCTAGGCGCCATGATGGGTGAGGGAGCAGGAATTAGATGAAACGTTGGAGCACAGCCTTTCCTGCATGGCGCACAGAATCAGGAAAATGTGCGCACACGAAGCGGACAGTGAATGACTCTCAAGCCAATTTCAACTCCAGGTGGGCGGCACAACTTTTTCTGCCATAACCGCGAATGACTAAGCAAGGCTATGGCGGACACCAGCCGTGAAATGAGGGGCCACGTGAGGGATACCAAGGCAGGTCTGCCGAGCACTGTTAGAAGGGCAACACTTGTCAAGCTCGTACCTATAGCAGCATGATTATTGGCTTGACAGCGAAGGTTGGCATTCTCCATCCGCAGATGCACAGCATCCTTGGGTTGTCCCCTGCACCATGTCACATCTGAAACACAATACCCGAGCGACCGAATTGGCCGAAGCACGGACGAAGTGGCCCGGCGAGGGGCACGATGGAGCTGCCCAGCGCTCTGAGTCTCGGGCAGCAACAGTGGGGTTACTGCGTCGGTAGCTTTTTTTCTCATGCAGGGGATCATTGCACAATTGGTAGCGGGTCCCAGGCGTGGCTCTCGTTGAGGCCTTCATCCCCCAATGAGATTGGCGTTATCTTTTACGGAGTAAAGCTTGCGTCAGTCCCTAACGAGGCTCTAACTGCGGCCATGCCACCAATGCACCCACAAGTTTTCCCGTTGAACGGTCCTCCCACCTGAAAGATGGGAGGTACGTGACCCACCAAGCCATCGATATGTCCATTAGATACTCCATAAGCATGGCAGTCTTCCCAGCTGTCGAAATTTGCCGTCGATGTGATTCTCGCGCTGTAGGCACGAACATGCACGAGCAGTGCAGATGCAAGGGTCAAGCGGTCGACATCATCCTGCATCGTCTCAGGCACCTGACTCATGGGGCCTTCTCGGCAGAAAAATTCTGAGGTGTGCCGTCCTGAGGTCTTGCCTTCACTCCTGTTGATTGAGTGAACCGAGCGATGCACCCTCGAGATGGGAGTATTGGTATTATGGGATTCATAGATGCCGGGCTGTGTTCAGAGTCAGGATTTCAACCTATCTATTCCCAACAGGTAGACAGACTGATCACACCACCTCTACATTTCTGAATTGGCACACATGCAAGTGTGATAGCTGGCATGCACTGATTATCCCGCTGTCTCAGCCAAACAGCAGTCCCCGCCACGTCGTGGGGTGTAATTGAATTTACCCAGCCCAAATGATCAGGAGGCAGGCTTATTGCGCCATGCCGATTGGGAGCAGTGAAGACCTAACCGATACCAGGCCGAGCAGGCCCCATGTATTATCCATGCAACAGCTTTCTCTCTGAGCTCCTGATGAAATTACAATGTGCGCGTACGCGTCCCGCAACTGTGACGCCTTCCTGCCCTTCATTCCATCCCTGATCCGGTCCGAGGAAAGGGATACTGGAGAGTCGCTCGGAGGGCGGAATCCCTACTCTTTTGGCCCTGACCGCCATTTCGCCCGGAATAGGCTATGGCTTGTGGATTGGGGGACCAAAGTCACCAGAGACACCCTCCAAACTCAAGTCGAGCTTCTCCACACAACGTTTTGATCTGACAGCGGCAACCCCAGTGCACGCGAAAAGGTAGGGCACAGTTGTGAACCACAGCTCTGACATTCAGTCAAGGATTCACCCTATTGGCGCAGCCGTTTGGTCGTAACGCCATTCCAAAGACAAAAGATGAAAGATTCTCGCTACCTGCAGGTGCTAGCTTTGTTTCCTACTGGCTATCGAGTGAAAAGCGCGAGAAACTTGATGGGAGGCGTTTTCCTTTCAGGCTTGGATTGCCCTCACCACTTGGTGGTTTTCGCAGCATGCCGCTGGAGGACGGGCACCACGGTTTACAGTAGCTCTCCCCCTTGCTGCTTAAGAGATATGCTGCCACGGGTCTTGCTGTAAACCATATCCCCCAAAACCACTAATTATCTCCAGGCTAGCCGCCGCCTTGCGACTTTATCTCTATTGTATGCTCTGTTGAAGCCCTTTCCATCTTCCCACGGGCTCTGCGACGAGGACCTGGAACCTTGCTATATTTACAAGTTGGAGCAAACTGTCTGTGGTCGCCAATACAGGAGCGACCCTCTCCTAACGACGTCTGCAATTCCACCGACACAGTCGCAGTACCGCGTCAGGCCTCGAACTTCAATTATCTACGAGGTACTGTAGGTGCCCTGGTCTCGACTGTTCCGAGCCTGATCGGCTTGGGATTAGCTCAGGGCTAACAAGGAGGAAAGCACCAGTAGTGGCAGAGACAAGTCTCCAGTCACAACGCCCGCGCTGGGGCCGGCCTACCCTAACAACCTCGTCTAGGCGGATACACAGTACCCACGCTGGCTTTTGGCGCTTGCCTGAAAACGAGCACTCAAAAAGCCCAAGCCGAATCCAACCTCCACTGCTACTCTGGCACTCTCCAGACTCGATCCCGTTCCTGAGGTGCCTCATCCTACTTCACCTCGACCACGTTGTACCAATACTCTTTCCTTTCTTGCTATCTTTCTTGTTGTATCACTGTCATTATTGCATACACATACCGCCGTGCTGCCACCAGCACGCACGCAGTGTGGCTGCATCTGTATTTTCTTACTCCCTTTCCTCGCTATTCGACCACGCGCACGCCGAGTGCCCACGACGTTAGTTGACACGACGAGGTCTGCGATTGGGACAGCGACTATAAAAGCGCTGCATTTCGATTTGGCGTTTTCTAGGTAGGTGTGCATCCGGGAATACTCAGTCCAGTCCAACCCGTGCCCACCTGTCATCTGGCCTGTGCTTCGAATCCGAGCAATTTTGAGTGCTCCTCGAAGCCACACATGTACGACGATTGCATGAGACGTGTGTGCTTGGAGTGGAATAGATGGGAACTATCTCTTGGGCTTGCTAACAGTTGCATGGTGTAGTCTTCGAATATGGCGTTCTCCAACACTTTGAGTGGCCGCATGGAAGAACTGCGCTTCCCAAACCTACGATCCCCAGACACGGAGAGTCCGTACAGTTCGAACGGCTCTGCGTCGCGAGAACAGAACCCCCTTTTCTCTAATATGCATTCATCTTCCAACGATGCTCGCGGCAGCCTTCAACGTCGCTTCACGACTGACTCGAGCAAGATGTCTGTGGCCAGACCATTTGGACAACAGTATCCCTCAGTGAATTCGACCGCGGTACGTCACGCCTTCCTGTGTCACCAGCCAAGAATGTGTGATTGTGTCTTGGAAACAAAGAGGATTGAAGGATGTGGCGCGCTGGCTGTGAAGCGAACGTCTGTTTCAGATGCCAGTGTCTGCTGCCTCCCCAGCCATCCGGCCTATAAATCCCGTTTACATAATCACCTTCCCTGATATACTCGCCATATCTATTTCTTGCTGGGGACCTCTTGGTACCGATGGAGACTGACAGCGATACCCAGCAGGCCAAAAACAAACAGATGTTCGAAGACATTCAGAATGCAAAGCGCAAGGCTGAAGAGCAGCTGCGTCTCCTGGAAATGCAGGAAAGAAGCCTTCAGATGGGGGCCAGCACCCAAGATCTGGACCGGATCTCGACCCATCTGAATCGCATCAGTCTCAGCGGTCCAGTCAGCGAGCCAACTACTCCTCCTGAGTACGCTGAAAGTGGTTTCAGCAACCGGTTCTCGCGCTCTAGCCGATTGTCCACGAACAGCATTCTTTCTCCTCCTGGTCTCAGCAAGAGAATGTCTCAATCTAGCTCTCAAGTCACATCTCCGCCAGCTAACCGACTATCTGGTAATGGCATGTTCAGCCAATCTCAAAAACCATCAGCCAAATCCGTTCCTGGATCTCGCAGAGGATCTGACGAGGACGAGTACTACCCTGAAGATCTGCCCACTACTCGAGCTGCTGCCTCGTAAGTATTGATCTGTTTTGTCACTTGCAGCTCAGACCAGTCTGCACCGCCCTCATAGCTCTATCGCATCAATGTTGTCCCGCTTCCGAGGTCACGGGATCGATAAGATTCACTTCCTATCGCATCTGGTGACTGCTTGTTATTGTCTCTGTTTCAATTGAGGCGTCTTATTCGACTTTGATCAGACAAACAACTGACTTGTCGGAATAGTCTGAATCGCTTTTCTATGCCAGTGAACACTGGTCGCAATCCACGTCTAAGCGTGAGCGGAACAGGAGGCAATTCATTCGGCCTGGCAAACACAACGAGCTTTCTCTTTGATGAGGACGAGGACAGATTGAACGCCATTGACCTCACTTCTCCCATTGCAAAGGCCTTTGCTCAACTTGAGGGTGACGATACCTTCCCTACATTGACCAGTGACGGACTCAAGGTGAGAGATCCGCTGTCTTAATCTTCTCCTTAAAATGCACTGACTCCTTCTCAGCTCTCTGCCAACTCTGCTGCTCTGGATCTGGCAAACTCCAAGACTCCGGACCTTGACTGGACTCTTGGCTCTCGCTACAGACCAGCTCACCAGAGCATGCCCCACACCGATTCGTCTATGTACAGACCTATTCTCAGTAATCTGAACATTAGCAGCCCTCCTGCAGATCGCCCTGCGGATCTGACGCGTCGCAAGTCACAGCGCCATTCCATGGGCGTCACATTTGAAGAAGCCTCACCTTTGCCTTCGGCAAATCCATCCGTCTCCCGTCCTGCCTCTCTTCAGACGTCTTACTCCACAAACGACGTTCCTACTGTCAAGAAGACTCTGAGCTTGGACATGGTGCCTACGCCTTCCAAGTCGCAGGCTGAACAGCAATTCCACAACCACAACGTCAGCCTAGGTCGTATTCCTGCCAACGCAGTCAGCAACCGTCTCTCCCGAGAAGTCGCTGGCGGCTCCGTGAAGATGGAAGACAGATCTATGACTTCTCCAGCATCAAACTTGCATGCGAGCGCAGCTCCATTCAACGCGAACCTGACCAGTACCTCAGACTCTAACAACATGATTGCGGTCGCTAGTCCCACTTCAGCATATGCTCCTCCACCCTTCATGTACAACATGCAAACTTTCAACATCAATCAGATGAATCCTCAGACTGCCGTCACTGGAGCTCTTCAAACATATGGCCAAGGACAAGGCATCTATGGCATGAACAATGCTTACAATGGCACACCTCAACGAACTGGTACTGGTGGTCGTCGCAACCACGGTGACGACGCTCGTTTCAACAATGTCCCCCTTGAATCATATCGTGGAAACCTGTATGAGCTCTGCAAAGACCAACACGGCTGTCGCTACCTCCAGCGTAAGCTTGAAGACGGCAATGACGAGCACATCCAAGCCATCTTCGTCGAGACTTGCCCCCACATCATTGAGCTGATGACGGACCCTTTTGGTAACTACCTCTGTCAGAAGCTTTTTGAGCACTGTAATGAGGATCAGCGCACCACTCTGATCAATACTGCTGCGCCTGCTCTGGCCACAATCGCGCTTAACCAACACGGAACTCGTGCTCTTCAGAAGATGATTGAATTTGTGCACACCCCATCACAGGTCGAGACTATCATTCAAGCATTGTCTCCCCGTGTGGTTGAGCTTGTCCAGGACTTGAATGGCAATCACGTTGTGCAGAAATGCCTGACTCGTCTCGGTGCTGAGCGATCTCAGTTCATCTACGATGCAGTTGGCAATTATTGTGTCATTGTTGGCACCCACCGCCATGGCTGCTGTGTCCTGCAACGATGCATCGACCATGCTCAGGGGTTCCAACGTGCTCAGCTCATTGCTCGCATCACTCACTGTGCCTTCGACTTGGTGCAAGATCCATTCGGCAACTACGTGGTCCAGTACATTCTCGATCTGGACGAGGCTGCTTTCACCAAGCCACTTTGTGAGAACTTCTTCGGCCGTGTTGCAGCCCTTTCCAAGCAAAAGTTCAGTTCCAACGTCATTGAGAAGTGCCTGCGGACAGCAGACATGGATACGAAGAGACAGATGGTCGAGGAGATGTTCATGGGCAATGAGCTCGAGAAGATGCTCCGCGATTCCTTTGCCAACTACGTCATACAAACTGCCATGGAATATGTAGACCCTGCCACGAAGGCTCGTCTTGTTGACGCAATCCGACCAATTCTCCCTATGATCAAGCAGACACCCCATGGTCGAAGAATCGCCAGCAAGATTCTTGGTAGCGACACTCCTCCTCGCACCATTCCAGGTCCGAATGACAATATTTTGGCGAGCTTTGGGGGCGGTCGTGCGAACAGCCGTCGCAACGTTCAGATTGTCGGCGGCGGATTCAACGGTCTTCGCACTGCCGACACTTTCGAGAACAATATTGCCGGCAATGGCAACGGCTATGGCATGATGGATCCCACAGTCAACATGTACACCGCGAACAACTATGCCAACGACCTCGGGCCTAACGGCTATACTGGATTTATGAACGGTGGCAACAATGTCATCTGATGGACTCAGCCGGCGACACGCTTACGATTCACGACATGATGAATTTTGAAAGATCCCTTTCTGCGTCGCATGCATAGATCCGCAGCCTGCATCAGCTCATCTTGATTGCTGCCTTTTCACGACTTTACCACGCTACACCTGAAACCAGCATTCGGCTTGTTTTATGACCCAAAAACCGTCACGGCCTCTAACATTGTATTATGGTTTCCCAGAGGCTATTCATCGCTCCAGCACCAGTCTGATAGGAGATTCAGAAACTCATTCACCGAGTTTTGGAAAGAACACCTTAGAGCTCTTGCATGAATGATGGCTTGGTTGAAAATTTTGCACTTTCTTCCCCTATTTCCCCATAGTACATGGTTGGAAAGGTTTTGTTTATTGTTTTGGAGGGAAAACAAATCAGAAAAATGTGTCCACCGGCACGAACGTGGTCACCTTGTACTCGAAACAAAGCGGTGTCTGGGGATTGGGCAGGAACACAACGGTGTTGCACGCTCATTCCCAGACAGCAACGACCGCTGTGTACTCGCTATGTACTCGCCGGAGAATTGGTTATGTACTTACCCGAGGTCTCGACCTTTGGCTATGGGTCTTCAGCTTGACGACGGAGATGCATGGCCTGTACCATAGCAGAGGCTAGAACCGCACAGCATAGTGCAGCTAGATGAAAATGTACCTTACGATCATGCGTTTGAGCTCTTCGGTCTCTGTGACTAACCTTTCTAGGCTCTATCGATGAAACAGCGTAGCTCGTACGTAGCGAATGCGCCCGTCTGTGCTCTTCCCAGAGTTGCGACAAGCACGTGACCATGTGGAGAAGACGTGTCGGCCAACGCGCTCAGCAGGCACACGTCCACCGCGTGCCGTGAAGCGTATTTCATGAAGCGCATTTGAGGGAGAGCATTTACGCAAGAGCATCTCGGCAACAGCATCTACTCGACACAGTCATTCTAATGGCAGCTATACTGCCGCCAGACTTACTTGACCTGCTCCGACAGCAATGTCCATGCCGCGAAACACAAATTTTGCAGCTGGCAGCCTACTACAATGTAAGCGACTACACACTCCACCCTGCCCGGTAAACTCGCCTGACCCCTCCACGCAGAATGTCTGTCCCAGTCCGTCACTCCTCGTCGCATACGGCTTCGAGCAATCAAGCAAACGAGAAGTAATTATCAATGTTCTGCGAGCACGAGAAGTCACCCATGCCTTCATTAGAACCAAGGAGTGCCTTACCCAGAGGCATCTTCTCTCCAAGATCTTTGCAGTGTGCATAAGTACGCTTGGATGCGAAGGACACATTGACCGATACGAGAAGGTGGACAGTATTAACGCGCTTCTGGGCAACCTGCGCAAGCTGTTTGAGAGGGTCAAGGGAAGGAAGTTCGTGGTTGTGATTGAAGATGCGGACGAGTTGAAGCAGCCTGGGCCAACGCTGCTCCCTGCTCTGGCACGGCTGGGGGATATAGTATGTCCATACATATGGGGAATTGGTTGCGCCGCTGACTTGATACATCAGGTACCTGGCTTCGTTGTTATATTGACTGTCAACTCTACCCGACCGCTTATGCTGCATAAGGTCGGTGTACCATATGTGCACTTCCCGCCATACACAAGATCTGAGGCCATCTCAATCATCACCTCCCGGCTGAGGCCATATCTTCCCCTTTCAGTACGACATGATCAAGCTGTCGACATTGATGAAACCGCACTATTGAAGCTTTATCCCCAGTTTGTCACAACGGTATACGACTCTTTAATAGCAGGCACGTCCTCAACATCGATCCTGGCTTTCCAATCGACGTGCGACAAGCTGTGGCCACGGTTCATCGAGCCAATCGTCTCTCCCAAGGAGGCAACGACAAACGCAAGATCGTGGACGTTCTCTCGACTCCTAGTCCATCATCGCGGTCTGTTCCAGTCGGAAGGTGAAGAAACGTTGCACCATACATTGAAGAGAATACCGCAGCGTGATGGTGGTCAAGATGGCTCCTTGTCACCGCCTCCAAACCCCTCTATGCATGACCCGCCACTCCTGAAGCATTTCCCGACGCTCGTTCTTGTTTCCGCCTACCTTGCAAGCCACACTCAGCAAAAGCACGACATCCTACTCTTCTCACGTATGAGCTCCGGCTCGAGCAATAAGAGAATTCGCAAAACGCCCACGAAGAGGAAATCCGCGTCGACTCCGACTGCGACACCCACTAAAGAAACAGCGACCCCGACCAAATCACCACGCACCAAGTCTATTTTCTCTGCGGCCGCAAATCTAGGCATTCCACGGCCGTTCACTCTCGAACGCCTTGTGGCGATCTTAAGGGCGATTCATCCGTATGGTTTGGGGCGTGGCCAAAGTATGACTGATCGAATATACCGCGAGCTGGGTGAGTTGGAAAAGCTTAGGCTCGTCGTGCGTGCATCTGGCATCGGCGGCTCAGTTGCCGCTGGTGAAGATGCAGCGGACGAAAAGTGGCGGGTGAATGTAGCTAGGGACTGGGTTGTGGGTATGGCACAGACTTGGGGCTTGGGTGTCGCCGAGTACGAATTAGGCCAAGATTCGTGATGGGCTCACCCTCGTTCCTGTGCGGATTGGGTTTTGGAATGACTCAACAGATGGGCCCGCCCAGGTCTAACGCTAGGAGGCCATCTACAAGACCGAAACTGGCGACACGTTAACCGACTCACGTGACACACCCATGGGAAACATGTCGAAACATGGTCTGGCTAATCTGGGTGAAGCACGGATTGTGCACTTCGACCTTTCGAATTGCGACGAGGTTGCTAAGTGACGCCTTCGACCTGAGAGACTCCTGTGGTCAACTCTGAAGCGCCAGGACCGGAAGTTGATATCTTGGCTTTCTATTCGTCGCCTTTCGAGCCCTGCCTGCACCAAGCTTATCATGAGGAAGCAGATCTTCGGCCCCTGTTTCGGTATCTTCACATGACACACCTTCTAACCACAACACTACAGCTCCCGGTCGCAAATCCCGTGTAAGTATCGGCCATTATTCATGGGCAGAGTGATGAAGCCATGGACTTCGACTTCACGGCTTATCTGGCCAAGCTTGATCCTACTTATGAATATCAGATCGCCAAGCTCGCTGGGGGCGTTGTGAACGTCACCGTACGGGCGACTAAAGTGGGCTTTGCCTCAGCATCTGTTAAGCTGCCAATACTGGAGCGGCATGAACATGTGAAAATGGGTGACGGCGACTTCGAACCTGGTCACGGCCCATTCGCGCAACACAAAACGCTCATTCTCAAGCATGCGCCTCCTTTCATTGCTGGTGTTGGTACTGGTGCTCCTATGTCTGAAGAACGCCAGGTACATTCTAGTCCTGCAAGTCTGGTCGTGTGTATGGTGGCTCAACATCAAGCAGATGATAGAAGCTGCCGCCCTTCGTTTATTCCTCCCAGGCTCTTCGCACAGGAAAGGATTACCATCAACGTTGGACGAGTGCGATCCAGCACCTCTCCACCGGATATTAGTGGAGTCAGGAGTCGTGGTCCCAACACTCCTTCATTACGACAATGGTAATCACATTCTTGTTTTATCGGACCTCGGACGTCTTTCAGACATGTCGCAGATCTTCATCCACCTGGGAGGAATCACGCCCGGGACCTCAAGCGCAGTATTAAAGGCACCCACATGTGTCCATAGGTTAGATTGTCCGCTGGAGGCTTTGGAGATCCAGAATTATCGAGACACTGGTGAGAAACTTGGTGGCTTCTTTGCACGCTTGCATGACCCTGGCACCCGCCGCTCGATTACGGAAACAGGACTTCCTTCTTCACCAGACGGCGGTCGGGAAGACCCGGTGGCCGCACATGCTTTCCCCTCGCTGCCAGAACTCCAAGGTTTCGTTCACAGCCATGCAATCAAGCCACTCCTGTCGCAGCTCCTCAAGTTCCCCTCGCTACTCGATGAAGCAGAGGCAGCGGTGCTTTTCGCTGCAGTAGAAGCAGACTTTCTCCGGACCTGTCCTCCAGAGGAGCAATGTTTCGTCCTGGGCGACTGCTGGACCGGAGCAGTGTTGCTTGACTTCAGCCCTGGCATCGGCCCTGTGGGCGTAGGTGTTATCGATTGGGAGTTCTCGAACACAACAGGCCGAGGGGTCAATGGGGACGTCAGCCAATTTCTTGCTCACCTGGAATGTCTGCGAGTCGCTGCGATGACGCGCAAAGTCCAAGTCGTGGAAGGTCACGTGGCCGCCCTGAACGCCATCATGGAAGGATTTGTGCAGAAATACAGGACGCTCCAAACGAAGAGGTTTGATGACACTATCATGCGATCGGCGTACCTCTCACATGGCGCAGAAATCATCAATTGCGCTTTCTGGAAAATGTGGGTCTGTGAGGATCTCGAATGCACAGCCTGTACTCGGGGAACTGGCTCTCACCCCGAGCCGGAGACCCAATGCAGCCTTGTGACAAAATTGGTAGATCGCGGCCTCTCTTTCTTGAGGGCAGCTGTTTCTGAAGACCCATATGCGGTGACAGGCTACCTGAAGCAGGGCATCTCGACCTCGGAACCAGATGATGCGCAAGTGGCAGGCTTGTACGACTTTTCGAGAGGCCTTAGTTAGTATGATGAACAGCCGTGGACGGGATGGATCCGCAGGCTTCTCCCGCGTGTCGCGCCCAATATGAGCATCAGAGACCGCCGGAGAGTCGGAGGGGATACCGGTGCACGCATAGACTGTCGGCGATGGTGGTGAGTTCAGCGTGATGAGTGTATGATGAAGACTATGAGCTATGAAGTTATGAACGAATGTAATAGCAGCCGTGTGGAGCGCTCCTTCCTCCTTCCACAACATAGACCGTAGACTCTTGGGTTCTTGCCAAATGGAAAATATGATCTCTGAATCGAACCCGTAGGGCGTCCTCAAGGTCTATATCATCTCGTTTCTATCCCTTGCTTGCCTTGCCATGGACCCTCACCATACTGATCTGATACCCTCATCCAAATCTGGAAGGCGAATTACTTCATCTTGTTTTCCAACATCCAGAACTGTTCGCACACCATTGTCCAAAAACCCCCATCATCTTCTCGGGTCATCCATTGCGGTCTGATTCACACGACTAAGCCTTTGATGATAATGTCGTCCCGTGATAATCGGCGCTGGACATCAATGACCCCGTTACTGGTGGCACTGCGGTAGGAACCTCATCCTCTGGTAGGAGGCACCCAATCTCGCGGCACTCATTGAACCTTAAGCGGATACACGTCCACGAGTTCAAAAATGCCACCCAACCTTCCAGGCTTCTACTTCGACCCCGAAAAGAACCGTTACTTCAAGATCCAGGCCAACCACGTCGCGCCCACGGGCTCCAGATACAGCCGTCAAGCCGTGAAGGCCGAGAATGTCATCAAAAAGGATCAGCGGCGAGTGGAACGAACCCAGCGCACGAAACTCGCCAGCACGATAACGAGGTCCAAAGTCCTGGTGCATCCACTACTCTCGTTCGACAGACGACTAGGCGACCTACGACGCAGCGCCAGGACCAGCGTGGCCGAATACTACGCCGCCAGTCTGCACGGCGCGGATGCACTGAGGCCTGCTTCCCCTTCCATCTTTCCCGATTCAGGCCATTTCGCCGTGGACCACGAGTCCGGGTCCCTCTTCGGCGATTTTACATGGCTTCACACTACGAGGATGCTGGCATTGCATTGCGACAGACATCCTTTTGACGAGCAGCGGTATCCCCGTGGCGAGGGGGCATCCTGGCGGAGCACGGCCCACCCGGAATCTACTGAACGGCTGTACTCGAAGAGGAGCGGACTCTACAATTCGATCGCGAGCGTGGCGCGCGTCCAGGCTGTCGCGTCCCTCGGGAGCGGCATGGTGGCCTGGGTGCAGAGCAGTCCTGGGGCCGAAGGCGGGCCGCAGGAATCGCGCGTCAAAGTGGCTTCCTCTGTGGGATCACCGTTTGCAAGTAACGGAGTCAACGAGTCGGCATTCTACAACCGCATCGTGGACCTCGCTGCACGGCCTGCTAGTAGCCACAGCGGCGGAGACGGCAGCCACATCGCCCTCGCAACCGGCAACTCCATCTGGCTCATGGACGTCACGAACCCGCACCACGGCCCTGCACAGTACCTGCTCAACCAAGCCGACGGGACCAAAGACACAATGAAGGTGCACTTCCTCGACCACAACGTGCTGATGTGCGGCACGCGGTCCGGCAAGATGCTGCTCCTGGATGTGCGCGAGGCGCCCTCGTCGTTTTCTACCACGCGCCTCCGCATCCAACATTCCAGCGCGATTACCAACATGCGGGCCCTGGCGGGGCAGTCCATTCTGCTCGCCGGCCTAGGCAGCACCGGCGTATACGACCTGCGCATCACCCCTCGACCGAGCCCCAAGTGCCATCTCCCTCGGGCGAACAGCTACCGCCACTCGAGACCCGTGGTGGCGTTTGACATCTCCGCCACGAGGCGCCAGAGCCAGTACGGTCTCGGCTGGGCTTACGATCCGGAACTGAACCTCGTGGTCGCCGCGTCGACGGACTATGTGGCCAACCATCGCGTGGGCGTCTGGAATGCCGGCACGGGAAAGATGGTCGCGAGTCCTCTGAACGAGTTCGTGTTCTCTAAGCCCGTGGTCTGCGCGGAGGTGGCCAGGGTGAGGGATGGGCCGAAGAGCGTATTGCTTAGTCTCCCTGGTCTGGGAGGGGGGATCATGGAGTGGAGTCCGCAAGGGCTGGAGAGTCGTTTCTCTCGACGGACACAGCGATTTGACGGACGGAGGGTAGCGGGTGAGGACGAGGAGAGCGGTACTGGTACCACCGACGACGAGGAGAGCGGTACTGGTACCACCGACGACGAAGAGGGCGATTCGTTGGACGGTGGGTAGCGGGGTGCGGACAGAGAGAGTGATACCGATACCACGGACGACGAAGAGAGCTAGACGACGGTTAATTAGTGGGTAGCCCAAGCCTGCCGATCGTGGATATCTGGATAAATGGATGGATGTATGCATTCATTGTTAGCACCTTAGAAAGGACGTGATGACAGGTCTCGGGGGGATACTTGACATGCTTGACACTCGATGCTTAACGTTCCCCATTCAACGCCAACACAGGACACTACCGAAGTGTGCTCGGGTTCTCTGGGTCCTTTAATTATCCGTGGCCCCGCTCCGGAGGGCACACGACTAGAGAGGAGATTATGGGACACAAGGCAATCAGTTCCGGGATCGAAATCACATACGCCAGTAGCGTTAGGCTGAGTCGCGTGTCGGGTGTGGGTGTGGGTGTGGGTGAGGTCAAGACGAGAGGGTATTTACTCCGTACGTCGTCCGCGGTTAATTACTCCGTATTGTGTTTTACCGCAGAGATGAATTGGAGGAACTCCAATCCCGTGGGAGTCTAACCAGTCGAGCTGGGGACTCCTCCGGAACTAATTACTGTGTACAGCGGATATCAGGTACATAGGTTGAAGCAACTCCATGTCAGCTGCGCTGGGTCGAGTCGAGTCGAGTCGAGTTGACTAGGGCGTAAGGGCATGCATGGTACGGATCGGGCGGGTAGTGATCGGGAGGGCAACGATCAGGAGGGCAACGACCAGTAGAATAATCGGTGATTGTTAATAGGTGCACGGTGGATCTGAAAGGATAGGACAGGGAGATGGGTACTGTATCGCTGTCAGCCGCATTGAAGCGAGCATGGCGCCCTCGATCGATCATGTCGACGTCCGCCATCGTCCAAGGTTATGAATTTGGATATTCCAAGGACAAGGCGAGGAAAAGGCAGTAATTAATAGGCGAAATAGAAACCAGGGAGTGAAGGCGTATGTAACTGGGAATTTGCGGCTACATCTTACAGTAGATACCGCTATGACCTTGGTTTTGATCTTGCTGTCGCTTGATTGCCTTATCTTTACACACATGTCTGCTCAGTCGATAGTTCTTCGATCTCAGCGTTGCTCAATGACAATGGGGGATCGATATTTGCGTACGGTTGATTGATGCCTCGATACTGTAAGGGCTAGCCTCTTTCCCGTGCACACTTGATCTGTTGACGGTCGCATTCCGGCTTCCGTGTCTTTCAACTATTCCACGCACCGATCGCACATACGCATGTCTGAAGTGACGGACAGAGGCACACTCTGCACCAGTGTCTTCATCGAGTCGGAATACATGCTTAGAGGTGCGTCGAGCCTTCAATCGCGCTAACATTGCCTTGCTAGGGCATTTGGGGCTTCGCTCTATCCATGGTGTTGTGTATGACAAGTTCAAACCCCTTTGACGTGAGTCGTGACAGCCTGCTAGCTCGAGTCGCTGTTTGCAGGCACCACTGGCTGTGAGCTTCTGGCCCGGTGGCTTCGCCGGAGTCTGCGTCTCTGCATCGATTTCATTCCAGGAAATTCCTCACAATATCAGTACCACGGTCGACCTGTGTGCTTCTCTGAGTGCACTCCAGCATGTATCTCACAGTATGGTTATCGTGGTCCCACCGGTTTGCTTCTCTCCTGGTCTGATGGTTGGCGTGCATTGCTCGTCTGGTTCTCCGCCACCATGAATGCTGTTCAAGTCTCAGTTTGAGACTGTGAATCCAGATTTAGCTTCTGTTTCTGTTGGCTCGTGGCGACTTCGTCCGCTGGGTCCTTGTCCATCTCGACGTTCGCCTGCTGAATCTCATCTGTGGCACCACTGTCCTTCATCCTCAATTCTCTCAGCATCTCGTTGACGCCTTTTCTCTCCTTCCCGCCACCGACATTGTCTCCCTCAACATCCTCGAGTCTCCCAATTTGTGGCTTGCCACGCGTAGCGTTTGCATTGTCATCTTTCTGGAATTTGATCACAGCCCATGGCAACTTGAGACTTTCCTCCCACCCTTTGGCATCTCTCTGCCTATGCCGGACTTGACCTGTGCGAGGATTTGTGAGTGTCCATTTCTGTTCCAGCATCCTCAGGAGCTCGGGCGAATGAGGTCGAAGCATTTGAAGTTTGGCGATGCTGAAGTAGCCCGCAAATCTGAATGTGCGGACGTCGTAAGGTGCACGACGAACCTGAGAAAAGACAGCAATGGGATGCTTCTCATTTACCCCTGCTTTGGAGGCGAAGTCTGAAGCACCAGTGGCAGTGGAGGTATGGTTATCCTTGACCGATTCTGGTGTCTCCGCCTCACTGGGACTCACGTTCGGCATTTGTGCGGGTACAGGAGCGGTGCTATCGCCAAGATCGACCTCAGGTCCCGAAGATGAAGCTGCAGGGTCTTCCGTCCTGTTGGCCGGCTGTTGAGGCAGCAATTCCAAGCTTGACTTGGTATAGATGATACCATCGATCTCCCAACGTGGGTTCGCGTCTGTGAAGAGCAACACGTAGGCAAGAGCCCCAGGTGTGGCAGCAGAATCGTGAAGTGTCTTACTTTGTCTGTTTCCGACTCCGTTCCCCTGGTCCTCTTCTGGCCAGAAGTAATGTTGGATTTCTCTGGGTGAATAAAGCTCATCTTTCGAAGTCCAGTCAGAGTTCCTAGGCAGTGATCGAGTGCTGTGGTCACCACCGCGGAGACATGGAGAGGTCGTATCGCTGGAACTGTAGATGCTTTTACCACCGCGAAGGCCCGGGGAACTGGACATGGTGGTCGTGGATCTGTTGCTGTTGTCGGCGCTGGAAGTATCCACATCTTCACGGCTCTGAGCTTTCGCACGAAGGGCGGGTGGAACATAGCGACCGGCCATGGTTGATGAGCAGGCGTAGTCTGCAATTACCAAGCGAGCACCGTACACGGGACAATATCAATCCTGATGGAGAAGAAGCGGGGAATTGGTCAACCTGTCACATCAGCCATAAGTGAGAAGCAGGTGAAAAACTTAGGCACCAGTCGATGGAGGAAAAGTTATCTCACGTTTGCTCCAAGAGAAGTTGGGGGAGTATTGGGAGGCCAGTGTTCTGAGCGACCCACTGCCTCAACCTCACATTTGGTTGATCAATGAAGATCAAGTGTGAGGTAAAAGTGAAGGAAGGAGACAAGGACTGAAGAAGCCAGCCTTGCCAAGACAATGGCGCAAATTCATTCAGAGGACACCTCGCTCAAAGCACAGCAGGCGGCAGCCTCCCCTCTCCACCGCCTTAACAATCCAAGGCATGTACAGACCTAAGCCGTCAGCTCATCCGAGACGGCGAGGAATACCGGCCCTCTATCCTGGCAATGTCGAACGAGGTTACACGTCTACAAGGCTGGAAACTCGCTCGCTCTTAAAGTCCAACCTGTGAACGCATGTACGTGCCGCCCACTGTGCTTGCCAGTCAAGCCATCTCTCTGTTGTGTCATACTCTGGTCATCCTGTTCTACTCTAGCTCCGTGCTGGAATCCAAGGCCAAAAACAACTCCAGATAGAAGCGCCAGCACGCCGTGGTATCATGAATGTCGATGATTGCTTCGAGAACAGGTGCACATATAGTGATATTGACCGCTCGCCGTTCGTCATCGGATCGCCTCGGCCAGACCCTCCGTTGCCTCTCCCCACTACTCTGCTTGAGTTGGCGAATGGTATCGCATTCTTGTTACTCGAGAAGGAAATACCACTCTGAGAATATCGTTCTTCTTCGTAAAAGCTTTACTGCACCTGGCTGACAATTTCACTAGCTTTGGCCAGGCTCTCCACCATCTGTTGACATTCCTTGCGTCGTCTGATGGTATAGTCGCTCTCCTTCAGAAGGTCGTCGAGTTCCTGTGTTCTGTACATTTGTTCAAGCAATTCCCGCTGCATTTCATCTTTTGTATGCCTGTGCAATGGTTAGCAATGAACGTTGGAGCACGCGGGCGGATGAACGTACTGTACTAAGGCCAGCATGATTGCCTTGGGCACCATATCGATCATCGTCCTCCGCACGATATTGAAGTAACTGTTGATCAGCAATTTGATCACCTCTACTTCCTGGTTCTCCCGTTCTGACAAGGTTCCGCTTGCTTTGAGCGTGGCTGGCGGCGGTTCCATGGCTGCCATCTTCTTCTTGTTCTTGCTAGCGAAGAAAGAGCCAAAGAAACCAGAGTTGGTTTCCGAACCATCGGTAGGCAAGCTGGGCGACCCCGATCTCGGCGGCACCTGTGGTGGAAGCGGCTTGCCAGTCTTGGGGTCCACTTGAGTCGGCTTGTTTGCGTTGTGTCTGTCATTCACGATAGCCATTGCACGATGGCCGTTGAGAAAATCGGGGTGGCCAGTGTTGATGTAGCATGCTTCCATTGCTACGAGGTCTCTGACCAGTTTGTTCGTCGGCTCCATAGACTTGCGGAAGAAAGAAACAACAACAGCATGGAATTTCTCCTTGAGTTGGGGGTATCTTCGGAATAGCTGCTTCTGCAAGAGTTGTCCCAGGATGCGAATCAGCTCGTCGTAGACCAGAGAAACACATTTCAAAGAAGGCTCCTCCAGCCGTCGAATTTGTTGTTTGACGATCAACTCGAAGGCCGTAGTACCGACGAACAAGGCAGGCGATGAGCCGGACGAGTTGTAGAGTATCGTACGTATGTCGATGTCCTTGACTTGCTCAAAAGGATCGATGGCCTTGATACCATTCGAGTACAGCTCGTGGTAGACAAAGGAGATTCGGGCACCGCCTGACAGTTCATTGCTCGACAGCTCGGCGCTGTTTCCTTCCAACACGGTTCTGTATTCGTTGGCGAATTCGGTGATGATGTTGAGGATGATGTTTGAGCTGTTGTTGCCCAGAAGATCGCCAGCGCCCAACTGTTCCAACTCGAGGCTATATTTCTGCAGGGAGGAGGCAATGCGAGTCTTGATATCCGGTAGTGTCTGCTTGATATGCATCATAAGAATGAGGTTAAGCTTGCGGGCCAGATACGGTGTGCCGCAGTACGAAGCCTTGTTCCGATAAGAGGGATGGTTTTCGAAGAATTCCTTCTCGGCTTTGAGCGCCAGATCTATTCGTTTCTTGTTTTCGATGTCACGTTGGCCTCGGTTGACAACGGGGACGTAACCCAGTCGGAGAGGGATGATTCGCCCGGCAAGAATGTCGACCACGTCGGTGCCAGCGTCCATCAGATCGATCTTTGTGAGGACACCGATAGTTCTCTGGCCTTCTGGGTCGACTTCGCGGGCTAGTTTCAGTCCATCAGAGTTGGCCAGATCGACATTGGCAGCTGTGACCGCGAGGATGATAGCGTTGGGCTTTGCAATCTGCTTAAGAACCATGTCTTTGATCTGTTTCTCGATGTCTCTAGGTTGGTCTCCGACCGGGACTTTTGTCAAACCGGGCAAGTCGACCAAGGTCAGCGTCAGGACGTTGGGTGAATAGATCCGGAGGTTGATCGGTTGTGGTGAGATGCCGACATTCCTGCCTGCCTTGGCTTCTGTCTCCTTGACTATCTCATCTCGGATCTTGTTGAAATCATAAAACTTCTGGCCGGGCAGATGGAGGAACTCTCCCCACTCGTCGACGTTGGCCTGCTTGTCGGAGGAGTCTTTGAGTTCGGATTCGGTAACACCGTTCGTCTGCAACTTGGCTGGCGCCGGTCTATTGATCAATTGCAGGACGAGGGGTCGACGTGTAACAATTCCAGACCCTCGGGGCAGGCTGAGGCAGGAGTTAGGCATCGATGTCAAGGTCCGATAATCGTAGAAGTGTAGATCATGCTCACAAGTCTCTTCCCACTATGTTCTCAAGCACCGAACTCTTTCCACTCGACTGGGAGCCTACCACGACAATCTGAGGCAGATCGATGGGGTTTTGGACCTAGTGGGAGCACGGTCAGATGCCAGCTGGCCATCGGGATAATCCAGAGGACCGACGACATACCCCGACAGTTGTGAAAACATCTTGCAGTTTATTGACGAGTGCGATGAGAGTCGGATCATTCACATTGACCCTGCGAGGGTTGTCAGCATGGCCACTGTAGTAACCGTCGACACTCCGCAGCCACTCACGAATAACCCCCCGGTGTTGCCGCCATGGCTGGGGCAAAGCTGAGCGGGACAGGGTCTTGCAGCAAGTCTGAGCGGAGCGAGTCGATGCTGCTTCGTGCAGATGATTGTAGGGCAAGGTCGAGGGATGTGCGTGCTGCGACCTGGCGGTAAGGGTGTTGGTGTTGATGTGGGTTGATATGGGAATTGCTGGCCAAATCTTGGGATGCAAGTGACGGTGTTTGTGCTTGTGCCTGTGATGCGCCTGCGCCTGCGCCTGTGGCTGGGTTAATCGCGGTAGCCGCAAACTCAGGCCCCAGGCCTGGGGTCACAGGCTCTTGGCGCCCAAATAAGAATGGGAGGCTCTTCCGGGTCGCCGTAGACATTCAGCAGGCAGCTCCCAATCCAAGTCGGGAAAGAGCAGCCCAACTTGTGGCAAAGTGCCAGGCAACGATGAAACCCACGTCTTCTGTTGAGGCTCACAATATATGGCGGTATTCCTGCAGCATCCCCAGGAAAGCGAGATCGCTCGATATCTCGGGTCAGTGTCACGAGGCTCGCGCTGAGGTCTACGGTCTGAGATGGGAACAGAGGACCCTGACTGAGCAATGACCAGAGCAACTCTATCTCCACATCCGTTCACATCTCAGCATCTCAAGTGTTGTCTGCTGGCTAGGTTCTGACGCAGCCTCGTCTGAGGCCGGGAACGTAAGTCTCACTCGTACATCAGCAGGACCATGTCGTCCAATTCTCTACTCAATGGTTGTTCGAGCTCCCGATGACTTCGTAGTCCATTCATGACGATAATCAACACACACCTGTTTCACCTAATCTACTCTCGTGTTGAGTGTCGCAGCAGGAACAGATAGTCACCGGCCTCTGATGTCCGGTGCACTCAGGCCGCCCGTCACGGCGATCCTTTGCCCAACACCCCCATAGAAGGAAATGCGGACCAAGGGACACTGAAGTAGGCAGGTCAAGCACTGGTATTGGCTGCTTTGAGGAGCGATATAGGGTACGAAGGACTCCCGGGACCGTATTATCGTGTCCGAGAAAACTCGAGAAGTTTTGGGAATAAGTAGAGTCAGCTATATCTAGGTATTTAGTAGGGCGGCCACCAGCCATTTCGAGAGATGCTGTCACGATATGCCCTCCCTTACTCTTGCTGCTGGCTGATTGAGGCACAACATCCCCCCAACTCCAAGCCGTTGTCAGGCTCCGACATGCTCTGGGACCCGTCCAGACACAGACACACAGACTAACACCTCCTTAATGCAATGCTGTATCCAGAATCTATAGCTGCGCAATCGTCCTTCGTTACCTTGATGATGTATCGCTGCCCGTGTGGTATGCCACCAACGCCGCAAAAGGTTGGTTCTCTCTTACAGAGTCGACCTAAGAGCGCTCGTCCGACCTGAGTCATGGCGGGAGAGAGACCTGCTCAGATTGCTTGGTAGTCCTTCGATCGGTGACCGGCTGTTTGTCCATCTGAGCAATATTAGTCAGGAGGCACATGGATCGTGCTGGATACTACTCACATTCGTACTTTGCGGTCGTCGCCGCCAGATGCGAACATGCCAGCATCCCTTGGGTTCCAGTCGACCGTCGTAACACATTCCTTGCCGCTCTGACCTCGGCCATGTCCTGCCAGCTTTTCGATCAGTGACTCGTTCTCCTTGTGCCAGACGTAGATCAGTCCATCTGAGTCTGGTTAGCATTGACCCTCTGCAATCATGAGAGGAAACTTACCTTCAGAGCCACTGACGACGAAGTTCTCTGCTGCTCCACCAAAGCAACTTCGAATGACAAACTCGCCCTGTTTCTGTCCTCGAAACTTTCGAACAGTGTCTCGCGTAATCAGATCGATCATATGTACTTCCCCAGCTGCGAGGTTTACCAGCACCGTGTTGCCGTCTTGACTGAGAGAAATACTAGTCATCTTGCCAAGCACTTTGATAGGCGGTTCCTCTCGGTAGGTATGCATGTCAAATATCCGGATGATGTTCTGAGGGTCAAGTGCCACCAGCCAGTGGCCGTCGACCGTGATTGCCACGTCTTGTACCCTAAAACCCCGTGGCCACACGTGTACAGGCTGTTCACGCTTCGCCGCCCGGAGATTCCAGTGACACAGCTGTGAGTTTCGGTCGTGGCTTGCGGTAACAAAGCCTTGTGAATCCGGCGTCCATGCAGCAGCAGTAATGCCGTAGTTCTGGTCCACCGTCTGGTGCTCCAGAGTCACCTCTAACCTCCCGGACTCAACATCATACACTCGTGCTTTGCAGTCCTGCGAGCACGTAATGATTTTTGTGTCATCTGGACTCCAAGAAACATAGGTTACCTCGGCCGAGTGATGGGTGAGGCTGTGAAGACGTTTAAAGGTCACCGTTTCGTAGATATTGACGCTTCGATCCTGACTAGCCGTAGCCAGCTTCGTACCATCATGGGAGAACTGGATGTGCCAGACTTCGCCCGTGTGATCCTCCAAGATTATCGCCGTCCGTGACGGGAAATCATCCCGGTCACATATGTGATCCGAGTATAAGGAGGGAGGCTCTGCCGTGTTATGGTACAGACACTGGTTGATCTGGCTTTGCTTTATGTGATCGAACAGCTCGGCTAATCTGTGATCCCGGATCATAACCGAAGGCGCGATTGACCGAGAGAGGTCCTGCAGCAGCAGTTTCCTTGACTCCTCCACCGTGCCTGACCACCGAGCCTTGGTCCTTAGATCCTCCGGAGGGCACATGAGCAGCGTAGATAGGGCGTGTAGTTGATGAATGTCGTGACCCAGCGGAGTCAGCTCTTGTCTTAGTACCATCAGGGCCATGCCGAGGTCTCGTCGGTCAAGAAGCTCAAGGAATTTCTGTTGCCGTATCCAGAAGAGCATCTGGCCTCTATCAGCACCCTCAGCAAGTACAAGTCCATCTCCATATTGATCATCGTCGTAATGTGGTCGACCATGTTCACCATGAAGTGAGCCTTGCAGGATAGCTTCAGCCTCTGACCATAGGCCCTCCAGGATCGCACTTCGGAAGGCAGCCACCGAGGGGCTCTCGAGTTCGTAACCACTTTCACTTGACAGGACGCTGGCGGCATCTGGATACCCCATGTCAGTCAGACCCTGGATGAGTATTCGGACCACCTCCTCTCTGTTGTGACCCCGGTAAGTGGCTGACCGGACAGGTGTATGTTTCTTGGATGTGCCATTGGCGTATGAGGGGCTGGATCCGTTGATGTGGCCGTTGAGGGCCGTATGTAAAGGCTTCCGGGGGGTGGAGCCGTTTGAACTTGCAGTATGACCGTTAGAAAACACTTGCTCCGAGTCCTCATCGACTCTCATGGTGTATCTGTCAGTCCGCCTGCGCTTTGGCCTAGGTCTGTCTGCTGACGAATGCTCGCTAAGAGCAGGCCCTCCTTCGGATGTCTCAGTGGCTTCCCGTGCGCTATTGTCGTCTTCACTGACTGATTCGGATGGTGACCGCCTTCGCCTTCGTCTCCCCAGCTCTTGAGAAGCCTGCACCTGCTCTATAGGTGGTTGATTTGTGATAGCGGGGTGTAAGTCTGGCGGATGTGGGTCTCGGGTTGTATTCGGTGTTAAATTAGTTGTAGATGTGTTGGGGGGTGGGGAAGTAGAATCTGTGTCAGAAGAATGAAGAGGGTGAGTCGAGATGGATGGGTCGTCGGAAATGATTAGGTGGTTGTTTGTAGGAAGGTGGTTTGCCAGCTCGTGGTGGCGGCAAAGCCGCCTATATCAGTCTCAAGTCTGCTTCGTGCAGCACCAGAGTCAAGCCGTCGATTTTGAGTGTCCGTATGCCCAAATTCAGGTATAGAGCGGCGTTAGAGATGCTTGAGACGATTTCGGGTCCGAAACATTCGATCGTAAAGCAACCAGTCCTTTGACGCAGATAGAGGGTAAACGATGGCGTCGGTTGATATTGGAGATGTGATCGAAGCGATCGAGTTTGAAGCAAGTCCCAGCGTCAGTGGATGCACGAGCGGGGGTGTTACGAGTGATATTTGAGGTTGGGTAGTGGTTATAGTGGCTTGTGGACTGAGGATGTCGATGCTGGTCATCTGTGTGTCGTGGTAGGTGTAGAAAGACGTGGTTTACTTCGAGCGAGGCCAGTTCACAAGAATGGGCGCTCGGAGGATGATGTCGGAGACAACGCCAGTTCTGCCCGCACTTCCAGTACTGACTTCTATCTAAACTACAACCGGAACAGGTGCAAAGCAGGGCCAATTAGGTCATGCTGTTGGGGAGCTAGGTATGCTCGTGCTTGCCTGGAGTGTACTCTCGTTACCCGCCCGCTTCAAGCAGCAAGAAGCCCACCGCACCCAAGTCCCATCCACCTGATCTGCTCCAAACGAGGTCCCTTGCTGCAAAGCAGACTGGTGACCAACCATTCCAGCACTGCTAGGCTTGTTTCAGACTGCAAACGTCCACTTCTGCACCGGCCCTCATCAAAAGTTGGAGCCTGAAACTGTACAGCGATAAGAACGCCTGACTACCTGGTATCGGAACTCTCGTCCAGCCTTGAGATGCCGGTGGAAAAAAAATACTTATGCATAACAGCAGCGGGAACTTTCGTTCTTTGCCTGTCCATCAGTACTCGCTGTCCGTCATATCGGCCAGGTGGCACTCTAGTCTGGGAACGTGTCAGATGCTTCGGGGACGAGGTGCTCAAGGCTGGCAGAGGCCGTCTGTGAGGGGTTGTAATTGGTCGGAGCTGAGCTTTCCACTGTGCCTGGATGCCTCGGTCAAGACTTGGACGTTGAATGGTCTGCCTGAGATCAGTCTCAGGAATGGAGGACACTGTTGTCGCTAGCATATCGCACCACACAGGACAAGAAACAAGGACGTACGAGTACGCAGTACCTACCGGAGCTATCTGTGTCCTGTAGAAGTATTCCTGGTGCCTAGAGAACTACCTAGGTAAATAGGCTCTGGCACACATGCTGGGTGCATGCCCGCAGTAACCTTTAAGCGGGAACTTCTTACCTAAGAGCCTAAGAACGTTGCCCTAGCTATCGTATCGCCCGCAACTGGCACCTCCAGACAGCTCCTTCCCGCACACGATGATTTCATATGCTTGGATTTGGACGCCCTCGCCTTAAACATCGGAAGTCTGTCATAGAGTTCATCACCGGCAGGAGTATTGACGAGCTCTCTACTGCTTCTGACCTTAGGTACCTTCACCTTCAGCTTGGACTTCCTGATCTTATTGAGGATCTTGACGAAGGCGACCTTCCTGGTGCAAGCTCGAACAGCTCATCCATCTTCGCCTTTCCGCAACCACTTCAGACCCTAGACACCACTGCCCGCACATACCGAAGGATGCCTGCCGCAAAGGAGAGCGGCATTGGCGAGGACCAGCAGAATGGAACCGTCTTCTCCGTCTCTGGTCCTGTCATTGTCGCGGAAAACATGATCGGTGTTGCCATGTACGAGCTTTGCAAGGTCGGCCACGATGAGCTGGTCGGCGAGGTCATTCGTATAGAAGCAGACAAAGCCACCATTCAGGTGTACGAAGAAACAGGTATGTAAGGTCTTTATGCTTCTGCGCCTGCATTGACAATGTCGTAGCTGGCGTTACTGTTGGAGACCCCGTCCTGCGAACTGGCAAGCCTTTATCCGTCGAGCTCGGACCCGGCTTGATGGAAACAATCTACGATGGTATACAGAGACCTCTGAAGACCATTGCAGGCAACACAAACAGCATCTACATCCCCCGCGGCATCGCCGTCCCTTCACTAGATAGGAAGAAGAAATGGTCGTTCACGCCGACTATGAAAGAGGGAGATCACATCAGTGGTGGTGATGTCTGGGGTAAAGTTCCTGAGAACAGCTTGGTCAACGAGCACAGAATTCTCCTGCCCCCTAGAGCCCGAGGAACAATCAAGAAGATTGCTCCGAAGGGCGAGTATACCGTCGACGAGCCCCTCCTTACGCTGGAGTTCAATGGTGAGACCAAGGAGTACCCCATGATGCAGACATGGCCTGTTCGTGTCCCTCGCCCCGTCACCGAACGACTTTCAGCAGATTCTCCTTTCATCGTCGGACAGAGAGTTCTCGATGCTCTCTTCCCATCGGTCCAGGGCGGTACAGTGTGCATTCCGGGAGCTTTCGGCTGTGGCAAGACAGTCATTTCACAATCCGTCTCGAAGTTCTCCAACAGCGATATCATTGTCTACGTTGGGTAAGTGTACTCTTTACCTCGTCATTGTGCACTATGCTAACAATACATTGTAGATGTGTAAGTCTCTCCGAGAACACAGAGCGCCGCCCATATTCTTCATTTCCCCCTCAAGCTAGATAGTCAATACTAACGACGCAACAGGGCGAGCGTGGTAATGAGATGGCTGAAGTCTTGATGGACTTTCCAGAGCTCTCCATCACCATCGAGGGCCGTAAGGAACCCATCATGAAGCGAACCTGTTTGATCGCCAACACCTCAAATATGCCAGTGGCCGCTCGAGAAGCCTCCATCTATACTGGAATTACCTGCGCCGAGTACTTCCGGGATCAAGGCAAAGCCGTCGCCATGATGGCAGACTCGTCGTCCCGCTGGGCTGAAGCACTTCGAGAGATTTCCGGTCGTCTAGGAGAAATGCCCGCAGACCAGGGTTTCCCCGCCTACCTGGGCGCGAAGCTCGCTTCCTTCTACGAAAGAGCCGGCGCATGTCAAGCTCTCGGCTCGCCAGAACGCAACGGCAGCATCTCCATCGTCGGCGCCGTGTCCCCTCCCGGCGGTGACTTCTCGGACCCTGTCACTTCCGCCACTTTGGGTATTGTGCAAGTGTTTTGGGGATTGGACAAGAAACTGGCTCAAAGAAAGCATTTCCCTTCGGTCAACACCTCCCTCTCATACAGCAAGTACACCAACATCCTCGACAAATTCTACGCCAAGGATCACCCCGAGTTTCCGCGCCTCCGTGATCGGATTAAAGAGTTGCTCACCAACTCCGAAGATCTCGACCAAGTCGTGCAGCTGGTCGGCAAATCTGCGCTGGGTGACTCCGACAAGATCATTCTCGACGTCGCGGCCATGCTCAAGGACGATTTCCTGCAGCAAAACGGATACAGTGACTACGACCAATTCTGCCCATTGTGGAAGACAGAATACATGATGAAGGCGTTCATGCAATTCCATGACGAGGCGCAAAAGGCAGTGAGCAGTGGGTTGAGCTGGGCGAAGGTGAGGGAGGCAACGTCCGAGATCCAACACGGCTTGCGCAGTATGAAATTCGAGTTACCGGACGACGAGGACGCGGTGAGCAAAAAGTATGACGGGCTGTTGCAGAAGATGAGTGAGAAGTTTGCGAATGTCAGCGATGAGTAGGTGTCGCAAAAGGCAGTGGGATTGGGAGAACCGTGTCTGTGCGCTCAATGAGATGGCTGCTATGGATCGGTCAGCCATGGTAACGGTTATTTACCGACGCGTATGCCGTACTGGGCTACATGTATTGTAGTAAGTAAGGGAGCATTCAATAGAGAGAACGCAGCTGTTCAGGACAGTAGACCCGTCGTCATATCTTGAAGTCTGGCCACCACCTGTTGATTGTAGCTGCCGCCGTTCTGGTGTTGCTGTCCACTTTGTTGCTACATATTGACTCGAGCTAATATCCACAAGTTACCATCAACACTGTACAACTCATACTGCGCCATATCATACAGATCAAGATCAGTCATTGGTCCAATGAATCATAAATCTTTGTGATCCCCTTTCTTTTCTTTCCGTCGCTTCTGACCATGTCCCATGTCCTTTGAACGCCACGCTAAATCCCACGATCGAAAAAAAATTCATCCTTCGCCAGACTCCCCAACGCCTCGCTCGTTTCTACAAATTTGGAAAGAAGTAAACAAACACTAAAGGAGAGACCGAGATCGCGGCACGCCCACCAGCAGGCTGCCGCCCGTCCGTCTCAAACTCCCAAATCCCAGTCCACACACTTACTCCATTCCCCCCGGGGCACCTTCTCCCTCTCAAACTTCTGCATCTCCCGCACCCAGCCGAGGCGGTAGTCCCTGGGGAACATCTCGTCCAAGCCCTTGGGCACGGCCTTGACCATCTCCTCCGCGCCCCCAAGCCACCCCCACGCCTTGAAGGCGACCCACAGCCTGGACGCCTTGTTGACGTCCACATTGCAACACTGCTGCAACTGCGTCTTGTTGAACGCCTGCATCCTCGCCGGCGGGGCGGGCTGCTCGCTCTGGCGCCGCTGCTCGTTGTACTCGATCCACATGGCGAGGCCGACGAACGAGCGTGCCTTTTGGCATTTATACTGCGCGGCGGGCATGTCGAGGAGCTGGCACAGGCGGATTTCGGACTCGTGCAGGTCCGTGGTTTCGTCCAGGGGACCCCGTTTGTCGAGCAAATCCTGAAAATCTGGGAGCCCGTCGAGGGGAGGGAGGTTGGCGTCGGGGCCGCCCGCGGGCATGATGGCGCCCTTGAAGTGCGCGAAGTCGTCTTTGGCCGGGGAGCGGGCCGCGAAGAACTTCTTGATGGCGATGCCATAGCGCTCGCTGGCGCTGATGGCTCGGGCGGTCGTCCCGTCGCGGGTCTTGTTGCGCTTTGTGCCGCCGCTGGATTCGACAGCGGTCGCCCTGGCCTTTTTTGAAGGCGGGCTGGCGACCGAGTCATCGTCCTGCAAGGCTTGAGCGGCCTTGCGCTTCGTGGTACGGGCAGGGAGGGGAGCGCCCGGGGCATCCTCCTCCTCCGACGCGGGCTGCTTCTTGTTGAAAATGGCGACGGCGCGCGCCGGGATCTTGATTATTGTTTTGCCAGCGTCGTCGCTGGCGGGATGCTTCTGCGGACGGGCGGCTCTCGCCCTCTCCACCTCCACCTGGTCGTGCACAGGTTCGGCGTCCTTATATACGGGTTGAAACTGCAGCTTAGAAGGCTGCCCCCGATATAGATGGCGTTTGATCCCGCCCAGGAGCCCGTCCATGTCCTCTGGCCGGTATTGTTCAAGGAGGCCCGCAAACGCCATGCGCCTGATGTCCGACCATGGCTTCGGGCACCCGCTCGTCGGAGTGTCGATACTCACGTGGACACTCTCGTCACAATCCACGAGCGACTTGGCCCATGGGAGACGATAGTCCCGGAGGACCTCCAGCCTCCGGAGCAACTCGGCGGCATCGACTAGCCGGAGATTCTTATCTATTCCCCGGTTAGGTAGCCAATAAAGCTCCGTTGGGCTTCTCAGAAGTTCGCAGTCGTTGTGATCCACGAACTCCTTGAGCATACGGTCCACCTGGAACTGGTTCAGGATTACGGCCTTTTGCCCGTCGCCACTCGTCAATCCACTGATGAGCCCCGGCCTGTCCTCGTTCGCATTACTGGGTTCAGCATGGAAAGAGAGGGCTGCTAGGATGTCTGTTGCTGTGGAGGAGCGCGATAAAGGTTGACTGAGTGGAGGCGACAATACAATTACCGGGATAGGCCGATCCAGCGCAGAGTCATTTGCCTTGCCCTCGGATAGAACGATTCCAAAGTTGTTCCCGTGTCGGTCTGGAGGACTTGGATAGCGGTTTTTGATGTAGGAGATGGTTGCCATCGGAGGATGGTACGGCTCGGGCTGGCCAGAGTTAGAGTGTAGAGCAAGCATGTCGACTTCTTACTCAGGAAGACGTAGATGGTCGGCACGGTACTTTCCGCAAGAGGCAAGCTTTGTCGACTTGTACGCAAAGATCTAGAAGGTAGATGCGATATATCTGCAAGAATCAAGCTCTGTCGATTTGCACTCAGAGAGACGCAAAGGGCTTGTTTGATACTTCTGCAGGTGAGAAATTTGCTTTGGAAGGAGAGCGAATCTAGGGATTTATATCCCAGTAGTCGTCGGTCGCGACAGGTACAGGTCCTCCTCGCCTGGAGACTTAGGCTCTGGCGGTTCGTCCCTCGCAGGGATCGAGGTCCTCACCAGGAAACTTTGGCTCTGGCGGTTCGTAGGTCCTCAAGCATGAATAGGAAGAGTCCGGAACCACACTTTCACCACGCGCGATACCAACGGTTCCGTGGAAGTATAAATCCAACAGCACGTGCAAACCGGAGTTTCAAACTCTGGTCCCACCTCTTGAAGATGCGATTGTTTTTAGCCGTCGTAAAATGGTTGTAGAAAGATCGAGCACCAAGAGTGGATAGAGTCAAACGAATACACACAGCACAGAGTGGATGGCATGTTATCGTAGGCGGTAGGAGAATTTTGTGACTGCTCAAGACATCAACAGAGTTCCAATGGAGGTGATGAGCAATAATGGCGAAAAGAAACAGGACATAGTAGCACGATGGAAGCGCAACAGGCAGAAAGTGTGAGTGCAGAGTAATCCGTGTTTTTCCATTGAGTCTCAATCAAGGTATGCGTCATTCTCTTGGTGCAACTATGGGAGGCAAAATTCAGGCAAACAGATTGACAATCAGGTTGTGTTGGTCGACCACAGAGTCGACGGGCGTGTGATTTGGTGAGCAGCGCATGAGTGGCGGAGCGTGTGCTGATGCGCCAATAGCCCGTGACAATAACCCTGTGGTACTGGCTCGCCATTGCAATGAAGGCCCTGCTGGTCAAAAAGGCTGCCAGAGGAGTATTGGTCAGGCACGAAAGAAACGTAAGATGGTTTGAGAAAGTCATGTGTCGTTCGTTGTATGCAGTAAGAGGAGCGGAAGGAAAAGAGCGCAGATGGAAAAGCGAAAAGACAATGGATGGCGCATTGACCTTCGCCTCTTGGCGACGAGTCATAAAAGGCGGGTCCCGCAACGTGGCACGTGCCTCAATACTGGCTAACCCATCTCGGCCTAGCTCTAAGGCAGCCGACTTGCAGTGGAGCCTTCTTGAGCCTGCTCAACGCACTTGAGCCTTGCCCTGGAGAGAAGCCGACTCTGCAAGTTCAGCGGTTTGAGAGCGCTTCGTGGCCGAGACTGTGTGTTCAATCACATATATCTTGCATTTGCACAATATCGACGAGATTGCGCAGTTCTGGGCCGGATGTGCGTGCTGCCATTGAAGGCGTGCTATGGACTTGGCTTGACGCCGTTCGGCCTCGCCCCGTCCAGCTCTTAGTGATCCTCGCTTGCTCCGCAGGTATCCGTCGCGACCATCTGGCAAACTCCCCCTCAAACGGCAATTTGTACCATCTGGGAAAACCCTAGGCGAACTTCATTTCATCCTCTATTCGAGTAGTCGTCCTGGGACATTCGGCCTTTATAACCTCATATCAAGCTCGTCCTGGCAGTAGTTTTAAGATTGTTCTCCGTCGACATTTTTCTCAGTGAAGCTGCCAGAACCACCCGTTTGAGTACCATGACTTCTCCTCCGATTCACTATTTGCTCCCAATCTTTCCTGGCTTTCAGCTCCTCGATCTCGCGGGCCCGCTTGATATCCTCAATTTACTTTCCACTGCTCATCTTGACCCTGAGAAACACCCACTATCTCTGACTCTGATTGCAGAGAGCCTCGAGCCGGTGCCGGTAAAGCCGATCCCACCCAAATCTGCCGACTGGACTTTCGACCTCGTAGATGCATACCCCAGCTCAGGTGGCAAAGTAAACCTCAGCTTCAATGAATACCTCCATCCCGATACTACATATGCCGATTTTCTCAAGGCGCTCGAACTCGACAAGGGCAAAGCTAAGGTTGACGTCCTTCTAATCCCTGGCGGCGTCGGGACCCGGCTGAAACGGCTTCATCCTGATGGCAACAAGACCTCCAACATACAGAGTCTGCTCGAGTTTGTGCCGAAGATCGCCCCACACATCCGTACCGCTATCATCACAGTTTGCACCGGTTCTGATGCTCTGGCACAATCCGGCCTTCTCAACAATCGACGCGCTACCACAAACATGACCCGGTTCAACGAAGTGGCAGCACGGAGCCCCAAGGTAAAATGGGCAGACTTTGCTCGGTGGGTCCGGAGTTTGCCATCTGAAGCGGAGGACAGTAACACGCTGCCGGTCGAAATTTGGACATCGGCAGGCATTTCGGCAGGGATGGACGTGACGCTGGCCTTCATCGCCCACTTCTACGGAGGCCAAGGTGTCGCAAGGAGTCTGGCGAAGGCTCTGGAGTACGACTGGCGAGAGATTGCAGAAGGAGACAGGGACCCCCTGTATGCGAAGCATTTCGCGACTTGATGCGACTGTGGGCCTGTCCAGCAGGAACTGGACAGGCCGCTCTGCCATTCACGAGTACGGGTATTGCAGGAGCTCTCTGCGACCCAAATAAGCATTTCGCCACTCTTCTAATAGTGCTGGCGCACAGACACGAAGATTCTGTTCATCTGCAACTTTCTCCTTATCTGACCACAGAACGTGAACCAGTGGACAGGGCATGCTCTTGTATCCGGGTATTGTGCCGTTAAGTGCACGTTCCCATCGTGATAGAAGACTCTGCCGGTGTCGATTTTGGTCGACCAACCACAGTCGCGGTACCACTTCGAGCAAATTTCCAGAAAACTTGGGTGGTCATTGCAGAGTTGAGCAGTAGTGTGTGCCGGACCTGTGTCTGCTGGCTATACCAGCATCCTCATTTCCGCCCTACGTGACTCTTTCGCGGCAGCTGTATGCTGTCAGGTGGTAGAGAAGGAACAGAAAAATGGACAAGTGCGGAAAGCTCCAAGTCCATGTCAAATCTTTCTCTCGACTGGTACGATGACCTATTTCATTCTTGGTTTCTCCCGCTCAAGCTAGCCAACATTTCCACGTGTTATTTTTGTGCCTCTTCCCAGCCGACACAGTCCCTTGCTAGAGACTCTGAAGCAGGCGCCCCCGGATTTCCGCCGTACTCAATCGGCCCTTTTTCATACCGGCTACCGCCATACCCGTGGGAAAGGAGATGCTACTCAGACGGAGCATGTCCATTCTCGTCGACTGCTCGCGGTCAGTCACCGTCACTGGCGACATTCATCAAGTCAGATGCCGATTGCCATGTTCTTCGCTTTTCAGGGCGCTTAATCCGAGTTGCTGTATCAGGTATGGCCTGTATGGGCCGGGTGTCATTTTCAAGCCCATCGCGGACATGAAACAATCGAAGATGAGAGTGTCCGTAGAGCCATCTGGCAGCCCGTGCTGGGTCGTCGCGGGGGAGGAGGGGGGGGCGGGCTTACAAGACAGCGCATCAGTAGGATATACGCCCGCCAGCTCTATCTCTCGAATAGCACTTGATAGATTTGCGCGCGATAGAACGAGACGACTCCAGCGCCAAAAGCCTGCACGTCTTATGATCTTCACACGCGCAACATAATCCACTGACACAAGCTAGATCGTGCATAGCAAAGGAACAGGCGTTTGGTGCTTCCGATTAGAGAACACAGTACTCCGTGCAAGTAAGAGTTACACAGTGTGTACCTAGTGCATTGTAGATACTATTGATCAGGTGCCAGGCCAGGCCCGGCTATCACCGGCACCATCCCACGTCACCCACCGCAACGCAGCTTGCGGGGGTGGTGACCAGCCCCAGAATGACGTCTCGTGCATGGAACGAAACCGAAGACCTTGGCTGTGACTGCAGGTGTCAGTCGCGTGCATGTCGACTACCCCGCAATGACACAATGGCAATAAATCAAGTACAACCCGGCTGCCTGCCTACTTTCTAGTTTCGCTACTTGTACCTCCAGCTCACCTCATCTCACCACGCCTTCTGCGTCTGCATCGATTTTCCTCCGTCTACACTCGAGTTCAACATCCACGCGTACCCCAGCCTGAATACAAGAAAACCCCCGAATCAAAGACCAGTAGTCACAATGATCCAATCACTCTTCCTCCAAATCTTGTTTACGACGCTCGCTCTCGGAGCTCCCCTTTCGGGCGGCGAATTCCACGCCGAGAGCAACGCCATCGGCTACGGCACAGGCGGTGGGATCGTCGGCTTGATTGTTCTGGTCCTTGATGTGCTGGTCTTTAGTAAGTCTGCAGCTAATTATCCCGCTGCGAACGCTAGAGAGACACAGGATCACTGACACAGTCTAAATAGTCGAGGTTCTGAAATCGAACCGTCCTCCCCTCCACAAGCTGCTGTGGTGCTTGGTTGTGTTCCTGTTCCCCATTGTCGGAATGCTCATCTACTTTCTGTTCTCGAACCGCGAGGCGCATAAGTCGGGTGGTGCATACGAGCCTTTGCCGTAAGGGCTTCAGATCCTAATAAGAAATCCAGCTGAAGGTGAGCGAAATTGGATTGGAGCAGCTGGGGAATCGGTGTATGGGAATTGGAGTTGGGAGGAGTCAGTCATTGCTGTGAGCTTTGGGCGACGATGATATGGGGACGAGGCCGGGAAGGACCGAGGTGCGAGTATGATGATATGGACGGTTGATTTGGCAGTTTCGCTGCGAGCCGAAACAAACAGTGCAATCCATGTGATAATAAATGGAGAGGACAAATGGGGAGATATTTCACCGGCGGATTTTGATACGTGGAGCCAACAAGTTGGAAGGGTTACTCTACAAAGTGCTCGGATATGTCAAGGAGAGGTCCACAACCTCTGAGGATTCGCCCCAAAGGACTAGACTCCAGTGCGACTCGCTGGGGTCTTTCGCCTGCGTGGGAAAGAATCCTGGGCTTGGAGGTTGGAATGTGATATGGCCGGTAATGTGCTAGATCGGGGGCATACTACATAATCCGAATCTGCAGACTTCGCGCGCTGGCATGCGTGCTGTGGATGGCTAGACCTGCAATGGTTATTGTGAGCAATCAATCTCTGTCCGAGATGTCAGGAGCCATCCGCCATCTCATCGCCCGCGCTGTGATATGCGGGAACATCCTTCTCTGAACGTGAATCTGATGACACTCCCTCTCCATCGTCTTCATTAGATTGACCATTCCAAGGTCGAAACGCCAGATGAGCTGCGAAGGGGCACCTCGGTCAGTTGAAGCAATCCAAATGGACCTTATTTTTTTCCAACGAGGAGGAAAAGAAAGACCATACCTCCACAAACACTTTATTCAAATCCCATCAGCGCGATGCCCTTGCCCAAGCATGTAAACGTCCCTCCTGGCTGCAAAGGACGAATCACGATATCTGTGTATTACAGCCCGTCTGCCACCCTTCCAGTTAGCGGTCTCGCCTATTGTCAGAAGATGAAATACCCGACGTGTCCTTGGCGCACTCCAGGTGATTATGGAATCAAGCAACTCTGAAGGGCACGCCCCGGATTTGCACCATCTGGCGCTGTGCGAGTTTCACTTGACCTTGGAAGCTTGACATGCAGCCGGCTTACAAATGTCGATCACATCGCGCGTACTGGCAGTATATGGAGCAGACGCTTTCGAAGTCGCATGCCAGAGTGCCGCTGCCCAGAAGATGCCGAGACACGGACTGTCAACTCTCATTACTTCCTACCACCTATCATGGACAGTCGAGATTGAATGACCACAATGAGGACGGTATCTGCGCCGTTGTCGATGCTGGGATGATGGAATCAGTCGCGACCACCCCGTCACCTACCCGTTTGGGTAGCTTGAAAGTGCTTGGTAGGCTATGTGATGGTCCTGAAGACTTGCCGTGATGATTCAGGCGGGATACACGTACGGCTGCAAGCTAGAACTTCGGTCATTCCGCTTGGGAAGCTATAAGTAGGTGGGCGGAGGACTGTTGCACTCAGGAGAACGAAGTGGCTCCAGACCGAGTACTGACTGCCCGCGTTCGCTTTTGAGGATCTCTTGCGTCCGACATCTTCCACTGTCCAGAACACGACTATCTCCATCAAGATCACGTCTTGCCAACCAACTAGACGATCTTCACCATGTACTACGTCGTCTTCCAGGGCACCGAAAAAGAGGGCAAAGCAGCTATCTCTGAGCAATACTACAATACCCTCGTGCCCTTGCTCAAGGCCAGTCCCGGATTCATCAAGGAAACTGGGTTTGCAGCCGTGCATAAAGAGAGGTTAACAGTCCTGGTAGCAAGTTTCGAAGATGAAGATGCAATAAAGCGCTGGCGAAACGAACCTACACATCTCAGGATCCAGGGCAACGCGGCCCATGGGGTCTACGAGGACTATCACATCCGTATCGGCCCTCTTCTGGACTCGGACGACCAACAAGCAACTCGGAATGAAGGGGAAGTAGAGCAGTGCATCCTGCTGTACTATCGTGACAGCTTCGAGGGCACACCGGCCGACAGTATAATGTCATTGTTAGATATGGGCGATGCTGCGAAAGAGATATCGGAAGACCTGCTTGACTCTTCTGTTTACGAAGGGCCTCAGACCCTTTGGATTTCGGCTTGGAAGTCGGGGGCTGCTGCGCGCAGGTTCGCGGAACTGCTGCCTCGTACTCCTGGCGAGGAGGTCAAATTCATTCTTGTGAAGAGGGATTATAGCCAGGTCGTTCGAAAGGAAGCGCCCAGCGAGACTGCAGGTGGGGAACAGAAGGTGTAAATCGTCTCTGTTGTCCTGTTGTTGTGAGGCGACTGCCTCGTGGCCGTCTGGAAAAAGTGACAAGGTACCAGTTGGAACTGGCATGCGACGCCGTGGAAGAAACTGACTGTTTATGTACGTGGCTTTTGCGTTGGTTCTCGATTGTTACCATCCACATAATGATTCCAGAGCCAACCTTGAAGACCATGATGGAACCTTCGTATGTCAACGGCAAGCGTCGTTCCCCCAGTTGTTAACTGGCCAGTCGTCATTCCGCATCTAGCTTCGCGGACCTTGCAGAATCTGCGGCTCCAGCTTCATGCAACTCAGCGTCATTGGTGGGCGAGCAAGATGTCGTCCAGCCACCCACTACTCCGTACCGCGGTGCAATAACAGCTAAGTTGGCACGGAGGAAGTCTTCGTTTGGTACCCATGGGAGTCGTTTTTCACATTATCTAACAGCATGGCCATTGGGTAAGAGTGACGGGTGTGCCCATTTAATCGAACTTCCCAATCGCCTGGGCCAGGATACACTGGATACAGTCAGAGTGGGCCTGCCAGCAATACGAGATGATTCTCCCAAGCTTCTTCGCACCGTCAGCTCCGCTTCGACTCATCCTTGCCGTCTTGGCCACATTATGCACCTTGCCAGGCATTAAAGCACAGGGTGTAGCATCGTCGAAGACGAATGGCACAGGACCACTGTCGCAATACAAATCTGTAAGTACCGTGTGAGGACACCGGAGCCGTGGGCTGACATGGAAGCAGAGACCTGACATATATGCGCCGTTCCTGAACATCTCCCTTTTCCGCGAAGATGCCGTGACCCCCGGCTATATCTTTCTCGGACCCTATCAGACATTCCAAGAGGCGATTTACATTTATGACAATCGGGGGGTCAGTCTTGCACTTACAAGTGTATCCAAGTGACAAAAGCTGATGTGTGCTAGAATTTGGTCTATTCGGGTTACGGCTCAACTGGAGGTGGTCCAAGTCATAACTTCCACGTGTGTTCGGTCAACGGGACGGACAACCTGTGCTACATAACGGGCGGGCAAAATGTTGGTTATGCACGAGGTTATGCTGTCATACTCGACGACACCTTCACCACCAGAACTTCCATTCATTCTGGTGGCGGTGTGGCCAACTTTGACGAGCACGAATTCAACGTCCTCCCCGACGGCTCGTCGCTGTTCACGCTCTATAACCCGGAACATTATGATCTCTCGGTCAAAGGTATTAGATCTGGCCAAGGATGGATCATGAACAACTTCTTCCAGCGGCTAGAGATTGGCACGAACCGGTTGTTGTTCGAGTGGTCTGCCTTGAACCACGTCCAGCCCAACGAAACATTCGTCCAGCCCGGCACGACAGAAGTCTCAGGAGATGGCCTCGGACCCACCACCCCTTGGGACTACTTCCACATCAACAGTGTTGACATGAACGCTGATGGAGACTATCTTGTCTCTTCAAGGCATACATGTACGCTATACAAAGTATCCGGACAGGACGGCCACATCATCTGGAGACTCGGCGGGATAGCCAGCGACTTCGCCTTTCCACCGGGCTTGAACTTCAGCTTCCAGCACGACGCACGATTCCGGGAGGAGAACGACACCACTACCATCATCTCACTGTTCGACAACGCCTCCAACGGCTACAACCAGACGGCACGCTACTCATCTGGCATGATCCTGAAACTTGACCACACCGACAACTCTGTTTCTTTAGTCCAAGATTTCGTGGCTCCTTACCAGTTCATCTCCGAGTCGCAGGGAAACGTGCAACTCCTCGGCCGCAACCAAAATTGGCGGACCTCGAACGTCTTCGTGGGCTGGGGTAAGAATGCCTACATCTCCGAATACTCGCCCAACGGACAGATGGTCCAACAAGGCCACTTCGCCACGGAAGGATCGATGAACTATCGCGCCTTCAAGCATAATTTCACCTCGAACCCGACTGATGCGCCAGCCTTGTATACCTATGCGCGGAACACAAGTGCCCCAACGTCATATTGGATGAGCTGGAACGGAGCGACCAAAGTCGCTTCGTGGCGTCTGTATTCGTCCCCTAACCGCGACGGACCGTGGACCGTCGTCGGCACTGTGAAGAAATCTGGCTTCGAGACCTCTTTTACTGCCCCGAGATATCATCCCTGGAGTATTGTCGAGAGCCTGGACGCGAACGGAAACCCACTCAGGAACAGCACGAGGGCGATCAGGACGTTTGTACCGACCGCCGAGTTGGCCGCCAAATGTAATGGACAGGGCTGTCCATCTGCCAGCCGCATTTCCAGTCCGACCGCGACGACAGGTTCCACGTCGACGAGCACGAGCACGAGCACGAGCGAGAATGCGGGCGCTGGTATGCGGAAACGAGGCGCCCCCGCCAGTGGGATGGATGGCAGATTAGGCTTTGCAGCCATGTTTGGGTTGGGGGCATTCATCATGTAAAGACGTTTGTTCGAGGACGGGAAGCTACAGACTACAGAGTAGCGGACAGCTGTTGTTAGACAGTTTGTAGAAAGACAAATGGTCGAGGATCCTGAAATAATTAGACACCCGCCCACCCACCGCCATGGAGGGCAAATTACACAGTATCTCGCAGATTAATCCGGAAAGGGCACAATCCACCATCCAATATTCTCGCGGAACATAAGTTTCTTTCAACACTTCACCCTTACACAGAAGAAGTTACATTCACGTAATGATGCGCGAGCAACTCGCGAAAAAGGGGATCTAGAAGCAAGAAAGCATCTTCCCACGGTCTGTATGTAACCTATCCGGGAAATCTGCGCGAAGCAACGTTCCCTTGCCTAGGTACCTGACCATCGCACCCCGTCGGCCCTGTCTTTCGGCCGGTGCTGAATCCCCGAAACGCCATCACTCGGGTCCGAATACGGAAGCCATCGCGGACCAACCTGGTTCTGGGACTCCTGCTCTTTTTACAGTACCGTCGAACTCTGTTTTGTGTGGAGCACTAATTATGTGAGTCCGAGTCCGAGTCCAAGAAAGGGCAAGAGACTCTTCGTCCCGAGCATGCGTGGCGGCAGTGGCAATGGCGGTGGCAGTGGCATGCATGCCTACGTGGTTTGCGCGCGCAAGCATACCTACCCGCAGTACATGATTGACGTGATGAATCACTCGTACTGTGTACACGCTACCCCGGTTCAGGTTACCTGAAGTCGGAGGGGTAGCCAGGCACAAGCCGCAAGGCAGCAATACAAGGCAAAGACCAATACTCGCTTGGTTTCGGTTCGCGGCTACTAATTAGGTGCGGACAGCTACAGTAGGAGACTCTACGGCGTTGAAATTTTGATAGGACCAGCACCCATACCAGTACTTATGTAACATGAAGTAAGTCACTAGTCGGTCGATCTCAGCTGTGGCCACGCCGCTCTCTGAAGCTGATTCGGGATAGTAAGAGTATAATATACTCACGTCGCATTTCCAATTCTCTTTATTGCACTGCTGTATTGCTTGCACATACGGGCTCTCGGGGAAATATTTGAACTGTTTAGGATCTGTTTTGGTGAATAGCACGGCACGGCACTGGCAGTATCACGGTGACGAGGCTCGAATACTCGGACACAGCACACTTGTACCTCCGGACGCCCCTTTGTGGCGTCTAGCACAATCCTACTTATCAAGCAACAGCCAGGAGCAGATGCCATTCTCCCTCGCCATCATCGGAGCCGGACCTGCGGGCCTAACGCTCGCGCGTCTCTTACAGGTCTCTGATCTTGAGATCACAGTCATGGTCTTCGAGCACGATGCTTCGCCCACGGCTCGTCCGTCCCAGGGCGGGACATTGGACTTGCACACCGACACTGGACTGGCGGCGCTGAAGAAATGCGGGCTCTGGGACGAGGCGGTCAAACGCCTCCGCTACGACGGCGAGGAGTTGACGATCGCCGACAAGAACGACACGCATATCCTGCATATGACGGGGGGCGGTGGACCCAAAATCAAGTCCAAGGAGAGCGATGGGGAGTTGGACTACGAGAGGCCCGAGATCGATAGGGAGGCGTTGAAGGATCTATTGCTGGGGAGTGTGAATCCCGGGTGGGTGCAATGGGGAAAGACGCTGCAGAGGATCGATCCCCAGACGGGAGTACTGAGCTTCAGAGATGGTACGACCGCTGGACCGTTCGAACTCGTGGTGGGCGCCGACGGCGCGTGGAGTAAAGTCAGACATGTCCTGACAGATGTCTGGCCACAGTATGCTGGGGTTGCTGGGTTTGTTGGGCACATTGCCAGGCCGAACGAGGAGTATCCGCCGTTGTCGAGGACGGTGGGCCGTGGGAGCTACTTTGCCTGTTCGGACGGGAAGTATTTGAGCGCGCAGAGGATGGGGGATGAGAGCATCAAGGTGGGCGTGTGGTTGAAAAAGGAGGGTTCGCAAGGTGAAAGCTGGCCAGCAAAGATCGTGGTAGCGTGCGGCGACGACGAGGAGAAGCTGAAGGACAAGATCCTCGAGAACTTCCACGACTGGACGGCGACCCAGAGACAGTTCGTGAAGGTGGCGACCGGATTTCGGCCCTGGCCGCTGTACGAGTTGCCTGTTGGGGAATTTTGGGAACACAAGAGGGGGTATACATTGATTGGCGATGCGTCCAGTCTGATGACACCGTTCGCAGGAGAGGGTGTAAACAAGGCTATGAGAGACTCACTTGAACTGGCTGCCCGTTTAGAGGACGCTCTGAAAGCAAACGGCGATGTGGATGAAGCAGTGCGCGAGTATGAGGAAATCATGTTCCCTCGAGCGAAGAGATGGCAGACAGCCACGATGCGGAACAAGGACGGAATGTTCAGCAATGAAGGACCCGTGACGTTCCTGGTGGGCATGGTTGATGATATTGCTGAGGAGATGGGAAAGGATCTATCGAAGGGCATCTCGAGCTGGATCCCGTTCAAGACTGGCGTGTGGTGTTATGTCGTTTCCAGACAATGGATTGGAGCTTGGAGGAGGCGCTTGAGCGGGATGATTTGGAAGGAGGAATGAAAAGTTGGTATTGGCTGGCTGAGGAAAGGAAATTCATCATGGCGAGACGGGAAGAGGGGGATCTTCGGACCAGAGGTCTCTATATTTAGAAATCATCAGATACCCAAGTGGTCACCGGAAAACATGGAATCATATGGAGTAGGTGTCCAAGAGAGTGGAATCTGCGGTGCAACGGGCGACAAGTGAGCCAATATGTAAACCATGCAAATAAGCCAAGGCTCATTTCTGCGTTTAGGAGGTTGAATGCTCTACCGGCTTGAAGGGCGAATGGCTCGAATGGTCATCATAACTTCATGGGGTTGTGATTGGTGGATTGGCATGAAAGCTGCACTTCAAATCGAGAAGCTTGCTTGTTGTCGTCGTCGAGGTACGCCACCTGCCATCTAACGACCTCTTTCTCTTCCATCTCAAGAGCTGGGACCTGCTCGACAAGTCTTCAATATGCGGTCTCAGCTGCTTCGCGCCGCAGCGTGCTCGAGACCATCGGTCGCTCCCACGACCAGACAAGCGGCGAGCAGGACATTCGCCTCATCCGCCAGACGGAATGCCGAAGTCGAGCTCACAATCGATGGCAAGAAGGTGTCGATAGAGGCTGGGTCAGCCCTGATTCAAGCCTGTGAAAAGGCAGGCGTCACCATACCGAGATATTGTTACCACGAGTACGTTCTTCCACTCGCGATATACATCCCCGGCTAGTGGCTGACTTTGCCCCAACAGAAAGCTGCTTATTGCAGGAAACTGTCGTATGTGTCTAGTCGAAGTCGAACGAGTACCGAAACCTGTTGCCTCATGCGCGTGGCCTGTCCAGCCCGGCATGATCGTCAAGACCGATTCGCCCATGACCCACAAAGCAAGAGAAGGCATAATGGAGTTCCTGCTGGCAAATCATCCCTTGGATTGTCCCATTTGCGACCAAGGTGGCCAATGCGATTTACAGGACCAATCGATGAGATATGGCGCTGATAGAGGTCGGTTTCACGAAGTTACTGGAAAGCGGGCGGTTGAAGACAAGAACATTGGACCCTTGATCAAGACGTCCATGAACAGATGCATCCACTGCACAAGATGTATTCGTTTCGCAAATGAAATTGCTGGAGCACCGGAGTTGGGCTCCACAGGAAGAGGGAACGGCATGGAAATCGGCACGTATCTCGAACGAAATCTCGACACCGAACTCTCTGGCAATGTGGCGGATCTGTGTCCTGTGGGCGCTTTGCTCACTAAGCCCGGCGCCTTCACTTATCGACCGTGGGAGCTCACCAAATTCGAGTCGATTGACGTTTTGAACGCTGTGGGCTCCAATATCCGAGTAGATGCCAGAGGTATGGAGGTCAAGAGAATACTGCCCAGGCTCAACGACGATGTCAACGAGGAGTGGATTGATGACAAGACTCGCTTTGCTATGGACGGCTTGAAGACACAGAGATTGACCACTCCACTGATTCGAAAAGACGACAAATTCCTCCCAGCCACATGGGAACAAGCGCTGACCGAGATCGGAAATGCGTTCATCCGACTGAAGCCGGGTGAGAATGAATTCAAAGCCATTGCTGGTCATTTGATTGAGACGGAGTCTCTTGTCGCTATGAAGGATCTCGCCAACAAATTAAACTCGGAAAATCTCGCTCTTGATCAGCCCGGTGGCGGCAAGCCCATCGCTCATGGCGTCGACATCCGTGGGAACTACCTATTCAACTCTAGAATCTGGGGTATCGAGGACGCAACCACGATGCTCATCATCGGAAGCAATCCCCGATGGGAAGCTGCTGTCCTAAATGCACGAATCCGGAAACAATGGCTCCGCTCACCACTGGAGATTGGTTACATTGGCGAGGATTTTGAGAGCACTTTTGAATATGAGAACTTGGGCAGCGACGCTGCTGCCGTGAAAAAGGCTCTTTCTGGCGAGTTTGGCAAGAAGCTGGCTGAAGCCAAGAGACCTATGATCATTGTTGGAAGCGCCGTTGCAGAACATCCAGATGCCAAAGCCATCTTCGAGACCGTAGGAGCCTTTGTCGACAAGCACCAGGCGAACTTCAACACGGAAGAATGGCAAGGGTTCAACGTCCTTCAACGTGCAGCTTCGCGAGCGGGAGCGTACGAAGTCGGCTTCACCGTCCCCTCGCAGAAAGTCGCGGAGACGAAACCCAAGATGGTGTGGCTGCTTGGTGCGGACGAAGTCAGCGAGGCCGACATTCCCAAGGACGCCTTTGTGATCTACCAGGGCCACCATGGTGAGAAGGGAGCACAGCTTGCAGATGTGATCCTTCCCGGATCTGCTTACACCGAGAAATCCGGCACCTACGTCAATACCGAGGGACGGGTGCAGCTTACTCGTTCTGCGGTCACCATCCCTGGCGCAGCACGAACCGACTGGAAGATCATTCGTGCTGCTTCAGAGTTCTTGGGCGCGCCTTTGCCATATGATGATTTGGAAGTCCTGAGAGACCGTCTGGAAGAAATTTCGCCAGCGCTGAGAAGATACGACACGCTCGAACCTCAGAAACTGACCGGCCTGTCTAAAGTCCAGCTTGTTGATGCCAACAAGGGAGCGAAGGCCACTGGGCAGAAGTTGGAGTTGCCGATCAGGGATTTCTATCAAACCGACGTTATTTCGAGAAGGTGTGTACATGGCCGGACACTCAGTCCTTGGTCGATGCCATTTGTTGCTCCATTCTGCAACACGATACTAACTTGCTCTAGTTCACCTACGATGGCACGCTGCAGTGCTTCTTTCTTCCAGACTCGTGACCCGAGTACGAACTTCGCCGCGCCCGGCGAGCCCGACTCACAAATCTCATACGGCTAAGCGACAGCCTCAGTGGAAATACTCCCTGCAATCCCTCTTAGCCGGGAGCTTTGACGCAGCATGTGTGTATAGGCATTGAAAAGGCGTTTTTAAATCAACCAAGAGGCACAGGGTTGGGCGAGCGCCCCCGACATTGTGATATGTACATATCAAATTCAAGGAAACTTCAGACCACGTCCATGGATCTCGCCAGTGAAAGCTGCTCCTAGAATGACGAACTGACTCATCACAAGCTACTCATTCCACTACAACATCCTTGCTCGTGTCCAATTCCTCAAATCTTCGCAGATTCATTTCTCCCTCCAACAGAGGCTTGACATATGGATCGAATGTCTTCCAATATGGATTCTCCAAATGATACTTCTGAGATGATTCTTTTTCGTAGCGTTCCACAATGGTAAAATCCCGAGGATCGTGGACAGACTGCATGACGAACCAAGAGAGAGTCTCCTTGTCCTTGGAGTATACACGCGAGGCCTCGATGAGTTTGTTCTTTAGTTTTTCGATGACTGAGGGCTCGGAACATTTGGCCCGTAGATGGACGGTTATGGTGTACACCATCTTGCTCCTTGGGAGGGTGCTGTTTCAGTGTGAGATCAGTCGACAGTGGGAGTTTTGTCCTCGTCTGCCACTCCGACATCCTCACGGCTTCACAGATGGGGATTTGTGCTATATAGGCCTATCTTGGAATCGTCCCTCTGACGGCCTCACGTCACGCTTCCCCGCCTGACTGGTTGCCGGATTGGGACGGGTGAGATGAGGCACAAGTGAGTCCATTGAATACGGAGCACTTACCAGTGATATTCTAGCTTCTTGGTCGAGGTTGTTTACTTTCTGCTCATTGCCCTCTTAGTCAAGCCTCGTCATGACTAACTTCATGGTTTGTCTTTCACAGGAGGTACGTTTCTCGAGATGGGTGGCCTGGAGGTCATGGTACCGTATCGCTGGGGCACGTGGAGGATGGTTTAGCTTCACCTAATTCCACAGTAAGCGAGAAATCAAGCTATGACGATGTGCCCGCATTTGCGACTTGCGCGCCGATGTTTCTTTTCCTCACTCGGCTATCGCGCTCCCACCATGCTTGTGTCTCCGCGTCCCTCGTCACCATCCGTAATCGAGTTGTCACGTCTACCCGGTATTCAGCTAGATGAATATGGATAGAAGGGGGATTGTGCGTCTCTCAGACACTCAGATAAAACTATGAAATTCGCAAAGTGCGTTGCCAATCTGAGAAGTAGCGCCAGTATGGCAGGGAACTAACCCAAGCAGGGAACTCGAGGAGGACGCTGTTCCGGAATGGAAAGTCAAGTACCTCGACTACAAGGCAAGGCGCAGATGAAGGTCGATGCGCGATCTCTACTGACAGCCTGCAGCAAGGGAAGAAGAAAATCAAGGCCATCTCGAAAGCCCTTAAGAACCTCAATAAAACACCGGGCATCGAGCCAACGCCTGGAGCGCTGAATGCTTTCTCACACCAAGGAACACCCTTCACGCATTATGACTTCAGTCATTCTCCGCGACCCCCTAGTGTCCGGTCGACACGATCGCTACCCGAGATTGCAGAGGTTGCACCTGATCAAGATGAAGAGCCGGACAACAGACCCGAGGTGCGCCGTCACCACACGAGTCGTACCATGTTCGCTCAAAGCCCACCTATCTACATACCGGGCGCAAGAAGCTCAGACACGACGCCCGAAAGGACGCCACTCTACAACGGGCAACCCAGACGTCAGGTGAACTATGGCTCCATTGTTGGGACACCTCCAGAGGAGACGCCGGGCATGATGGGACCTCTCGAACTCCCAGATCCGGCATTGACTCCCATGAGAAGTCGAGCCACAGCCGAGCCCGCGCCAATGCACAATTCTCAAGGCAACACTCCTCGGCTACCTCCTCCTGCCCAAGTACCTCCATCTTTAGACCCATACCATGTTGGTAAAACGAATCACCCTCCTCGCGCGAGAGGCAGCCTTGGTGGAAGTCTGGCAAAAGTCATGTTCAAGCGTCGGAAGCCAAACAAGACCCAGTCAGTCTCAGGGCCGTCTCTGTCTCGAGCCAACTCCCTTTCCGCCGCCGAAAGGTTTCGGAAGCTGTTCGTTCCTCGAGATCTCACCGAGGCAACCGTCAGTGACATGCAACTGTCGGCATATCGGGACCTCGATGAGCGACAGGCAGAGTTCTTCACCTTTTTGGACAAGGAGTTGAAGAAAATCGAAGAGTTTTACAAGATGAAGGAGGACGAGGCGACTGAGCGGCTCCAAGTTCTGAGGTCGCAATTACACGAGATGAGAGACCGTCGCTTGGCCGAAATATTGAGGTCGAAACACGAGGCTAACGGGACCCAACTACCAGATCTACTCGGCATCAGGGATCCACCACCGGACGTGCTCAAAGAGAATGTCAAACCTGATGGGAACGGCGGCTCTAATCTATTGCCGACCAGAATCGAAGATCTCATTGGCCGTCGTCCAACGATAGGCAAGACTAGCGAGGCCATGGCACAGATGAGTAGTCCTCCAGGGCCACGGGCACAGCAACGCATCAATGATGGGAAGAAAGACTACGTGCGCCGCGACAACGGCAAGGAAGTCAAGTACACCTTTGCTAAACGAAGACTGAAAGTCGCGTTGCAGGAATTCTACCGTGGGCTCGAATTGCTTAAATCTTATACTCTGCTGAACAGGACGGGGTTCCGCAAGATCAACAAAAAGTACGACAAGGCCGTGCAGGCTCGACCTCCGCTGAGGTACATGTCGGAGAAGGTCAACAACGCCTATTTCGTCACGAGTGATGTTATTGACAACCATCTCATGGCGGTCGAGGACCTGTACGCGAGGTATTTTGAGCGCGGCAACCACAAAATTGCCGTGAAGAAACTCCGATCTAAGATTGGAACTGGAGATTACTCGTCGGTGGCCTTTCGCAATGGACTATACCTGGCTTCTGGTGTCTGCTTTGGCGTGGCGGGTCTGGTTGACGCCTCTTTCCGACTGCAGGATCCGCGCATATCTGTACAAACGAGCTATCTACTGCAGCTATACGCGGGCTACTTCCTCATCGTTCTCTTATTCCTGATATTCGCGCTGGATTGCAGGTTCTGGGCCAAGAACCACATCAACTACGTCTTCATTTTCGAGTACGACACCAGGCATGTCCTCGACTGGCGACAACTGGCCGAACTGCCCTGTTTCTTCGCCTTCCTGAACGGCCTGTTCATCTATCTCAACTTTCGACAGAATGCGGATGACTGGTTCTATATCTATTGGCCGCTGTTTCTCATCATCATTACTGTGGTCATCATTTTCTTCCCATTCCCCTTCATCTATCATCACGCCAGGAAATGGTGGGCCGAAACGAATCTCAGACTGGCCTTTGCACCGTTTTACCCGGTTGAGTTCCGAGACTTTTATCTCGGTGACATGTACTGCTCACAAACCTACGCCATGGGTCAGATTGAACTGTTTTTCTGCCTCTACACCAACGACTGGCAGAATCCTCCACAGTGCAATTCCAGCCACTCACGCCTGCTTGGCTTTTTTGCTGCTCTACCCGCAGTTTTGCGGGCACTGCAATGTCTACGTCGGTACTACGACTCCAGAAACTGGTTCCCCCATCTGGCCAACTGTCTCAAATACTGTGGCAATATCGCCTACTACGCGACTCTGTCAATATACCGGATCGACATGAACCACACGACATGGGCTATCTTCGTCACGTTTGCTCTGATCAACGGCCTTTACTGCTCCTTTTGGGACGTTTACTTGGACTGGAGCTTGGGTGACGTTTTTGCGGACAAGCATCCGTTCCTGCGACAGCGGCTGGGCTATAAGCAAGTCTGGATCTACTACGCCGCCATCCCTGCCGATGTCTTGCTCCGACAACAATGGATCTTCTACGCCATCTTCACCGAGGACGTGCAACATTCAGCACTCATGTCCTTCTTCGTCAGTCTAGCAGAGGTGCTGCGTCGTGGGATGTGGTCTCTTTTCCGAGTGGAAAACGAACACTGCAACAACGTCGGCAAGTTCCGCGCCTCGAGGGACATACCCCTACCATACGATCTTCCGGATTCGAGGCAAGCGTCACCGATCCAGCAACGCCAGACAGCCACTCCACGGCCTCCGGGTCAAGAACAAGACGATCAACGCGTCGCAGCAACAGGTGTGGACGTCGAAGCCCGTTCTCCAGACGACTCCTCCATGCGCCGACGACGTCCACCAACCACCCCACGGACCCCTGCGATGCGTGCACTCCAGCGCGTCGGCACGATCATCGGCACGGCCCACGCCCAAGACTTTGAACGGAGAAGGAGACCGCCCGACGAGATTGGTGCAGCTCAAGTTGGGGATGACGTTCGAGACAACGGGGGCAGCAGTGACGAGGACGATGACGACGAAGGGGACGGGAGTGGTGGCGACGACGAGTTTGCCGAACTCCAGAGACAGAGAGAGCAGGATTTGGATCATGCGGAAGCCGCCGAGGCAGATCGGTTGGTTGGCCGGGCTACTGGCGCTGGGCGGTGAGTCGGCATCGCCGTGCGCAAAAAGGGGCCCAAAGCCGCGTAGGCGGATGTGAGCTCGAGGCACACTACCTGTGAAGATAGGGACTGTAATTAGTTCTGGATACGTAGATACAGTAACCACGCAGCAGAGGAAACTACACACCGACACTGCTACAATAGCTCCAATTGGGACTCATGATCTGTCAAACTCGAGGACGGGGAAAGCACTAGTCGAATGATCGAGTGTTCTTCACAAGGACCTTGGTCCATCCATGTGCGGTCTTTGATCTGGGAATTTCGCGCGGATGTAACTCGTATCGGCTGAACACGACATTGACATAATTAACCAGCGACGGTGTGCACGACATGGACAAGGGGGAGACATGTGCTGTACGCATTGCGAGTACAAAATAGCGAAAAGGCCTATGTACATTGCCATCTCGTTCCACCGATGGTGTGCTGCTGAAGAACGGTGGCGTTCACTGTTACAGTAACCTAGGATGCTACAGCACTCGTACGGGCCACTGTGTACAGTACCTACGGTGTCACTAGGTACTGTACCTCGTACCCAATTACTGTTTATGCGGCGGGTGATGCAGTCCTGAAAGCGACGTCATCCCACCTCACTCGACAACCTTTTTTTCCATCCCGCACTGGCTGCAAGGCCTGGTTGCGAACTCTATCTACAAGCATCGCGGTACACAGGACCGAGTCCTACCAGTACTCGTCCGGGAGACTTGATTGACATCACCCAGTACCTGTACTCGTATCTGTGCCTGGTATCGCTGCCTATACTCACAATACTCGACTTCGTACTCTCCGAGAGTCGCGCACTTTACCCATCACCACGATGCCCTTCACTTCCTCCTCCTCTCCCACCGTCCCCCTACCGTTCGACGACATCGACGAGCTCATCTACCTGACCCGCGCGAACGAACTCGCCGACCTCACATCCGCAATCGACACCCTGAGCACGACGCACGCGTGCTCCCCACGTACGATCCTCGCCTCCGCAATCGACATGGACGCCGATGGTCTGGGCTCGCAATCCAGCCTCCTGCACTACGCGGCTGGGAATGGGCATCTCGGGACAATGAAATATTTTCTTTCTTTACTCGATCATGGTGAGGCCACGCGGGACGAGACTCTGACTCAGAAGTCGAATGGGGAGTCCACCTCGACCTCGGCTTCACAGCCGCGTGATAATGATGCGCCCGCGTCCACGTCTTCGACGCAGACGCACACACAGACACGCCGGCTTCTCAACCATCAAAATGTCAGCGGAAACACGCCCCTCCACTGGGCGGCCATGAATGGGCACCTCGACGTGGTAATCGCGCTGGTGCGTGCGGGTGCGGACGCGCGCGTCAGGAATGCCGCGGGGCGGGACTGCATCGTCGAGGCGGAGGTGAGTGCATTGAATAATGGGCGAAGTGAGGTGCAGGCTCAGATCGGGGAGTGTGTGGTTTGGATGTTGAAGAATTGTGAGGGCGTGGAGGAGGGGGTTGGGGTTGGGAAGAACGAAGTGGAGGAAGAAGAGAGTGGACAGAGGAATGATATGAGTACGAGTGCGGCGAATGGGGAAGGTACGAGTAGTGGAAACGACGACGGGACGACAAAAGTGCTGGACACGTGAGAAGGCCAGGGAGGCTGTGCAGGAGAAGGATATGGTAGTCAAAGGTGTTAGGTTGACACACAAATACGGACCTCAGGCTTGAGAGACAGAGATACCCTGTGCATCTCACGTTGAAGGCAAAGCCTGCTTCTGAGTGGGTAGCCAGGTTCGAGAAGCGGATAACAATCACCGTGTCGGATTGCTATCATTCGAATACCAAGCCACGAGGCTACCAGACCACCAGGCCATCGCCGAATAATCAACAATGGTCGATCTTGATTCCATCAACCCCAAGGCACCAGACATGCACCAGATATGCGAAGACCCGTCGCCGTCCGTGTTCGGCTTGCAATCGAACAAGCTTCCACCCGCCGATGTCACTGGACGCGGTTATCCTCAGTCAACCTCGTACAGGAAAACCTTATGGTCTTTCGAGCGCCCCATCCCGAACCTCTTCGATCGGACTTCACCCCGTCAACGGCAAACAATGGCAGTTCAACCCCTCCTTGCCTTCCAACGTACAGTACGCCGTGATGCAAGTCTCATGGGTCTCGGGGTCAACCACGCACCGTTGGTCGACGCAAATGCCGGTGGTCAATCGCTGTTACGCACCACCCATGTCAGCCAAATTTGTCCATACGAAAGGAAGGCTGAAGCGCGGGAATGGGAATCGACACTTGGATGTACCGAGGAGTTTGGTTGTGGGAATATACCTTTACGAGCTTGTCCCCGTCTCTGAGTGGGTGAGAGCATAAGCTGTCGGATCCAGGAAGAGGGGTGGCCAGGACGGTGGGAAGGATCAGCGAAATGCTGGCGAGGAAAAGGCTGGTGAAATGCATCTTGATTGACGGGCGTGAGCGTCAGGATTGGAGGTCGAGGACAAGTCGATGTGTCTTGATTGATCCCAAAATGCCAGTGCACTTGAGTCAGGCTGTCCGTCAAAGGGTCGGCGAGGCGAGGTGACTGTTCGGTTCCTTGACGCAAAGACCTGGTCGTTGAAGCCGCGGGTTGGTTCGAGGTGAAACCGAGAACGAAAATCAATCAATGCACACCTCAGCGTCCCGAACACGGAGGCATGCGCTCTTCTCAAACATGGCAAAGCAGCTAGCCTTATATCCTTAGCTACGCGGCTCGTTCCATCTCAGACTCAAATGTCTAGCCTCATCTTTCTGTATGGCGCGAGCTGAGCTGATGATCACGAGGTTTGTGGCTACCTCGCATGCATGCATGGCTAGACAAACCAGCCTACCATACGTACGGCATTCCAGTGATCCAATCCAATAACGTTGAGAGATGTTCCCGCTGTCAGCCAGCAGCCCATGGAGCTGAACCTCAAGCCGCACTGCGGATATTCTCGTGTCCATCATGTTTCAGGGTCGTCCTCGTGTCGGTGCGCACAAAGCAGTCCGCCACCGAGGTCAACAGAATAGGAAACCGTCACCTGGTGAACGAGGACGATCTGCATGTGGGCACCAGAAGGTGAGGCAGAGCAAAAACCGGCAACCCACGTGTGGCCGGCGAGCCGACTGGATCTACTTCCGCGTCGACCGTTGGGTAGCCCTGCGTTATTTTGGACTACGACGTAGTGGTTCGATGACCACGGTGGGTGTGAATCTCAGCAGCGGAGAGCAAGTTCAGGTTGGACCCGCCGTAAGTGGAAAGCGTTCTTGAGAAGGCGTTGCGCCACGCACAAGAGCGGCCCGTGCATACGAGGACGCTGTACACAGTAATCGGACTGCTGGCTGGATAGTCGTGGTCAATGGCTGGCAGCGAGAATAATGTGCCGTGTTGGAGGCAGTCGATTCGACGTTCGGCAGGCAAGTCTAAAAGCCACGCCACGTAACCAGTGGTGGGAGCCTCGTGTTCAAAGTCGTCTGGCCCGCCCGTGAAGGCTTACCTGAGGTAAGCTTCCTGGCCATTCACAAGGGGTGGCCAAGCGAGGTGCCGTCCCGATTCATAGTGTACATGCATGCCATGCGATACTGTATGCAGGGCGGCAGAACGGCAGACACCACAACGCGACCGACCTGAGCACCCAGGTTGAAGGGCTGTAGGGACCTCAGACAGGCTGAAGATATTGCCTCGGAGCGAAAGATGCGGTCGACGATGCGCGGTCCTCGGGTTCTGCTGTCAAGCCGGATGCACATGGCCTGAATATCTGACTGCGCTGAGTGGTCCGTACACAGTGAGAATGTGCGGTGCAAGGAAACGGGCTGCGAGAGTGCCTGGTCATCTGGGCGTCCGATCTGGAGGGTAACTAAATACTCCGGAGGGCATCCATAGCGTAAGGTCAGGCTGAAGATCTGACAACACTTGCGATAATTATTACAGACGTTCTCAATAACGTCTCCACATAGATCCATATCCTAGGTGCACTCCGTATGCTAAGGACTATCTATCGTATCTTTGATCTATGCTTTTTCAAGTCGTCCTCTCGGCAATCAACTGCAAGTTTACAGGGACTTCATGCATATTTCTACAAACCGTTATCGGCAGTGGTGCCCACCTACCTCGTACATACGGAGTACCATCAGCCATTACAAGATGAGATAATCATGTTTCCATGTTCCTTGAAAGCGTCACTGCGCTCGACGTCTGCAGTTATCCATTACTATTTCCAGACCTCGAATCGTCGGTTCTTGAACCAACCGATCTAGCTGGATGCTGTCTTCCTCGACCCGGATCGACTGTCTGCTACTTTGCATTTTGTAACGTGCGTTGGCAACACTGTATATGCTAAAGCCAAGCACAGTTGCTCCTGCCGCGGTTGCCACTGCTTGGTCGAGATCCAAGAAAGAGTTACTGGAGTGCGGGTAGAAGTGTCCTGCAAATATCTTCAGACGAGCCCAGACTGTGATTGTCCTGCCAGAACTCGCGGCGAGAACTGCATAGGAGAATTGAAGCGCGTTCATTGCGCTGGGTAATATGCTGAGTAGCGCTGTGGCGGGGACAAAAACCAGGCTGATCCATGCGCTTGTTCGTGCCACTCGTTCTGTTCGCTTGGCATCTCGTTTCCATTCTTCCATTCCTACCCTATCTCCTGACTGTGTAAGTCCAGAGACCGCGGGCGGGGTATTTCGTTGAGCTGCTTCGGTACTTGGTCGGAGCATTTCGACAGCCCGTTGGGAAGCTGCAGGGTTCTCATTTGGCCTTCTTCGGGCCCCTTGCTCGATCTCCTGCGGCACGCTTCCAGAGCGAAGCATGTAGGTGATGATCGCAGAGAGCGTAGCGGAGCAAACAGCCAGTATTACAGGGATGGCTATGACAAGGCCCGTGAAGTCGGCAACAAACGATCGGGTGAAGGCTGGTTTCTCGTCACTCGGGGCGCCCAACGGGTTGTACCGAATACCAAGCTCTCTGAAGCTGGAGAAATGGATGTAACATTCAGTGGCAAGGCACAGGAGGCCGACCATTGCCACGGATATCGCCCGACGGAGGCAAACCATCCACACCGAAACAAGGAACAGGATGACACTGATCGCCATGAAGGATTCGACCACGCTGAAAGGTGCCTCGATAGCGGCGATAGACTGAGCAAATTGATTAGCTTCGACGCCAGAGCCTGGAGAGTTGTCGTGACCTGGCGTTAGTGTCGAAATCTGCGATATCAGGTGGCCGGCGGCGACAGTTGGCAGCGTCAAAGTCGCCAGTAAGTCGACGTCGATAGATCCGGACTTTCGTTTCCTCGGATGAAGCGTCCAAGAGACCAGAACGGACAGAATTGTGAGGTACCAGCAGGCGATCGTGCCCGGCCCGTAGAGTGAAGAGACAAGGGCATATCGTTCTGCTACCTGCTGGCCTGTGTCCTCCATCGTTGAAGTCGGCAGTAAAGCTTTTGTACTGTTTGCCAGTCCGAGGGTAGTGGTCTAGCCAAGGCCAACAAGAGCAGGAGGCACACTGGTTTTGGAAATCGATGGGAGAAGCATGTACCTGACTTCTTTTGAAAGCGGCCTCCGCCTGATCTCGATGTCGACGCGTTTCAGGACTGCAAGTATTAGTGCTGTTGCCTGCATTACGGTGTAGGAGACGCACACGCTCATTCCCCATACAGTAGCAATAAGAATGCGCCCAACCCCAATCAAAATGTCGGGGTTCCGCGTGGCAGGTGACACGGTTTGCCTAAGCTGCCTTCTCGGGCTTTCACTGTACGAATCTCGCGAGTGTTGGTTCCTTTTTGGGTCCTCCACACGTAGGATGCAGTATCTACTGCGGGCAAGGGGCCGATTGCCAGCGGTTCGACGCAAGCGGGTCAAGATTCTGACTTGCAGATGCCAGCATGGCCGAGAGTACGAAAGGTGATAGGTATCTCGTCGAGTTGGTCTTTTCCTAGCCGCCGTGGACGAGACTCTTGATTGAAAGACGGCCAAGGCAAGATCGATCCGGGATGTCTTGCAGTTCAACACGCTCGTACGCTACTGTAGATTGGTCTTGATTAGGCATTCGTACATGTTATTTACTTGGAGAACGCTCTACCATCCCTCCCTTCGTTTCATCCGAACCCGGACGTCTTTCTTCGGGTTCATGGCACCGGCGCCGACTATGCGACCTGGGTGCACCCACTTACCACCATTGTTGACGGGCTCGATGTCCCATTGCATGATGATCGCGGCTCCGAAAAGGACGACTTCCCTCTCGGCGAACGTCTTGCCTTTACACATCTGCTTGCCGCCGCCCCAGACTTTCATCGTCTTGTACTCCACTCTGATTTCGGCGTCGTCCTCCGCCTCACCGTTGACGTGACCATTCTGGCCCTTCTCCGCCTGACTTTCCTTGGCCCAGAATCGTCGGGGGTCGAATCGCTCGGGATCGCGGAAATATTTCTCGTCGCTCTGATGTACCCCGTGTGGAATGCAGATTAGCTCTCCCTTCTTCAGCAGCCAACTTTGAGGCTCCTTCTTGCCCAAGCTCCTGGCATCTTTCTCGTCCTCGTAGACCACAAAGTCGTCCTCGACCATCTTGTATGACATACTTGGAGCTTCCAGGCGCATTGCCTCGAAGAACGCCCCTTTCAGGAGAGGACATTTGGTCCACAGAGCAGCCACGTCGATTTCAAGCTTCGGTTGCTCCTTGATCGGAAGGCCAGTCGCGGCTGGTTGGTGGAATCGTACATGGGGAGCAATCTCGCGCCGGATCTCCTGTAATAACGACGGCGTCGAAAAGACATACCATACCATCCAAAAGACCACGGCATTGGCATTGATGTTCATGGCCCACAGGATCGCCCCGTTGCCGGTGGCCCATCCTCTAGGCGAGGATCCCGCCGCCTTGAACTCTCGCGCACGATCGACAATCACGGAAGAGACGTCAGACATGTCACTCCACCTGGACCCGGGGTCTTGACCGTCGAGGTACTTGAACAACGCCTGGTGATGTTCGTCGATGGCTTGAATGATGCGTTCTCTTGCTTTTGCTGGCCCACCCATCCCCGGAAACCAGCTTGGCGCGCCGGCCAAGAAGAGATTGAAGCGCGTATCCATTTCCCACAGGTCCGGCATGATGTTGGGATTATTCTCCATAAAGTCCTTCCCAAACAGTACCGTCGTGGCAATGTCACCCACGAAATACCGTATCAGAGGCATGAGACTGGCTTCGGCGACGAAATCACCATCACTTTTCCCCTGGGACAGAATCTCGACACTCCCCTGTCGTTCCCAGATACTCTGGTCCACAGGACTCGCTGCGCCAGAGACCAGATTCCATGTTCTGTCCTGGACCATGTCGACGGTGACCTTGATGGCCGTGGTGACGAAGCTTTCGCGCAACATGCCGGACAGGACTCCATGGATGTTGCCCCACAGGAGAGCAGGATCGATGGCTTTGATCGCACCCCCGTCGCCCCAGAAGGTCTTCATGACATGATAGATGAAATCCTCCATGGTGATGGGGCTGCTCCTGTCCATCAAGATCTGTTTCGCCAGACTAGGAACCGTGACCACATTGTGTTTGGAGTTGGCCATCCACAGCGCGTAGATGGAGCCATTGCCCCCGAGTGACCGTGCTGCAGCCGTTAAGAAAGCCGTACCCCCGGCGGCGAAGTTGATCGCATGGCCGATCCACGGTATCCAATATGGGAGAATAGGCACAGTTCGCGGACTGTTTCCCGGTGGCTGATTTGACACGGTGGCGCGGTATTGGAGTCCCGTGATGACGCGCGTGACCACGGCGGTGATGAAGAGGAGAACGATAGCTGACTGGACTGGATGATGTAGCGCTCCTGTGACGGTGTGGTGGAGGAACGAAGAGCTTCGTTCCTGCTGCGACATGTCCATGTGCGCTGCCATCTGGTCAAAGGGGGCCGATGTATAATTACGGAGTACAGTGCTGATGAGAGGCTCGTATCGAAAAAACGTGGCAGTGGATTAATTAAGTTCTGACCGGCCCGTACGTTAGTTCGTCGCACCTTATCGGTCAGTGTCAAGAGAGGTCGATCCTCTTGACATGGAGGTTCATGAGACTTGATGTCTCTCTAGGGAGTACGGCTCGTGAGGCAAAAGTGGATGGTCGAGATTGTCTTGATGTGGGATAGAATGGGACGCCTTAAACTTGATCAAATAAACACCGCGCCGCATTCATTCTGACGCGTGTATCCGGCTCGTTAAATCCCCGAAGCTTAATTAGATGCTGCTGACATGGATGGCATTGGATTCCTATCTGGAATTGGCCTTGAATCTGAAGAAGCAGACAGAGCGAGAGAGAAAATCAGTTGATTGTTTTCTATCAAAGGATGCTAAGAGTGAGGGAGGCTTTTATAGCCTGGCTCACTGTCCACTACCAACTGCCTACCAGGCATGTTGCGCACATAAGTGAAGTACTAGCTTCGACAGAATCCTGCCTGTGGTGCCTGGTGTCGACACTACGCAGTATGACTGGAGTAGAGCATGGCGACCGAGGCCGCGATAGATTTCCCTGGGCATAATACATCCGGAGAATACTGCACTTGCATCAAGCTACGTACTGAATTCCCCGTCACACGCTCCAATGATGTACCAAACAATCGCGCTACCGACTGGGTGCCGACGCTTCCATCAAAACTTCTCCGCAAGGATCTTCTTCAACTGCCCACTTTGAGCCTCGTATTTCATGACCTTCTCCTGGCTGGCCATCGCCTTGCTCAGACACCAGTGAATACGAGGCTTCAGTTCGCTTGGCGTTCCCGGCAGATCTGCCAACGTCTTCAATTCGGCCTCGTATTTCTCCACGTTCTTGTTTTCCTGGGCAGTCAACTGTGCTAGAATCGCCAGATCGAGGCGCGCCTTGAGGACTTCGTCGTCCGTCAAGTATTCGAATGCGGATTGGTAGACCGGTTTCCCTGGTTTGATGCCGTACGGTCGACCGTTCTTCGACGTGATCGAGATTAACTCGGCCTGCTCCAGAGCTTGCAGCACAGTCTCGCCGTCCTTGAACAGATCGTTGAGAATGAACTCGTTGTACCGCAGAGTCTCGTTTGCCGCGAGCTCCTTGACCAGCAGCCATGCTTGCTGAGGTGTCCATTTGCGGGTCGACACATCGACGTCAAGAAGATACATTTTCAAGATCTCTGAGGCGGACTGCTCGATGATTTGACGTACAGCTTCTGTTCTCCTGCGTTAGCATCGAAACACAATAATGGTGAAAGGTCAACATACTGCCGGGCGATTCGCCGGTTTTGATCCGTCGGGCGAGGAACTCCAGATCCGTCAGTCGGCCTCCAAGCACTTGTATCACGCCGTCCAGCTCGTCGAGATCGCTTCGCCTTTGCGAGGCATTCGCTTTCTCCTCCTCACTCTGCGGGGTCTTCTCGTCAGCGCCGTCAGCAGCGTCCAGGTGTTTCAAGACGAGTTTCTTTGCCACTTCCGGAGAACAGTCGCTCAAAGTGATCTGGCGGAACACTCGATCTGGCAGAGCCTTGCTAAGTGATTTGGAGAATGAAACATCCGTCGTCAGGAAAATCACGTGGGCAATGTTCTGCGTCGTCAGAACAGCAGCCCATTCTCCAATCTTGTCGTAGACCAGACTCGCCGATCCCTCGTTGTTTTTGTGGAGGAAGTTGTCAATCACGACTACCGGTCGATTCTCGGGGTGGGCTTCAAGCCATTCATCGTCGGCCATTTGGGGATCCTTGTCGTCCTTCTTACGTGGAGTCAACGCGATCTGTTTCAGTGCAGTAGTTGTGTTGCCCCAGATCTTGGCCAGTTGATTGTCCAGTGTCTCGGAAAACCCAGCCTTTGTACCGATCGTGGCTGTTGCGGCGAGATCGACCATGCTGCTGATACTGTTCATCCACGAGAACACTGGTTTGTAGCCGACTTCAGCGGCAGCTGCAGCGATGGTGTTGCTATCTCCTCGGGCTTCCTGGATCTTCTTGCAATCGATGATCAGAGTATTGGGCCGATCCTTCAGGGCTTGGTCCACGACCAGCTCTTTCTTTCCGGCGCCGCGAGGGCCTTGCACAACTATAAAAGTATCGGCAGTCTCGATCAGCCACGTCTGTAGTTGGTTGATTGCGCCCTGGCGATCCTCCCAAACAATTCTGAGATTCTCGTCTTCACGCTTGTTCTTTCGGAACCGGATGATGTCGTAACCGCGCAGCAGCTGGCCTCTAACCCACTTGATGATGGGCTGATCCTCCAGATGTAAGCCGTGAGTGACATGCATTCTGATAAAGAAAGTCCTTATCGGGTCGAACACAGCAACTGAGGCGGCTGTGAGAAGGGCAACCAGGATAGGGATGACGATCCTCGGGTGGTTGGTCATCCAGTCCCAGATCCAATTCGTCCTCTTCTTTGACTCGTAGCTCAATTTGAGTAAAGTCCCGGTTTTGCCTCCTCCCTCTTCTGGGGGAACTACGTAGCCATGCATACAATTCCTGGCCATGGTTGCAAATCTGACTCTGGTATAGTCAATGGTTCCGTATTTCGGGGTGACTTTCGAGTCGGACGGCTGCGGGGCAATCTCTGAGAGCTTGCCATACCGGCGAAACAATGAGTACAGAGTCTCCTGGGTCAATTCGGCGGCGGTGTTTTCTGGGGCCGTAGGTAGAAATTCCACCTTGAGTCTAGCTGTGGGCAGGCGATATAGATCCTCAATCCACGGTTTGCCCTGCACTAGGAAAGCCCGCACTCTTCGTAGGGGATTGAACCATGGTCTGATTGGCTTCTCGTGGAGATATTGTTTCAATGTGCTTTCCAGTTCAGCGGCGTTTATTCCTTCGTCATGAGAGAACTTGACAAACGCACCTCCCTCGCGTAGCCGGGGTAGGATCTTTTCAACACGCAGTGGCAGGCCCTCTGGTAGAGCTCGTTTGATGATACTGCCGGGGTCGGCTAAAGCAAGGTTCGGTTGGTTGACCTTGCTGAGGGAATCTGCCAGGAACTTGTCCGGGTTGAGGTAGGGAATACGGTTCAGCCATTGCAGCTTCAGTGGGAAGACATCTGCGACGCGGTCAGTACAGCTCTTGCCAGTATGCGCCTAGTTCGGCTCACTATCGAAGAAAAAGATGCCTTGATTCTCCTGGGTCTGGATGTGGCCTGATTCATTGTCGCCAGATTCGGTGGACGTCGTTCTCCTGCTTGGAGCAACTGGGGCGGCTCTAACTGTTGGTCGAGCATTCCTCCCTGTGTAGAGCAGTTGCCTTCTAGGAAAGGTTGTCAGAAGATGGCCTGGCCGCCCAAAGGAGCGTCCAGCAGTCCTCGAGAGTATCATCGTCACTGTCCCCTCAGCATCGTGGCAGTGAAGGTCTGTTCATGTCTACCAGTCTTAGCAGTCCTGTAGATGGACAGAGACTGTAGTTGAGCTTCGAGTGCCGAATAACATGTCCAACAAGTCGGCTCTTGTGACCACAAAAGCTTGCTGCCTGCCGCACCCCGTCACCAGCTGCCACCTGCGCATCCAACCTGGAACTCAGCGGGCGCGTTTTCTCAATGACGTAGAAGGGAGAAAATCTGTGGCTGCTTTTGTGGCTGGGCATTTTACACTGTGGCTTGAATTATTGGACACTTTCAACGCGTTGCCCGTTCTAGCGGCATTTCTGCTTTCGAGCAAAGGTACGGAGCAACTGAGTCGAAGATGAGCTGGTGGTCGAAGGCTCCCCCTGCTGCTCCGAGCAGCGAGAAAGGAGACAACACTGCTCTACCCGTTCCACCAACTCCGAAAGAAGCTGTGGCAGCTCCCATTTGCGCAACCACTGCTCCTCCTGTTTCCGAGCCCGCCACTCGCGCCCTGAGTAGAGAAGAGCAGGCTGAGCAGGAATGGGTCTCATTGTTGAAAGAACTACAAGTAGAAGCAAGTGATGGACAGCCTGAGAAGGCAACATTCACCCAGAAAGAGACAGCATCGCAGCCGACGCCCAGTGGGACTGACATCTCGCCCAACTCGTTGTACCCGACCGAAATGTCCTGTCGGTCCGCGTTCGACTATGCAATGTTCTGCCAAAGCTTCGGAGGTCAGTTCGTCAACGTCTACCGTTACGGTTCCTTCCGCTCATGTTCGAACCACTGGGATGACTTTTGGCTCTGTATGAGAACAAGGAAGTGGGACAAGGCGGACCGCGAGAGAGCAATTCAAGAGCATTACCGAAAAAAGGCAGTCAAATGGAAGACTGGGCCCAGTAGCGAAGACGTATGGGAGGTTAGAACAGAGCCGGTCAAGAATCCCATCTCTGGAAACTTTGCTGAACTCGAGGCCGAATTGGAGCAGTTGAAGAAAAACAACCCAGCTGTACCCGAACCTTGGACCCCAGCACAGTAGTGGAAATACCAATGGACACTTCACCATGAAAGAAAGGGCTCCGGCTGAGTCGTAGGTTTTCGGATTTCATGTCACAGTCACTGGTGCGGAGCTCAATATTACACCGCGCTAAGTGCCCTTCACCACCTGACTATGCCCTTCACTGCGAACTAGGCAGTCAAGTGCATTGGAACCACGCATGAGCAAACTGCGCTCTAACCACGACTGACATCATATCGCCTTTGTCTCTCTCCACCTTTCCCACATTCGACCACCATTCTCTGTCGGCCTGCTGGAGTCATGGAACCACTACTTCGGGTTCTGATGACGGAGGAGCCGGTCTCCATGACGCCCCAACGAGCTTTCGAGCACGCAGACAACCTCCTACAGCAAGCCGCAGCTCTACGAGAGAAGGCTGATGACCTCCGAGAGCAAGCTGATTTCATGTATGGCCGCGCCAACACCCTTACCAAAACCGCTAAAGGTCTTCAGCAAATCGCTTACCAAGACCGTGACGCTATGCAAATCATGTGGGACAAAATCCTACGCATGTCGAAGGAGGATTTCGAGTTGTACTTGTCTGACTCCGCTCATTCTGCTCGTTTTAACGAGATGGCGACACGTGTCGAAGATGGCTTGGGCAATGTAGATCAGATGAACGAATTTCTCAGCGACTTCCTGGAGTTCGTAGATGGTGGGAATTATCGAAGGTCACAGCACCTGAACCAGAGTTCCCGGCAGTGTGCGATCAAGCTTCTTCCGGCTTTTTGGAAGCAGGGCCAGCCTGCAAACCAAAGTTGAAACGACGCATATCTACTCTCAATGACGGAGATGAGGCTGCCCCATACCCCGCAGCGAAGAGGCTTAAGAGAGTGAGATATGACGAAGAATCAGGACCAGCTTCAGATGAAGACAAAACAATCAACGGCCAAGCTGCAAGACTTGTTTCACATGCGCCTGCGGAACGCACCGAGTGCAATTCCCAAGTCTCGACAGATGCAGGAGAAACATCAAATACGGACTCAGACCCAGCAGGGGATGAAGAATCTGATGGCCACCGGGTTGGATCTGAGGCAACGAACTCGTCTGATGAGGAGGAAAAGAAATCTTCGACACCGAGCGACATTCATACTACAACCGAAGCCCGGGACTCTGTCGACGAGAACTCTTCGGTGGGCAGTGATGACACGGAATCCGACTCTGGGCTGTCATGCACATCCAACAGCGCTTCAGCGTCTTCGTCAAGTGGTGACTCTGCTGATGATGTTGTGGTCGAGGAACCCAACGGTCGGCCGGAAAGAACGAGCCGGACTGCGAGTGCGAGCAAGACTGTTGCGGCCCCGACGAGTCAGAAGGACAAGAAGCTGAAGACTGGTTCCGTGTCAGTGCGCAAGTGAGGCAACACCAGAGATAAACATCGATCATAGTTGGAGGATCGGGTAGACAAATCTTGAGGCTGAATCCAGGTTCAGTAGTCCGGTCGTATGGCCTTTTGGATATGACCAGAGCCGGCTGTGGCCACGGCCACCAAGCGGCAGATCTGCTGAAATGGGACAGATCAGCAACGTGAGGACGAAATGAACCTCGAGTGAATTGAGGAACACTTCACTGTTCAAGAGCAGATGAATAACAGCAGATCGATCTTGTCACTTGAGATTGTTGTCGCTGAACTGAACACCACTCCAGATCTCTATATCAGCTCTTCTTCACGTCCCCCGTTTGTCAACTACCTTGATCGCATCTTCCTCTCTCACACCTCAGATGCTCCACCATCACTCCTATTCACTTCTTTCGCATGTTATCTGATATTCTAGCTTGTTTTATCTCTGCGACTCATGATGGCGGCTGTCTCATCCTGCTCAAATCGGCACTACCTGGAGGCGGACTGCATTGACGAGCAATATAAAGTCCTCCAGCTTCTTTCCAGCGATCTCCACCATGCGGCGACCATACTCAAGTACAAGGTCTACGATGTTGAGAGCCGATCTTTCGCTGTGAGAAAGGCAGCTAGGGAGGCAAATGCGACCAATCTGTGCCGTGGCAGAGGCCTGGGAGACTTGCAGAATGAAGTAGAATGGCGCGCGAAACAGATGTTGAAGAACAATGCCATGATGCTCGACCTCGCTCAGCAGGTGAAGATCGGTCTGAAGACTCTGATCAAGATCGCCTGCGCCACCCCAGATGCCGTTCAGGCGGGCTTGAAGGCAAATGCAAACGACGACCTGTTGGGAACTGACATTGAGATCGACTCGGAAGCAATCTCAACCAAGAAGGCGAGCTTGGGTCCGCCGCTCGAAGACCAACTAGCCAAGGAATTGACTCAAGCTCGACACGTCTTTGTTGACTCCAGCAGATTTGTCCCGGTCAACTTCCGGGAGGCGTCAACTCCAGTTCGGCGGGAAGTTGATTCTGAAAAGCGCAAGAGTGACAAGCCGCGACAAGTCAAGAAAGTCCGCTTCGTCGACGATGCCGCAATGTCGAAGTGCCAGGCAGCTACGAAGGCTCTGTACAGCATCGTGGAGCCTTCGCCTGATCGAGGCGGGGCGAAATGCAGCACGAAGAAGGTATTCTCCCACGTCGAGATCCCAGCGAGGTCGATTGCAAAGAAGCGGAAGGGGAAGGAGAACGTTGAACGCGCCCAATCACCACCAGGCCCACAGTCCTGCAGCATGGAGGAGATGGAGAAACAATTGCACGTCTGGATCCCAAACAAGATCAGCATGCCATGTCTGCCCGTTGATAGGAACCTGCAAGGGCTGATGACGCCGAAGGCAAAAAGAGTTCAACGAGACTGACCGGGCATATTACCAAAAGAGCTTGGGAATGGACTAACATCACAGGCACCTAGGTACGCACGAGCTGGCGACCCGAAGTTCTTCGAAAAGGAAGTCTTGGTGACGACGAGGTGCGCTACACGGGCTCGCATTTCCCAGATCAGACAGGAATGTGCTGCGCTGTTGGGAAGACAAGAAGTGCTCGAGGTTCAGGATCAGGATCCTCTTTGCTTGAGCTAGCTGCCGTTCGCACACAGTGACCACCAGCGAGCGAGTTGATGCTGAACTTCTTTCAGCGCAGGACAGCAATCGCCTTTGGAATTTCTTTCATGGTTACCCAAAATCTCAACTCTTCAAATGCCGGCGTTAACTTGGTCGACCGTCTTGCACATTTCAAAAGTACTTGAATCAAAATCAATTGGATACCAGTCTCTTCTCCTCTCGTCTCCTCTCAGTTGGTCCAGCTTCTCTGATATTCATCCGTGCGCGGGACGTAATGTGTCGCTTGTGCCATGCAGTCCGCTGACGATACATAGTAGTTTTTCTCCTTAAATGCGAGCCCAAATTTCATATCGATTGTATGTCCTCTCACCGATAATCAGTGTGCACGCGTCGTCAAGTCCGCCAGCTGGATAAACAATGAGACAAGCTGTTTTGGTGTCCTTGTTGCAGACATGACTTAACTAGTTGAGGGTGGTGCTCTGCACAAGTTTCTATCTGAGGTAAATCGGCAAAGCACATACACCATCTTTATCCGCATGCCACATTTGCAGCAAATCTAGTTGCTTACTTGACATCTGCAGAGCGCAGCATCATACCGCCGCATAAGACGTCCCCATTGAGCCCAATGGGAAAGCGATTACACCGCCTCTGTTGAAAGTTGCAACGTCGCTGTCGGGAGACGGGCGATGACCAGGCAGATCTCAAGGCAGTGGAGAAGCTAATTTCTTTGAGCGAGATGGCGCATACAAGACAAGATAAGACAAGACAGATCCAAGCTGATACCATTTCTCGTGCCGGCCGTACAGCGTTTCCGTTAGGGTACTACTGCCTCAACCCTGCACGAATCCCGTCTTAGTCTACGGCCCCTGGAAACCAGAGGCATAGCACATATATATATATATATATACATATACCGTATCATAACTACCGCCAGAGGCGAGCAGTGTGTGATGTCTTCGAGGACCGGGAGAAGTTCGCGAACCGACCAGCCCGTCTATGGAGCTGACTGTGCGGTGGTGAGTATTAATCAGCTGGTGTCAGTGCTATGCAGTAGAGGAAGTTACACCCAGCTGGAATCTGGTAGAAGGCGACTTGAAGGGGTAATTGCCTTGCCAAGGCGAAGAAGGTGTAGGACGAGGACAGAAAAGAAGGGCGTCGCCTGACGTTGATCTTCTGGCTACTGGTGCTGTTGAGTGCCTGTCCTGCATTAGTCTCCTCTGCTTGCTCGATACACTAGGGTGACCATCGAGCCTGGCCGAGCATACAACATGCTCGGTACGCGTGGCGTATATTCTAAGAGACGAACAATGATGGCGCCAGCTTCCTGAAGTTGACTGAGTCCTGATATGGCTACCAGGAGTCGCAGGACGAGCTTGGAGAAGAGCTGAAGAAGCTGGTTGTGGACCATGCACGAGGCTGTAATCTTAGCCAGACGATGTCGCGGCGTCCTTGCAACGGCACTGAGTGGACGATGAATATGCTAGCAGCACCAGGTAGAGCTCCGCTTGGCTATCACGCCACTCTCGGTGTCCTCATCGAAATGTCTTCGTGAGTGGTGCCGACTGCAATCCACGAATTCCGCACTGCTGAGCGAAGTCTAGATGAAGCCTGCTCGTTGGTCGACCATCTAGGCATCGTCGTTGACATACTTGTCATAAACATCAGGATACCATTTCTTGCCCACGTCCCCTATGCAAGTTCATTAGTCTGTACCACGTACCGCCGTCGAGGAAAAAGGGCAAACATGAACAACAGGACGTTGCTTTTTGGAAGGGAAGCAGAACTGCGCGAAAACAACACAGCGCGAGAACACGAAACCTGGCCAAACTCACTATGACTCCGGATTTTCGTCCTCAACTGCGCCTCCCCCCAAGTCTCGTACTTCCCCTTCAAGAACGGACTATCGACATTCCTCGCCTCGTCGCTCTCAAGTCCCTCGCCCCATCTGTGCCTCCGTTCGTCAAACTGCGCCCACAAGCTCATAAAGTCGCGCTTTGCTAGCTGCGGCTGCACGCCCTGGAAGAATGGCACGCTATACCGCTCAAACGAGCCGGATGGGAGCAACACGCGGTGCGTCGTCGCTTTGCACAGGCCGTCGGTCACCACCTCGAAGGCTTGGCCCATGTTCACGACAAAGGTGTCCGGCATGGGCGGGACGTCGATCCAGCTGCCGGATTTGGTGAGGACTTGCAGGCCCCTGCCGGCGATGCTGCCGCCGGAGCTCCCGGTGCCAGAACCCGTCGATGACGCAGCAACGTGCGAGGGTTGTTCTTGTTCTTTGGCTTGCGGTGGTGGTGGTTGCGTCTGCAGCAAAAACGTCATCCAGCCGGAGGAGTCCTTATGAGGGCCTACGCCTTGGATCCAGCCCGATGGAACGTGACCGCTCTTTGGAGACTCGTCTGCGACAGCAGCCGGGTCCCCAGAGCCAGATGACCGGCTCCGATAATGCACGACCTTGAGCCGATGCTGGGGGCCGGTGAAACGCTGCAGGACGCCGCTCTCCACCTCGAGAGCCTCCTCCACGAGGCTCAGAAACCTGGTGCTCAGAGCTTGCATCTCACAGACATACGCTTCGACTGCGGCCTTTAAGCGTCCCACCACCACAGCCGCGGCCTCGACGTCGTCACTGGCCACGGGCCACTGGTTCGGGCCCAGCAGGCGCGTGGACAGGGCATCGCCATCGTCTCCATCCTGAATCGACACTTCGTTTGCGAATTCGAACTGTTCGCGCTGGTCCTGGCTCCCGGCTGTGGTTTCGTGGCCAAACGAGCTATATCCCAGGAAGTGTGGAGAGTTGATCAGCGAGGCCGATAATTTGACATGCTCCGGGAGGTCGAACAGTGGGGCCAACAACGCTAGGAGTTTTCCCACGATGGTGGCGTCGACGCCGTGGTCGGATATGTACAGGAAGCCGATGTCGAGGAGGGAGTGGCGGAGTTGGGCGAGGAGGTCTGCGCGGATGGATGAGTCAGAGTCGGAAGAAGCTTTGCTGAGGTTGATTGTGGGGATGCTGGTGGGGACGGATTGAGACTCGGACATGGTGTGCTTCGTGGGGGAGATGAAGGCAGAAGCGTAGGAACGTCTTTCTCCTTGTCGTGGATTGAATCAGCATTGATTGACGGTCCGAGAAGACGGCATCAGCGGGTTTCATGGAAGATGGGGTGGCACGCAGAGGGGAAACCAAACCAAAGCACGCCATTGTAGCTCATGCTTTACGACAAGCATTGCAAGCACCCAAGAGCAGAAGCGCTTACGTAAATGATCATCCTCAAGACTCTGGTGAGCTGGTGGTGAGCCTGAAGAGAAGTAGTTCACGCCAGCATTTGATGAGAGACAAACAATAAGACAACACAGGAATGAGCTTCAATGACTCTTGATTGTGACGGTGGTGACGGGAATGAGCTATGTAAAGGCTGACATCGACCTTTTGGTCAATGTCAATTAGTGGATGCCGTAATGAATGTCCGCTGTAGTGATGATTGATCTCCAGGTGCCACCGATCTGGTATGCGCCCTGACATGTTCCCAATCGTGGTAACAATGATCCCATCCAAGGTTCGTCAGGAGACGATGCATTCATTCTGCTTCCAACATCAATCACATAGGATGTTTTTGCATGCGCCTTCACTTAGGGTGCAGTGGCATTTGTGGTTTTTTGGGTTTGTTGGGGGCTGAGTGGTGGTTGGGAGTTTGACTCTTGTACAATCTTCCATCTCTGAGGCCAGGAAGGGTGTTTGCCCTGTGCTCTCATCAGGAAGCTTGCGCACCTCTTTGCGAGTGTTGACGCTTTGTTAGTGTTCACCTTCGAAAAGGTTCGAGCTTTGCGTGCTCTTTTGTTTGTTCTTGTACCCTTGACGCCTGACGCGGCGATTGTTGTGAAGGCTTGGACTTGTTCTCGCCTTCCGATCTGCTCAGCTTCACCACTGTCGCATGTGATTGTCCATCTGATATGATCGCACCAACACAAGGAAGGTGAGCCGAATATTGCACCGGCGGCGACTTCGCCAGCAAAAGTGAGGTAGTCACTACGGGTACGTGATGGATGTCAATCGTCGAAGACGTTAGGTTCAGAAATGATCAAGAAGTGGTGAGGACAGCAGGAGCTGTGGCAGCCCGATGTCTTCCATGCTTCTTGGGGGACTTCTTCTCCTCGGGATTCTAGCCCGTCTGAACGTCTGGGAGACGGACAGCGATGTCGCCAGATTGAGTAATGTAGCGAACCCAGGGAAGGGAAGGGTATTGCAACTGTGTCGCAAGTCAGTAACAGTGGGTGGCAGCAATGGTCGGGGCGACGACATACCTTTGGTTCAATGATCTTCAAGTAGCGGACTTGAATACCACTGGTGGTGAAGTACGGGATCTCAAACTTGACATTGATCGGTCGCTTGGATTTGCCTTCTCCAATGCCACCCATGCTACCACCGAAACCGCCGGTCATCCCGCCACCACGCTCGTCATCGCCCTTCACACTGGGCAAGCCCAGCTCGGCGCGCATGAGGAACTCTTTGCTACCTCCAAATTGCTTGATCTTCCAGACTATGGCGGACTTCTCGGGCGCGTAGTGGACGGAACCAACGTTGGTGCGGAATCGCGGAGAGTCAGCATCGTCGGGGACGGGGATGATGATCTCAACGTTGTTGGCTGTTGATCGTCTCTTGAATTGAGCGCGCGCCTTGAGCATGTACTCGATGCGAGAGCCAGAGTGAGACTCAACGACGCACTCCACCCAGATGAGGGGCTTGACAGCAGTGTTGAGACGGTAGCTCATGAGTTCGAACTCTCCATCAGGAGGGATGAAGCTGATGGTGCGATCGTTCTCGAAGCGAGACAGTCTCACGCATTGGTGGAACTTGACGTCTTCCATCTCCACTGCTTTGCCGCGAGTGGCTCGGCCTGTAGTCTCGAACATGACCTTATCATTCAAGCCCAAGCGGAGTTCTGGCATGCCGGACAGGTAACACTTCATCTTGATGGCGCCGAGGATCTCTGAGCGAAGGACATTGCCTGTGGCTGAGACCAAGAGATTGAGGGACTCGACGACGTCAAGGAAGACTTCGTTCTTGCGGTAACGGATACCCTCACTTCTCCAGGACACAGCATTGGTGACAGCAATAGGAGGACGCGCCTGAACCTCGAGCTTGTGTGACTCTTGGGTGATGTACTCTTGTAGGATCTTCGACTCCGTGGTTTGCGGATAGCCAAAGTCCATCATCTCGTCCAACAACTCGTAGATGATGACGAAGTTGTCGCGAATTGACTCTTCTTCCAACTCTTTGAAATACTCGGTGAACACCTCGACAATCTTGTGAAGAAAGAGGAGGATCTCCGCAGCATTGGTATTGCGCTTGGTCAGAGCGAGAAGATAGAGATTGCTATGACGGATGTAGAGGTACTAGCAGACGCCGTCAGCTTTGTTTTCGGCAGTCTGCACAACCGCGTTGGAGACGCGTACATTAATCCCTTCGTCAGAAAAGCATGGCGGCACAGCGGAAGATTCCTCTTCGGCCTCCGAGAGCAAGACGGGAAACTTCTCGACGGCAGACATGGGAATGTCACCGCGATAGTTGCGCGCGAGAAGAGTCTGGAAAGTGTCAGTGTCGTCTCGAATTTATTTTGAGGTTTCTCCGATGCGCGCTCACCTTGCCCTTTAGGTCGAGGAAGAAGATTGCCGACGCCATGGCGCCTGCAGGTCCTCAAAGGAGGACGGAGAAGTTAAGGTGCCTTCAGCAGAGGAGTAGAAGCGGGGGAATATTTATGAAGGTGAAATGAGAGAGTTGAAGAGAATGGTGCATTCGCCTGCGAGTGCGAGTACGAGAAAGAGTGGTTGTGGGTGGGTGAGAGAGAAGTGAAAGAGAAGTGAGGGGGGTGTTGTCCTCGAGTGACAGAAGAAGTCGGCCTGGGAAAACTTCGGGTTTTTATCGCAGCCTCGCCGAAGGCTGTCAGTAGTGAGAATGAGGCTGAAAGGCTTGAAGACGCATTTGCTTAAACCTGGTCACCACGCTTCCGTGTCATTTCCAGCGAGAGGCTTGTTCATTGTCTACATGTATTCTGTCAATTATATGTCAAGGTAGTAAGGTATTCGCATCGGATCCCTAGTCCACCAAATGAACGGCATTCCCTTGAGACAATCCGTCGCTGTCAAAGCTTTTCGCTTGGACTGCGGCACTCAACTGCGGCATATCTATCTGAAATCGAATCGCAGCATTACGAGTCACGTTACTGGCTCGGCTTAGGAAATGGGGATTGCGAACACCTCTGGAAGGTTTGTACCTTCATATACGGAGCCTGGCCGGTTGAATTTCAAGAGAAGTCCAATCTGGCTGATAGCCTGCGTCTGGGTTTGAATAACGCCATTGATCCGCGTACAGTGCAATGAAGAATGAGAATTCTTCCATGCCCGCGACTTTTGACGTCTGAGTAGTATTGGAATCGTGAGCACGTCTTGTCAATAGGGATAGTCGGAGAGCCGGCCGTGTCCAAAACCTTCGTCAGAGTTGCGATTGATCCTGCGCCTCTATCTGAGCGATCGAGTCGAAGACATTTGCTTCCTGGTTGAACAGCTAACTTCTGCGGCCACAAGAGCGTCTCCTAACTGCCCGGTCGAGAAGTCGGAAAGATTCCCCAGAAATGACGGTGCATGAACATATCCCTCCTGACTTGCTGCGACTTGTTGCTGCCGCTTCGATGCCGCTGGATCATGTATTGGTAACACATGGCTTTTCGCAGCACTACCTGTTGCCTGAGCCGAAGTAGAGCTGTCCAATGTCTGAGCTAAAGTTGTACCCGAAGCCACCCTCGACAGAAAGAGTAATAGTGAGGGGTTCACGATGTTATGGTGGTCCACCCCAGATGAAGTGAGGCGAATAGGACCCATCCGCAACGGTTGTCGATATCGTCCTATACCACTTGCTGAAGATGAGTATCCAGCATCTGGGAAAGGCTCAGCCTCTGCTCAAAGTTAGGGGCCGTATCTGCACTTCGACCAATCCGACTCAGACCAGCTTCGGAAACTCGTGCTGCCTAATGAATACGCAGTGATGGTGTCTGATCTTGTTGTAGCAGGAGTTGTGACTTCGAGTCAGTCAGGCATTGCGGGCTGGATTACTCACTCGTAGTTCAGCCTTGACATTAATTGTTACACGCTATGCTCTTGGTCGTGGCTTCAGCCAACTAATGCAACTATGTATAGCAGATGCTGTTCTCTGCCAGGAACACGGCGTACGCATGTTAGTAGTTGTCACAGCCTCGTCGTGCGGCTGAAGGAACTGTCGATGGCTGCACAGTCTGGTGTGAAATAATACGTGCTGAATTGGATGAGAAATCATTGTCATGGCAGGGGTACCAATGGCGCTCAACTGGTACAGGTAGTGGTAGCTATTGAGGATAGGCGAAGCTCATTTGTACTCTCGTTCTCTTCAACGGCATCCTCCCGACGACTGCACCTACTACCGTAAGAATACATTGCCAGAATTGAGGTCAAAAGTTGCGCCAGCAGGACAAGGAGTCACTGAATCGACTGGTAGATGATTTCTGCTTGACTGGCAGTGGTGGTGGCAGTTGAGGTGCGCTGACATCAGCAGTCCATGCCAAGCAAATTTCCGCGAACTCTTTGCTTCGCGACAAAAATTCAAGACTTCTTCCCCTTCCCACTAACGCGCCCGAAAGACAGTGCAATGCAGCATTATTGCCGAGATCGAATGGCATTCTGCCTCCGTCTCTGGTTTTATTGGTTGTTGAATTTTGCGATTTAGAGACGCGGAGACCGACGATATGGACGGTGCCATAAGAGCTGGCTGAGCAGATACACAGTATTCAAACCGTTGCTCAGGCGGTGTCAGAGGCCCCAGACATTTTATACCCATGATTCCTGTACATGATATCGGGAGGCACTGTTGGTACAACTCTTTTCTGAACAATATAGGCGACGTGGTTTGCGTGCCCGACGCTTCATCTCTGTGATCCCGAGGGCTGCGCGACCTCCGGCCTTGTTTTCCAGTGTCTTTTTAGGCCCAGCGGCGTGAGCACCTTTTCCATAGCGATCCGGTTCGCGACGGCCCCTCCTTGCTCTAGGGCTAGTGCCCCTATTATCGATAGTAAAGCTTGTGCGTAGACGAGTTCGGAGCCGGATGCTTGAAGACGTTCAGGCTGCTGTGGAGTTAGCTGTGGCCGTCGAATGACTTGAAGGGCAAGAAAACATACGTCTCTGGGATGCCACCGTACGACCTCTGGCAGCCCGTATTGCTCGGCGAGATTTGCGAGCTGCTTGTGGCTTGTGAACCAGTGGTGAGCGCTTCCCAATAGGCACTCGACCGATTCAATTGCTGGATGGCGGAACGGTTCTCGGCCATGAGGATCTTGATCCTCAGCTCTTTGGTACCGTGACGGGTCGGCAACGCTGATCAGGCCCAGTGAGCATTGTAGTTCGAGTATGCGCTTGCCTGGTTAATCTCGTATCAGTACACTGCTACTTGATGAAGAGCGGTTTGACCAACCGAAAAAGGCGAGTCTATCATTAAACCCTCTCCGCCCAGCATCGAAGCTTTTGTTCGTGACTGCCAACCACTTGGTCTCCTCTGACAGCATTTTGTCCCCATCTCTCCCGAGAAACTTGATATAGAACTCGTCAAGCTTCCGCTGGTCCTTGTTGACCTTCAGAGGTTGTGCTATTCGAGGTGGACGTACGCGCACAGGGGCTTTCAATGCTGGAGGTGTTTGTGACCACCGCGGTGAGTTATCTCGGTCCACGTCCATTTCAGAGAGCTGAGGAGACGCGGTCGAGACATGGCGAGCGTGTCTCGTGGGCTTGCCAAATGCTTTCCGAAAATGAAGGTGCTCGCATGATGCGGTGGATCTCGAGGGTCGGAGAAGGTCAAGAACGATGCGATTCGACGACGATGTTCTGGAGGCCATGGGTAGAGTAAGTGAGAAGTAGCGACAAAGTCCGACGGGACCAGGTACTTGCGACCTGTAAAGAAACACGTCTTTCGCGTTTCCTATGGCAGGAAGAAGCCATTGACCTACGACCTGGAAAATTAGTATCGCTTCGGAGCCGCATGCTTGACTCTAGTAGCGGAGTGGAAGGCATCGAAGCGTATTTCGCAATCTCACCGAAGCTTCGACCTCAGCGCACACGATACGGAGTACGCTCCGACCTCACTCCATACCTTCAGCAACCGTGATGTCGCTTCTAGAGCGGCGTGCCTTGAGTAGACTCTCACCTTAGAATCTGCGAACTCTACAACTATGCCCGCGTATGCTGCATTATGGCGCCACCGATGGCATGTATGAGAACCGACTCTGGCAGAAGGCCAGACCTGTAACATTTCAAGTGTCAAACTAATGATTGATACGATTGTCTTGGAGGCCAGTCTGTAGGTACTCTAATAGGATAAACCATCCTTACGCTACAGATTCCACTCTGGCTTCTACGCAATGAAGGGTCTGAGCGCTGTGTGAGAGGGCTGACATGAATGACATCGTCCATTTCTGGCTGGACTTGCCCTAATCCTCGCCAATCAACAACATCGAAGCCCAAGGAAAGGCTAGGTAACAAGCACTGCTGAAGAAATTTCGTACAGCGGCCTCTTCCTGGTAGAGGGGTTCTGATTTTCTGCTTGAGCTGTGATGCCTCATGACTTGTTCTGCGCGCAATCGACGGCTTGCAGAGGTCGTCAAAGTCAAGGTCGCCCAGTTCTTGCCCGACTAGCTTCAGCTGGCACTTTGCGCAGATGGAACAAGCACCTCCAGGGTTTTTTGTGCAGTAGGCCGAGGACTCAGAGTCAGGCCGACTAAAAGGGAGAGGCATGAAAGGATGAGCAGGTATTGAAGCAACGACTAGCGGCCGAAGCAGAAGGAAAAATCACATGTCCTGACCAGATCATACGAGGTATTCCCAATGAACAGTACCAGGGCAGAGAGCAAACCTTTGCAAAGGCCTTGACCACCCAAACTGCAATCCAGCTTTTTGGCTTCTGACCCAATCTAGGAAAATCCTCCCGAGGAGACATTTATGTTTCTGAATTCCTTACCATTCTAGAACAGGCCACCTGGGTTGCAACGGCGAAGATAACGACAACTGATCGAACAGCAACAAAGGTTCGGAGTGCAACTCTTCCGTAGGACAGACCGGGTCCGTGGAGAGCGGGATGGGGTTGGAATTGAGGGTGTTTCCGCCTCGTGATGCAACTAGCCAGATGTCAAATCCAGCGGGAAGATGAATATGACATGAAAGGCGGCAGCGAGGCTTCCCGGTGACAAAGTTCGTTACTTCTTCCCCAGCGTGGAGTTTGTTTCTGAAACTGATCGAAACCTGACGACTCTTCAGCCTATGTGAGTGGATATGCTGGCCACGTCGCCGTGCGAAGTCCACTGTGCCCGAACCAAGACAGGTGTAATTTAGATTGACAAAAACTGTGCTGCAGAGTATAGCAGACGGAAGAGGCATTTCTTGACCTGATTGGGTTCGTCACACAAGGGATGGAATGACCGCCAATCTTTTCGGTTCGACCAATGTATGGTCCCCAAATTGATGGGTGACCCGACCCGATTGACAATCTGACATGTAGTCCACCCATAATCGTCGTGCATTGTCGAGTAGTATGTGTAGGTTCGTGATACTACACAGCCCTGCGCTTCCAGAAACAGAAGCAGTGTTTTCCAGAAGCGTGTTCATGATGCGTGATTCGTCGAAACTCAAATCTTAATAGTATCCCGAACCTCTAGGAAACCTTGTGTGCCACTCACAGTGCCGGAAGCCATCTTACATTCTGGACCTTGGTTCAGTGGCTGTTGCTGTGTTGATGCTTTCGTGCAGTTTCGAAACAGCATGGGCGTGAGCGCTGGGTGTGAAAGCAAAAATCGTGGCATGGAGGCCAGAAGCTTCGGAAGTCTAAATCCAATGTGGCTGACATGTCAAATCAAAACACAGCTTTGTTGACATTCCACAGGCTGTTTTGTACAAGACCTAGGTACGTAGTGGTCTGCTCTCCGTCCACAGGGAAGGCGTGAAAGGAAGTCATTACTGAACGCAGGTATGTGATGCCTGCAGGTACGAATACGGTGGGCAGCATACAGTCTCGCAACCCATGATGACGACGATCGAAACTGTTGCTTTATCTTTATCTTGTACTCCGTACGAGTACTGTTAGCAGAGGGCATCCATGGTTTTCGTTTCCACCCACAGTTCGCCTCTCGGAACCAGCCTCAGTCGTCAGGGAGCCCTGGCCATTGAGAATGCACGGTCGCGAAGTACGGAGTGCTGGCGATAATAATGGCGTCAATGAAACAGAAGCATCGCAACAACTAAAACTCAGAGTCTCGTGTTCACGGACGCTTAGTGATGGGAGGGTCCATCCTACCGAATTGGGCAGGAGCAAGTTCTCTGGTTCAGGCCTAGGGCATCTGTCTAGGACGGAGCTCAATGGAGCCGTTGGGGGTCGTCGCGTGGGACTCGCTTCAGGGATCCATTATCTCAGCTATCGATGGCGGCTTTCAAGCCATTCGTCTCATGATAAACTTCTGCGGAGTCTGCAGACACGAACGAACTTACCCTGCCGGCGCAAGGCACGCGATGAGGGTCCTGTCTAGCATACGGCGCATGGAGGTAGCAGAATAATGTCCTCCGTACCAAGCACGTTGTTCCGCGTCCCACGACGAACACTGTGTACAGTACGTAACGAACATCGATTCCGATTCACACTGATCAAGAGTACACAGTAAACTGCAATGGAGATGGTGGCCGAGGCCTTGCTTATCCTGGCTAACTCGAGTGTCTAGCACATCGGTTTGCTGCACGAAAGCACCCGGAACGTCTTGGCCCTCTGGCACTGAAGCGCTAGGCCCTTGGTCTCGGGCGGCGAGGAACAGACCGGAGCGTCGAGCGTCCCCTGATAGGTTACCCAGAAGCAGTCGTCTGCCGGACCGCAAGGTCGAGATTTCGGGTGGCTTCTAGCCCGAGGATGCACAAGGCGGATGGGATTTGTGCTGCTCCAGCAGGTCTCAGGCAGCCGAGCCTAACCTAAGATGAACCGCCCTCCCTGTCTCCCCCAGTCGGCCGTCGTCTGACTGCTGTCGATCACTGTCCCAAAGTACAGGTCATGTCCAAAGATCGAATACGAGTCGACTGTCCGAACGTCTTTTCATCCCTTGGGTCAGGTACGAGTACTCCGTACTGCGCATCAGACGCTGTCCCCGCCGGTTTTGCCGGTGCCTGTCACTATGGGTTGTTTTCGAGGAGCTTTGGGCCCTCGCATAGCACCTGTCTGCCCTTGCAATTTTATCGACCCTCCCAAGGCCATGTCTCCGGAGCTCCCTGTCAACCACGTTCTGAATGGAGACGAAAGCTGCCAAACTCATGAACCTACTGGGATGGCTCTCCAGTATCGTGCATCACATTCTGATCTTACTGTCAGCCGCAGTTACATACCAGACCAGTCGCCTTGAGAGAGACGTTGCACGAACTCGCGACCGCTTTTCCAAGTTTGATCGTAAATCAACCAGATTGAATGGGTGCGTGCAGGAAGCCTGTGTACGTGGTACGAATCTCTGACAGATTTCCTGTGACATAGAAAGTTCATCTGGGCGCCACGGTGCAACAGGCAGCTGGCTTGCCCTAGAGAGGGCAGAGTAGATCCAGCCTTCTGACCCGAATTACACTTTCAGTTGCTGCATGTCGCTCTGGGTCGGGACATGTCAACTGAGGGCGTCAAGGCAGTCTCTGACATTTGGGACCACTTTGGTGGTGGCCCGACCATCCTTTGACCGTTGTTCCAGACGTGGCCTGACGAATTCTACACAGTACGGGGGCGTGCACGCTCGGATTTAGTGGCTTCGACGGATATTATTGATCGAGCTTCGATGTCACAGTTAATAGGACTCGCACGGCATATTCCGGAAGCTGGCTCTGTCGGCTGCACTTGGACACACAAATGCCATCACGGTTTCTCACTCTCGCTTCCTACCTCTCTTAAATACTAGGTCTCGAAGATCGGGTTAAGTCTTGCTTGGACGGCAGTGCTAGCCTCTGATGGGGGCAGCCGGCATCACTTAGCGGCTTCGTACGGCTGACCGTGTTTCGTGGTTGGCTGATGGGTCACGCTCTCCAAATTCAAGACGGGGATGATTGCCGATTGAACCAAAAACAGATGTTGCAGCTTTTCCCCAAACTGTTCATGGCGCCCATGCGTGTTAGAGTGTACGGGAGGGAACGTGCACTAATTAGCTTGAGCACTAAGCTTCCAGCTCCAGCAAAGTTGTAGCGAGTACGAGGGCGCATGCCAGCCAGGAGCACCTAAGCCTAGAGAAGACAGGCGGAAAAGCCACCAAGCATCCCTGTGCTAGCGTTGTGCCCTTAGACACGGCCCAAGAAGCATGAACACAGCATCAAGCCTATGAACCGACAGGGCAACCGAAGCCCTCTGCACCGCGTATGCAGCCAAATCTATGCCGACATTGCCCTTGTGCCACAGGCGCTGCCAGTATTGACGAACGGGGTGGCCATAAGACGTTGGACGGGATGTGCATTGCGGGCCCGCTTGCGATCCCGAACGCTGATTCCTTGACTTTTGGGCGCGGGTAGGTGAATAAGGTGGAGCGGCCCATCGTCCTTGGGGGAGCCGCTAAGAGGGGAGGGGGAGCCCCCAAGGCAAGGTGGACGGGCCAGCCAGGAGGCAGCGTTGGGGACGCTTCGCGCTTTCAGATTGGTGCTGCTGCCGGCGCTGGTCCTGGCGTTTGGTGATGTGGGTGCCGCCTTTCCCACATTTTCGCCGGTCGCTTGGGTGCTGGGTGCTGGGTGCTGCGTACCGGCTAGAGTATTGCGTCTGGCGCTGGCTCTGGCTGGCTCCTGTGTGGCTCGTCCCAGACTCCCAGCTGCAAGCCGTCTCTCCCATCCCTCATTTGTGTCTCTTCTCACCATCCTCTTCTCTTTACTGTGCACTTGCACTTCCCTGCCCTCGCTGTCGCTACCTTTCCCCGGCAGGGTAGTGAGCAAGTTCTTGTCCTCGTTCGAGCAGTAGCCATCGTTGAGTCTTTGGTCAGTTTTGGTAGAAAGGATATTCCACCTATCCCCACTGCCGTGCGCACGTTGAACCCTCCGACTCTATCAGCAACGAATAAACGTCCCGGTAACTTGGCTCACCACGCATTCTACGGTCTATTCTGTCTCACCTCTATCGAACGAAGAACCATTCGCGCCTGGTTGCAGCAGCAGATATAATTGCGATTGACGTTTTGTTGGACACGATTTGGCGATAGCGCTCAGCACCGACCAGCTGTTCCATTACCTTGCAGCTGGGCGAAGAGTCGGATTAGGGAATTGGGAGCCGCATCGGGGCAGGAGGAACTCGAACCGCCGATTTCCCTCAGTTCAGTCAGTGAAAAGATCTGAGCGGTAGCGCTCCGAAAGTATACTACGATTTACCTTTGATTGAGCCGGACAAAGACCGTCTTCCGATATTTCCCAGCCAACACCAAATCACCAAGGAGTTGAAGCGCGTCATATTGGCTACGTAGAACTCGTTTCGGAGGCAGGTGGAGAGTTGATCCAGGTCAGTTTTTTCTGTTGTTCTGTGGTTGTCATGCACTTTACTACGCAACGACGATCCAGCACGGTCGTCCTGGTTCTCGAACCGCGTCTCATGGACGTACCGGAGGGCAGGAACGACGCACGCCGCAAGAAATGATCGGATTCCGACCTGCTGTACCGCAAGGTTGACATCCATATTTTCCCTCTTGCCCAGTGCCCGGGCTCCTGGAGCCTGGATATATTTTAGCTTGGCTATCTGCCACTGCATTGTACTTTCCCTCTCTCTCCGTTCCATCCTATACCGTTATTATGGGACAACTTCCACCAGTTAGGGAGAGGCCGCTGACAGGCAATATGGACAGTCTAGCAGATCTCCAGCAGCAGCCTGTTGCAGCATCACCTCCCAGTCAAGAATCAGGTCAGAGCCTCCCAGGCCTGAAAGAGACTCTTGGAAAGGAGTATCACGCTCGCCGACCCATTGCACCCGGTCCGCCACCGGCTCCCGAGCTCTTTATCCCAGGACAAACTGAACTCTACTTGGACGACCTCCCAATCAGGACATATCAGATCGGAGAGAACCACTACAACATGCAGCAACCACCTCATGAAACGAGGAGTGAATTCCACCGGACCACCATTGACCGCAGAACTATTACCTACACACTAGAAGTCGTCCAGCAACCAGAGAAAGCTCGAGCATGTGGCTCCGGTAACAAATGTAGGTCCGGCGCGACGTGTATAGAAACTCGACTGACGTGTGATAGCTTCCAATGACCGCAGACCAGTCGACCCGCCACCTGTTGTCGAGCTCAAGATCTTTATCAATGGAACCGAAGCGACCATGATCTACGACGCCACGTTCATGCTCTACGCCAGCTTGGAGGTCGCTCGACCAATTGCCGCCGGGAAGATGCACACACCTACTGCTATCCCTGTGTTAGCTGGTGTCACCGTTGCGAGCGCCGCTTATTTGGAGAAGCCAAAGCGCGCTGCGTACTTCATATTCCCTGACCTGTCTGTTCGGCACGAGGGTTGGTACCGTCTTCGATTTTCTCTCTTCGAAGGCGTCAAACACGATATCGATGCCGACATGGGAAACCCCTTTGATCGCACTCTGAGAGTTGACAGCGTCAACGCGCCGGTCCGCCACGAAGGCGTTTTCAACCGGATGGATGTCTTGTCCACGCCCTTCCAGGTCTACAGCGCGAAGAAGTTCCCAGGTCTCGATCAGAACACCGAACTGAGTGTCCTAGTGGCCGACCAGGGCTGCCGAGTACGCATTCGACGTGATGTCCGGCAAAGAAAGAGACGCCCAAAGGCTGGCGCTGATGGGGACGAAGCTCCCAGCTCCTATCAAGGTACACCTCATGCCAACTACCAAGCTCTCGATCACTCTAGATCCGCCAGTCGCGACAGCCTCGGTAGCCAGTACGACAGGAGGGAATCCGTCGACAGTGTTCATGGCCGGTCCGCTGTTCCAAACCGACAGATTTCCGGGCTCTCGCTGCCAATGACGAGCCCTCTGCTGCCAACACCTTCGACATCAATGCCGCCTCCTTCTGCGTATGGGCAGTTTGCGACACCTAGGCCTTCATTTGATCAGATCCCGCGGCCGGGACTTCCTCCGATGTCTTCTCGCCCTGGACAACAAAGCCAGTCAATTGTCCCAGGCGTGATGACCAGGGACTCCGAATCAAAGTTCACGCTGCCGCCACTGCTCCAGCCCCCCAATAGCAGCGACCTGAAGCATGGTCCACTCGCACCGAGGTACAATATGCCTGCACCCGCTTCGATGAAAAGGCCTTTCCGCTCGAGCGATTACGGATACCAACCACCTCTCAAGTCTGGAGCTCGACCAGACACATTTTCGTCCGCATATCCCGCTCCTGCGGCACCTGGCGCGCTCGACATTATCGAGCCTGACGTTGGTGGCGGTGAGGACGATGACGATGAAGAGACACAACGTTTGTTGAAAGGTGATTTGGTATATACCGCTGCCGACGGTACAAGTAAACGCGTCATCGAGAGAGATGGCAACTTCTACCGACCTCAGACATGAAAGCATGTCGAAACTTACCTTGTACCCACGACCCGACCACGTTCGCGCTTTCGCTTCCACATCCCACGTTGCAATGTATTTGGAGTGGTGTTTATCGGCTTGCGCACATAAACAAAGGGTAATACAGGACACACAGAACCTCGGGAGTTGGCGTTAGTCATTTTAGAGCGAACTATGCTCGGGATTACGTCGAGGACCACATAGCTTTCCGGTACCCAGTCGGACCCACAACCCAGAGCTCTCTCCTCGACGAGCCTGCACTTCCCACCTCTTGGAAAAGTACTGGAACATGCAAGATCGCGAACAGTGCGAAGGACGACATGTGGTGGTCGCCCAGCGACAGTGGATCGGGGAGTTGAGATGGCTGTCTGAGGATGGACTAGGCACGTACATTTTCATTTGAGCACCTTCGATGGGATGCAATTCAAGGATGACCTCTGGAACGAGGTAGCACAGCTCGGGACCAAACTCCACGTTGCTTACAGACCGTCAAGGTCATCCCTTCTCCTCGCTGGGATCAGGGGATGCACCTTCGAGACAATAGTCGAGGACTGGCCCACGGGTAGTTGAAGTTACCAGGACATGCGTGGGAAGTATTTGCCGTGGCCGAATACAAAGGAAAGGCAACAAACTCCGTCCAAGATCGGCCGTGACCGGTACATGCGTTCTCGAGGTGTCCGTTCGGCCTTTGTCCATCCAGCAAACAGTTCCAGGCTGCAATTAGCTGGTTGGTCTAGAGACAGTATTGAAATTCTTTCCCTTCTCCAGTCATCCATTGTGCGCAGGTATACAAGCACCGAGTATGGAGCAGTTGTCATGTGTCTTCCACACGTCGTAGCTTGTTTGGCCCCGATTTGCACGCCGCCCTCGCATGCCAGGTCTCCCCCGGCGCCATATCAAAATCACAAGAACCTCTCTGGAGTGTTCGATATGCCCAGCGAACGACATCCTCCATGTCTCATCCGGTGATTGTCGCAACGAGGGTACTTGTGTATATGTAGCTGCGTAGCTGACCATCCGTACGACTAGAGTTTCGCTATTCCATACACAGTATGTATTGCATAAGGGACACCGGGATATGTGTGTCGTAAACTCCGTACAGGGCCAGCCTGCATTATTGCCCCTCCGCAGGCGCGTCGCGCTGGTTTTCCACATCACGGCGTGCCGGTGGGCTACATTTCAACGATTACGTACGTACGCTCTCGTCTTGTCATGCCACGTAGAGCGTTCTGCAGTATATGTACCTACACGATCTTGCGTATGCGCCATTGGAGTTCGATTCCAGGGGTTGCGCAAAGCGTGTGCTGGAGCACGCTTGCATAATAAGTATCATCAGGATTGAGCATTCGGCAAGGGGGTGGAGGGAGGAGTCCGGATCGCAGAGGGAAAAGGGGACAAGATCATCCGAAAGTCCACTCGCCTGGTAAACCCGCTTCCTGAATATGTAGGACAGATAAAGCGCATCGAGTGCATCTACTGTGTACCTCGTACGAGTAATGTACGGAGTAAGACAAATACCGCTATGCTACTTGACGAATGGAAGACAAATACTCCGTACGGATGTACCTCTATATGCTACTTGACGGATAATTAGTGGATTGTGCGCATTGGGGATTCGCTCCGCACTCTTCGCTCCTCGTTTAATTGTTGCTTCCACGGTCTCGCCTGCCACAGGTCAGTACGAGTGCCGGTACGATTCTGACTTCCCAGTTGATGACGCTGTTTGGAACAGGGAAACGAACAGGAACAGGAATAGTAAGCTAGCCAAGCTAGGCTAAGCTCAGCTTACTCGCCAACTAGGGCTCAGAGTAGATCAGTGCAGAGCAGAGCAGCGAGGAGTACATCAGATCATATTCATGTGTAGTGAGCTAAGTGACTGAGCAGTGAGTACTGTAGGTAAAGACGTTGCACCGAACAGACGATGCAGCATCGACGAACAGGGTAACGAGATACGAGACATGAGACCTGAAGACTGGTTGAGCGGGTGATCAGGTCAGTTCGATTACAGTACTTCTCCTGCGAATTACAGTATAGTACCTGCACCTCTACCGGAACTGTAGCTCACGCATCCTCCCTCTCTTCGGTTGAGACGTCCATCTTGACATCCACGACGTAGCTCGACTGCTTTCCCCTCATGATCCTATGGTACCATGCCTCGTAGGTCCTGCTCGGGAACGCGGTCTCAGCATCAATCTTGGTTGGCGCGATGGTCATGCAGGCCGCGTGGCCGTCTTCTTCAAGCTTGAATGTCACGTTGGCTAAGTTCAAGCTGTTGACGCCCATAGCCTCGGAGCTAACTTCCACCACCGCGGCGCGGAACTCGGTCCATACACCGCATTTGCTGGCTGCGATGGTGGTGGTAATGGTGATGGGGCTCTTCCCTCTGGTCACATTGATCATGATGGCGAGGCTGATGTTGCTTGGGTGGCGTGGGGTGAGCACGACGTTGGTCTTTTCATCCTTGAGTTGGGTGCGTTCGAGGTCGATAGTGGCAGTGGCAGTGGCAGTGGTACAGGTGGCTGCAGTGGCGACGGGGTACTCTGACTCTAGTGCCGTCGCGGACGCCCGCATCTGTGGATGCTCGAGTTGCGTGGTGGTCCTGCTCATGGCGCTGGTGGCGTCGTCTTCACCTTTCTCTTCTTCATGTACTGTGATGGCTCCCTTCTTGGGCCCGGCGTTGCTGACCAAGGATCCCTCAGCTTCGTATATATCGGTCTTGACTGGGCAAGCGGTCTGAGGGCCGTGGGTTTCCCTGACCTCACGCTGGCCTTGCGCCGATCGGGCAGTAATCTGATCTTCAGGCTCCATCTCGGAATGAGTCGTGGATTCTCGCGGACTTAGTCAGACACGTGCACACACAAAACATACACATTCTACAGGACTGTCCAGCCTTACCAGTGGGGAGATCGCGGTTCCTGCTCGGGGAAGTGCCCGTGTTCATTCGCTTGCGACTTCAGAAGCACAATCGAAAAAGTGTTCGTGTTCGTCCTGCCAGCTTCCACTAGGGGACGGGTGGAAACATGACTTGCAAAGATGAGTTTGTTCCTGGGTTTGATATCGAGCGGGGAGGGACTGCGCTCGAGAGTATGAAGACAGCCTGGCATTGCGCGTGGTTGAGACAATGAGATAGTTGTAGACACTGCCTTGTCGCGTGGCTGAATGTGGTACTTCACCAACCTGTCACAAGCATCAACTGGGTAGGTTGTCACCGACAGAGCCCATGATGAAGATGCACAGGTAGGTGCTTTGGTCGTTTGCGCATCCTGTCGGCATCGCTAACTCTCGGAGGTGAAACACAATCCGTGCATGTAGTGAAGTTGAGCGTTTGTTGTTGCAAAGCACGGAGCAATCGTGAATGTGACAGTCCAGCCACGATGGTGATTCGTCCACGGCAGCGCATCGTGCTAGACCCAAGTGACAAGTTTACCTGTTACTTGAGCGACAGCGCGCAACGAAGGAATGTCGGGCGCGTGCACGTGCGGAATGTGGTGTTTCCTTCCCTCGACTGCAGTGCCATGATATTACAGAGCGGTAGCCAGACGAGCTGATGACTGAATTAAGATGGTCTTCAGCACCCCAGTAGGTCTCCCTCCTGCAAGGACAGCTCTTTGGGCTCCTGCTGGCACGTGCCTGGGGACAAAGTGCCTGCGGAAATACGGGGGGCTGGGACAAAGCTGAGATTGGAGCGAGAAGGAGGCGAGGGAAGTCTTTTCCTGGGTCGCACATTGGCATTGATCGACCGACCAGTCGCCACGCTCGACCTCTTACCAGTAGCAGTATGGAGTCCAGAACATCTTGTCCCAGTCCTCCGTAACTCGTACTATGGAAAGATTATCAGTGGAAAGCATGCGGCGCGCTAACAGGCGTAGCAGGGCGTAAGCTGCATCTCAACACCACATCCGCAACTTCTCAACTTTGCCTGCTGCTCCTGCCTCTGCTCCTGCGCTTGTGTCTTCCGGCCGGGACCATCTTCCAGACGTCGCCCAGACACAGGGTCGACTTTGACATTTACAAGACCTGAGCCGCCTGCGAGGCTGCATACCGCAAGCATGCTACCTCGCACACTGGCAACGTCATGGTGACTGATCACACTGGTCTGCAGCGACTTGGTCTGCATCTATCCTCATCGCCGATCTCATGCGGAGTTTTTATCCATACCCAGGTTCCGCCTCACCACCGTACTTTCTCGTAGCCGGCACACCAATCAGTCAGCTTCGTCTTCGCCGTGGCGTGATTTCAACGACAACACAACAAGCGACCCACGGAATCTATTTCCACATTTCCTCGTCAACGCAGGGTCGCTCGGCACAGAAAAGGCACGAGGGATGGGCTTTCGCATTAGCCATGCCGGCAGCCAACTAACCGATTGCAAATGCGGCCGCTGCAGAATGTCGCACCTCTGTCTCGGAAAGAAAGGGGACTGGTATATAACCTGATAGGAGGGACTTCGTTGCCGACTGCTTCCCCAGCACTCAATAACACATGACATTCTGGCGAATCCAATACGTTCCGACGTGGATAAATCCCGAGAACCGGCGGAGGAACACACAATATACCTACGTCGTACGACCGACATGGCTTCGATGCTACCTCTCTCAGCGCCAGCCCACCAACTCCTTTCCGATGCCAGCGCCACAGAGTACCCCGGCCCCGACAGTGTCAGCGTCAATGCCGGTGCCCCACGCTCAATCCTTCGACGTCCTGAGAACTTGGCAGTGGGCGTCCATTCGATCTTAGACGCGGCCGCCACACCGTCGGCCAGACATGCAAAACGACCACGCACCAACGTCACCGTCGCGTGCGACGGGTGCAAGCTGGCCCGGGCCAAATGCGACGGCAATCACCCCTGCATGCGCTGCATGAAGAAGGCCCTCTCCTGCAAATACGACCAAGGCAACGACCGGCGCCAGAATCGCGGGTCCAACGAAGAGGTCCAAGCCCTGACGGACCGACTGGGGCAGTATCAGAAGTTCGTCTTCGCGCTGCGCAGCTCGCCCCTTGGAAGCGCCAGCTACGTGCTCTGGAGGTTACGCTCTGTCTCGACAGGGACCGAACCCCAGCCACGCGGCCACCAGGAGTCATGTCCCTGCGTTGCTGAGGTTGCCGCGCTGGCGGCGGCCGTGGAGTTGCTCAACGACACCAAATCCGGCGGTCGGCTAGTCTGTACGAGTCTAGATGTGGACGAAACGGCCGCGTTGGTCGGCTGGATCAAGCGAGATATGGATATGGATGTGGATTCCACTGTGGCACTCGCGCAACGACCGTCGCTATCGCAGTCCCAACGCCAGCCCCAGTCACAGTTCCAACCCTATATCCATTCCCAGCCGGAAGAGCGATTGCCCAGCGAACACAATCACAATGGCACCGGAGCGAGGAGTCTGACCAAGAGCCATTTTAGTGTCGAGGGACTATTGTGTTAAGATCTCATGAGCTATGAAGACGTGGTTTTGAGCGCGGACGGGTTGGAAACAATGCTGCGTGATTCGGTCCATTGCAACTAGTTGAGCGAGCGAGCGTGAGCAGCGAGTGGTATGACTGGGCATATAGCGCCAACACGAGTAGATGGTGACGGCTAGGCAAACAGCACCAACACGAGAAGGTCGTAAAGAAATCATGGCGTTAGTGGAACTTCTCAAGCTACTGAGCGGGGAGTTTTCTCCGGCGCGTGGTGTAAAAGGAAGGAAGACCCTCTGACTTGCCTCCTCACTTCCGTGACAATGAACTGGATATGCACATGCACATGCACATGCATAGCACGAGTCTCTGGACCGTACGAGTGCGGGTACGAGTTGCATTGTAGGTACTGTGCAGCTACCGTAAGACGAGACACCGGATGTAAACACCGGTGCGGGCCCTCGTAGCGAAACTGCAAGGCACGCAGCGTACTCGTACAGTACAGCAACCTCGGCGCTCCGGCTACCGGAGATGACTATCCTCTTGAATCGTGATCAGGCCTTGGTCTCGACCCCAGAGCCAGACATGTCGCCTGACCCGTTGCTCGCATTCCTGGCGAGTCGCTTCTTGCTCACGAGTCGGAAGCCGCCGACCGTGAAGAACAAGATCTCCAGACCAAGGATCACACCCAGCGTCACCATCGCGCCAATCACACCCGCCACGGCCTTGCTGATCCCGCCTTTGTGGCCGCCGCTACTGTCATCCGACGAGCTAGTGCCCAGCGCGCCGGAGGCTCCTTCGCCACCCAGCGCAGCGGGGCTGCACACGCCGGTCGAGTTGCCGCAGGCGGAGCACCACTCGGCCTGCGTCCCGATGCTGAATTTCGCGGTCGAGGCGACAAACTCCGACCACGGCAGGGGGGACCGTCCCGTGCCGAAGAGCGGGAACTCGACGGGCTCGCTGATGTTGGAGGTCGTGCCGTTGTGGAAGAAGAAGCGTACGCTGATGTCGTCTGCCGTCGGGTACGAGGTGTTGGAGACCGTGGCGTTGGTCACGAGTTCCCACACAAGACTGGACGCGTAGTCGGGGACACCGTAGAAGTCCGTGCTGGCGGCGGTGAGGTTCGCCAGACCAAAGTACGAGAGCATGCCGGCGTAGGCGCCGAACTGGATGTTCAGCACGTTCTTGCCCTTGCCCGTGATGGTGCCGTTGAGGGCGTCCGTCACTTCGGCCGCGATGATGGAGCCCGTGACTGCGCGGATGGGCTCGGACGCGTTGTACGCCAGACCGTACTCGTGCTGGTCGGCGAGGGTGCGGAGCTGGAAGAAGTCCGCGTCGTCGGGGAGTGCGACGCTCGCGTTGTGGATGCTGGCCACGTTGAGCAGGTCCCAGATCGTGTAGGCGTTCTTGAAGCTGGTCTGGTCTTCGGCGAAGGTGCGTTCCACGTAGGGATGCATGTTCGCGTAGAATTCCTTGGTGCGGGCCAAAGTGTCGTTATACTCGCTGCTGCGGAAGTAGTCGTTGGAGCTTACTGTTGCCCGAACAGTTAGCTATCAGTCCTTTAAATGGGCAGTTATCAATGTCAGGGGAAAGCTGGCCACATCGAGCACTTACTTTGAGCATTGGCACAGTTGGTCGCGCCCTGTAGCCAGGCGGCGTCTTCGCTGTTGGCGCCGTTCTGGACGACCTGGAGAGGAAGGAGCTGATATCCGTTCATGGGCGCCTGGATGACGGTGCTGTTCCGAAGAGTCTGGCTACCCAGCGTCTCGCCGACCGGCGGGTACAGACCTTGGAGAAAGCCGATGCCGGATGCTTGCAGGACATTATCGACTGGTGCCGAAGCAGTTCTTCATACGGCGTTAGTACACGGAGTAGAGTGTGATGGCTCTGACTTGGGGCATTCATACATCTGCGACAGCTTGACGATATCGGGGGCGATCCCGTGGATCCGGCGGCTAGCATCGCTGGCAACATAGCGGCTCCGATAGTACGAGCCCGAGGTAAATATCTAGGTGACCAGAGTAACAGTGTTAGTGACAACTGTGCCCTTGAGCTCGGGTGGCACCATTATTGTGCAGTGGACAAACTGTAAAGTTCAGCGCACTCACCTCTTGATAGCCCAGGTCCGTCAGTTCGGTCGGTGGCGTACTTTTTGCGGTTCTGTCTCCATGCCTCGAAAAGATGTATGCGCCCAACACCGTCTCTGCTGAGACGGTCGACGACGCCAAGGAGGCGAGAAGGATGGAGCTACGCATAGTGATGGACCTGCGGTTTAGAGCGATACGGTCAGCATTGAACGAGATCGAGGCTGTGGAGGATCCAGCCCTACCTCTAGTTCAGCAATACGCGGGATCAGACAGTCACGGCGGCAAAGTCGACGATGGACCTCAAGGCTGAGAAGTGAAAAGGAGTCAGGAAGTCGGGCGCTCCTACCGTAACAAGGTCAGCGAGGCGAGCAGAGGCCCTTATCAATTACCACAGTCGACCTCGCGCGAGCATCGCACGGTCCGATGTTCCTAACATTTACCCCGCCGACACCGTCGCATTGGCCGATCCGAGCAACTACTGCGCTCGCAGGACCTTCGATTCGCGGACATGGCCGGTTCGATGAAGGCTTATGGTTAGAAGTGGAGGCCTTTGAAGGAAGGAAACTGTCTGGACCACATAAATTGTCCTCGGGTAGATCTTCGCCCAAGAAGGACCATGACAGCACCAATGAACTGCGTCAGATTCAGTGAGCCCGGTTAGTGAGCCCGGAGGGGTTGTTCAACATAGGCGAGGTGAAAGTCCAGCCAGTCGTTGGGAAACCAACGTGGTAATCGAGCACTGAGCGATCAGACCGTGTGCCGGATTCCCGCCGGCAACTGGAATCAAGGTTTGTGCTACGATAAGAGGAGATGGATGAGAAGCTTTCAACACATTCGACCACCAGCTGCAAACTCGGCTGTCGGTGGGTGCCACGTGACATGTCGGTCTTTGCCAAGACAATGACGCACGTGGACACGAACTTTGGAGCTACGGCGGGAAATAAATCCAGCGTCCGGTCGAGCCTCTGCTCTGTACCGTCTTGCCGTGTACAAACGCAGTCACGGCAGTATCACCTTAGCTTCATATGATGCTTGTTCCGGCAGGACAAAATACACCTGCTGATCTCTCTTTCTTCGTGGTTGACGCCCTACCGCCGGGGTCGCCAGATGAGCACAATGCGCAATGTATCACTCTACTAACTACTGGTTAGGGTTCTGTGAGTGTAATTCTTATGCTACCCGAGCGCATTTTAGCAACTCCTCTAGATCCCACCAGCACCGCGCTTTGGAAATGCTTATCTCAATGATCCTCCCATTCTCTAATATGATCTCTTCTTCGGGGGTACCGTCTCACACTCGTTCTGATCAAGCGTTTCGAAAACCACATCGCGGTATCCGATGGCGATTTCGTCGCCGGTGTCCTTCTGCCAACTCAAGCTGTGTCGCATGAATCTCTGGTCGTCTCTTTCCGCGAAGTCCTCTCGAGCATGAGAGCCACGCGATTCTTTTCTCTCAAGGCCGCTTTTCGCCGTCTGAGCAGCACAGGTCAACAGATTCCTCAACTCGAGGGTCTCAACGAGGTCTGAGTTCCAGATGAGGCTCTTGTCCTTGACGCAGAGGTCTGATTGGAACGTCTGCTCCACTTGGCTTAGTCGGTCGAGGCCGGTGGTGAGGCTGTCCTCGTTTCTGAAGACCGCCACATCGGTCTGCATCGCCTTCTGCATGTCGGCTCTCAGCACGGACGTCAACTTCGTCCCGTCTGCGTTGCGGTAACGTTCGAGGCCGACGAAGCCTTCAACGCCAGTTTCCGATGAGACGCCCCCGCCGTTTCGGAGGAATGGCATGCCCTTCTCGTTGTTCTCGGCAATATGTCCTGCAGCGGCTCTCCCGAACACCACGATGTCCAGCAGGCTATTTGCTCCCAGACGGTTTGCGCCGTGGACGGACACACACGCCGCCTCTCCAGCCGCATATAATCCGCTGACAATTCTCTCCTTACCACTGCTCTGATCGACATCAAGGACCTGACCCTTCCAATTCGTAGGTATGCCACCCATGCAATAGTGCACCGTCGGCAGTACAGGGATTGGTTGCTTCGTGATATCGACGCCTGAGAAGATACTAGCCGTCTCTGCAATGCCGGGCAATCTCTCCAGGAGGATCTCCTTCGGCAAATGGGACAACTGGAGGAAGATATGGTCCTTTTGGGGCCCGCAACCGCGCCCTTCTCTGATCTCCATGTTCATGCTCCGACTGACGACGTCACGGCTGGCCAAGTCCTTCGCCGTCGGCGCGTACCTCTCCATGAACCGCTCGCCCTCCCCGTTGAGTAAATACCCGCCTTCGCCCCTGGCGCCTTCAGAGATCAGGACCCCAGCGCCATAGATCCCGCTCGGGTGGAACTGCACAAACTCCATATCCTGCAGCGGCAAGCCCGCCCTCGCGACCATAGCCAACCCATCCCCCGTCGACGTATGCGCCGACGTAGCACTGAAATAACACCGTCCATACCCTCCAGTCGCGAGGATCGTGTTCCGCGCAAACACGCGATGCAGCGTCCCAGTCTCCATATCCAGCGCCGTCAGTCCAATACAAGCGTCCCCCTCCATCATAAGATCCAGCGCAAACCACTCAATGTGGAACAAACAGTCGTGCTTCAACGCCTGGCCATACAACGCATGCAGCATCGCGTGGCCCGTCCGGTCCGCCACACAAGCCGTGCGATGCGCCTGGCCGCCCGTCCCGAAGTTCAGGCTCTGCCCGCCCAACGGCCGCTGGTAGATCGTGCCGCCCTCGGTGCGGCTGAAGGGCATGCCGTACTCCTCGAGCTCGCGCACCGCCCGCGCCGCCTCGCGGCACATGTAGTGAATCGCGTCCTGGTCGCCCAGCCAGTCCGAGCCCTTGACCGTGTCGTACATGTGCCATCGCCAGTCGTCGGCGTGCATGTTGCCCAGCGCGGCGTTGATGCCTCCCTGTGCGGCGACCGTGTGGGACCGCGTGGGGAACAGTTTCGTCACCACCGCCGTGTCGAGGCCGGCTTCGACGAGCCCGACCGCGGCGCGGAGGCCCGCGCCGCCGGCTCCCACCACCACGGCGTCGTACACGTGGTCGATGACTTCGAAGTTGGCATTGACGGCTTTCAGTGTTGATGTCGAGGCCCTTCGCCGCTGCCGCTGGTCGTAGTGGTGATGGCGGCTCCATAGTTTGCGTAGCTGTGGTCTAGGCATCCATTGTGGATGTGGAGGGTGCTGCTGTGGTGAAAAGTTGCGAGCTGGCCGCGTACATATCGGGCTCGCCAGCCGGGAGCATGCTCGAGGAAGGAAGTGCATCTGCACGTGCACCTGTCTGTCGTCCTTACAGCGTACGGGGAGTGTATGTCGCAGACTTTACACACGGGAATACACGAGCGGAGGGTCGCACACAGGAACGGGTACAGCAATGGCAGAGGAGCAAAGGCCACTGGATCGTGGAACACGAACAAGAGATCTCCGAGATGGTGCGGACGGTCTCGGAATTGGGGAATTGGCGGGGGACAAGAGATGGCAGACCCGGCTGATTGGAGGCTCCGAGATCGCTGGCGTCTCGAAGTTCTGCTCCTCGTTTCCCCGAGGCTCGTCGCCAGCCACTAGAAGTGCCGCCATTCCTCAGCTTAATTATATGCATGGAAGTCGAGAAATGCCGAGATTGCGGATACGCGAAAACATAGACAGTATTCCGTGTCCTAGACAAGAAAGCTCTCTTATGAGACGAAAAGTGCTGCTTTTCTAAGCTAGCGGCGTCGATTCACAATCTAATCAGTTCCGATTCAGAAGGCAATACGGAGTACCTGTTTTATGACATGGTCGCGTTCCACTCGGCCATCCATCCCTTCGCAGCCTGCACAATCGCCCTCTGAGCGCTGACTACGGGCGCTGGCGGCAAATTAGCTGTCGTCTCATTCGGGAACAACCCGTTTTCATCCCAATGATGGACAGCTCCCTGGATGAGAATGACGGGCTCGCTTGCCGTGCTGGTCTTGTTCAGCACGTCCGGTTCGGGCAGCGTGGCCAACGTAGTGACCGGACGCCAAGGGTCGGCTTCACCACCAACGGTCGCCAAGCGAGGGTAAGAGATGTTGAAGCCGCCGTACTTGTTGATTGCGTTCACGTTGGGTGGCTTGGTGATGTTGAATGCAAGCCGGCAAACGTTGGTCAGGTATTTGACGGTCAAGAGACGAGAGATCAACGGAAGGCGGTCATTTGGCACACTAGCTCCGTCTTGAATATAGCCCCATTCGGTACAGTACTGGTACGCCCAGGATAGAGAGTTATAGTTGGTCGTGTTCTTGAGCGTGTACATCGGTGCTGAGGCATTATGGTTGTTATAGCACTCGTCCAAGGTACCATCGCACGAGTCGACGTAGCTGTTATTGGTCCAAGCAAGCCAGTTGAGGAATGGAATGAGCAATTGCGCACTTTCATTGCCCCAACCACCGGCTTTGATGAGAGCCGTGGCATCGGCCTTCATCGACGCGTACTTTGGCCACAGCAGGGTGTTCGAGGAGATGTTGCCGCAGTAGGAGCTGAACTGCGGACTGTTGACCTCCGGGTCCCAATTCCTAGACTGCCACCCGCCGATTCCACCTGATGCGAGATTCGCCAGATCATCACTGTGAGTCAGACCCTGCATGCCGAATCCCCGCTTCAGCTGAGCCACAGTCGTTGCATTGTTCTTCTCAAGGATGTTGTCAAGAATGTTGATCAGTTTCACCTGAGTGGCAATGCACTTGGGGGGACCGTATTGGCGGATCGGCTCGTAGTATTGCCAATAGTCGTATTGTGCCTCAGTGACTCCCGAGGAAGAGATGGCGCCCCAGTAGATGTCTGGATACAGCTTCCGCAAGAATGATACAATCCCTCCAGAGTAAGAGCCACCGTAAGCCAGATATGCCGTACCAGGCGCGGTCAAGTTCTGATCTTCCAGCCCCGGAAAGACGATGTTCGAGGCAAAGTACGCTTGATCGGCCACAGCCTGGTCCGTTGATAAGAAGCGCAGATTCTTAGTCGATAGATCTGGGGTGGGGAAGCTTTTTCCATAGTATCTGTGTTCAAGGATGACTCCAATGCCGTTCAATGCTGATGCGAGCTGGTAGACGATTCCCTTCTGGAGATACGGCAAGCGCGTGCTGGCGTCGGTCTCGCCACTCTGCAGGACTATGACAGGACCTCCAGGCTTGTAGTATGTCGCGTCGAAATAGTACCGGAGCTTGAAAGTCTTGTTCGAGTGAGGCTCGTACCGTGACGCATTGTGAAAATGGTCCACAGGGACGTCAAGATAATGGGCTGGGTAGAGCTCTGTTGGGTCAACATCTTCGGCCTGTCGAGCCAGCAGTCTCAGAGGAGCGGGTGCCAAGTTTCTGATAGAGGTAAGTTTCCGAGTTCGTGGAAGTTGAAAGATCACCTACGCTGCCTGAACCACCACACAGCTGGCGGCGGCCAGAAATGTAAGCAAGCCCTTCATGATGCACTGCCTGGGATGAAAAGCTTGGAATGTGAAAAGACAAGAAAGAACCCTACCGTCTAGGATTCAACCGGTACAGATATCTGTCGTGCCTGCACTCGACTGATCGCCACAAGCTGTGACAAGCTCACAAACTTGCCAGCCCAGCATGTCATAGCGATGATGCTTTCGTCACAGTACCTGGGTATCCTTATCAAGAAGCTTGACAAGCTTGTTGGTCATGAAGGATGTCGATGCAACGTTGAATGGCATGGAAATAGTAGTCTTGTACACAAAGGGAAGGCGAACAAATGATCTTCAGGCTAGCGCAAGGAATGGTCGTGTGCTCGTAACCGGGCCATGCAGTACGGAGCACGAAGTAGAATGAGGAAAGCGTGAAATCTCACGAAGGGCTACACCACGGAAGAAGCTAGGCGTATGAAGCAACCGGAAGATGACCATGTCGCGCAGGTATGCCTTGCAAACTCGGCAAGACGACAAGCATTGGAGATCTGCCGCCTCCCGCCTGTTTGACGATCATCCATGTGAGGCCGGAGTCCCCTCGTGTTGGGGTGAAAAAGGGCCAGTACCTCCTAACGCCATTGAAGCTGGTGGGGAGACGATGGATTAACAAGTAAAACACACGGGAAATCTGAGACTGCGGTGTCCGAGCTCTGATTGTTCAAACCAGCGCGTCCCTCAGCTTAAGCGAGCATCTTGGCATGACGTGAGTGGTGAGGGGCAGCCAGCGCGTCCCTCCGCCGCGCGTGCAGGAGCATTGGGCTAATCAGCTGCCGCCATCCTTCCTTCCTATTTCAGGTTTACACAGCCGAGCCAGAGGAAGCTATTCCCAGTCGAGGTCGAGAGGCTATATCAAAAGCCATTAGACTTACCGATCTCGACCTCCTCTCGAATTACTGTCCTTCGCTCGAGTGTAACTGGCACCAAGACCGCCGCTACTGTCCGTTTGCCAGGAGTACACGGCCGCCATCTACGCAAAGGCAACTTCCGTCGACATAAGCCTGCAACGCGTCTTAGCCCTACCCTTTGTTTGTCCGGAGGAATGCGTGTCAACTTACTCCTGCTTGGCTACTCAAATATAGCACAGCCCCCACAATGTCTTCGGCGCGCCCTATTCTTGCGGCCGGCATCGCCTTGAAGAGCTCGGCAAATTGGTTGTCTCCCTCCTCGACCGGGTTCATCTTACTGGGAACGACTATGGCCTGCATCAGTCTGGTTCGAAGACGCTCCGGAGCCATTCACTTACATCCTGGATTGATCGCATTGACTCGCACATACCCTAGAGGGCAGAAGAGTCAACATGACTCTTGGTAGTCACAATCAGCAGCGCAAGAAGGGGCCCCGCTCACATCTTGCGAATTTACTCGCCAATAGCCCGACAAGGTGATCAATCGCCGCTTTGCTCGCGGCATAGGACGTCAAGTCGATGTTGGTGCAATTGTGCATACTGGCACAACTGCTGGTGATGATCATTACACCCCGTCCTTCGTCTCTGCCCGTCCGGCCGTTTCCGAGATCGAGCTTGCTGGCAGCTACTAACAGCTTCAAAAGTGCCACGGACAAGAAATAGTGGGCCGTGACATTGACGCGGAAGGTGTCGTCCCAGTCAGAATGTCGCGAGGACCACATCGATCCCTGTAAGTCGTCTAACGATGCGGTTTTGACATCGCACATCGTTGGTGGGTCTCTCCTGATCCCCGCGTTCGAGCACAGGATGTCAAGGTGAGTCTCATGCTTCTCGATTTCTTGGGCGACAGCAGCGATGCCATCTTTTGAGGCCAGATCGCTGGCGAAGCTGTGCAAAGTCCTTGTTAGGGAACCGCCGTGCACAGAGCGGTTCATTCTCACCCAATGGCTGTCCCACCCGTTGGCTCTCCAATCTCATTGAGGTCCTTGACCACGCCCTCAATGTCATCAGATGACAAGGCAGTCACATACACTTTCGCCCCGTTCGAGACCAAGCCCTGCTTCCCGTCAACGCCGATGCCCAGGTTAATGGCACCGCAGGCTTACCTGGGCAATCATCAACCCTAGTCCAGAACATCCCCCTGTTACTAGGGCAACTCGGCCCTTCACACCAAACAGATCGGAAACAGAAAGAAACTGCATTTCTGAGTATGACGGAAACCACGCTGAGAAGCTGCTCGATCTAAATCTGCATATCAAATCCATCACAGCCTTGGTTGCCTCCACTGCGGCTCTGGCCGCCTGCAATGTCCTCAACCGTCCTTCTCCGTCGGGGGCCCCGTGCTTTCGCACAAGTCCGCAGCTCGCTTCTCCTTGCTCGATTGACGTTTTCCTTGCGAGCGGAGCATCCGAACGATATAAACTCGATTCTGTAGGTTGGTGCTATTGCCAGTGATATCCCAAACCTTTTGAGATATTGAAAGTGAAGCCTTTGGTCCTGGGAATAGCGCAATGGCAGCCACAACCAGCTCACTTGCTGGCTTCTATGGCGACCTTAATCATGTGTCTGCCTTATGGATTATTGCGGCTCTTCTGATTGTGTTGGGCGTCTACAAGGTAAGTGGCGGCATATTCAGTCTGCCGATAGCCTGACGTCGATAGTGGTCGACTTCCACCGACATCCCGAAGATCAAAGGACTGCCAGAAATTCCCGGTGCTCTACCAATCCTCGGCCATCTCCAGCAGCTGGGTCCAGACCATGCTACAGTGTGTGAGGGTTGGTGGCGCAAGTATGGAAAATCAGTCTTCCAGATTCGCCTGGGCAACACGCGAGCCGTTGTCGTCAACTCCTTTGAGGATGCCAAGCAGATGCTTATCGGAAACCAGACCGCCGTTATTGACAGGCCAACCCTGTATACCTTTCATGGCGTCATCTCGACGACGCAGGGCTTCACAATAGGTTCGAGTCCTTGGGATGAGTCCTGCAAGAACAAACGAAAAGCTGCTGGTCAAGCACTCGGCAGACCAGCCATGAGAGGCTACTTCGACATGTTCGACCTGGAATCGTACTGTATCGTGCGAGACGTTTTCCGTGACAGCAAGAACGGCGCACTTGAGATCAGCGTCCGGCCATACATCCAACGATATGCGCTCAACACGACGCTGACTCTTTGCTATGGTATTCGAATGGATAACGTCTACGATGACATGCTGCGCGAGATCCTGCACGTTGGCTCGGCCATCTCGCTGCTTCGGTCGGCGTCGGAGAACTACCAGGACTACGTTCCCATCATGCGGTACTTCCCTAACAACGAGAAAATCCGGCGTTCAAAAGAGTTGCGAGATCGCCGTGACCGCTATCTTAATTTCCTCCTCAACAAGGTCCGTGAGATGATCAAGAAAGGCACAGACAAGCCCTGTATCAGCGCCGCCATCTTGAAGGATCAAGAGACAAAGTTGACGGGCGTTGAGGTCTCGTCCATTTGCCTCTCTTTGGTGTCGGGCGGTTTCGAGACCATCCCAGGCACCCTGACATCCTGCATCGGCTCTCTTTCCACCAAACAAGGACAGGTCTTCCAGGAACGTGCTTACCAAGATATCATGCGATATTACCCGGATCCGGCGGCGGTCTGGGCGAACAGCTTTCAAGAGGAGAAAGTGCCCTATGTCAACGCCATTATCAAGGAAGCTGCTCGTTACTACACTGTCAGCGCCATGTCCTTGCCTCGCAAGACCGTTACGGATATTGAGTGGAACGGCGCGAAAATACCAGCCAAGACCATGATCCTCATCAACGCTCAAGCGGCGAACCACGACGTCGATCACTTCGGGCCGGACGCCGCTGTCTTCAACCCGGAGCGATGGTTGAATGACGAATACGTGATGCGGCCTACATCCACCCGGCCAGAAGAGAAGCCCAGTCAGGGAGTCCAGCACTTCTCCTTCGGCGCTGGCTCCAGGGCCTGTTCTGGTCAATTTATCGCCAGCAGATTACTGTATACAGCCCTCATTCGATTGTTGGTGTGTTACAAGATTGTGGCGAGTGATGCCGAGCCTCCTAATACGGACTATGTTGATTACAACCAATTCAAGTCGGCGTTGGTGGCGATTCCCCGAGATTTCAAAGTCAAGCTCATTCCGAGATACGATGAAAGCGTGATTCAAGACATCATGGGAGCAGCGGCTGAGCGGACGAAGGACTATTATACGGAAGAGAGCTAGGCGGAGTCTGACAGCTTACGTGCATCCCGGATACCCATCTTGTTATGATTTGATTTTGAGCATGCTCTGGTAGAGGGAGAGGAAGATTGTGCACGGGAGCTTCAGGTCAGATTGCCCAACGAAACACAGGATTTCGCCTCCCTTTGGTAACTTTATTTGAAGAGATATGATAATCTTGGAGTATTTTGTGCGATGGTACGGAGTAGTTTGAATGACAAGCAATTGAGCACGAAGCAGCCTCAAGCGTGAAGATGCGGAGCCTGGGCTCGGGCTCGTCAACGGACATGCGCGGGTGTCCGTCTGAGGCCTAAACCAGACCCGACCCCACTGTCCTGGCCGCCTGTAGGCGCACCTACGCCGATCTCCGGGCAGCCAGAAGTCACCAGCGAGCTTCTCCATCACGCTACGCCCGCCGAGGCCCGCCGCCTAGCCTCCCAAGGTCACATTCACGCACAACCTCGAGAGCTGGACAAAAAGAAACAACAATCCTATCTATCTGCGAATGATACATGCGCTCTATCGACGGAGCAGTCCGCCAAGGTACGCGTCGATGTCCTCAACGAGGCTGCTGGATTCCAGCGGCATTCGTGCACCGATCCATCCGTCCGGCCTCACCACGAAGACGGCCCCTGAGTCGACATCCACACCGTATCTCTGATACGCAGCACCGCCGTCGACATTGTAATAGACCTTACCCAAGGGATCAGTCCCCAGCTCGAACCAGGCATTGCCGACTTTCTCAGGCAGAATGGTCAGGAAGTCAACCGGCCATTTGCGAGCCTGTGAGTCTGCCGACGAACCATTGACATGAACACCGTTCGATGTTGCCGCCGTTCCCGGAACCCACTCAAGCCTCAAGTGAGCGTTTTCCTGCACATCTTGCTTCATCTTTGCAAACGCTACTTTCGCACCCTGTGATCTGCCCGTGAAGACGAGGATATAGAACCTCGCGAAGTTCGTCATGAGCGTGTGCAGCCAGGCGTGTTCCCACAGTGCCGGGGTCAACAATTGAACGTCTGGCGCTCGATAACCTGCGAGTGCTGGTGCTGGGATGATCGATCTCTTGGCCACGAGGTTTGCGTCTTCGCCGCCATCGTCTCTCATGACCGCGACGTTGGGCTCGAACCCAATGGTCAAGCCAGTGTTGAAACCTTTCGCTTCCTGGAGTATCTTCCCCAGGACGACATTCGGATCTTCTGTTCGGTCACCACGCCAATCCTTCGGCAGCCTGCCCGAGACAAGGACGCTGATGTCTTCGTCGTATTTGATGAGCTTCTTGGCGTTGGGTTGCCTCTCCAGATCGTAAGTCTCGAGGACTTCCTTGTTCAGCACTCCTGTCAACACAAGCGCGAGCTTCCAACCCAGATTCACAGCATCATGCATCCCGGCATTCATGCCCTGTCCCGCGCCTGAGCTGTGACTATGCGCTGCATCGCCGGCCAGGAACACCGACTGTTTCGCCCAGAACTTTTTCGCGACACGCTGGCCGACACTGTACACGCTCGCCCAATCCACCCGCTCGTATTCGATGTCGAATGGCTTCACCGAGAGCTTCGCTTCCTGGATAAACACTTCCTGGTCCAGCTTCTCGTACAATCTCCTCCGCTCCTCGTTCAAGGCAAATCCAATCCGGGTCGCGCCGTGATCGAGGGGAATCCAGAGCACATTCCCATACAGGGGACTCTCAATGGCGCCATAGGCTCTCGGTTTCGGCATCGTGGTGCTCTTCAACACCCCATCGATCCTGACCCACTTGTCCTCTGTGCGGTCCCCGTCCGACTCAATCCCAGCGGCCCCTCGAACCAACGTCCTCGACCCATCACAGCCGATCAGGTACCGACATTTGACCGTATACTCCCTCTCCTGGCCCACGCCGGCACTGCTGTCCAGGACCTTCGCCTTCACCCTGCCTCTTCCACCGACTTCCACGCTCTCGTCAACGGTCAGATCCACAAACTTGCACATCTCGCTCACCGCCACGCCCAGCTTGGCCAGCTCGGCTCGAAAGATATCCTCGACGAATTTCTGTCTCAGCACACTCGCGAATTTGAACCTCGTGTCTTCGATGCCCTCGACGAAACTCCATCCCCGACCAAACACCTCTTCGCCCTTCGCGTTGTAGGCGGCAGACGAGCGCACGGCAACACATTGTTGGGTGATCTGGTCGGCGAGGCCCATCTGGGAGAGGATCTCCATAGACCGAGGCCAGAAGGTCACTGCTCGCCCGAAACTTTCCTGCACGGGCTTTGGATGGGCTTCGATGATGTGGACCGAGATCGGCTGCGAGGATGAAATTGGTGGCGAAGAGAACCGGCGGAGTTGGTACGCGAGATTCAGCCCGACAGGACCGGCGCCTACGATGAGCACATCGACGTCGACGTTGCCCTCTGCCTGGGTTGGTGGTGCCATTCTGTACTGCTGTGGCTCTCGAACAATTCGTACTGCTCGAAATTGCTTCCCGATACGACTTGTCTTCTGCCGATGACGGGTACAAGGCTGCTCGAGTCCTTCTCTTCCTGATATATGACCACTGTGCTCCGTAGTCGATCCCGTCTCGTCTTGCAGCCGTACGAGTAGTCCGCCGCCCTAAGTAGGATCCAGCTGGGCTCATACAATCCTGGCGAGACCGGTCAGGCTCCTCTAAAGCGAATCGACGCAGCCACACTCTTGCTAAAGGTCAGATATCGACAAGCTTTTTACTTTCTCCATTGCACGGCACGATCGATGCTCAACTCCGACTCTCTTTACGCCACTTTGTCGCCCAGCGTGCCCAGCGACTCGACAAGGCTGAGGCGATAAGCGAGCGAGGATCTCCGCACACGCTCACAGCGTGGGAGAAGGACGTCGAAGGACGTCTCTCCACAGATAGCCCCTGCCGGCAGGACGGAGATCGACGACATTGCTTATCATCCCACCGTGTCCACGGTGTCAAAGCCCACATCCGAATGCTCTGCTACCCCAGATATCGGCCGGCACGAACCCACCGGGGAAGGACTAGCGTTTACTAGGAGTACAGGCGGCCTCACCATGTCTTGTTCTACGCAACCTCAAATCCCCCGGCGTGTCAAGGTCGCCACGCAACATGGACGGCTTCGACCTCCTCGTGATCAACGGCCTCGTGGTGACCGCGTCGGACACAGCCAACTACGACATCGCCATCAAGGATGGGAAGATCGCGCTGCTCGCCCCACCGGGCGTGCTGGGCAAGGAGAGTGCCAAGCGAGTGATTGACGCCGAGGGCGGCTATGTCATGGTAAGGGGCAGCGTTTGTCCTCTACAGGATGGGGCACTTAGCTGACCGACCCGTGCGTGCTGCACCAGCCCGGCGGCGTCGACACGCACGTCCACCTCGAGGAGCCTGCATTGTTCGGCGGCAAGGGGCGGAGTTCCGACACCTTCGAGACGGGGACGAGGAGTAGCGTTTGCGGCGGGACGACCACGATCGTGTAAGTGTGTGCGTCAAAGCAGCAGCACGTCAGTGCACTACATACACATGGACGGTACCGCTGTATTTCCAGCTAGTCACCTACTCACTCCAAGTCATGTCCGCCTGCAGAGCCTTCGCGCCTCAAGCCAAGACGATCCCTTCCCTACTTGCCGTCCTCGAAGACACGCACGCCCGCGCCAAGGACAACTGCTACACAGACTACTCCTTCCACATGCTGGTCGGACACCCGGGGGAACAAGCGCTGTCGGAATTCCCGCGGCTGCGCGAGTTGGGCATCTCGTCGCTCAAGATCTACATGACGTACGAGGCCCTCCAGCTGCGGGACGACCAGATCCTCGACATCCTCCTCGCCTCCCGACGGGAAGGGATCACGACCATGATCCACGCCGAGAACGGCGACGTGCTGAACTGGATGACGCGCAAACTCGAGGAGCGGGGGCTCTACGCCCCGAAATACCACGCAACGAGTAGACCGCAGATTGTCGAGACCGAGGCGACGAACCGCGCGATTGCGCTGGCCGAGTTGATGGATGCGCCCATGTGAGTCTCGTCCCCCCCCCCCCCCCCCCCCCCCAAAAAACTTGGTTATCCCTTCGCGCCGCTAAAGTCACCATAATGTGTAGACTGGTCGTCCACGTCTCGTCCCCGTCCGCGGCGGCGCACCTGCGCACCGCCCAAACACGAGGCCTCCCCGTCTACGCCGAGACGTGCCCGCAGTACCTCTTCCTGACGCGCGCGGACCTGGACCGGCCGGACTTCGAGGGCGCCAAGTGCGTGTGTTCCCCGCCGCCCCGCGAATCCGCCGCGGACCACGACGCCATCTGGCTCGGCCTGGCCAACGGCACCTTCACGGTCCTGTCCAGCGACCACTGTCCCTTCATGTACGAGGACCGGGAACAGGGCAAGAAGAGCATCTTGAGCGACGCGTTCCCCGAGGGCCGCTTCTCGGGCATCCCCAACGGGTGTCCCGGCATCGAGACGCGGTTGGCGCTGACGCTGTCCGCGAACCGGCTTCCCTTGCAAAAATTCGTCGAGGTCACGTCCACCAACGCCGCGAGGCTGTACGGCCTATACCCGACCAAGGGCACCATCTTGCCCGGGGTGAGTGACGCGGATCTCACCATCTGGTACCCGCCCGGGCGGTTGGGGTCGTTTAAGTTGACGAATAGCATGTTGCATCATAACGTAGATTACACGCCCTTTGAGGGTGTCGAGCTGAACCAGTGGCCCAGGTGGACTATCCTGAGGGGCCAGGTCGTGTGGGATCGCGACGGGGGTGGGCTGGTCGGGAAGAAGGGGTACGGGCAGTTCGTGAGGAGGGGCAAGAGCACGCTGCCTGGGCCGCGGAAGAGCGGGGACTGGGATGTTAGTGTTTTCTAATTAGCGAAGACCGCATCGGCTGTAGAACGGCAAAGGTGATGCCATAGGGGCTAAGCTATAGAACGGCAAAGGTGATGCCATAGGGGCCAAGCTACAACACGGCAAAGCTGATGGCATAAGGGGTGAGGAGCAAGAGACAATGCCTCGAAGACTTCTGCCGCAGGCTTGGTGAGGATGGGACGAACGTAGCATTGTTTGGGACCTCTTGGGTCTCTTCATCTGTTCCCTCTTCATCTCATGGCATGAGCGTCGTGAATGATGCACATAATTACAGTCGCCGGACATGGTCTTTTGACGCTTGACTCCCGCCCTATTACTCATATTCAGCAAAGGATCATGCTATGCATAATGCTACAGGCATCAAAGTCAGTCCGCAAGGTGCTGATAGTCCATTTTACATCTTGCGTGTTTGGCGTCAGGACATCAACCCAGTCACGCACTGCACTCACGCGACTAATCAGTCGATTTGAAGGGGCATTGTCTATGTAGCGTGTTGGTTCCTATGGTCGTTTTGGTGGTTTGATCGACTCAACCCATGTATCAAGTCTGCGCTACCTATCTCGTCCTAGACCTTCGCCATACATATTGACGACTCCCGCGTCTCATGGCTCAGATTGGGCGAAAGCCATCATGTGCAGGGCGCTCGGTTTTGGGGGGGTCACCGTCATTGTCAACACTCCCCCTCAGCTGGAGTGTACTTTTGCGACTGCGATGTGTCTGGCCTTGAGTGAATAGCTTTGTCCTGAATTCCCATCCGCGTTTCAAACCCTCGAGCCGCCGGCAGCGGTAGCTTGCGGCCCCAGCTCTACGCGCCACATCTGCACTAGCTCTTGAAGCCATTCGTCGATCAACTCGCTGCATGCCTTGACCTCATACTTCCACGACGGATCTGGCTCAAGCAGGACCTCGATCTTCGCAGTGCGCCTCCCTCCGAAAATAAAGGATGACCCTTGAAAAGTCAAACTGGCTGGTATGACAGGCCTCCCAGGACCGATTCACTGCCTCAACCTAAAAGGGGCCACTGGTGGCAGACCTATTCCTTGAGTTCATGGAGTATGCTGCCTGCTCCCATCGTGCGGCAACGGACGTACGCTCATAACAACAGGCTCCCATTTCCTGGCGTAATCTGCAGTATTGTGACGCAGTCCTCGCCCAAGCACGCCCGGTACGGCAGAAAAGCTAACATCGATCGTCATTCCAGCAACGTGGTCATGGGCGTATTCATTGACCTGTCGTATTGCTTGTTTCTTCAAGATACCACGACTCATCCATGTCAATGGTCAGGCACCTCATGACATTGCTCCCAGGCTTGGTGGTGCGGCACCAGTACCCGTCTAGACGTGCGGGGCCCTGGTCCTCTGCCGCCTCGTGCCTTTTGACCTTGTGCGCTTTCAGAGGAGAGTCCGCACGGTGACAGATATGTTCTTGGACACGCTGCAGTATGCTTCCCGGTCCTTTCGCATTGCACACTAGCGATATGCCGAGGTGATCCCGGAAAGTGCCGCGGAAAGCCATACTGCTCAGCTTGAGAGACTGATTCAGGAACATTGTGATTCTGATGATTGAGGCCAAGACTCCAGCATTCGCGTCGCCTAGAGTTCCTTTGAGATACAGATTCGCAAGGGTCAAGGACCTCAGTGTGTCCGCGTGTAAGAAGATGAATTCAGACAGTTCCTTGGCCGTAGTTGCCATGTTCTCCAGGGTGAGGATTCTCAGATTCGAATACACCACCCCTGGTCTTGGGGACCTCAGGAACAACGCAGTCATCCTTCTCAGGGCGTACGCACATACAGGCTCAACATCCCTGTTCATCGAGGGCATGCGGTCGAAACCAAGCCATAAATTTTCCACTGCAAGCAAGTGCCGGGGAAGCTGCTGCAGATATTTGGTCAGGCCGTTCGCCCAGTAATGACTCGTTGCGCGGAGGCGGCAACGAGGTCGGTCAAAGCTTTCCACTTGCAAGGTCAGCTTGAAGCGGGTGACTCCAGACAACAGCTCTTTGAGATGTGGGATGTACGAGATGTTGTAGAACTCCCACCAGTAGAGCGATGCTAGATCGATTGACATTGGTCGCAAGTGCCGAATTTTCTGCAACACAGAATTCATGAGCGGGAATTGCTTTGTCTCATCCACCATACAGACACCCGTTCGTTTCAGGAGGTCCGAATCATCATCAAGCAGGTAAGATCCCGTCGTTGTGCGAGCTGATGGTCTGACGTGTATGAAGTCTCGCAGCTGGTGGAATCTCTTTAGCACAATCCAGAGCAACGGGGGCCCTTCAGCTGAGAAACTGGCTTGAGAGTGTAACTCGGCATTGTATGCGCTAGAAAGTTCGAGCGCCTCCAAAGCTGCGTCAAGCGGGGCCAGGGCTTCAAGTCGTCGAGCCAGAGGACCAGATCTAACGAATTGGCTGAATGGGGCCTCGACTAGGTAGTGCGTATGGACCTCAATGGTCCGCACGAGGCTTGCGAGAGTGCCATCAACTGATAGCTTGCACAAGCGGTCGACGCTGTTCATGCTTGGTGACAGGCAGACCGTTCGGAAGAGAAAGCGAGTGGCTGTGGAACCCATTTGTCTGTCCACCAGACGACACGACCTCAAGTCTCTCCTCCCGAGCCATTTTAGAATACTCTCCTTGATCTCTTCAGGCAAGTTGAACCATGGTTTTGAAAGTCCTTGTGTTGTTGGCGCCGGAATTTGAGGCTCTTGCGGCTCAGTGAGCTCTAAATCAGGTCGAGATGAAGATTCGTTCAATGCCTTGCCCTTACATGCGTAATCGTAGGTGAAGTCGGTATCCATATTGGATGGGTTGAGAGACGGAATCTGTTGTTAGAATGCTGAAACCCAGATGGGAGCAGATGGGCAAATTGAGGGAATGACAGTCGTTGCTTGTTGAGGCGTGGAGGCAGGAATTGCACCAGTGACAGTAATCGGAATCAGCAGGCAGTACGGACAGAATTCGTTCCAGTGACAACCGACGTGTCGAACTTGACATGATATTCAAGCACGGGTCGGGAAGGGACGCTTGTCGGTGAATGTCAATGTGGCAAGGCAGTGGGCTGAGGCCTTCAACATTGCACCGCAGCTGTCGCGGACAGCAACAACGTGCAAACGAAACACGACAAAGGTGTGATTCACTCATGATTGTCCCTCAAAAAGCCTTGATCACGAGGGGTTGGAAGGTGAGGCAGCCGCAAACACAACATTCAACACTGTGCAATTGCAAACACTCACCTCATGGCACAACTGCCACCAACCGCAGATGGGTGTTTCTTAACGCCATCTAGTTGTCCCCTAAGCCATCCCCCGTATCCAAAGCTCATTCAAGCGCCACTTGGTCTCTTCCTTGTCTGCAAACAGACACCAGCATTTGTTTGTAAAAGAGAGCATGGCAAGTGACGTCTGACAAACAAAGAGACAGAGGAACACAAGGGAGCACAGGAAGAATGGCAGAGCAGGACACTACGAGATCTTGAGTTACCCATGCTGTGCAAGAAAGGATAACTGGTCGAGGCGAAGATCGGGAGCATAACGGAAGGAAGGAAGCTGGTAGCTGCGAGGAATCGGAAGAGGGTCGCTTTCAAAGAGAACCCGGCTTACATAACGACACGTACCAAACGCGTCAGGTGCGCGTTGCCACTCGACGGGTCGAATAAACCCTCATTACCTGGTGTTGCTCTGCATTTGGCTGAATGCCTCTGAAGAGTTGCTGGTACTACGTCGTCGAGGAGAATCTTTATGAGCGGGTTCTATGCCTTGAATTGAAGGAGCAACCGGTGAAGATGATGCGAAGTGCTTTGTGCCATTTGTGGTTTCCTGAAGACCTGTTTGAAGGACTGAGCTGTCCGAAGCACTATTGATCTGGCTCGATCCCCTGTACAGCACAATATGCAAAAGCAAAGAAACATCTGCCCTAGTCTTGAGACACGCTAAGTCATGGCCACCTTCTGATGTCAACACATTCGTGTCCAAAGCGCGTCTTTCTATCCTCCAGCTCATTCTTCTGATTGTCCTTGGTGCCAGCTTGAGCACAGAGCTAGAGATAATTCTGAAAATGCGCGATCACATCCTCCTCATACAGGCATTGATCGTTCATCCCCTCAGACAAAGAAGCCTATCCGATCGTCCGATCTGTTAAACAAGCTTTCTCCATGACTGCCCCGGGCCAGACTCTGCTTCGAACTCGTCTATGCTCTGCATCCCATGACCTCCAATCTCGTTGACTCCTGTGGTAGCCTTCATGATCGATCTTGGAGTTCCGTGCTCGCTGCCTAAAGCATACCACTTCTCTTCCCAAGATTGCAAACTGTCGGTATCCTCTGGATTGGTACGCTTGAATGGTCCATAAGCCCGCGCACCGTTGCGCATAGGAGAAGGATTCAAAGGGATTGCATCGTGGCTCTCGGTCAAAGGCGTGCTGTGTTTTGGTGATTTCCAAGGGCTCCCAAACTTGGGAAGAGCGGTGATACTGTTGCTTCGTCTGCTCTTACCCCCGGGCGTGTAAGGGGAAGCCGGAGTACGAGTAGGTGTCTCGAAGGACATCTTCTCCCTAGCGCGAGCTGCGTCGTCCTCGAACTTCTTGAGGTGGCGAGCATAAGTGTCTGTCCCGCCTGTCACAGGGCCACTCAAGCCATCATTATCACCCGTCAAAATACCCAGGCTGCGCATTCTTCTGACCTGCTTGTTCTTTTCTCGCGTCTTGCGCCATCTCCCGAAGCAGCCGAAGAAGGGGATCGAGTCGACGACTTTGTGGAACGTCCGAGGGTGGAACTTGCGCCAGAGGAGTAACAGAATTGAGAAGAAGAATAGTGTACCGATGGACATAGGCACAGCGATCATGGCTGGTGCAGGACCATGGCCATGTCCATGGTTCTGCTGAGCAGGTGGTACTGGGTTGAAATTACCCACAGGTGCAGGTGGTGCGGCTGAACTTGTTGACACCGGGTCTGGTAAGGTACTTGACGTTGAGGTTGTGAAGGTGGTGCCTGCTGTTGCTGATGCTGTCGTTGTTGTCACATGAGCGGGCTCAATAGGAGTCGCGACAGTAGTTGTTATTGATATAATCTGCAAAGTCGTTGATGTCGTGGTGTCGCTTGAGGCAGAACCTGGTGCTGCAGGACTGGATGGTTCGCCTGTACAGACGGTTCGGTCAGGATCTTTGAATGTTACACACGACTTTGCTTCGGACATACTGAGGCTAGTCGGTGTGCCCGACGGCCAGTAGACCGAGAAGACGTAAAGAGTAGAAGAACTTGAGGCCTGCAGTAGATTGACAGATGTCATCCCTGGACTCTTGTTTGCACCCTAATGTACGGGATTGTCAATGATAATCTCTTGTGCTTTCAATTGATGTCCTCTCGAATTCGCTAACGACCATGTCGGGGAGGAGCGAGAAAGAAGACGTTAAACTCACAACTAAAGAGCTGAGAACTTCCGCTGGTGACGGTGGCGTAGCCGCGGCGATACTAGCCAGTATCGACGCCAGGAGTCCTGTTGAACTTGACGTGTGTGACACCGCGGTTGTCTCTGGACTTTGCGCCATGATTTCGAATGTGATTGGAGAGACGGATGAACAAGTACTGTTGTTTGAGGTGCAGGTGATCGGTGAGGCAGAAGTCACGGCGCGCAAACCTGAAGAGACTAGTGAGAAAAAGAGTCAGACGATTGCGATAGAAGTGATATCTTGGTGATATGATTTTGCAAACAGAGACATCCTCCAGATTTTCGTCTTACCGATTTGAGATGTGGCTGCGCTCGCCGTTGTCGTTGAAGAGGTCGCCGGCGCCATCCACGAAAAGGTGCCAATTGATGGTGAGGAGGCTCGCGGCGTTGTTCCATTGACGGTCATGTTGACCATAGGGTGAGTCATGTAGTATGCCACTGTTGCCATCTTGAATGTGGTATTAAAGAGGCGCGTCGAGGTGAGTGGAGGGATGCTCGCGGTCACCACAGCGCCGTCACGAGGCCTTGTGACCGTGTTGCGGGTGAGGTCAAACCGCACGAAAGACAATCGAACGACACCGCCCTGGCACCATCCCCCTCCACCAAGCATCGTCAATCGCAAGAATGTCGCCGGCAGCAGTGGTAGCGGGCATCGCCGACAATCTAGGTATGTCTTGCGCAAAGCGCTTTGTCGACTCCATCTCCCTGTTCAAATCCTCATGGCATCCATCCACAGCATTATTGTTTTGGTCCACCATATCCTGTGACCTCATTGTTATCCCTTTCAGTATGGCCGTCATGGTTGACCACTTCCTGGCACCTCAAGTACAGTGTCCATTGAACAAGCCTGGTGAGCGTTTCTGTCAATATAGACCTTTCCACTCTCCCCAAGGATGGTAACGGAAGCAGTGCTGACATCCTTGGAAACTGAGGGCAACTCGTTATGGCACTATAACGCTATCAGCTCTGACACGAAGATATGTACCCATCAAACACAGGCGGGAGGATATGCAACAGCTGGCAGTGGTCACTTGAAATCAAAAGAGGCCTGCTGAAGCAAGGAACGAACAAAAAGCATGAGAGGCCAACAATTCAGCCCATTTGTGGAATCGATGGGCGTTGGGTGATAGAGATGCCGCCACAAGTGGAATGAGCCCGTTTTCTCGGTTCGAGTCGGTCCTTGTTCACCTACAGCTCTTGCAAACAGCCCATCATTACCTGCCCAAGCAGTGAGCAGTACACCAAAAGCCGGTCCAATAAACTAGAAACAGATCTCGCGCCCTATTAAAGTGGACTGGCTGGTGGAAGCAGAAGTCTAGACATTGCATTGGTGTCTCTCCCGTGTTACGCCCCAACGCCTGCCGCGATCCATGTGGGCCCGAGTTTGTATGTGAGAACCAGAAAGGCTACCCGTCCGTTGGCTATCTGTCTCTGGCGGAAACAGCCATTGTTTTCCATGCTCCGTCCGATGTCCGGAGATCTTGTTGTGCCGTTTTCAGTGTTCCGTCCGTCGTTGAACAAGCGTGGAAACGATCTAGCAACACCCACCAGCGGCTCCCGATTGCACGCCCTGGCCTTGTCCAACTTGAACTGTGGGCTTGTTGTTGACAGTGGTGGTACCCATTCGTTCCTTGATCTGACGGGCCATGGTCAGGAAGGCTTGCTCAACGTTGGAGGCGTTCTTCGCGGATGTCTCGAGGAAAGGGATTCCAAGGCTGTCAGCGAATTCCTATAGCGAAATAAGTATGATTGGTTTCAGCGATCTCATTCGGGTTCCGCCACTATACCTTTGCCATTGTGTATTCGACCACCTTCTTATCCGACATATCGCTCTTGTTGCCCACGAGCAATTTGTTGACGCCCTCTGTCGCGTAGCGGTCAATCTCCTGCAGCCACTGCTTGACGTTGTTGAACGAGTCCATGTCCGTCACATCGTAGACGACGCAGATGCCGTGAGCACCTCGGTAGTAAGATGATGTGATGGTCCGGAATCGTTCTTGGCCAGCAGTATCCCACTGTTTGACGTGTTAGAGCATCTTCGGGCTGCCCACGAATCTACATACAATCTGCAGCTTGACAGTCTTTCCATCGAGTTCAATGGTTCGGATTTTCTGTGCCTGCGTCAGCTTGCGATCCTCCTTGTTTCAAACTTGGCAACGTACAAAATCGACACCGATGGTAGAGATGTAGGACTCAGTGTAGGTGTCATCGGCGAAACGCAACAGCAGGCAAGACTTTCCGACGCCGGAGTCTCCAATAAGCAGGAGCTTGAAGAGGTAATCGTATCTATATTGCGGTGTCAATATTCTGGGATCGGCTAGCCGGTGGCTCCAACGCAGGCCGTGTAGGGATTAGGCGGTAGAGACTCTGCTATTTGTTAGTGACGTCCACTGTATCATGACTCCGGCCGCCCGTGTGAAAACGGCTTCCAAGCCGGACAACTTACCACTCTGGATTCATGGTGGCAGGCTGAAGGAGATGATCTCAGGAGCAGGTGTGCGTGCAAGACAGTATCCGACTTTGGTGGCGTAGGCAAAGGTGTCCTTGGTTGTAGGCGCTGAACGTAAGGTAGGATTCAAAGTTAAGATGAATTGAAGGCAATGAGAACTGACGTCTGTTGTTTGCGCCAACCTGGACTTTCGAGATCCGTTGATGGCAAGATTCGAACTTAGGCTCCTTTGTCACCTGCCCATTGGCCCGCTGACGCCTGTATCAGGCGCCTCCAGGCTGTGGCTGACCACGATTTAGTGCCGGGATGATCACGTGCTCAGCCACAACAAAGAGTCACTCGTGAGGCTGGCCACTGTTGCTCTATGCCACCAGGGCCTCCTGGAGTAGGTATACTCCAGCTTCACAAGGCGCTGCAGATGTCTCTGGAGCTTGTCTATGAGCACTTAACCGAGCTCATCTTCAAGTCTATCTATTATCTGCCAACAACTTCTGCTTTGCGGCACGGCGGTTCCTCGCTACTCGGCGACGCTATGAAGCGTAACCATGTGCCTTCAGCCACTCCAACAGTTGTAGCTCATCCCTCTCCTTGTAACGCGCGTTCCCCGTAATGGTGTCGTGCACAATTACCAAGCTCCTCGAAAATTGGCCTGTCTTCTTGTCCTTGAAGAACTCGTCAATCTGGTCTCTTACCTCCAGATCCGAATATTTGGGCAACCCCATCTTGATCCATCGATCAATGATAACGCTCGTCACGCTCAACCGCTCAAATACCCGGTCCCACTTTTGCTTGGTGTATTCCCAGACGACGAAGCGGGTATCGTTGTTGTTGGATACAGCAATGACACCGCCGTGTGCATCTTGCGCAGGTACTTCGTCTGAAGTGACGAAGTCGAGCAAATCCCACGCACGGTTCGGGTCTTTCGAACGTCCCAGGGCTTGAATACAGATTTCTTTGCCGTCCACGGAGGTGGTCTTTTTGAATTCTGCTTTGATGGTGTCATATTCTTCTTTGCCACCATTCGCAACTGCCAGGTTGAAGATGACGCCGCGGAGGTTTTGGTGGATGGCCTTCTCGTCACCCGATTTCCAAGCCGCGAACTTCTTCTGACCTTCAGAAACGATGGCCTGATGACCAGCTGCGGCCGCGGTACCAAGCAGAAGTTTGCGCGATTGACCGGTAAGATAATCTTCGTCCTTAGGGAAGTCCCAGCCAATTGCTTCCGCAGCAGGCGAGACCAATCTTAGGGTGAACTTCTTCAGCGCGTCGGAGATCTCTTTATTGCCCGCAAAGACCCGCTTCACCGTTGCCAGGCAGCTGGTGATCTGCTGCCAGACAATGAAGCTTCTCTCGTCTTTGAAGCCCTCTAACAGTGAAAGCAGAGCAGCCGTTGTGCCATTGCCGGAAATCGCCAACGCGGTGGCGTCACCCAGCAGACCAATCTTGTCTTCTATTGAGAGATGTTCCTGGGCCTCCCCAAGCTTAGCTAACCGTTGAGGCGGATAATTGGTGCGATAGAAGCCACTCTGATCAGCGTTGATCTTGTAGAAGGCGTCGTCGACGTCTCGGACGGTATCCTCCTTTTGCGTCAAGGCGCTGTGGATAACCTTTGTAGGTGTTCCAGTCTTCAGACCAACAGGGATCCACCAGGTAGTTTCGTCTTCCTCAGGCTTGACATCTCCAGTTGTCAAGAATCTCGACTGGCGGATGGAGATTTGACCAGGTTCCTCGGCGACAGTCACGACTGGGAAGCCGATCTTGCGAATCCACGGATCCATGAATGCTTGCACATCTTGACCAGAGGCTGCACTAAGAGCTGCCCACAGGTCGTTCGTCCTGGCGTTGCCATATGCGTGGATCTTGAGATAGTCACCAACGCCCTTCAGGAATATTTCTTGGCCGATATGATCGCTCAACATCCTGATAACGGAGCTTCCCTTGAGGTAGGATATGTGATCAAAGATCTGGTCGACTTCGAGCGCATTGCGGACGGGGACTTCGATAGGATGCGAAGCTCGGAGGGAGTCGAGTTCGAGAGCTGATTGCACAGATTCAGCCTGTACTCAGTCAGCCGGAGCGTTTTTGGAGTATACCTCGTCTCGTGCTACGTACCACAAACTGACTCCAGACCTTCCATTCGGGATGGAGATGATCTACCGCGAGCCAGCCCACCCAGGTGGCAAACCCTTCATTTAGCCAGAGTTCGTTCCACCAGTCCATGGTGACCAGGTTTCCGAACCACTGGTGAGCAAGCTCATGAGCTACGACATACGCGACTCTATTTTTGAAGCGGGCATCCGACTTCTCCTCGTCATACAGGACAGCCGTTGTTCGATAAGTGACCAAGCCCCAATTCTCCATTGCACCCATTGCGAACTCGTGGACTGCTAGAAGATCGGACTTTGGCAGAGGGTATTCGATGCCGAAGACATCCGAGAAATAGTCGAGCGTCTTGTGAGCGTGCTCCAGAGCAAAGTGGCCCTGCTCTTTGAGACCGCGGGTAGTGTACACCCTGACTGGCAGAGGCTTACCATTGTACTTGCGCTCGGTGAAGGCCTCGACATATTCAAAGTCGCCAATCGCCCACGCTGCCAGATAAGTGCTCATGGCAGGTGACTTCTCAAAAGAAACCTTCTTCAAGCCGTCCTTGCTTCCCTTGGTTGTGCCTTTCTCCGGCATGTTGCTTATCGCAACCAGGTCTTCCGGAATCTCGACCTCAAACTCAAAGGAGGCTTTAAGGTTGGGTTCGTCGAAACAAGGGAAGGCCCTGCGAGCAGCGCACGCTTCAAATTGAGTACTGAACATGTAATGATGTTCACCGTCTTTCGGGGTGCCAGCAGCAGGTGTGACCGCGGGCTTGTATTTGGAGCGATAGAAGCCTTCCATGGCACTGTTCATGATGCCCTTGAATTTGATAGCAATGGAAGCATCGCCAGAGGGGATCTTTCCTGAGAACTTGATTGTCGCACGCTCGCTTGTCTTGTCGTACGAGACATCGGCCAGTGAAGTGATTGACGAGCCATTGTTGTCCAGCACATCGGCACCCGTGATTTCCAGCTCTTTGGTGTTCAAAACCAGCTCTTGAGTGTCTTGCTTGACCTTAGAGTCAATCTTGACGGTACCATCGTATCCCCAGTTCCCACCAAACTGTAGATTGTAGAGAGATAGGTCATAGTTGGTCGGTTTGATGGTATCGGGCAATATATCGCGGTCGGAGGGAGGAGCCATGGTTGTTGTTGCTTCCGCTGAGCAGAAACGAATCTGCGAGATGTTTGGGCTACAGGTTTGCTTGGAGGGGAGGCGACAGCGAAGAGAAAGCGAACAGAATGTGTGTCTCGTGCCTGCGATGCTAGGTCCAGCCTTGAATGAAGTTAAAAGCGAGAAGAACCGTGTCTCTAGCATCCAAGCCGTGGGAAAGTGTCCGTTCTCACCGTCAGCCAACAGTCCAGTCCAGTCCAGTCACTGCGACGTTACTGCATCACAGTGGCATTGCATTCTGTGGTGGGGAAGCGCATCAACTGCCTCTCCAAATTCTTTATGTATCTCGCGAGACCTTACCACATTAAGCTCGCCAGTCGCGTCCCGCACACGCGACAGCAACCCTCGCACATTGACTCGCTTTTCCCTTTTGTGCTTTTTCTTACGCGCCGCCTCCTTTTCCCGGTGATGCCGGTAGCTGGCGATGAGGACTATGATTATGACGCGCCTAGATCGTCCGCGCGCGGGCGAGCGGTGGGTCGAAGGGCGGTCGACCACGACTCGGCGCAGAATTTCGAGGTAACTCGAACATGGGATCTGCTCACTGAAGGTGCCGATGGGACCATCACAAGCGCGGTCGAGGGGCTGCTCGAGGCAGGGAAGAGGAAGAGGTAGGTCAGCAAACGTGCCGGACTGAGCAATACTCAATGTGGCTTTCTCCAGGCTCCTCAAAGACACCACGCCCCTCCAACGAGGCATTATCCGACATCTCATCCTCATTCTCGACATGTCGCTCGCCATGAACGAGAAAGACCTCCGGCCCACTCGCCATCTTCTAACGCTATCGTACGCCGAGTCCTTCATCCGCGAATTCTTCGAGCAGAATCCCATTTCTCAGCTAGGCATAATTGGCATGCGTGATGGAGTTGCTACCAGTATCAGTGACATGTCGGGCAACCCGACCTCCCATCTGGCTGCGATAAGACAATGCCGTATGAGCGCCAGTACCGAGCCCAAGGGCAATCCGTCGCTGGAGAACGCGTTGGAAATGGCACGGGCCGGTCTCTTCCACGCACCCAGTCACGGTACTCGCGAGATATTGTTGATATTCGGGGCGTTGCACACTTCGGACCCAGGAGATATTCACAGCACGATCGACAGTCTGGTGCAGGACAAGATCCGGGCCACAGTCATTGGGCTAGCAGCTCAGGTCGCCATATGCGCCGAACTGGTCTCGAAGACAAACCATGGCGACCAATCCAACTACGGGGTGGTTCTTGACGAGCAGCATTTCCGAGAGTTGTTCCTGGCAGTGACCACACCGCCTGTTACTCACGAAAGTGCCAACCAGACAACCTCCTCCCTGCTGATGATGGGCTTCCCCTCCCGGACGGTCGAAGATCATCCATCATTCTGTGCGTGCCACACGAGACCCAGCCGAACAGGCTATCTATGCACACGATGCAATGCCAAAGTCTGCACTTTACCAAGTGAGTGTCCTGTCTGCAGCTTGACCTTGATCTTGTCCACCCATTTGGCAAGAAGCTACCACCACCTCTTCCCACTGGTCAACTGGGTAGAGGTGCCTTGGGGTAAAGCTCATCGGAGCACCGCGTGTTTTGCATGCCTGAGGCCATTCCCTGCCGCCCCAAAGACAACGTTTCAACCATCGTCGTCCACTCAGCAGACTGCGCATCCCAGAGCGCCGGCTAGTAAACCCCAGCCTACGGCACCACCAGCCACGACAAGCACGAGCAGATACGAATGTCCTGTGTGCCGCCGGCACTTCTGCATCGATTGCGACCTGTTCGCCCATGAAGTGGTGCACAATTGTCCAGGCTGCCAGAGCGTGAGGATGCAGACCAGTCTGATGGGCGAGACCGAGGTTCGCGCCGACGGTGCCGATGGTGCGCAGGGCAATGCCACGGTCACGGACCCAATCAGCAAAGACAGCAACGGGACCACGCAAGCTGGAGACGGGGAGCGCATGAATGTCGATTAAAATAAGACTTGGAACGTGATCCGAGCTGAGCCCCCAATGTGCGCTAAAGCTCGTCGAAATTCCGACATCTGGTTCCATGTTCTTTTAAGGGCCCTCTGCCCCGATTCAACGAGTCTCACTTTCGAGTCAAACGCATGAGGAATGAATGAATGATCTTGACTTTACTTCATATCGTTTCACTCAGAACCACCCCACAATTGACGGGGGATTATATTATAGACGCACACCTGCATAAATCATGGACGATCGCAGCGCAATCTGCCCAGATGATCTTTCCTGTTCCCTGCCTTGATTTTCCTCCATCGCATTTCCGCCCTCCTCTCGCCAGCTGCCTCTCGTGTGACCACACTGCTGTTACACCTAGCCCGGCTCACCGTACCCCACCCGTCTGTAATTGAAAGCCGCCAATCTTGGACATCCCGTCGCCGAGACCCGAAACTCGCGCGACGGGCTTTGGGGCTCCGTTGTCCTTCTCGACTTAGCTTCCCAGGATATCGAATTCAGGATGCCAGGGCCAGGGTGATTGACTCGTCGCTCTGGGCTTGTGTTTGCCCGTGGTATCTGTGCCGGCGAGACAGTTCGATCTTCGGGTTTCTCCGAGATTATTGTTGGGGTGCTGTTTGGTTTGAACTGATCGCTGCTCATCGGGAAGGGGACGGATGCCCACCTACACTATTGTCGGACTGAGTTGGGTGTTCTTTAGGTAGAGCAGCGGAGTATCGGGTCTTGAGACTTGAGGAGCGGGTCTCAATATGGCGGCAGTACGTCTACGCAGAGTCAAGACTGGATTAAATGACGGAGAAGGTTTGACCGGTCTTGAGCGTCGCTGCTGTGTCAAACATAGTCTGGGAGCTTTGAAAAAAAAGACTTGCTTCCTTCCAGCTAGAAAAGCGCATAGCTTTAATCCCTTCCGCATGCGATAGCCGATTGTGAATCCGGATAGGTATGCCTCCTCCTCGTCCATAGGTCGGGGATGGCGCGACGCCTGTTGTGTACGAATATCGGATAGGTTCGTGGTGATAGCTGCATCTACGTTGTCCTCAAGAGGCTGGCGTTCATGTTTCGATGCGGGTGCAATTTTCGTTCGCGCCCATTCTTGGTGGCAATTGCATAGCACGCCGGGATCATCTTGCGCTGCATAGCAGACTTCATCATGAATATGGTCGACAGATTGCCCACAGCGCCCAGCTACTATCCTGATGTTCATTGGGGTGGCTCACGGGTTCGTCATGCTGCGCCGTAAGCGTCGCAACACGACAGCGTAGAGAGTTCGTGTTCGCGCCATTGTTCACTTGAATAGCCTTCTCAAGCGCTCGCTCATAATACTGCAGACTGCGAGCTCGATCTTGTCTGACGTGGCAAATGTATCCTAGATCGGAGTATGTCTGCTGAAGGAACCGTGCTTTCTCGTCCTCGGTGTCGCACTCCGCGCAGGTCTTCAGTGTTTGGAGAAGAATAGGTTCCGCTTCGTCGATGTTCCCTTGCTGCAAGTGGTACCGTGCTACCATCTGCCGGGAAGTGATGTGAACGCCATGGGGCACGGTTGGATCCTCGGAGAGCCTGCGCGCGATGCGCAATGCGTCGTGCAGCTCCTTCCGCTGATAGTTGAGTGAGCAGATTTCGTCCTGAATCCACGCCCGTTCTTCCGGGTCGAGTCCGCTTGCTGGGCCGAACGTGTCTGAAGAAAGTCGAAGCAGAGAGGCTACCCGGCCTGCATCGGCTCCCACTTCCTCCTGCACCCACATCTCCAGTAATGGCTTGAGGGCGTGGCCTGGGTGAAGGGTGCGGGATGCCAAGGCTTGGAGGAAACCCACGATCTGGCGGCGCACGTCCGGGAAGCGACTCCAGAGAGGGTACGAGTATAGGCGCAGCAGCCGGAGGAACACCCAATACGGAGAGAGCTGGAGACAGCGCGTTGCAAGACTACACGCAAGGTTGATTTCTCTGAAGGCCTCCAACGTTCTGTTCGTCAGAAGCAGAGGGATGGCATTGTAGAAGCATTTGTTGAATAAGAGCGCGAAGGGTTCCCCTCCTGGGCTTTCGGGCGTGCTTTGATGGTGCGCGGAGTCTTGCCTGGACTTGCCGATTCCGAGAGGACACCATTTGGAGATATTCCAATCCAAGTATGACTTGGTCAGGAACAGGACTCTTTCGTCAACATTTATGGCTGGGCGCAGATTGTCGAGGTGCAGATCTAGCTGGATCTTCTCTCCTCTCGGTGGTATTCTGGGGGCTCGCCGCGATCGTTTGGCGCCTGGGGTTCTACTGAAGCGTTTGATTCTATCCCACTTAATATGCTTCCCGTGCAGCTGAGCCGAAGGGATGGCATGATGGATCGCAGGAGATTGAGTCGACGACTCTGCGACTGCTTTCTTTTCCGAGGACTTGTAGTTTTTGTATGCTTTCCACTGCGCTATGCGTCTCTTGTACGCCTTCTCTCTGCAGGAAGCGTGTCGGTGTCAGTCGTGATTGGCTGCGAGGCCGGTCACTTACGTCGCGTGAAAGTCGTACTGGACAGCTAGGAGGCGTTGAATGTCGGATAGCTTCTTCCCCTGATGTACATACAATTCGACGAATATGCCCTTGATTGAGTCCCATGCCTGAGTAGAAGGGCCTTCTGTCACAGTCACATGAGCCGGTGCCTCGTCCGAGGCTCCTTTCGCCATCGTTGCTGACACAGGAGGGAAGTCGTTTTCCAAGATTGACACACAGAGTCTCTGTATGATCAGGACTCGTACAGGTTGCCCAGAGCCGCATGCAGGAGTGGCGAATCTTTGTGCTTGCCAGGAGACGTCAGTATTCACACAAAGAGTGAAGAAGGAATGGTGTGAACCTCAGTCAGCGTAGCAGCCAAAAGAATGAAGTCGCTAATGCAGGCGCCTGCTTCCACTTGGAATGAGTCTAAACCTAATCAGGTAAGACAGAAGTCTCCTGCATACACGAGCTCAGCCTTGTTTCCCTGCAGGCGATCACTACACAGTAGAGGAAGGCTGTGGTCGTCACATCTGGTACCACAGGCAAGGGAATGTGGACGGTGCGGACAGTGAAAGACTTGGCTTCAGAAATACAAGCTATAGATTTGCATTTTGGGTTTCGACCAATCCGATACCTGGGACGAAGCACTCCTTCAGGCAGGTACTACCGTTGTGGGCGTTGCGCATAAATCACGCGGGGTCGAGAAATTCGGGCTCATGCGTGTTCCTCATCATTGAATTTCGCACTCGGCAAAGGTCAAATATGAGGCCGACCGTAAGAATCGATGTCCTGGCCCTTCGATGCAGGCTTGATCGATGGCGCGAATCGCTGTGGAAGTTGCCGACCTTCAACGTTGGCTATGATCCTGCTGAGCTCACTCGGGTTGCTGATCCCCTCCTTTCGCAATTGCTTGTCGAGCTCTTCGTAGAACCAGCCATCGCCCGACAATATGCCGACCGAGCAGGTCCACAAACGCAACTCTCGTGGATCGGCTGAGGCTGCAAAGAGTAGCTCTTTTAGCCGTGGGATTATCATCCTGCCCGCGTCGAAAACCGTGATGCCACAAACCGATATTCGTTCCATGTTGGCCTCTCGTCGTATTCGATAGAGAGCTGCAAGTGCGACGTATTTCTCAGTAATGTCTGAGGATAAATTGTAGTGATCCAGGAGCAGGCCCATGGCATGAAGGCACCTTATGGTCGCAGCTTGTCGATGTGACTGTAAGGCTTCTGGTCCTTGGATAATATCCAGAGCCGCGAGTGCTTGCCTCATCTCCGTGAGTATGGGGTACCGAGTACTCAAGCAGTCTGTCTCCCAGCTGGCCTCCGTTGGCAAGGCAAACTTCGCTTCAAGCATATCCCAACTCTTTTCATGCATGGCAAACATTGGAGGCTCCATGGTCAAAGCCGCTCGCTGGACATCCGAGTGCAGCACGTTTATGAGGTCCTCGATATGTAGTCCGTAGTTGGTATTGATGGTTTCTAGTAGGCGCACGTGGATCAGTGCAGAATCGATGTTCCGGCACCAGTTCTCGGTAAACATGAGGGCCATGACTGCCCGAGGAACCCGAGTAGGACCTGCCTGTGGTAGGCTCAGACGCAGCAGCTGCATTGCTTCTGCCTTCATCTGCAGCATAAGATTGAAAGCGTTGTCGTCGCCACAACAGCGCCATTTGACGGCTGCAATGCGTGCGAGGTAGCCATGAACTGCAAGCTCATCTTGTAAGTACGCAGAAGACGGAGGTAGCGGAATTTTTGAAACACTTAGGGCTGGCGAGAGGTGAGTCCGGTTGAAGTAAAGGAGATCACTGATCTCGGGCGTGACGGGTATAGGGAGTGTGTCAAAAGGATCTTCACTGCCACTGAGATGTTTGCCGACACAGGGAAGGTCATTGCAGGGCACCTGCAAAGTCCTCAAGACATCCAGAGCTGATGCTCGTAGTTTTAACGTTCGTTGTTGTCGCTTTAGCTTTCTGTGAGCCGCCACGTGCCTAAAGACCTGGCTTTTCGTCGATGAGTGGCCCTTAGCATCTGGCTGGCTGTCGTGATGGATCCATGAGTGAACTGGAGTCGTCAAAGCCATAGTTCCCTGCTGATGGCAAGAACGCCGCAGGGAAAGGCCCTCGTCGGATACCTATATGCCTGCCTTGTCAAAGATAGGGGCTCTTGGTTGCTTTAGGACTATCCGCAATTGCTGCTTTACGCGAAGTCAGAGCGACGGCGATATGTCTCTTAGTCACCGTCGTGGAGGCTTCCTACTGCAGAACCGTAGGCTGACAAAACCTGAAATGCTTCAAATCAAGCACGTTAGGGTTGATACTTCTGGGCTCGGATGATGCCTGGTGTCGCTTGGCGGAATGCGGCAGGAAGGTGATTGTGTTGATGATTCTAGCCAATGACACACGGTTCCGCCGGAGCTAAAACTTCAAAAGGTGGGCGATCACTGACGGTAAATCCAAAAACACGATCTTTGGTCCCTAGTGGCGAAAGTATGGATTTGTGCAAGTGCGGTATCTTGCTCAAAGGTAGAGCCCAGTTGATCCGCGTCAAGAGAATGTGGCACAGAGGCTCGGCCGAGTTTTCAGAGGCTCGGCCTTAGCACCTTGAGCATCGTCAATGCCACTTCGTATATTGAAGCCAATAGTGCGCTAGCGTGATCGGCTCCACGAATGGGACTTGCCCAAACTCTGATGCTAGACTTTTTGAAGCACAAGTTGTAGCTGTTCTGATTGGGTGAATTTCAAGGCTGCGAATACAGGAGTCTTTACGGTCGTAACCCCAAGAGTGCATGTGCAACTGTCGCCATGTTCTCTTCCGTCGGGGATATCGCCATCGAATTATCATCGTCTTGGGCATTGGGGGGTATATGCATCAAATACTGCAATATTGCCACTCGGAAGTGACCATCGGCCCTTAGCTGGCGGGCGACATGGTCACGGCCATGTCGCCGCCAAGACCTCGCGCGATAGCGTGTGTGATACGGACATTGAATGCACCGGCCACCGCAGTGGTGCTGAGTTGAATAGCACCTCGAGTTGCGAGCTCGCTGTAGGGATATCAGAAGAAAAGACAAAACCCGACCCCTGGACGAATGCCTCACGGACCTACTCTGGGCACAGTATCCTCGATCTGAACTGGGAGTCAGGGAGAATGCCTGGACGACAGAAGCCAGAATCAGGAGTTGGATCAGTTGTGCCTGGTTTTGAGGTATACCCACCTCGACAAACACTCGAACGACCATAAGGGAGCCGTAGCTGTTGATCGCGACGATGCATACCGGTACCAGTCTCCAGTGGAGCATCGTGGGCCCACACTAGACCAAGTATTAGATAGAACGAGGTTTGACGCCTTCAATGTACCTACCTGGCATGGAGATCCGATCATCCTAGGCAGGTGGAGTTTGACCAAACGCTACCTTTCAAAGAGACGGGAAATTGGGAATTTCGCTGCCAACGGCATCTGGCAGATTGGAAAGCCGATGTCCATGGGTCACAGCAGCATACTCCGCTGTTCTGGAGCACCTTCCTCGGGAAGCTACAGGGCTTCTCGAAAGTCGGCGTGCTCCAGCCTTGTCGAGAGTCGAAACGGTACAAGGTTTAGCACCGTCATACACCACGATGTATTGGGAGCTGCAGGCTGTCAGGTGGCATCATTATCGAGGTCGTAGGCGCTGAAGCCCAGCATCTGTAGAAATGATTGATCCCAGACGTCGTCCGGTATCGGATAATCCTGTCCCAGGAACTCCAAGTTGGGATTGCCTTGTGAGACGATCTCGGAAGTCGTAGACTGCTGGTGACCAGATCGCAAGTCTGGTGAGGCAGGATTGATCTTTTACAGCCAGACAGCCTTGAGATTCCGCTTTCTACGAAGATTCGCCGCCGCAATGAGAGCGCTCCAGGAAAGTGACGCGTCACCGCGGTCATCAATGTCCTCGCTGGTATCTGAGACTTGTTCTTCACCATGTCGCCAGAGGACCTCGATCACAGCAGCTGCTCGACCGGGCTCTGCAAACTGATGTGAGGTGTGCTCTTTGAGCTTAGCATGGACCATGAGCACTTTGCTCGTAGACTCGGCTTTGATATCACCTTCGCAGGCAAGATTGAGGACGAAGTATCTGAGAAGAAAGAACGTCGCATGCAGGACGCTGACTAAAGTTTGGTTAGGAAGAGCACGATGAACATCGATCAGACGCGTATCCGGAAATCGTATATTGTCGCAATAGGTGTCAATGACACGATGAGCGGCTAGCATGCCGAGCTTCTGGTATCTGCTGACGTGATCTCGGGTATCGGGTTGTCCTGTCTTTCCTAGTCCTGATTTCATTCTGAGTATGGCCAGCGTATATAGGTGGAGCTGTGTGGTTTGGAGATGGAGGGTAAGGTAGGCGTCCATGGAGCTGCGGTATCGATCAGCCACACTGTTCAACTCTTGTTCACACATCTGGACAAGCGTCTCGTATACACGATACTCAGCTTCCCCAACGAGGGAATCATGGTATTTGGCCATGCATCGTTGGACTTCAACCTCGAAGGCAAGCCTCTGCGGAATCTCGTGCTTCTCGAGATTCTCGTCCAATGCGCAGAGTTCGGTTGGGCTCCTCACCATGGGCGGTTTTCCGTGTGATATCGACAGACTGATAGCACGCACTTAGCGGCGGCCCTCCAGAGATGCCATTTGAGTACTCACACGGTTTGTGTATCAAAGCAGCTCAACCACGTTCTTAACATGGCTTGCTGGTCATCTGGCGGAAGAACAACGAATGACTGGGAGCGGCCACATACACATGATGAGAATAGCTTGGATTGTGTGAAGAGAATGAGGTGTTCGAAGGATGGTCCGCCTGAGCAAGTTCGAGTACGGCACTGTTAGTAGATTTGCCTTGCTGACATATTCTTTGTGATGATGATTCGCGACAAAGAGAATTTTCCAGAACAAGAAGTGACTCGTCTCTTGTAGCGCCCTAATAGGTATTCGCATATCGACAACCGGCCAGTGTGGATGAAGTGCGGTGAAGAACTTCCACTAGTTAGAGCCATGGCGGCATGCAAGGGTTGAAGACACAAACAGAGAGAAGAGGTCGCGGAGCTCGTGCGCCTGGAAGCGACAGTCTTCCAGACTCGCTTGTTGAAGTTGGGAATGGCCGTCGTCACCCCCAGTGTGCCAACACGGGCTGTCGAGGAACGCTTTGCCGTTGGGTACCTATGCTCTGATGGCGACCCTTGCGAGACCGCGCCTTCCACTACCGGTCCGGTCAATTGTCTTTCGTGGCTGCTAGCGCCATTCTTTGATGCGTGCAGTGATTGCTTCGGCTGTCGAAGTTCGTGCGTGATGGTACGAAGTCGTCTAACCCACTGTCAGCATGGCCACAGAGATTGGAAAATCACTCACAAACGGGCCGGCGTCCGCTTGAAGCTAGAATCGACCACACAAACAAAGTCGCGCCTCACACAACGAGCACATGGGTGGGGAAAGCTCTCGCTTGCGTCGCATAGCAGCTGGCAGAGTTAGACTTTCTGCCCGTAGCATAGGGATACGGATGTTCCAAATTTTGACTTGCTTGCACTCGGTGCATGTTTTGACAGGGCGCCTCCTCGCCATTTGGGCATGACTGGTGCATCCGTAAAGTCGTTACGAGTCCTCGTACGGAGTACAGAGTGTGGGAGTACGAGTTGGAGATTGAAACACGGGGATGGGAAGCGGTTCGTCAAGACGCACCGAAAAATCCCCTCAAGAGCCAAGCACCGAGGGTTGAAAACTTCCAAAACCACGAGTTTTACGCAAGTCAATGTCAAGAGCTCGTTTGAAAACACAACCAACAAGCAAAAATAGCACAGAAAGGCTGCAAGAACCGACGAATCTGAAGAATTAATTTCACATTGAAAGCTAATCTAGCCCCATGTCTTTCTCTGACCGTCCTTGCAGAGAAATCAACCTTGCCATCAACCCTGCGCAAGAGCGATGCAGAAAACTCTATGCCATGAAAGAGGTATCGTCATTTCCCATGTCCCATTGACAACCCAACGCCGATATGGTTTGACACCGAAAGCCGCTCATATGCTTTTGTTCGTGAAATCGTTTAGTCAACCTCCTCGACAGTTGGGCCATCGTCGCCACCGTGACCAGCACCGCCAGCACCAGGGAATCCACCAGGACCACCAGCGCCAGGGAAGCCACCGCCGGGCATTCCACCTGGCATGCCACCTTCACCACCAGAACCGTAGAACTTCATCATGATGGGGTTGGCAACACCTTCGAGCTCTTTCTGTTGTGCCTCGTACTCATCCTTGGTGGCGGTCTGGTTCTCATCGATCCAAGAGATGGTTTTGTCGATCTCGGCCTTGAGCTTCTCCTTGTCAGAGGCATCAAGCTTCTCGTCGACCTTGGAGTCGGAGAGAGTGTTCTTGAGTGAGTATGCGTATGACTCGAGACCGTTCTTCGCGGAGATACGAGCGGCTTCAGCCTCATCTTCAGCCTTGTACTTCTCGGCCTCGGACAACATGCGTTCGATCTCTTCCTTGGACAAACGACCCTTGTCATTGGTGATGACAATCTTGTTTGACTTGCCAGTACCCTTTTCGACGGCAGAGACGTTCATGATACCGTTGGCATCGAGATCGAATGTGACCTCGATCTGGGGAACACCGCGAGGGGCAGGTGGAATGCCGGAGAGCTCGAACTTGCCGAGCAGGTTGTTGTCCTTGGTACGAGCACGCTCACCTTCGTAGACTTGGATGAGCACACCGGGTTGGTTGTCAGAGAAGGTCGAGAAGGTCTCGGACTTCTTAGTGGGAATGGTGGTGTTGCGCTTGATGAGGGGTGTCATGACACCACCAGCAGTCTCGATACCGAGAGAAAGCGGCGCAACGTCGAGCAGAAGGATTTCGTTGGTCGACTTGGACGAGGTGTCACCAGACAGGATGGCAGCCTGAACAGCAGCACCGTAGGCGACAGCCTCATCGGGGTTGATTGACTTGTTGGGTTCCTTGCCATTGAAGAAATCGGAGACAAGCTTCTGGATGCGAGGAATGCGAGTGGAACCGCCGACCAAGACGATTTCGTGGACGGAAGACTTGTCGATCTTGGCATCACGGAGAACGCGCTCGACAGGCTCCATCGTGGATCGGAAGAGGTCCTGGCAGAGCTCCTCGAAACGGGCACGAGTGATCGAGGTGTAGAAGTCGATACCTTCGTATAGAGAGTCGATTTCAATGGAAGTCTGGGCGGAAGAGGAAAGAGTGCGCTTGGCACGCTCGCAGGCGGTGCGGAGACGTCGGAGTGCGCGGGCGTTGGAGCTCAAATCCTGTTAGTCAAATGTTAGTACAAAGTAGAAGCAGAGTAGGGACAAAAAAAAGCACTTGCCTTCTTATGTTTTCTTTTGAATTCGGAAACGAAGTGATTGACAAGTCGGTTGTCAAAGTCCTCACCACCCAGATGAGTGTCTCCAGCTGTGGACTTGACTTCGAAGATACCTTCTTCGATGGTCAGCAGCGACACATCGAAGGTACCACCACCGAGATCGAAGATGAGGACATTGCGCTCGCCCTCAGTCTTCTTGTCGAGACCGTAGGCAATGGCGGCAGCAGTTGGTTCGTTAATGATGCGGAGGACATTGAGACCTGCGATCAAACCTGCGTCTTTGGTGGCTTGGCGCTGAGAGTCGTTGAAGTAGGCAGGAACGGTGACGACAGCGTTGTTGACGGTGCCACCGAGGTATGACTCAGCAGTCTCTCTCATCTTCGTCAGGACCATCGACGAGATCTCTTCAGGTGTGAATTGTTTCTCCTCGCCTTTGAATTCGACTTGAATGACTGGCTTGCCTCCCTTGTCAATCACCTTGAAGGGGAAGTGCTTCATGTCGGCTTGAACTTCAGCATCAGCGAACTTTCGGCCGATCAGACGCTTCGCGTCGAAGACTGTGTTCTGAGGGTTCATCGCGACTTGGTTCTTGGCGGCATCACCAATGAGACGCTCAGTGTCGGTAAAGGCGACAAAGGAGGGGGTGGTTCGGTTGCCTTGATCGTTGGCAATGATCTCAATGCGGTCATCTCGGAAGATGCCTACGCATGAGTAGGTAGTACCTAGATCGATACCTATTGAAGGGTTGTTAGTCTGCTGCCACTGCTGCAGGTGAGGCTGCGAAGTTGACTTACCAATGGCAGGTGCCATGTTGTGTAGGAAAAGTGAGAAAATGTGAGGATGTTCGTATGGAAAGAGGCTATTGGTACAGGAAACTTTTGAGAACTTCGTTCAAGGGACGATTTATGTCTGATTTGATGATGAGGAAGGAAAGAAAACCAGTGTCTGGTCACAACATTTATGGGATTTTTGGTTGCCAAAATTTCTGCCAAGCGGATGGCGGGATGCTGTGGCCGAAGGCTTTAGAACCCCTTCGAACGTGGTGGAATCAGTGTGATTGTTCTGGCTTTGAAGCTCCGGCCCATGCTGGAACGTGCTAGGCCAGTCAAGCACCTGTCGGGAAGGCCTGGAATCATGCAATTAACCCTCCATGAACAGTCTTTCCACTTCGCCGCCATTGTCTTCACTATTGGTGACAGACTAAGAATTGCGATACAAGCTTGTGGTGAGGCTGCAGCGAAGCTTCCACAGCCGTCTCGCATACGCCTGGTTACGTCATAAGGCTTTCAAAAAATTTCGACGAGGCTGAAGTCATTGTTGGGGCAATCAATGCGGGGCATCCGCCGACAGCACATCTACAGCTGTAGCCCACGCCAGACAGCAGAATATCGTTACTGTATGATCTCAAGTGTAGTCTCCATCCTGCCATTACACCAGATGAGCACAGTCATGCTGCAGGTGCCCACCGATCGTCCGTTTTTTAAACACAGTACTAGTATCACCATCGTCTCAAGTGCCACACAGATGGTGTCATGCAGCTTGATCAACAGTCACAGTCCGCAGTCTTATCGATGAATGAGATCTTACACCACCGGTAGAAACCCCAGAGGCAGTTCGGAAAACACTGCTAGACGCAGAGCTTCTTGAAAGGCTTCTACCAAGGTTATCCTCATTATTTGTGCTTTCGCTTGTCTCGTTCGTCCCTCGGTGCTCCTGTCTGGTCGATTCTCTCCGCCGCTGCAACCATGGTCTGAAGTTAACTGGTAAGGGGAAAAAACATCAGCGACACCCTATCAGCAACACAAGGAGATGAATGGCACTTGCAGTATCCACCACAAGCGAAAACTCCCAACCACAAAATAAGTTCTGATCCGTATATAATCATTCCCAGGATGTCCAAACTCGGCTGGAAAAACACCGAGATGAGTGAGGTAAGGTCGCCCATTGCATCGATGCCAACGAAGAGGAACGAAATGCCCCTGACCGTTCTCTCCTTGTAGATGTCCCAATAATGCCTCAAAACACCTGCACACAGAAAACATGCAGACAACACGGCCATGAAGGTAATTGGCCACTCTATGTGGTCACTCCTTGCACGTCTCAGTGCAAATATTAGGCCACACTCGACACCTCCCATGAGGGCAGCCACCGGTGTGACAACAGCCAGGGACTTGGTGAGCGGCCACTTGTTCCCATAATATTTGCACTGCATCCAAGTGATCAAGCTCAGAAAGGTCAGTATCTGCGGTTGAACGCGCAAAGCAATGTTGAAGTTCTCGACAATGTTGTACACCCCTAATGGAACACCCGCGCATGCCCATAGAAGCATCATCGTCGGCTGCAGACCGGTGGTATCATGCCGTCGATAGTTGATGACAATCTGCGGAATGAGCTGCGGGGATCGGACGTGAGCTTGCTCTGCCACCTTGCGATGTCTCAGAGTAGCCTACCTGAACAGACCAGCAAATTGCCCCTGTTACACCGAGGACATTGGCGGCTATGGGTACGTCCATCCTGCTCCAGCGAGACTTTCCGCGTTGCTCCCAGATTACAGGCACTGCGATCGTAGAGTTTGCTTCGGGCCGCCGTTCGGCGTAGCAAAAACATTAACAGGGAATATTTGCAGTGTAGCACGGCCTCACACTGTAGGCTTCTTATCTGCTGCTACGAGGAGCCATTAAGTCACGGCCAGCTACTGTGTACGGAGTACCTCGCACGGCTCGCAACCCATCTCAAAAGAGGCTTAGCCTCAATTTCGAGGTTCTTGGCGCTTCAGTCGCGTCCGTGGCAACGCTAGTGGCTGCGCATTGCGGCTCTGAAAGATGTCAATTGACAGCTCAATTGTTCTTTGCTCTGTGTCAATCCCCTAACCACTCAGTTTCGCCAGTTTCCTCCTTTCCCACTGGCATTTTTTATACTTGCGACTCTTCTCATAAATCACTGCCACCTTGATCATGGCCGCGAACGGCGAAACAGTGCCCCAGGGCACCAGCGAGGTAGCCGATGTTGGTAAAGGGAAGGGCAAGGCGACCGAGCCAGCGGAAATCACCATGGAGGATGACGATGATGAAGAAGAGTCCGCAGAGGAAGAAGAGGTACAGTCCAATAGAAACTCTCGCCTGGCACGCCAATACTGACTCTGTACCTCTCTTGCAGCACGCCGAACCTGAAGAAGGTACATTTGTCCTCCCCTTGAGCCAAGCATCACTCCGCTGGTCGCTTTCATTGTCGCGCATATGAGGCTCACCGCCTGCTCTACGATATTTAGCTTAGGTTGTATTGAAATCACGGGCTAACTCGCATTTAGATGACGAAATGGATGAGATCGATCTAGACAACATTGTCGAAGGGCGCACCCGTCGCAAGCAGATCAACTGGGCCGAAGCCGCCGAGAAGTCAAAGGACGCAGGCGACGAGTTGGATGACGACGAAGATGACGAGGACGACGACTTTGAGGCACCTGACGATGAGGACGAGGAGATGAAAGGTTGAACAGACCAGCCAAGCGGGACATGCGCTCTCTGGCGGAAGATGCATAGACTAGAGGAACGAGTGCCGTGGGCGCCGGGGGTCTATGATACTGCGTCTTGATCGTTAGTATTCGGGTTCTGGATATCTCAATCCACCGCTCACGCATTTCGTCTCAGCACGACCACGGTCACGAAGGCTCCGCATTACCTTGACCAAGGCGCATCTTTATCACATCACTTCGGGGAGCATTGTGTACCAAGGGTCCATCAAGGAAAAAGGCGTCTCGGAGACATAGTGACATGCATGGGAACGCAGGTCTGGGGGAGCGACACAAAATATTGCTTGCCTGCACGGAATGAGATACGCTTGCTGATCCGCTACGTCGCAAAATCGGACGGAGCTGAAGCAATCCAAAGGACAGTTGACAAGTTGACAACTGCAATGACTTCTCTCTATGACTCCCGCTTCCACTTCACACGGATCCGTCGGGTTCGAGAACCAAACTAGTCTGGCGAAAGTCGTGACCCGACTTATAGCGAGGCGAATGAAGCTCAAAGTCTTGAATGCGAGTACAATGCCGGTTTGTGCGCCGCAGCGATGGGCCAATGTCCAGTACATGCCTGGTCGACAGCTTGGGAGACGCATCAAAGCCTGAGCGCTGCATTCGGGAGCTACTAAACATCCTTCGAGTTTCTTCTTTCATGGAGACGGGACTCGACCAGCTAGCTCAGCTCATGGAAAATTGAGCCAAGGGTCAGTCTAAAGTCATTCAGTTCATTCACACATCCACATGTGCCCACAGCCACGACTTCTGCTCATACAGCATGAAGCGTCGCCGACACCACGCAGCGGACTGGAGATCTCCAGGCTGATCCCGCGGCCCTTACGTTGCGCTCAATATTGCCAGTTTGACTAGGAAGTCCAACGTGCGCTCTTTTATGTTGAGGAGATTCCAATCACGTTCTTCTGCTTCCTCAGACCTCCCCACTTGCCAACCCCCTGCGGACCCCATTTCTGGTGCTCGGATTCTTTGCCACGCTTCTCCCAACACCCCTCGACACCTCTGCCTTTGATGTGGCACGTTCCTTCCGCCTCGCCGTGCAGGCTTCACACGACCAAAATTTCAATATATATGTCATCGTCTCGTCCTCGATCCTAGCCGAGGCGGCGACTCTCTCCTTCGCTTTTCGCAATGTGGGCAAAGCGAGGACGCATTCTCGGTGATACCTTTGAGAGGGTGTCGTGCACCTGGGGTCTTGGCAGAAAATGACGACCTTGCGCTTGGGTCTGGGTTTGACGACTGTGCTGCAAATAGGACATACCAACTTTGGCGAGGGGTTTTGCGCTTGCTCCTGCGCTTGTCCGGCCAGTTGCTGAACCGTCGTTGCAGGAGGTGGCATCGCAGTCCCGTACCGTGGAGTCGTCCCTGCGGCGGTAGGTTCCCCCGTCGTCGTAGGAAAAGGATCTAGTGGATCGTCCGCAAAGATCAGCTCATTCACATCCACGACTACATTATTGTCAATCACGTCGCGCTCCTTCAGTCTCTCTAGGAAGTCGAAGAAGCAGGGCAAGAGTTCATCGCCGCCGGAATTCCTCAACCACTGCTTATGTTTCCTGGCAAACCTGATGAGCGAGTTGGAAAGATAGGCCGGATGCTCGAGTTGCTCTTCCATGCGATGGCGGTCCCACCGCTTGGCCAGTTCACGTTCATAGAGGGACCAGTTCCCCTTTTCCGCGATCAGGTCGAGACGTTCCATCTGCATGGCGATCTGCCACTCGTTGTCGATCTCGTCGTCCGATTCAGAGCGCGGGTCTTCGTCAGGTGAGACAGGTCGGTTAGAAACTGACGTGTACATATACTCGGGCTGGTCATCGGCACCTCGTGTCTCGAGGGTAATGGGCTTGATCTTCTTGCGGTCGGGACGGCGGAAATTAGGAACACTGTCCGCAAGCGGATACCCTGTGGTCGGTCTGCTGGAAGGTTGGAGCTTCATTGGAGCGGCTCCGCCTAACCAGCTGAGGTCTCCGGACATGAAGGCTCGGAGGTCGAATGGTGAGGTTGGCGCTACCCACGACAGCTCTCCATTATCTGGTCCTTTCTTTACAGTAGGCCGTCTGGGTAGATCCACTCTGATGTGAACTTGAGACACCTCGTTCGTGGCTGGATCTGTACGAGGCTTCACTGCAAAGGTGTACTGCGCGTGCATGGTCGTGAGGTGAAATTGTAGTTCTTCCAAATTGCGACACAGTGTCGTCGTGCATACTGGACATCGGTAGCCCCTGATCGTGGCATTCCGGAATTCCTGCGCCACGTCTTCCCTCTGCGCAAGCCTACTGGAGAAGCTGTAGCATACTTCTGGCTGTGTCTGTGGAACTGGCTTGAGAAGTGACTTCTCCTGCATGAATGCCATCAGGGGTTCCAGGTGTTCATTTTTGGCCTTCCCAGGAGAATGAATGCCATTAGGCTGATCTCTGAGGAAAGAACCAAGATCCAGTCCTCTGCTCTGCTTTTCAACGCGTCCGGCATCAGCTTTTTGCCACGCTGATATCACTTGTAGACCATATTTCGTCCTATACGTCCTCCCCTCGTGTAAGAAGAACACGCTGAGCGGGACATTGATATCTGGAGGAGTTGGAAGGTGTGTATATCGAGCCACAATGGCACCTTGCAGCTCCTCAGATCCGTCCTTCTTGATATCGTGACCAAAGTGATCTCCGTCACTTTTACCCAGAATGGGCATCGGTGGCCAGCGACTGCCAGCTTTGCAAGGAATGATCTTGAACTCCAGAAAATATTTGTCTATAATCTCCAGGGCCGAGACGTCTTTCGTGGTGACAGGGACACGGATCTCTGCTGCCTGAATAATAAAAGGCTTGTCGAGCTCGATATCCACGAAGTGGCCATGGACACCATTATCTGCTCCGGTCACGTAGCAGTAGTTTGACTTTGAGGTAAGTGGTACTGCGGCAAACCCATCTCGGTTGTCCCAGATTGTCAAATGACATAAACACCGCACCGACTCGCGTTTTTGCCGCTTAGCAGGTCTCTCACCGTCGGCGAGAGAATTTGCCTTGAAGTTGAGCTTCTTGCGGATATTACTCAAATCAAGTATGAGCTCAGCGCCAGCTTGCTGGTAGACTCTGTCTATAATTTCTTGGAATCTGGAACTCCGTCGTCTGCTGCTCTCTTGCATCTTATCCCTCGACTGGGGCGCTTGTTGAACCGTCGTCATCGCGGTGCCCATGGTTGAAGCCTGAGCCGGGGCGGTAATAAGATGCGCCGAAGAGAGCGCTCCGTTTGTTGCAGCACGATTCACCACCTGATCTGACCCAACAACTCTTGAGTTACTCCTTCCCAACGCGTCGCCGGTGTTGTGAAGATTTGCAGCAGGTAAGGGCCGCGCAGCTCTAGAAGGGTCGACTCTGAGCCGTCTCTCGTGATGTGCTAGGACGCGCGAAATATTCCTTTGTAAGAAGAGATGCTGCCGGCTCTTTTGCCGCTCTAGCGCCCAGGTGAAGTTCCCGACCAGATTTAGAGTAAATAATTTGTGCCTCTGTGATGTGCTGGGATGATTGGCAAACCCGTTCTCCATGCTGCGCGGCTTAGGCCAACACGCTGTATGTCTCCCCCAAGCCCATGGTCAGTGGCACAACAGGTTGCGGAGCCTTCTTAGCTTTACGTGACGGTCAAGTGAAATGACAATGATCGAGCCGGAATTCACTCGTGCAGCATCCCTGCGGTCAGGACCGTATTCGGAGTGAGGGCACAAGAATGACGGGAACCCGTAAGAACATCTCCCAAAGTTCCCTTGTTTCAACGCGCATTCCCCATGCTGACCGAACTTTATTGGGAGGTGCGCGCGGGCGCCATTGGTGTGGTAGAAAAGTGAGACGCCCAGCACCGTGACGCGTTATTCTAAAGACACGGTTCAAGCATCAACTGCCTAATGACTATGAGCTGAGCGGCGACCGAGCGCTAATCGAAGGAGATAAACAAGGTGTCTGACTGGGCATTTTGCGGCTGGTGAAGTCTTCTGCTCCGACTTGCGTCTTGTCTACTGGAAGGTGATTGGCAATACCGACGTCTGAGTCACTGCTCGAGTACAGTCCTTTTCCTCCAGTACTCTTCCGCTGGTTGGATTCTTCACATCCTCACATGTACGTCCACACCCGCATTTCTCGTATTTCCTAGCATAGTAAGCATTGACCTTGAGCTGTCACAAGCTATTAACCAAGCGAAACCCTGAGTCATGGGTCCTATATTGAATGAAGTGTCGAACTTGATTTCAGCCGACAGTGGAAATAGGAGGTGGTTAACTTTGGATTTACTGGTTATCTTAGCCAATTGGTGGAAAACTGAATCAAGGTGGTTGCCAAAGAAGTGAAGGCAAACTGAGGCGGAGGTAAGGCTATGTCAGCAGCTCAACTCAGGACAGCGAGGACGTCGTCAGCGCCGGCACATCTCACAGGGACATCTGGTAAACCTCAAACTCGCATTATATTGGCTGGCGATGGTAGACGATTGAGCTACAACCATGCCCTTCTCGGGGTCTCATGATCCCCTCCAGTCCAGCGCCTACAACCAGAGGAACAGATGTGAAAGTCCGATTCGACTAGGTGGTTACCAGATCGCTGCCTAACAAGTACTGCTTAGGTCGTGAGGGCGGCAACTGGGTACGCCGTCGGCTGTAGACCAGCGTGATCTTCTCAAGAGTTTTGCAAACTCCCGCTCGCGACGAAGTTGAGAATATCATTCTGCTGTTGCAATTCGAGACACAAGCACGGGACAATGTTGTGGTGACGGAACCGACGACACACAGGTGCCAGGCGAAGCGGGAAACAGGTCAGCTCTGCCAGAGCTGCGAGTTGGGAGCCCCTGCCTTTCTTCGGAACCTCTTGAAGAGCCACAGCAAAACCGCTCCCTCCAGACTGGTCACTGGTCAGCGGGCATGTCTGTTATGCGCTAGGCAGCCGCGGAGAGGCGCTACATATCGCAACACCGAGGAAAGCAATGACTTTGGCTCGCTTATGGCGAGGAGCATCACCATAGGGTAGGTCGGTTCTTGACCAATCCGTTAATCCTGGAGTGATGCCATACGCAGGGGTCGCTTCCTGAGCCTTGAGCCGCCTAGGGACTGTTGCACTTAGAACCTTGGTCCTCAAGACTTTCCGCTTCAGTCCATCAACACTCATAGATACATCTTTGGTAGCTGCAGAGATACACGGACGTGCCACGGGGTTGTACGTAGAGGATCCGGAGTTCGATTCTCCGCTTAGTGATGGTCATCCGGTACCATTGTGGTGGACCCGAGGTAATGCCTCGTCGATGTATCTGGGGAGGCTCGATTTGCATAGTGATATTCTGCGAAATCAGATTTTCCCCTTCATTCGTCAGCTCTCAGGCAGCCCCCATGGGGCGCCGGAACTGCGCTTCCGAATTCTGCCATGACAACCCCCAAGCTCTGTGAAACATAGCAACCTTGTCGAACGATAGGCTTACAGCAATGTGTATGGCCAGAGTCGCGAATGCAAAGCTGGCAGACTTCAACCAAACGTCGTCGCCGTTTTGCTCGGTATAATTTTGGCCTCTGACCGCACCCCGGCCTGGGGCGAAGACAACGCCCCAACTAAGTTCATTCTCTTCGAAGTCCAGCAGTCATGTAGCGCGGGCGTTCCACGATTCACTAATACTCGAATGGGCGCACTGATGACCGGCCTCAAACCTAACGGTCCATAGTTTTGGGTGTTGCCTTCACCAGTGCACGAATGCTCCAATGGCGCGAATCCGAACATTGACGCTCTGTTCACCTCGATTGTTCAGTGATCAACATGCGGCACCGCAGAGTGATGGCAGTGTGATAAAAGTTGTTCAAGCTCACAACTTGAATTAACGGCATCCGACATGGTTGTTAGACATTGAAGATAAGGTGAGAAGAATGACACATGGGAGTCAAGGGAAGGTAAGCTTGGCAGTCGAGATCGGGTTTTCCGAGTCAAAGGTTCCGGAAGAAAAGAATACGGCTTACACGTAAGGGCTGAGCTCTCCCCTCATACCAACTCGGTGCAGGAGCGCATTGCGGCGGTGTTGAAAGTGATGCGTTGGCTTGAGGCAGAAGAACTAATGGGCGTGGGCTTGGAGAAGTTGAGTGGGTGGTTGCCCTGCAGTTGGGAGGGGCGGCTAGCGCCCCGCTTTGCTCTCTTACACAAAAGCAAGCTCTAGCTACAGGCGCATGGTTATCGCCCGCGTGAGGCTTGGGCAGCGGTTCAGTCTGCTCATGCTCAAGCATGCACTCTGCCACCCTAGACAGGGCGAATCCGGCGAATCAAGGGTTGGAACACCCGGACCGGGCGTGTAGGCTTCATGCGGCTCTACAGGTCATGGCGTTAGGGTATTAAACAGTTCATGCGACCCGGAAGTTCTCCTCCAAGTGGTACAGAGTTCCCGCACAAGCACAGCCCTTGATCCGCTTTCCTCGTAGTGGCAAACACGACATGCACGTCGTGCTCCAGAGATGGAAGAGTCGAACAGCAAAAGCAGTCGCAGTAGCGTTTCCACAATCCCAGCGTCCACCTTCCATCCGACACCGCTCTCAAGGACCAAATCATGGAGAGCGGCAGTGCTTTCAAAGATAGGGACCTCCACGGGGTTCGGGAAGGGATCTATGGAGACTGAACTTGAAGGTATGTGCAGACCGATCATTCCGGATGAAGGAAGAATCTGACCCTCGTGCAGCTGCAATGCTACAGAGAGCGACGACTAGACTCGAGAGTGTCACACAGGCACTCTGTCTAGCCGTGACGGGGAGGGACGAGCTCGATCCACTGCGACAAAAATCGTGGGTATGGTATCTCAACCACCTGCAATGGAAACTCACTCCTCTCTGGGATGGTCTGATACTTCCAACTCTTGCAGGCGTAGAACCAGGTCAAAGACATGACGAAATTTCCGCAATGACCGAAGCGCGACGCCTATTTGGAGAGATTGCTGGGAGCTTGTTTGGTTATGGGGAGATAACACTTGCTGATGTGGCGGATCGTCTGAAGAGTGCCACCAAACAGGATTCAAACAAGGATGCGGGTACCGTGTCTCTGTTGCGTGACACTCATGGAGACTTACCTACTCACCTTGCTTTCCAGGTGACTGGATGGCTGACTGGTCTCTGGGACCCCTTACCGGACGTGTCCACCCCGTCCTTCCGGCTAACAGGACGCCTTCCACCCCGACGGCGAGCTGGCGTCCGGCCCGACCCGATAATTCGCAACACCAAACTTCCGATCGAAAATTGGCAAAACCAGCCTCTTCATCGGGTTGCAGGCAGGTTTGGAAAATTATTCCCAAGTCCAGGTCTCTCCATCCAGGACGACACGCTTGGAAGCCGAGATGTTGAATCCGCCTGCGTCACAGCAGCGTATATCTCATGGCACAGTCTAAAGGATATAGTTGGTTTGACCCTCCAATGGACGGCAACCTTGGGTCAACATCTGGAGTACAACCAGCAGGAGAAAAAGCTTTATGTCTTCAAGCATCCATCAGTCTGCTTGTTGCTTTGCCGTGATGAACCGCAAACACTCCTCTCCGATGTCTTCATACAGCAACAGCGCGAGCATGCATCAAGCCAACCACTTGGTGTACTCCAAGGACTGGAGTTTGAAGGGTATCTCGCGGAAGTTCTGCTTTCGTACCAATTGATCTTTGCACGCAACTCTGCGTCAAGAAAAAGCATCAGGCGAAGACTTGCTGAGCTTGGAGAAGAGTGTGACCCTCTTTTGAAGACATTATGCACTGCGAACAAGGACAACCACGACGTGGCGCTGCTATTTGCACAGCTCCAAGCAGAGCCGGCCGAAAATTACGTGCCAATCGTCGACTTCCCCTTCCTGGCAAGGAAGCTCATTCAGCTACATAAGCTGAGTATGGGTCGTGAACCTCATTCTTTCCGAAGACTGTGGAGGGATCGTCGCAATCTACTGGCTTGGTTTGCACTCTGGGCTGTACTAATCATCACTGCGCTGACCCTAGTGCTTCAGATGTTGCAACTTGTCTTTCAGGTCCTTCAAATCTGGTCACCAGCGTGAAGAAGGGCATGCAGGCACTGCGATGAGGGTCTGGTTGCCATCTCGAGCATAAGTTGGATGCAATTTTATCGAGGGCATGACAAATGATACCCGGACTATTGTTTCTGCTGGGTTCTTCGGGTGCAGGAATCGAAGAGGTTAATTCTGTGACAGAGTCAGACTTCTATACGGTCAGCTGTCGGAAATGGTCTTGAGTCCAGTTTCGGATCTTGTAGGTTACATGTAAAAACAGGATATGACTCCATGCTTAATTAGATATCTTCACCCGCAGAAGTTGTGGAAACATGCGTGATGGGCAACACGGGGAGGACAAGGAGCAGAGCGGAAACACGTTGTTCCTTCTTCCGGCCTCGGGGGCCGTGGGGCCGTGGCTATGAGGCCTGGAGCGGCAATGATCCGGCCAAAGAGCTCTCTCTTCACCATCAACTTCAAGTTTAAGTATTTACATCTCACCCACTCTTGGTGAATCTTCTGCTCCTGCACTGCCTCTTTGCGCGCGCCCTGCCACAGTGAATATGTCACCAGCACTATATGCATCGAAGCACACGCTTTTATCACGTCACTGCTAACCCTTATGAAATCCTGGTCGCTCAGACGACCTTCATCTCATCAGAGACCTCGTTTAACATCCAGGCTGAACCTGTCCAAGGTCTTGCTCTCAAAATTCTGAGCAGCCCTTTCTCCAAGGCTTCATTCCATAGTATCAGTTCTTTGGGGTTCAGTCTGACCTTGGCTTGAGCCATGCCGGATGTACGTTCAACCCTCGAATTTCTGGCCAGACTGCCACTTTACGAGACCGAGAAACCATACCTCTATCTACCCGGCAAAGACGAAGGTCTCGACCCGAATGTCACGAAGCTAGATAATCTAGAGTACGAACACCACTCTGGGATCCTGATAAAGGACGTTCGTCAGCATCCTGAACTCAGCTTTGATGATTGTGGCTTCGAGTTCCAGGAATTCCCGTCCCGATACAAGCAATTCGAAACGGCTGCAGACACTGATGGATACCGGGCGGAAACCGAGCAAATACTGACAAAGAGGTTCAACGCGGAAAGGGTGATGGTTTACGACATTCGCTTGAGAAAGAACGATACTTTTGGTCGCTCTGAATTTGATGTCTATGATCCCTTGCTCATCGAAGGCCCGGCGAAAGGCGCTCACAACGGTAGGGCAAACGATTCACCGTTCATGAGATTTGAAACTGAGGGGCTACTTGCTGCTTGCAGACGTGACATTCCATTCAGCCCCCAATATTCTGAAGCGTCACCTATCAAAAGCAGATTGCAGCACGTATCTCCAACCAGGATACCGCATTCGAATCCTGAAGTGAGTTTCTATACCCGACTGTGGGACAACTTGTCCCATACTGATGTTCGAAAGTACCTGGCGTCCTCTGAATAAAGTCTTGGAGGATAGGCCTCTTGCGTTCTGTGATTCACGAACAGTAGACGCGGACGATCTCATGCCGACCGACAGAATCCTGCCAGATCGAGTGGGAGAAGTCTATTACCTCCAGTACAATCCGAATCAACAATGGTGAGCTATACCTTGTCACAAGGATGCCAGCTAAGCCCTCACAGGTACTGGATTGATAAGCAGCGCAATGAGGAGATGGCCATCTTCCTGGCGTTCGATACCGACCGAAAAGAAGGCGGCGCGCGATGTGAGTCACGTCTATCTCCAATATTGACCTCTACAGTGGCTAATAGAAGGCGTAGTCTGTCCCCATGTGTCCTTTAGCAATCCAAATGCTCCTGAGGGTGTAGCCAAGCGCGAGTCGGTGGAATGCCGTGCAATCGTCATCACGAAGGTGTCATGATGGTACTGTAATGCCGAGATGTGGCGCAAGTGTTTTATAACAAGATGAAGTCTCTCATGATACGCAGACAAGCTGCAGTAAGTCACTAGCCTTGCGTCGAGGCGCAAGTCACGGTGCAGACTGGACTGATCAGGCATTGCTACCGGAGGGCGGGCTCGATTCCTAATTTCGCAAGCGCAAGAATGGGCGAGTTGCTTCAGCACGTCAAGCCTCAGAGGCCCAGCCCGCTGAGGGGCAAATATCCTGGTGTCCTGGGGAAGAGTTAGGCTCTGCGCTTCAGTGCATCGGTCAGCGATACCATGGTAGGCTAGGACCTTGGTGCCGCTTGAGGCGGGGCTGCGCCGTCTCACAGGACGTCCTGCTTCTTCCTCTGATGCGCAAGCGAGGGATTAGTACTGCGATGAGGGCATAAGAGTCCCTTACCCAGTAGGCAGAAATACCGATCATACCCCAGCTCCGACGAGGTTGGTCTAGAAAGCACGAGGAACGAGCAGCATGCAGCTAAGTGGGGAGGTGGTTCGAACCGCAAGGATGTTCTGGAAAGAACGATCTTTGCTGCATGATGTGCTGGACTCAGCCTCGACCTTATCAACAGAAAACTTGAACCCGCTTCAAAAGCAACTCTTCCGACCTGTTATCGCAGCTGGCTGAGTTTAGCTACTTGACAAACCGCCCAGTACCGCCTATGCAAGCTAAATGGTACCTTGAGAGCGGACATCCCCTCCTTCACCGCTTTGTGGGCCGTCTGTGTACCTCGCGTGTAGAGTTGTAACTGGAGTTTAAGTGGCAGTGAATGATGGCTGGAGGAGTGACAGAGGCGGTTCTGAGCTAGCGTGCCTGCCTGCCGTAAGCAGTAGGTACATAGTGAGTGGTCCGTCATTTGCCCCTCACTCATGCCTAGTGATAACGGAATGAAAGTGAAGTGAAAGTTGAAGTGACCTCTGTTTGGCGGTGACAACTTGAGCTGCGCCTCATAAATATCTCCCTGCACTTTTCCTTCCGCTCTTTCGCGACCGCTATCGTTCTCGAATCATAATCCTCCGAACCCAAAGGTGAGCTGGCATTACTCTCGGATCCAAGACGGATCCCGTACGAGCATCCGGACTGGACTGACAGATTGGGCGGCGGTGCTAGGTCCTAGCGTTCCCAGCACACCAAAGCACAGCCCTTTCGATCTCCAAGTGTCCCACGCCCAACCACAACATACATATCACTTCGCGTCGGACCTCATCTGCAACGCCAGTCCAGCATACATTCCAGGCAAAGGTCGGTCGGCCCCTTCTGAAGATCCTGTTCTGGCCGCGTCAGGCTAACACAGGGCGTTCTGTCATCCAGATGGCTCCCCGAAACGAATGCGACACCATGCGTGAGATCTGCACCGATGCCGATTTCTTCAAGACCCTCGACCCACGTGGCTATCCTGCTGTGCAAGAAAAGGCGCGTCCATGGCAGAAACTCGTCTCCTCCCAGAAGAAGCGCGAATACGGTGCAGTTGAGAAATTGGTGGTCGTCTGTTCGCAGACTCATGACCATGGTCTGTGACACCCCTGGGTACCTGTGTGCCACGCCAGCATCGCTGACTCCAAGTTTAGGAACTGCCAACCTTGGTGGCTACTAGAGTCTCCTGAGCGCAAGCTTCAATCGACGCCCCAGTCATTCATCAGCAATGTTCACGGCCTGGCATAATCATACGTTACTGCAACCTTGACTGCGAAGCGTGTCACAGATGGAGATTGATTGCAGCTCCTCCCTGAGCTTCATGTCGGTCGCAGCTCCCCTTCGTGCAATGGTTTCTCGGACGATGCAGCGGCCGATATCCTTCTGTACAAAGTACGACTACTTTCCTACTATGATTTCTACGAGCGCATGGCGTTGTCGGCATGGGCGGCCTGGCTGCTACAAAGAGCTACACACATAGACCATGAAAGCGCGTTGAGGTTTGATAAACAGCTGAGTTGTTGCTCATTGGCATCACTCACCTCGATTCAAGTTAACCGTCCGATTTGCGGTTTCAAGCTCCCTTAGAGTGGAGTGAGTGGTGTGGAAATCGTAGCATGCGTCCGACGCTACCCCGGATTTCCTTGCAGGAGTAAATCAGTCTCCACGCGGTACTGGTAGACTTGTGGGAGCAAGCATTTCCCAACCCGCTTTCTTACGACAGCTTCCCAACATCGCTTGATTATTTGTTTTGCACCTTCCCCAGATCGCTGCCACGATCCCCGGCTATCTTGTGTGCGCTTAGCAGGAGTTGCGCAGTTTGGTTGGTCGCCGCCTGCAGGGCATTGCATTAGTTCGTGAAGCTTCCAACGCCCGACGACGCTGGCACATACTGCAATACCAAGCACATCCTTTTCGCCATTGGGAGATACCATCACACAGATGCATACTGTATGCGACAGAGCATCTTGCCTGCCGCCTCTCCAGGTCTGCTCGCCTCAAAGAGCCGTGGGGGTGACGGGGTGACGGTGGCCTCCGCGAGTCTCTCACAACCCACAGCTGCAGCACAGGCAACCACTGAGATGCAATACCCCCCTCACACAATTCAGTACCGTGCATATGGCCCTTTACCATGTCTTGATAAACTGTCCCCTTCCCTTGTTTAGGTCTTCCTCCGTTCTACCTCTCCGCTCGCCGCGTCTTTCTCTATCTACAGCTTGTCTCCGCGAAGTTTGTGTTGCTCTTCGTCCAATTCAGCTTCTAAACGGGCTTTTGCGTTTCTCAGCCTTACCTACCCTACTCTACTTTCATGTCGGGCGGCCAGCCTCTTCCGGTGCAGAGATTCTCTCGGGAGGATGAATGGCAGTTAGGTAAGCGCCTTATGGTTTTATTTCCATCACTCCAGACTGACAGCGACGGCAGATTTCGGGTATGACAACCCTCTGAGACTTGTCCCTGGGTGACAGCCTCGCTAATATCTGTAGCGACTCACGACGGTTCCTGATCGAGCAGTTTAAGTACGCCAACTCCTTATGGCCCCTAAGCAGAGCCGACACAGAGCAATCAAATGGCTTTACCGACCACGAATCGTTCGGGGGATATGTGTATAAAGAAAAGACCGCGGCGCAGAAGGCAAACCAAGCTATGAAATCCACAGTTCTACTTGGCTTAACACAATTCGACAAGTGTAGGTACAAGATCTCTGTTGCTTTCTCTTGATGGCCACTGTGTCTCTCTCAAAGTACTGACCCAGCGATTCCAGGGCTCTGGAGATTCGACGAGCTTATAAAGCACCTTGTGATCGAGTTGACAAGCGATTCCGATCCAGAAATTGTCGAGGTCGAGACCATCGACACATCCGCCCTTTGGCGTCTTGCCTATCTCAATGTTAAAGTATGAGATGTTTGTGGATCCGCTGAGGTGCTCGAGGTTCTGATCTATCATAGCTCTCGGTCGACTCGGACGTGAAGCTCAAAGCCACACAACGCTGGATGAAAGAGCTGCAGAGAAATCTGGAGCTCCTGGTCAATTCTATCCGTGGACAGCTGGAGAACAAGACAAACGAAATCAACAATATCCGTACAGAACTGGCAGATACCTTTGAGCCGTTGATTGGCCTTCTCAAGATCGCTATTGACTATATGCAAAGGAACTATGACGGTATGGCAAAGCTCACTGCCGCACGAAGGGTTCGCCTTCTGATATTGTGTGACAGATAAAGATTTCCAGGCCAATTGGATGAGCGACATGGAGCCGAGACGGGTGGAGACGTATGAGTCTCTTGCCAAAACGATCAGGCATCTTCGAGACGTGACGACCAATAACAGGATCAACCACTCACAAGATACTCGCATTGGTGCCGATGGGCTGCGCCTGCGTCAAGAGCAGATGGATGCTGGGGAGAAGGCAATTTTTCCTCTGACCATTCTTCCTAACCTACGAGCGGACCATTTCATAGGTCGAGAAAGAGACCTCGAGAACATCCATGAGTGGCTCGGTTTGCAGGAGACCCCCGCTATTCGCACATATACAATTTATGGCAGGCGCGGTATAGGAAAAACGCAGGTAAGCCTGCAATACTCCATCTGTGATGGCAGCTGAACTCACCTTTCCTGGTAGATTGCATTAGAATATGCACGGAAACACTGGAAACACTATCACGCCGTCTTTTGGATTCAAGCCGAGACCAAGGGTGCTCTTCGTCAGAGCTTTACCGACATTGCTCTAGCGCTGGAGCTGCCAGGCGCGGACAAAAATTCGACCTTCGATGAGAATCTGATGCGTGTGCTACGATGGTTGCGTGAGTATTCTCGGTCTGCACAACTTCGGGGCATCATGGAGCGCTTACATCTCCCGCCCTGTGGTGATGACGCTGGCTGACAGGAGGTGCAGGTCACACGCAAAAACGCTGGCTCTTGATCTATGACAATGCCGAACGCGCACAGCTACTCAAGGGATACTGGCCCAATGGGGGCCATGGTGCTATGCTCCTTACATCCCGATCATACTTCAATTTCTTTGGGGACGATCAACGTCATGGCGAAACTGTCCAGCTCTTCAACGACATCGAAAGAAGGAATCTCTTCCTCACGTGCCTGGGCGAACCCTGGCAGTTAACCCACCTCAACAGCGACGACATGATGGTGGAGATTGAAGAGGCCGCCATCACTGCGCTACTGAAGAAAACGGGCGGTCTTCCTATCGCTATCCGTCACGCGGCCACGCTGATTCTCGATGCGGAGATCAATCCCACCAGAACAGCACGAGCGTTTATGGAAATGTTCAGCGAGAGCTACCTGCGTCTTCCGCGACGACAACTCTCCGAGCGCGACCCGCTCGTCCTTGCCTTGGACTGTATTTGGAACATCTCATTCAAGAACCTTACCGAGCCTGCCAAAAACATCCTGTCCGGCTTGTCGCTTTTGGCACCTGATAGAATCTTGATCGACCTGTTTCTGCCAAGCGACCAGAACATGCTCACCAGCAGACTCGAGTTTTGTCGGACGGCCTCTCACAATACCAACGTGGTCAAGTCAGGTGGCGGCACCTCTCTTCAGACCGTCATCAATCCGTCATCCAGGCTCATCGAGGCCATCAACGAGTTGTTCGTCAAGGATCTGATCAAGAAAACTGGCCGTGACATGGCTATCCATCGTACTGTACAGGAAGCTGTCAGCTACCGAGGCAAGGATGAGTTGATCGACTTCTTTGACGCGATGGTCCTATTGCTGTTCGATGCTTTCCCGAAGCAGTCCCAAGGCCGACCGTTGACTGAGTACTGGGAGAACTGTCAGCTGTGGATTCAGCATGTTGTCACTCTTGCACAGAAATATAAGCAATACACCAGCAACCGACCGGAAGACGATATTCCTCTGAAGGGCATGGCATCCGCTGACATCCTTGTCAAACTCCTCGCCAACGCCGCATGGTATGTATTGGGGTGATCTCAAGGTAGGCCATTGCTAACCCATAGCGTCCAATAGGTACCTCTTTGAAATTGCCGACTACGAAGAAGCACTGAACCTTGTAGAGATTGCCCGAGCCGCTGCCCAAGACAAAGAAAGCCTAGATTATGCCCACCTGCTCAACACCGCCGGCGTGACCTACTACGAACTCAACAAGCTTCGGAGTGCCCGAGGAGTTCTGGAACAATGCTACATTATCCGGTCCCGACTGTTACCAGAAGACCACGCCGAAATCGCGACCATCCTCTCCAACCTCGGCAACCTAGAAACGGCGGAGGGCAATTTCGAAGCCGCCTCCGTGTGGCTGGAGAGGGCGGTCTCGATACGGGAATCCATCGGCGACGAGGCTGCGTCGCTGCTCGCACTCAACTATCTGCAGATTGGCCGTGTCCATTTCCTGCAAGATCACTTCGCCGAGGCATACAGCATGTACCAGAAGTGCGAAGGCGTGCTGAACAAAGAGAAGGGCCGCAACAGGCTTTTCACCGCCAACCTGCATTACGCATATGGCAACTTGGAGTTTGAGCAAGGCCAGTACATGCAAGCAGCACGGTCGTACGATCTGACCAGACAGATATCGAAGGACTTTAACCCGATGCACCCTCTGACAGCGGCGGCCTGCTACAAGTTGGCATGCACGGAATTCGAACAAGACAACCACAAGAAGGCACTCAATTACCTGTCCAAAGCGTTGGACATTGCCGAATTGAGAGGCACCAGTGAATTCGATGGCATGGACGGCACTGTTGTCAGAATCCTCTTCAAGCAGGCAGAGGTAATACTGGACGACCCGCTAGGTGATCGCGAAGAGGGCACTCAATTGATGAACGACATGCTGTTCAGGCAAAAGGATGTGGCGGAGAAGCTTGAGGTGGACCTGAGAGGGTTTGATTCGCTGGAGGACCGGGAGAAGGGGTTTGACTTGCTGGTCCCGGGCTATTTCAGGTAAGGTGGAGATGGACCGTGAAACGTGTTGTGTCGATGGGCTTCTTCGTACTGTTGCTCCTGTATCAGTCTTATTGGTTCACGGCATGTTCTTTGATCCGGTTGCTACGTCGAGCGAAGGCGTTGGAGGCGCCTGGCTTGCTTTGGAGACTTGGGCTTTATGGATTTGATGTGGCCTTGGACTCTGCGTATGCCGCCTGTGTGCCACCGGCTTGTCCTTGGATTGGGAATTGTGACGACCACTTACGACATGATGACGGAGCTGTATTTTGGGCTTCTGATTGTGAATAAACAGGATACTTGAAGCGTTTCTGGGTTGTAGGCTTTCTGTACGATGCTGACTTGTCCTTGGGGTTGCAGATCGTGGCGTTGTCGTCTGCGCGGACCCGTCACGAGGCTGCTTCACATGGGGCGTTTGGCAGGGCGGAGTACACTGTACACACCCAAGTCATCTTTCTCACCTTAATGCAGGAAATCTAGGTTACGACTGTGGATCATGGAACGAGTTATGCAGGGTCCATCCTCTTGCCGTGGTTATGGTTCGGCGGAACTGGAAAGATACTGGGCGAATCACCCGGAAAGATCAGCTTTCTGCTGCGTGTTAATTCCCGCCATGCCGAAGACATTAGTTGGCCCGTGAAGGGTCCCTCACCCAAGACATTGAGTCATCAGGACAGGTGATTAGCCGCTCATCAGCATCAGGACCCATGGCTCAGTGCCTCTGGATCGAAACCGCACTCACACCTAGCTTTGTAGACTTGTCTGACTCAAATCTGCCTCTGTTCTAAAGACTCCCTCCGAGGAGCAAGTCGCCGAGAGGGACGCGAGGAGCCATGTTCCGGTACTGCCACGTCCAGACACCCACCCTCATCCATGATGCTGATAAGTTGATCATTCATATAAAGGTGAGTATCTGCCTACTCGAACGAGTCCGACAGCATCTTATCCAACCCTCTTCGGACCTCCCGGGCAAAGTTGGCATCCTCGTTCGCCTTTTTCAGAAACGCGTCGCGAGCCGCGATCCCTTCGTCGTCGAATCGATACAGCCGTTGGATATTGGCCTGGGATAACACGTCCGTCACGGTCAACCACGTTTGCCGTCGGTTCTCCGCGCACTCTGTCAATAACGAGTCGGGCTCGCCTCGCTTGAGGACGCGGACCAGGGCATTCCCATACGCAAAGGCATCACAGATACCCCCTGTGAGGCCGAGGCCGCCGATCGGGTTGTTTGACTATGTTAGATACGAGCGTTAATATCAATGTCAATGCCAACGTGGGTGTGTGTCGGCGCTGAAGCCTGAAGCCTGAAGCCTGAAGCATCTCGAGCAGCAGAAGTGAAAATGCCAACCTGTGCAAAACTTATGAACTTACATGGAGTGCATCACCCGCGAGCATGACTCGACCCTTGCGCGCCAGCGCGGCACACTTCTGAGAATTCACGTAGGGCTCCGCGCGCAGAAGCTCGAACTCTTTACTCCCCCGGGTCATGAAACAGAGGGGGATCCTTGCGAGGGCGCGCGCCACGTAGTCGTCCCTCCCTGAGGGCAGGTCCGGGTCTTCGACATAGGCGACCCGCCACATGGGCCTCCCTCCGCTGCCGTGACGCCGTCCGCCCTCCTCCTCGCCCGTGAAGGCCACGACCGCCCAGTCGACGCGGTCGACAATGAAATTGAGGGGCGAGTACCCCTCCTCCGCCACGAAATCGTAGAGGACATCCGCGCCGATCATCTTCCAGGGGTACGAGAATCCGGTGAAGGGGACGCCCATGAGGCGGCGCACGCTGCTGTTGGCCCCGTCCGCGCCGACCACGTACGTCGCTTCGATCAGTGTCTCCACACCGGTGGCTCGCTCGTGCAGCGTCACGGTGGCTGACGTCTCGGTCTCGGTTGCTGTCGCTGTCCCTGGCGCAGAGGCATGCGTGGCGGGATGCGGCTGATGCGGGTCTTGCACACCCACGCCCACGCACTCGACCCCAAAACACACCTCCACGCACGGATACTTTGCGATCTCGTCCAGGATCAGCCGCGCCATCTTCCACTGGCCCAGGAGGAGGACGCCGCCGAAGTGGCCATCACTGGCCTCCTCGCCGTCGCCGAGACCCAGACGTAACCGCCCCAGCGCTCGCCCAGTGGCGTCTCGCCATGCGATGCCTTCGGTGTTGAGGAACGCCTCGTTTCGGACCGCGTCAAAGATGCCGAGCTTGGTCAGCACGGGGATCACCACGGGCATATAGACCACTGCGCGCGTGGCGGGCTGGAGGGCCGCGTGCTTCTCGACGAGCAGGGTGTCGATGCCCGCTTGGCCGAGGCGGAGGGCGATCAAGAGGCCGACGGGGCCGGCGCCGGCAATGAGGACCGAGGTTTTGGATTTCATCCTGCGGAGCCTGCGGAGCCTGCGGAGCGTAGCGTAGCAGGTGTTGTATGGTTATGGACCAGACATTATATATCGTAATCATACCCGTTGCAAACGGCCTGGCACATGTCGCTAAACTCTAGGAGGATGCACGACATGTGTAATCGGTCGAAGAAGCCTGGATCGTGGTAGGTACAGTAGATTCGCGCTCCGCGCACATTACACCGGCAGTTACAGTACATACAGATCTGCCCAGATCAACGGTCTCAAAACAGTGATTGATTGTGTGTATTCATCGTCGATCGTACGAACGAGGATCCTGCCCTCGTCATCTCAAACGAGCTCATACGTATGCGTAATCAAGGCTTCTGCTCAGCATGATTTGATATCCTTGTTTATTCAGTAATTAATTACATAGTACGTATTTCGCTTCTGCCATTGATTCCTCCGAGGAAGTACAATAGGTTCACACTCTTTGTCATAAACCGCGACAGCCCCGTCGCTTCCATAACAAGTACACAAGAACACCAGTTAGGAGGTGCAATGATCCGATTTTAGATTGCTCGATTTTCAGTCTCTTTGGGCGACCCGCACAGGCTGTGGACCTCTCCTTGATACTCTTAGACCTTGAATGATATATTCGAGCCACATAAGTTCGTGCGGCTGTAAATGCCTTCCCAATCAACTCAGAGTGTCGAATTATGTTGTCGATAACGGTTGAGGTTACTATAGTCGACCGACCGTGCCGACACACCACCAATACTCCATACCCTCGTATCGAATGAGTCTGTAGAGTCGGCACCTGCCGGCACCACCCAGAGGGAGGCGTGGGGACACAGGCAGCTATGAACGTCAGACAAGTAAGTCTACGAACCTGAGGTGCGGGTGCTTGATGCGGTTTCGAAGCGACTTCATGATTCCATTCGATTGCGCCTGCCTCGTGGTGGTCGTTGTATGGACCTACTTCCTCCGTGGCCTCTGTCCGTTGTACCCTGTACCGACATCGAAACACTCCGTACAGGAATTTTGAATATTTTCTCTTGATTGTGATCGAAGCTGTCCGATCAGGGAACCTAACTAGTCAACTACTACACTGGCTAGCCGCTGCTAGGCATGGCAACACACACACACACACACCCACACCCACATCCACACTCCACACGTGAACAGCGTCTCGGCTGAAGTCCATCTCGCTGCAGATGTTCGGTTGTTTCAACCTTGACAATCCTTCAGGTCAATTGTGCAGAAAATGCGTTTCCCAGTGTCAGCGGATAGCATGTTGGTCGTTCCGCGCCCTCAACATTGCCCAGTCGTGGGAGAGGGAACACACATGTGCGATCCTCACGGTCTCCGTCCCATCAGCCGTCTAATCTCATCAACCTTGGCCCGCAGCTCCCAATCAAGTCCCTCAAAATAACGCTCTGCCAACCCCTTCTCCTTCCCGTCCCAAGCATTCTGCTTCTCGTCCATCTTCCGGAATGGACTGGTATACACACTCGCCATCCCCTGGTGCTTCTGGATATAGTATGCTGCGACTTTTCCCCAGAACCCGCCGCGGGCTTGCCACTCGGCGAGTTGTGAGGGGATGGGTTTGTCGTTGTCCAGTAGGCCTGAAGGGGCAAGCGGCCGCTTTTCGAGGGATTGGAGAAGCAAAGGAGAGGGAGTAGCCATAGGAGGAAGGCTGGGAGCGAGGTGTGCTTGGGGGATCAGTTGAGGGATGATTTGCCCGGACTTGGTCGGTTGCCCAATCGACCCGGGGGTGTTTAGCGGGTTCAAAGGGTCGAAGATGGAGCGCTTGGCGACATAGTTGCTCATTTGTATTTGCATCGAGTTCAAGTTGGCGGCTGGGAAGGGAGCCATATCATGGATCATATCCAGGTCCATCATATCCATAGAATGTGTCCTTCTGAGACCCATATGATTGGATGCACTCGTGCTAGGGCCTAGTCCCAGCACTGTGGAAAAGCTGTTCCTCGTAGAGCGACGGCCAGCGCTAGAACCGGGAGGACTGATTTGTGTGGCATTTGGATTGATAAACTGCGGCGGATTCTGCGGATCAAGAGGCTGTATAGCTGGACTCGCGGAAGATGAACCCGGATGCACGCTGAACGACGGCTGCTGCGGCATAGCGGGGCTGGACAGCATATACGAACTGCCAGGTCTGCTTCCTGGCGGCGAATTTTGATGTGCTTCCTTTTGCGCCTTGATTTGATCCGGGCTCTTGAATGGATATGCAGGATTGGATATGCGTCGTTGACGTTCGACCTCTGCAGAAGGAGGAGGAAGAGGCGGCTGACTGGCGGCTGCGCGGATGGATTCAAGTCGAGGTTGTTGGTATGGTGTGCTTGAGCCCGAGGATGATTGTGGTGTTGCATTTGCGTTGCCTTGATACGGGAATTGAAGGTGGGACTGCTGAACATACGAAGGGAACGGAGAAGCTGCCGGCGACTGAGGTTGCCCGTATTGAGGAAGCACCGAGTCGAGTCCAGTGTTGGGAGGATAGCCAACGCTCGGACTCCGGCTCGCCGCGGCAGGATTCATCCAATCGTTGCTATACTGGTACTGCTGTGTTCGCATGTTGGAGTTCATCATCGAAGGTCCGTATCGTCCACCGTTGTCCAGGGCATCAAAGCTCGGAAAAGGCTCATACTGGTTGAGTGGTGTTAGTGACGGATCATTTGACCATTCCTTCATGTGCTTGGCATGTTGAGATGCGTTTTGCTGGAATTGTCTTTGCCGCTGAACGGAGTCCTGGTCGACGCCGATGCCTGTTTGACCCATCGAATTAGGCCTATGCTCGGCAGAGGCAAGTTGTTGAGCCTTGGCCTGCTGTCGTTGCAAGATGCGAGCTTGTTCATTGATACGAGCTTCCTGAGCAGTGGTGATGTCCTTGTACTGTGCGGGCTTCATCTGAATTGGCTTAGCCTGGGAATTACCTGTAAGATTGTGGGTGGTCCCGCTAAATGTTCCCGGCAGAGTGGGATACTTTGGAATCTGCTGGCCTTGCTTCTGAACGGACTGTCGCGCGGTTGCTGACGCAGCGTTCTTTGCAGCCACATTCGCTAACGGATAAGATGCGGACAGAGAGTGGCGCTTGGGTTGAGGTGGCGGTGCCATGATCGGCTTCGGCGGCGTGACGAGGTCGAGGAAGTTCGATGCAGGGTCATGAACAGGCTTGTCCGGATCGGCCGTGTAGGATGCCCTTGTATCGGTTGATTTGTCTCCAAGGTAGAGCCACAGTTGCTTCTCCTTCGCCAGATTGACGGGTTTCTGAGCGTTGTTGGCAGGTGGTGCAGCAGAAACAAATTCTTCCCACTCGGTTCTTGGCGTCTCAGTGAATAGATCGCCCGGACTGGGCTTCTTCTCCGTCGAATCGGGCAGTGAAGCGGTTTTGCCTTGAAGATCCTCGGGCAGGTCCAGGGCATTGGCGGATGGCCTCTGAAGACAGGATGTGGCACTATCAACAAACAATATTGCTGTGGGCTCCACTTCCTTGACTTGTTTGAGATCTGGTAAGACCTTCACCAAGACCGAATCCTGTCCTGGATCGTAGCTGGCAATAACCAGACCGGCCTCAATATCGTCAGAATTGGTCGCCTGGAATTGAATAAGCTCGCCTTCCTTGAGATTGAACAGGAAGTGTCGGAACTCGGCATTCTTCCAACAGCTGTTGGCGTGGTTGCAAGCAGACATTTCACTGGTGATCCTCGTTCGTTTGACCGTACGGTGAAGACGGCATCTCCAGTCGAAGCCAATATCGCGGTACTCGACACCTTCGTGCCACACAGCGATGGGCCCTTTGTCGACTTGAACGCCCGCTTGCATAGCACAGGTTGCGTGGTAAGCTTTGGTGCATTTGGCAGAAGAACATTGGAAGCATGAGCCTTTCTTTTGGCGACACTCGTGGCATTTGAGCTCCAGACGGTCTTTGCTGATGTTTTCGACGTTGTACACCATCTCTTTCCCGTCCTTGGTGGCAATGTAGGTCTCCGGTGTATACATGGCACAAGTCCTGTGTGCCCGCTGACCGTGCGACGTCGGCAGAAGCTCTTCCCAGGAGAAGTCGTTCGGACAGAGACAACAGGGCTGGTTCTTGCTGATCTTCCGGATCTTAATCTTCTTCAACTTCTTGTTCGGTCCGAGTTCTTTCTGTCCCCGTTTCCTCTTCATGCCTATCTTGATCTTGATTTTGTCACTCGGAGGTGTTGGCAAGTCCGTCGGCTCGTCGTCCTCTTCATCATCGGTGACCTCGACTTCCTCAAACTCGGGTGAGGGTTCGCCGTTCATCTTGCGTACAAACCAATCGACGTCGATAAAGACACTGTCGGCCTCGCACTGGCATTTGCGGGCGGTCTTGCCATACTGCAACCAATTCTCGATGGCAAAATTGACCGACTCGGCACAGTTGTAGCCCAGATTGTACCCAGAGTGATAGCCGATCGGGAAGGTGATGACAAACTGGCCCTCTCGGTGGACGACTTTATTCACGGTGACCCCGAACTTGGACTTCAGTATTGATGGCGAGACAAGGTAGGTCTTGTGCCGTAAGAACTGGTCACAAGCTTTGGCATCCGATGACCAGATGGATTTCATGGCCGCCTCGAATTTCGGAGCGTCCTTCTGAGAGATGCTGTACCACTGCTTTGGGGCGCCAAAGTGAATGTAGTTGATGCTGTAGAGATCCACGTCCTCCAAGTGCCAGGCAAAGGTAGCGCGCCACATCCCAAGGTAAAGATATGCTGTGTTGACACCAGGAATAGGGGCTCCAAGTAGATCAAGTAGGTTGGGCAACTTGGCCACATTCCACTCCTTGGTGTCCTTGTCGAACAGCGAGCCTGGCATGTCGGCTGCGTACATGGGGTTGCTGAAGTTCAAGCTTTTCCAATACTTGTCTTCAAGCTCATCGCAGCGCTCGGCTGTCCATTGGTCGTTATCGTAGACCCGATAGTCAAAGTCTTGGAAAGCCTCCTCATCAAACTCGTCGTTGGCTGCCTGGGCATTTCGTAGTCGTCGAGCCGCAACGGTCGTCTCGGAGCCTTTGGCATTTCCGGAAGCTTCTTTCTTCGCAGCAGGATTTTTGGGCGGTCGGCCTCTTGATTTGCCAGATCCAGGTGGACGTCCTCTGGGTCCCTTAGCTGGTGTGGGGGTGGCAGCGGCATGCGGAGTGGCCTCATTAGCCTTGTCTTCGTTATCAAGAGCGGCTGGCTTTACTTCTGGGCTGGTCGGCGTCGGGGGCGCAAGGAGAGTTGAGTCCTGGTCGGCCGGTTCTTCCTTGACCGAGACCGTCGATACTCGACTTCCTCTTCTTTGCGAAGCCTCAGGAGTGGCCGAAGCCTCCTTCTTTTTGTTCCGGGCGCTTCCTCGGCCAAGCAACTTGTCGGCATTCAGACGTTTCTCTCCCCGCTTGGCCGGTGGTTGGTTCTCGGTCTGCTCGCACAGCGCCTTCCACTGCGGTAGATTGTAGGAGCGCATCTTCTCCATGTTCCGTTGGGTGTAGATGCCCTGGGCGCCGTGGAATTCTTGGGTAATGGGGTTTTTAATCTTGATGGTCTTGACCATTTCGTCCAGAGCCTTACGGGCGCGTTTCCTGCAGCCGAGCTCAGCTGGTCTCATCTTGAAAACAAGGGGGACGACTCCGGGACGCGGAGGACAGATCAAAGGGATCGGTGACCTACCATTCCTCGGGAGGATCAATCAAGACAATACCTGACTGCATGCCGTAGGGGTCTACGCCCTTGACGTATTTCTGAAAGTCCCTGAATTGTTCCATTGTCTGTTGTCGGCCTTGTCAGCATTTGTGCCGCATATACCGAGTTCACCACGTCGAAGTGACCGCGAAAGCAAGGATGGACATAGCACCTACTGGGGTGAAGATAGGCACGCCATTCTCGTAGCGATCTGGCTTGACCTCGGAATATTGTTCGGCTTCGGCGCCTGCGCGTGCGGCCTCTTCAAATCTCATCCTGTTCTCCTCATCTTCAATATCGTCGCCGAGATCGGAGAGGGAGGAACTCGAGGCTGCGTCATCGTCTTTGTGACTCCCCTCGTCAGTAGTGGGAGGAGTGTGGACTTGAGGCGCAGGAAGGGATTGAGACATGGCTTCATGTCTCTCCAGCGTAGCGGCACCAGGCGCATCGAGGTCGGGGAGGGAGGGTGGAGGGGGCATGGTGACGGCAGCCATGGTTGGGAAGGAGCGCGGAAAAGGCTGATGTCCGGAGGACTTGGGTGGCGATAGGCGGCCGAGGATCGCCAAAGCACATAGAAAGAGCTGCGAACGAGACCGTCGCAGTCTCTGACCACGGGCTTTGACGAGATCGCAGGCACGATATTCGCAGTTGTCGCTGTGCCGGGCAGGTTCGGTCGAGACTGGGTGTGCTGTGCAATGGGTGAGTTGATGGTCGAGGCTAGCGCAGCCTAATTCCGCCTAGCACGATGAAGTATCTTCGCTCGGCCTGCCAATCACATCCATCACACCACCGACGGTCTACAGTCTACGCAGTCACGGCAGTTTCCTGATCAGAGCCTGAATTAGCCGGGAGGAAGGGGATTTCACATGCTCGACCACTGGGTGACCATTCTCATGATGCCTCGATTGCTACATCGCCAAACAGGTCGCCGTCACATATCGTAAAATCGTGTATATACCAGGGGCATCTGCATATCTGTGGCCATGTGTGTCACCAGTGCAGCTCGGCGCCTCTTCCGCACCCGCGCATCCTGATTGGGCCGCCTCGATCCAGGCACAGCAAGCAGCCCCGACCGGCTTTTTAGGCATGGCCTCAGATGCGCATCATCGTGCCGCTGCCGCCGCCTCTGCACCTTAATCATCGCCCCGGACGTCTCCCCATTTGCTACCAGTGCCATCCAACCAGGCAGTCGCCACGATCGCCAGTTCGTGCTAAGGCTCCTTCTTCCTTTTCCCGCCATTTCTGCACACTCAGTACTCTGACAAAGCTAGCTTCTTTCCCACTGTCCGCTTGCGCTGCACAATCTGCTCTGCCGGTTGCGGCTTCGGCTTGTCTTTCTTCAGTGCGTGCAGCAGCATGCCAGCATCAAAGAAGCCATCTAGAAGGCGGTGTCAGCTCACTCAAAGGAGGTATACGTGGGGCAAAAACGGTGGAACTTACATCCACCCAAGCCATCTTGGTCATCAGCTGTGTCCATGCTTGCCGGGGTTTGGACGCCATCAACCTTGGACGCCTCGGTCTTGATGACCCGACCCCGTGATTTAATCCTGCCATCTTTGCTGGCTCTCTCTTCGGCCTCTCTGGCCCGTGTGATCTTGGCTGCCGCGAGATCTTTCGTTTTGGTAGCTCTGAGGAGTCGTCGGATTTCGTTCAAGTACCCCTCCAGACTGTCCACAAAGCGCTTGGTCTGTCGATGCTTGCTGCTGGCGCAGACGGAAATACAGTCGTCCTTGATGATGTACCCAATGCCGAATCCATCACCAGAGGTAGGACCAAAGCCAAAATGCCGAAGTGCGGGGTTACCACAGTTGGACGTACTCATGATGGTGTTGTTGATCTTGTCCCAACCTGGGTCGCTGAAGAGAGCTGGCATTTGGTGCAAAGGAGGAGCAGGTGATCGACTAGTATCTGTCCCGGTCCGCGAACGGCTGATAGACGGGGATTCTTCCAGCCTCTTTGGACTTCCCACATCGCTAGCATCCGTGGGACTGGAGTAGCCGTTTGAGCCCAAGCTGGCGGTGCTGGCCAATTCTGCCCCCTCATCGTTGACTTTCCGCTGCCAGACGCAGTACAGCGCGTACAGGTGTCGGTCGTGTCCCTGGGCCTTGCTCGACTCTTTGGTGATGGCCGTGTGCCTCTGCGTCGCAGCCTTGAGTGCATCAACCTTCTTCTGAGCGGGATTGTCGCCCCAGAACGTCTTGACGAATTCAACAGATTCTGGAGTCACTGTCCTGATGGCTTCTGTTCGTCCGTGGAAGTACATTTTGGTCATGGCAGGCTCGTAAGTATTCTCGACCCGGCCATAGAGGCCGTAATATGCTGCTTGGAAGGCCATCTGCACAAAGGCATCGGGCGAGTAGCCCATCGACGTGATGAAGTTCTTACCATAGCCGGCAAAATCCAGTGTTTGAAACTCGTTTTGATTGATCAGATCAGCCAGCCTTGTTTCGGCAAAACGGAGGGCAATCTGTAGTTCTGGGATCATGTCCCACTCCAACTTGTGGGGAGTCGTGCTCACATCGCCAAAGCTGTCAGGGTCGCGCTTTGACGGGTCAGGGCTTTGACTGGTCCACAATGTTGGTGCCTGGCCGTTGATAGACTTGGCAAACCTCAAGATCGTGTCCGTGTAAACGTCGCTGGCAAAACGAAGGACAGTATGACCATCAACGCCTGTATGCTCAAAGTTGACGCCTGCACTGCCATTCTTGCAGACGATGATCTGAAGCTTGTCGTACCATCTGTTGGTGCAAGTGCCGACTTGGACCCCGCGGACGACCTCGTTGGTACCACAAAGCATATTGCCGCAGAGTTGCGAGATATCTGCAGGCTCCGTATAGTCCAGACACACGATGAACAGCGCAGAATCGACGATGTTGAGACACTCAGCGTTGTCGGAGCCTTCATCCTTGGTCAGAATGTCCCGCAGGTGGGACCAGGTCTTGCGATTCTCGGTGCTGAGCACCCCGATGGCACCCTTGGCGGCTTCTTGGATGGGTATCTCCTCGGCATCGTCGACAATCACCTGGAGGTTGATAGCGAGATCTTTCTCTGTCATGATGAGGTCGTTGTTATCGTCAAGCGCATCGAACCAGTAAAACTGGCCACGGCACATGACAACGACATGCTTGGAGTCGGAGTCCTGGCCAATGATGCAGCCGTTCTCTGTCGGCACACGAGCGGTTCCAAACAGTCGCGAGTACTGATACATGTCGAGGGGTGTTCCCCTGAGGGTGTCCGGTGGTAGCTCTTCTTTTCGCACGGCCCTGACGAAGCAGAGCGCAGATGTGACCAATGAAGCGGCTCGGGTGACCTGGTTGTTCCGCGCTGGTGTCGGATCGTCCTCTAAGAGGAAGAAAGGGTTCAGGTTCAAGACGACCGGATTGTCATAGTTCAGGTAAGAATCGTACCAAAATTGCTCGATATAGCTGGTTCGGCCCGTGGCATATTTCTTCAGTCGTTCCTGCAGGTCCTTACCTTCGTTCTCAAGGAAGTCTTTGGCGGCGGCTTTTGTGTCGTTATGCTCCTGGTGAGATTGTAAGGGCGCCAAGGCCTCGAGGTACCTCTTCAAGGTAGCGTCTAACTCAGGGATAGGCAGTTTCGGGAGTTTGTCCTGCGCCGCGAATGTGATACCCTGCCTGGACAGCTCCCTCTTGACAGAGACCGGCTCCTTCTCGACATGGGTGTAAGACTCCTTCGTCTCCTTGGCCGCCTCCAGCGACTTCTGTTCCTCACTGGCTGGCATGTTGGCGCTGGCCCCGTTCTCCGGAAGCGGATCGTTCAAGGACTTCTCGAGGGAGCTAGGACGAGCAAAATATCGGGTTCCTGTGGGATTGGAGGGCATTGTCAACGTCTAGATCACGGGTACAGTGCAGCGACAAGTGTGGCCACGCTCAGGAGCCGAAGAGCTGTGCGATAGAAGTAGTGACAATCATGTAAGTAGTAGGAGGGCATTGGGGAAGGCGGTTTCTGAGACCGAGGGGCAAGGACTGCGACTCTGCTGGCCCAAACACAGAAACCTGAAAAGAAATAGGAAGGGTGCAGCAGTGGCAGAGTTTGGCTAATATGGTCACCTGGCAAGATCAGAGTCGAGAGGGGTGTTGATGAGCATCATCGTCGATGCACTGCCGTGCTGTAATTGCAGCATGTGAAGAGGTGCCCCACGGGTAAAGGTGGCATGACGCCTAGGGTCCTCTGGAGAAATCCGGCAGGCGGAATGTATCGCAAGCAGTGCATGCGTATGCGGGCAGAAATTGAATGTCGCCATGGTGTATGCTTGTGGGAGCGTCTCGGAGGAAAGGAAATAGGTCAACGTACAGGAAATAGAACTGAAGACGCGGGTCTGACTCGTCCAGCATCTAACGGTCGTCCCCGTCGTGGGCTCTGAGTGGTCTGATGTAACTGTCCCGTCCAAGCGTGGGGATCCCTTGCGCCGCAATGGTTCGGGTCAACCGAGAGCAGAAGACACGTTGGCTCGAGGCGAAGAGTCAAGGAGTGCTGAATCGGATTATCGCACTGTTCGTGCTCGACGGAAGATAGGTATGGACAAATGATGTATGCAAAGAGGAGATAGGAACTTCGCGGCTTGCTCAATTGTTTTTGTGGTCGACTGAAGGCAGCGTCGCCTGTTACCTCCACCGGCTCAGCCAGAAGCAGCAGCCTGTGACGTAGCGAGGCCCCTCCCAAAGCCGCGAGGTCGACAGCTCGGACGGGCTTTTATGGTCTCTGGAAAGCCTTGCGCGTCCGCGATTTCTAGACCATCTCGATAGGTGGCGGCATTCTCGTCCGACTTGAAACGATGTTCGCCCTTCTTACCAGCTTGAGAACATCTGGCGGATGATCGGAGACGCGCGAGCAGAGGATATCCATCATGACAGAATCAGAAATGACTCTAACCTTCGATAGGTAAGTGGGAGCTGAGCTTCCATTTCTCCGCAGCCAAGCCTGGGGAAAGCCTGCAGTGGCGAGAGTTGCAATCCGTGGGCAGAAGGAAACTGCTACAGTACCTCGCAGCAGCCTGGGTCGAGAAACACGAGTCTTGATCCGATAAAGACCGCGCGATCGCCACCCAGGAGAAGCGATGCCGGACAATTGGATGACTTTTTCAAAAGCATTGGCGAATCTGAAAGGGCTTATTACTGTTCACACAAGTCTGGACCACGGCAATTTCTGAACATCCGAGATGCTGTTGATACAATTCCCCTGGCCAAAGGCTATGTGGACAGACTCGAGCTGCTTCATTCCGGGTTCGCCCTTCCTTCACTCTCATCGCACCAAAACGGTCTCCAAGCCAGCACTATCTGTGGTCAAGAATCAAAATCCAAAAAGCCATGAAGTTCATTTCATCCAGATCAGCTCACAACTGCAGCTATTCCGGTAATGAAGCAACATGCTTGTAGAAGAGAAAAGAAACCAGCGTTCGACTGCTTTGGGCTGCGTCCTGTGCGCATGTCAAGTTGCACCTGCTCGCAGATGCTTGTTTCCGCACTATGCTCCGAAAGTCGGATATTCCAACTCGTCGTGGAATCGTGTCGTCGTGCAAGGGACACGCATTCTTACAACGTGACGGTGGGTGTGTTTCCTGGTTGAAGGACGTTCGCAGCATATTGGCCGCCGAAGTTACCTAAAAAAACAGGGTTAGCAGCTGACTTCTATCAGGAGAGGAGAATGAACATACCAGGCGGGCTATAGTTACAGACTGTGAAGTACGGGCTAACGTTGCCGCCTGTGTTAGCCAACCCGTTGGGGCAATACTGGGTTGCGCAACCAACGCCCGTGGTCGACCTCCACACGATCTGAGAGTAGTGACCCCACTTCTCGAAGTTGCTCATGTCAGGCTCAGACCCATATCCTGGGTAGAAGCCGATCTCGCCGTTGTACATCTCGTTGGTGATCATGGCGGGGATATCTTCGGGGGGAGCACCTGCGCCGATGTTTTGGCCATACCCACCGCCACCTGTGGAGGTGTCATGAGCGTAGACGCAGCTGGCGGCTATCTGAGCGGCAATCGAAGCCATGTGGTCATCCCAGCTAAGGCTTGGAACTGACGCATTCGAGCGGTGCATGTTGTGGGAGTCAAGTATTCCTTGCTTATAGTCCGAAGAAACCGAAGTTGAGACCGGCGCAGGAGCAGATGAAGAGGCAGCAGGAGCTTCTGGGGTTGAAGATGACCAGGAGTTCGATTCGGGGGCGCCAGTCGGAGCAGCAGAGTCGCTGCTCCAGCTTCCTCCGCGCCATTCACCCCAGCCACCCCAACTGCTCCAGCCGTTGCGAACTTCAGAATCGCCAGAGGTAACTTGGGCAGAGGGAGCGGCGTCGACAGAGGTAGCCGCAGGTGTATCAGCGGGTGGGTATCCGGTCACGGTGACAGTGACGGTGAACATCTCGACTTCGGTTGTGTATGCGCGCTTGTCCAAAGGAGTGGCAGCAGCGATACCAGCGTACATGGCACCCAGGAACAAAGCTGTGGCGGTCTTCATTTTGGCGGTTGATCAATCGCTTTCGGTTGACTTGACTTGAATGACGGCTAACAGAACAGGTTGTCGCGAGTAGACGATGCACCGGGCGTCGTTTTCGTGAGGACAAGGCAGGGACAGGTCCTTGTTTGGTGGCGAGTTGATAGTGACGGTTGAGCAGTCTTCTTCCGTTGATGGGAGTTCTTCACACCTGGTGAGGCAGCGTGCTGGTCGGCCGGGTGATCTCTTATGAAAGAGCCGTGTTGACGGGACAGGGACGATCAAGATCAAGTCCAAACAGCACGGTCACTGACTGTGCTTGTCGTTGTCGTGCTACTGGAGCAGGGATGCAGGAGTAAGGTAAGTCTCGAAAGAGCGACTGTCCGACTGTGCGCCTCGAAGGAGTGAGAGGGCTCAATGGGACTGAGTGAAAGGAATGGTGGCAGCTGGCCTAAAGAAGGACTGAAAGTGAGGTAAAAGGAAGGGCGAGGCTGGAGGAGCCGAGGCGAAGGTGAGGTTGTGAGGGAGTGTATATTTAGTGAACGGCTACTCAAAGGCCTTTGCGATGATTCCTTTGTGACTGGGGTGGCCGGTGATGCTGGTTCACCACTGGGTTCGGGGCTAAATGAACAAGGAAAGTGACCCCACGTCGCTGTTCACCAATTGCAAACGCCAGCGACAGAGCGGAGGGCAGGCCGAGCTTTTCGTCACCATAGCATCCGCGCAAGGGCTACTGGCTGGGTGTCGTATCTGGAGCTTAGCCAGATAGAGCGATAGTACAGGTAATGCTATACCCGAGACAGCTGGAAATCCAGTGATTGCGGAGAGCTAAGAGCCTCGGAGGTTTCGCTTGGAGATTATCCGGGATATCGATCGCAAGGCAATCTGAGCTGAAACACCTGATTTACTAGGATGGCAGGCGGTATTCCCTATACTCGTTGAGTGCCACGGCGCAAGCTTACGTCGACCAGTGATAAGAACAAAGAAAGAAGCTAGTCTCGAGAATAGAAGAGACACTGTTGCTGGAGGGGAGTAAGATGAGAGGAGGGATCACGGACAAAGGACGGGCGCAAAGGGTTATGAAGAGGCGGGAAGACACAGACGATGGGGTCACAGACTGAGCCCAGATTACAATACCACTGGCTGAGGACGGAGCAGATGCTGGTAACTGCCCGCGAGTCTCTTCGAAGGGACGATACGGAGTATGGCTCGATATGGGGAGTACAGTAGAGCCAATTTCTTCATGTCAACTGCATACATGTCCTGGCTTGAGGAATGCGACGCCGAGGCGGAGACGGCTCAGTCTAAAATCGGTGAGTTGCAATTCGAGCTGGGGAACCACTGCATGCTTTCTCCTGTACACCCGCCTGCGACAACACACTACTCCATGGCCGACAGCTGCCACGCCCACTTTTATTCCCAAGCTTTGTGAGCACACGTTTACAGCTGCAACATCAGTTAGTCTTGCCAGATTGGCACTGGGTTGATGAAACAAGACCCTGGCCAGACTCGACTTCATCGGCGGCAGATGAGGCTGACGCTCTAGCACCAAGAGTGGGCCAAGCAGTCGGAGAATAAAGTGGCTTGCAGACGAGTGCCAGCGGGGTTGAACTTAATCGCTTATCAAATTTGCGCCCGGAGATCGGGGCTGGGCCCGCTGGACGATTGGTTGGGGGACCCCAGCATGCAGGAAAGCCGAGCTCGCCGAGCAGCCCTTGCGCCGCTGGGTGCATCTGACGACACCCGCACGCGGTCGACCGCCACATTTGCATGAGCCTTTAAGCCCCTTTCCACAGCATTTCCACCCAAAGGATTCACATTGCAACTCCCCTCGAAGTACGGAGTAGGGCTTCTTGGCAACATGGATGTTCCCATCTCGCAAGTGCCCATAATGGCTGAAGATACCCTATACCCGTGGGCCAGCTTTTCAACATTGTCCAGAACAGAAACATCACCTCCAGGGTCCAGCAGATTTGTTGAAAACGTGCCCATCGCTCGCTCGCCGCCTCACGGCAGCTGCACCTGTCCTTGAGCATGACTTGCCCTGCCGCACTGGCAGATTCAGGGTCGTAGCTACGACTCCCTGACCAGGTCCAATTTAAATGGCTGTCCCTGTCGCTTAGGTCCTGCATGCTACGATCCCGTCCATCCTCTCCACCGTCGAAACGGCGCCCTCATTCTGCAATATGCCACCGCGACGGACCAGCTTGCAAGAGACGGGGAAATACAAGCAGCTAAGCAGATTGCCAGGCTCTGGTCCGCACCAGGAAGACAGCTCATTGTCGGCGCAAGTGATCAACCATTGAAATCAGCATGGTTACAGCAGCGGAAACGAGTCTATCTCGAGTCTCGTTCCCAGTCTTTGCTCGGCAGCAAGAGTAGCGCGTTCAACCAATAGCTTTGGCTCGACAAGAGTTTACCAGTTTATGCTGTCAGACCGGCAGTCTGCATACAGACCCTGCACACTGTACACCGTCTCCTTAACACCGTGGCTGGCCGGTCCACGAGCTGTCGCAAAACGCACCAACACATGATACGGGTGGGTTGCATGCTTGTGGCGATTGGTGTTCGCGACGAAATGATGGAGACATGTCCGCTGCGAATCTCCCGCATCAGTGTAAGATTGTCCAAAGGTGACCCGACATCGTGCTGTGAACTGGATTGCTCGACGAGTACCTAACACTCACAATTGCCGAATATCTAGTCTGCACAGTACATGTTTACCGACGCTTTGCCTGCCGCTAGGAAGCTGCTTGGACGTGATGACAGGCGACACGCAATTGGCACGAGGCGTCCGCTTGCGAATGGTTGAACGTGTTGCAACTCTCGAGGCCGAGCCTGTTACGTGCGACTGATGCAGTAACGTGTCGCCCGTCACCGGCCTAACTGAGAGCAGTGTCTGACACGATCTCTAACAGCACGTGGGGGTTCCAAGCTGCATATCCTCGAACCACCGGTTGAACTACTTGGAAAGGCATTTATGCAGACGTGTCCAATTCAGGAAGGAAACATACATGCTGCAAGGGGCGATAGACTCAAGAAGCCGTCGTTATCCTGTACAAGCAGCCGACGGTCCCCTCGGTTGCGATTGACTGGTCCACCACCCTTCTGATACTAGGGCCTGCGTAACGTATTCCATCTCCCTCGTCCAGATATTGTGCAAGGCTTACGTTACGTCGCTTTCTGGTCTGCAGCGTCGCTGGCGCTCTGTGTAATCGCTGGGTAGTCAGAAAAAACCATGGTTTCGATTTGGACCACGTGGACTCAGCCTGAGGCTTCCCCTGCATACTTTTGCAGTCAAGCAATCTCACCTTTCCAACGTTATCATCCCGGTTTTGATCAGCAACTCTGGTCCAATATGGCACCACAGGAACCCAGCTTGTCCAGGCAAAGGCAATCCATTCGATGGTGTTCTGTGCGCTAAAGACTGCCCGCGCTCAGGTACGGTAAACCAATATCGGTGTCGATCACAGGATTCTGAGGGCGACATGAATCATAGACTGCCTGCTCAGTTACTCTAATTCTGCGTACCTAGGTCAAAGACACGACAGGGCCTATCCTCTGCAGATCCAATTCTACATCAGATAGGGGCATATCATTCTTGTTGGACTCGAAGCGCTATCCGGCCGCGGTTCTCAGGTATGATTGTTTGCATGAAGACAAGAGGACATGTGATTGTCAAGGTCTAGATTCCGTGTTGCTTTTGATCGCAACCGAAAACACGTATCGACTGTGCGAAGTACGATACCTTCTGTCACTGTGTCTTAGACTTGCCCTCATAAGAAGTACCGTTCGTCTGCCTGGAGCAGACATCCGGCCTACCCTTTTGACGTTCCGGTGCCACCTGCTTTTCACGATACAGACTTCCATCACATAGTCTTCTCACGTCTTCTTTTCTCAAGATGCCATCGTCGGGCCAAATCAGCACCCAAGCGAATCCCCATTCAAACATCGCAGATACCTGCCCGAAGAAATCAAATGCGAGCCTGGATCTTCTTAAGCCGTGCCATAATTCCCATTTCGTCAGACCACCTTTCCCATCCTGGTCGAACTTGGTGAAGAAGTCCTCGAACGGCTGCGGTCGAAAGCGACCTTCGGAATCAAACGTGCCGGTACCGCTGCCGTGTTTGTTCATGTATGCATTCTTGACCCAAAGCCTGAAGAAGGGATCAGGCACCCATCCCGGGTTCGTGTTGTAGGATTGCACGGCATGGAGAAAGGCGGTAAAGAAAAGAGAGGTAGGTATCTTCCAGTCAAACGAGCGGCAGGTGCGATATGTGTCGATAGGCCATATCACGCCGTCACCGTCAGGATCGAAGAATGAACAATGTGCCTCGAGGACCTATTGCGGCCAAGGTTGTGAGCGACTAGGCTATCACGAAGGTGCTGAACGTCTTACAGTCTGATGCTGATGCTTCTCTGCCCAATCATCTTTGACAGTCCCATGCGGCGATTCGGATGTAGGAGCATAAGTCGTGTAAACAAGACCCGAGTTCTTCAGCTGGGAATCATCCGGTGGTACATGCGCCTTGTATCGCTCTGTGACAGGTGCTTCAGGTATTGACACTCGGTGCGCTGGACATGCAGGTTCTTCGATATACGGCGACATTGTTTGCACTTTTTCAAAACCGCAGCCCGATGTTGACTTTGGGTAAAGCAGGAAGCGCAGGGGCAAGTTTGACCGACATTCCGGAGCTCTCTATATGTCAATAGAGCAGCGCATGCACTTACCTGTCCCGATTGAGGCTCCAGCGTTTTGTGGTGGATCACAGCGTTGAATAAGCAATGTGAGTCGACAAAAGTGAAGATGTTGACATCATGGACTTTTGGCGCCGCGTCGCTTACCCGACGAGGCCGAATAAGGCACGCAGTACTCCGTACCTGAGGTCAATACGAGTACGAGGGCTCATGGCAGTACATGATCCTTAAGTATGCACCGTCGTGTCCAACTGAAAGGACAAGTCAGAAATCACTGCTACCCATAAGATTGTGGGCACAGTCGAGAGACCTCTGCCGCAGGGATGAGTTTCTTCTCAGTCGAAGATCAGTCCCAATCCGCACTCCGTGGTTCCGCCAATTAGAAACTCGCTTGCTAAAACGCAGCCCGATTGGCTGCAGGCTTTCAGTGGGTTGTCACGTCAGGAAGGAGAAAGCCCTTCTTGTGGTTGCTGCGATGTAGTATAGAACAAAGCACGAATTCATGCCCTACTGAATGCTCCCGTCGCTCTCCACCAATATGCGAGATACTTCCTTCCAGTGAAGCAGTAAGCTTGCGATCGTAGGAACGAAGAGGCCACTTCCTGGACCAGTGTAACACATTTTCTTCGACCGCACTCATCCACATTCTTACAAGCAACCAGGAACTTGATCTCGGTTTTGAAAAGTTCTGAGTCCCTTGACCTTTGGTGCTACCGCGGTCATTGTCGCGGACCTCGACAGCGTTGCTCTGAGGAGTCTGCCGTTAGCGACTGCTGTTAGTTTTAAGCCGAAACGGTTCACCCCATCAACAAAACTGCATAGCACCTCGTCATTCACACAATGACTCCGAAACAGAAGATATGCGTCATTGGCTCGTTGAACATCGACTTTGTTACATCAACACCCCGTATACCTGGCCCTGGAGAAACCCTCACTGCAACGTCTATGACAGTGCATCCTGGTGGTAAGGGTGCAAACCAAGCTGTTGCATGCGGGAAGGCTGCATTCACCGCCCCAGGCTCCCGAGATGTTGCTGTTGAAATGATCGGCGCGGTAGGAGCAGATGACCCATACTATTCCTCTTTGCTGAAACCGACACTGGAGAATAGTGGCGTCAGTACGACTAATATTAAGGAGGTAAATGGTGACCAAACGGGTACCGCTACGATACTGGTTGATGAAGGATCGAGCGGGGAAAACAGAATTCTGGTCGTCCCGGGAGCCAACGCTACAGCCACGGATGCCCAAGCGCTATGCGCCACCGCTATGAAGCACCAAGTACCGGACGTCGTGGTTATGCAAGGGGAGATACCTCGGAAGACCGTTTTAGAATTGCTCGAGATGTTTAACTCAAGCGACCTCCAGACTTGTGTGGTTTTCAACCCGGCGCCAATGTTCCCTGATGGCATCACGCTCGAAGCACTGAAGAATCTTGCCGTGCTGGTCGTCAATGAGACGGAGTGCCGGCAACTCTTTGCCTCGAGCAAGAGGCTTGATAGCGGCAAAGTCTCTGGCAACAAAGACGAGCCCATGGACGTCGCCGAATTGGAACGGCTGACGACGTCTCTGCATGAAAAAGCCAAAATCAGTATCATTCTCGTGACGCTTGGTGCTCGTGGTGTCTATTTTTCACATTCTACCAAGACAGCAGGTGGTATCGACAGGGGACTGGTCTCAGCTTTGAAAGTGGATCGAGTTGTGGACACAACAGCGGCCGGTGATTCTTTCGTGGGATATTTTGCAACGGCGCTTGCACGACATCTTGCGCAGGCAACGAGCCTAAACGATTTCAATGTCAAGCAGGCGGCCACGACCGCGAACCAGGCCGCAGCGAAGTGCGTACGGAAGAGTGGAGCAATGGGGAGTATACCATTCGGCTACGAGTAGTCCCGAACGGTCGGACCGGAGCTGCAGCATCTACTGGCTGAGCATCATATCGAATTCCGCAGCCTCAGAGGCCCAGCCGCCGTCGGACACTATCTAGTCCCGAATCCAGAAATTCCACAGCTGGATGAGCGCAAGGACATGTGAAATCTATGGTTTCTTTGCAGCCAACATGGCCGGACGGTTCAGGTACACTTCGCCGCACCTGTCCGTTACAAACCAATAATCTCTCGCCCCTTCGCTGGCTTGAAATACTAGGATATGGAATATCTGGTTGTGAATGTACTTCGGACCGTGTCTGAGTACTGCGTACTGTGTACTGCGGACGGAGCAGCCTCGTCCGGGTGGTGGGACACTTATCATTGGCTGGTCGGCTGGACACCTGCAGAGCGGCAAGCCTTGTGTGGAGAAGCCGAGGTATTTGCTCCCCTTTGATACTTGTCGGGCCGTCCACCTCGAATGTCCTTCCAATGCTGACTGCTCGGTCGAGGGTTCATCGTCAGAAAATATATACTCAGCTGACACCAGGGCTCTGCATGTTTTTTCTCCTGTCGTAGAACCAGACGAGACGACCTACAGTTCCGGTAGCATCAAAGCCGACTAATTACAAGGTCAAGAGGCTTTTCCTGACGTGAGCCCTACCGTGGTACATCACACCTCGTCGACCAGAACGCGAGAACCGGCACGACCGCGGTACTTTGACAAATCCAAGCCATACAGTAGCTGAAGCCGAATCGATATCCCCATCCGCGACTACAGCCTCGCCTTCTTGATCAGGTCAACGCAAGCAGAGCCCAACCACAAGCAATCATGACAAGCTATTCCTCCACGTCGAATACAACGATCCCTCCTCCCTCCTCTAATCCCTCCGTCCTCCTTTCCTACCCAACCCCCGCGATCCTGCTGGTCACGATCAACCGCGTCAAACAGATGAACTCGATCCCCTTCCCCGTCCACTGGCACCTCCACCGCGTCTTCGAATGGTTCGACAGAGAACCCACCCTGCGCGTGGCCATCATCACGGGTGCGGGTCCCAAGGCCTTCTGCGCAGGCCAGGACCTGATCGAACTCGGAAAGCGGGATCCCAAGGAATTGGAGGAGAAGCCGTACCTCGCGTTGCACCCGCCGACCAGTGGTTTTGCGGGGATTAGTCGCCGGTTGGGCAAGAAGCCCATCATCGCGGCCGTGAATGGGTTTGCGCTCGGCGGGGGTTTTGAGATTGTGCTGAACTGGTGAGTGAGGCTGTTTGCCTACTGTGGTACCTTTTTGCTCTGTCTACCTTTCTTTCTCGATCTCTCCGGCTTGGCCTGGCCAAAATGGTTTATACGAGATATTCCATTTTGTTCTACTTGGAAGAGAAAGAGCCTCTTTCGTGGGAGTACCTTCTTGCATTCAGTGTAGAGACGGACATTGCATCACCTCTCTCCTCTGCCCGTCTATCCCCATCCCCTTCTTTTGGCCCCGGCTCGCTTTACCTGGGTGAAGCAAAGAGGCAAGCAAGCAAGCAAGTAAGAACCAGGAAGGGAAGAAAAAGAATTTGAGCATTCCCGCCTGCCGTTGTCGGTCCCCTTACACAATTTTCCTATTCCTGTAATACACAGCCACTCAACATTGACCACCTTTGCCCATTGCTGCTTCCCCTCTTCTCTCTCTTTCTCCCATTTGGACAAGCTACAAACTCCACAGAGCATCCCACTAGGTCCACCTATAGATACAGTGATATGGCTATGCAGCCATACGGAGTACATACATACATGTTTACTAACTCATTGCTCCCCAGCGACATGACAGTAGCCTCCCCAACCGCAACCTTCGGCCTCCCCGAATCACTCCGCGGCATCTACGCCGGCGCAGGCGGCCTGCCCCGCCTCGTCCGCAACGTTGGGCTCCCACTGGCCTCCGAGATCGCAATGACGGGCCGCACCTTGTCGGCCGCCGAAGCCCTGCGTTTCAACCTGATCAACCACGTCTCCAGCAGTCCCGCGACGCTGCTGGATGAGGCCGTGGCGCTTGCCCAGAAAGTAGCGGACATTTCGCCGGACGCCATCATCGTGACGCGCGCGGCCATTAGAGAGACGTGGGAGAATGGGTCCGTCGAGCGCGGGTTTCAGTTGGTCGATGAGCGGTTGAAGCGCGGGTTGATGGAGGGGGAGAATTCGAGGGAGGGGCTCGCTGCTTTTCGGGAGAAGAGGAGGCCCGTGTGGAAGGCTAGTAAGTTGTGAGATCACCGGGTGGAGGGGGAAGGAGATAAAAAGTGAGCTATAGTAGTTGAGAGAGGCGTATGGGCACATTTTCTGAGAGATGTGCAGATTTTGTAGGGAAGTTGTATCCATCGATTCTCCTGTTGAAGGGGCTCCAATGTTGCTGCCGAGTTTTGGTCTCTACCCTCCTATATGACAGTGTTGCTGTAGTCCGTCTAGTAGGCCCGTTTCATTCCCACACGCCTGTGATTTCTTGCTGTAATGTCCAGTCTCACGCTGCTTGCGGCCCCTGGCTCATGTGCGCAAGGACTAGAGTCGCGCCGCTTGTGGTCCCTAGCCCGTGAGATCGATGGGTCTCAAAATCAGGCCATATGTGTGCCTGTCAGTACAGATAGTTTCAATCCTTCACGCATCATTCAGATGCAGGACGGGTCAGTACCATCCGGTGGCGCGTCGTAGCATTCAGACTCCCACGCTGGCCACTTCAGACAGCCAAAGCTTCAAGTCCACATGCCAGATTGTGGAGAGGTAATACCCAGCCCGAACACGTCCAAGATTCGGACTTGACGAGATTCTGTAGAGCCTGTGCTCTCTCGTGCACACCCCTTTTTTTCTTTTTGAAAGCGTGTCGTTCAGGAACCTCTGGGCGCTGGGGTGTCAAATATACTATATCCGACCAGTAGTCCCCGTTCTAAAGCTGAAAATCACATCTGCGTCAAACTGACATACATTCCCCAGGCCAGACCTGCCAAGCCACCCACAAGCATTCTCTGATCAAAAGGCACCACGACGAGGTTTAGAAGAGTGATCACCGGCCAGAACTTGTACCCGGCCATAAGCATGGGGAAGAAGTCCTATAAATAAGGGTACGTCAGTTCCTCGCGTTCGAGTGGAGCGCCCATGGGGACATCTAGACCCGCAACTCACATTTTGTACAGTCGTCGCAATATGCTCGAAGCTCTTGCCCCTCAGTAGATTAATCATGACGATGAACCACACAGTATTGAAGCCTGCACCCAGAGTCTGATCTAGTAAGAACTTGGCCGCGGTATTTGTTAACGAGAGCGCAGCCTTCTCATCCTTGACTGGGCGGGCATCGTCTTCTTTCTTGCCTGCCGCCGCGCCTGGTGCCTGTCTTTGGGGATGGCTCGGGAACGTCTCTTCGAGCCAGAACTGCCATTTGTAGTTTGGTGGGGTCGTGATGATTGCGAGGACGATGAAGTGAACGAACGCGATGGGATCGATGGCGGACCAGCCTTCGCGGTAGGCGTTGAACCCCTGGGCAAGGCTGTTGGAGACCGCACTCATTACTGCTCCTTCGAGGGTTACGCGGAGAAGTTTCGAGGATGGGGCTTCGAGAGACGAGGGAGATGGGTTTTTCGAGGGCTTAGACATTCTTGCTGCTAAGGATGACTTTGAGATGGAAATAGGTGTATGTCGTCGTCGCAGGTTCTGGTGCAGTCGGTTTCTGCCAGTCTCTTGTTACTTTGCTCTACTCCGGCTGGAAGAATGAGTGAACGGTGTTGGGTAGTAGCGAGGTAAGTATGACTGCGTCGTTTACATAGAGACAGAAAGAGGAAAATCACGGAGCTCCCATAATTTCTCTCATCCTTTTGCCATCCAAAGATGAGCCACGTGTCAGGTTGCGCCGTGTGCAGACAGGAGCACTGTCGTGAAGCACAGCATCGTCAGCTCGTCCGCAACAAGAAGGCACAAGTCTGCGCGGGCTAATATTCGGTCAACAACTCAGCTCTGTTCAATGAGAACATTTCAAAGCCGCCACAGCTTCGGAGTATCATTGCTATCCCGCCCGACAGCAACGCCGGTGTTCCGCAGAGTGGGACAAAGGTCGACGGCGCATCCCGCTGAGGGGTGACGGTAGCCCCGGAATTTCCCTGTGAGGAGGCACGCGATCCGGCTACGAGGTACGAATTTATTCTGAGGTTGAGGTTTGAGGCGACCAGCTCAACTTGGTCGTCGCAATATTCAATGCCATTTTGGACAGGTACGTAGATCGAGGTAGTCACGTCAACCGAGACCGATCTTGAAAGCATACTGCGGCATACTTTATCCGAAGAGGGTACTCCGTAGTAGCCATAGTTTCGCGCACCTGGCCATTGCGCAGGCCAAACCTTGCCTGGAGCAGATGACTTCACAAGTGACGTTAAGCATGGGACGAGCCTCATCCCAACCAATCTTTGTCCATGGGATGATGGGTTGTGCTGAGGCTCAATGATGACTGCATTGCTGCAGTGGAGTGGCCTTTGGTGACTAGGGAACTCTTCTCCATCATCTCTACCACCTCTTATTCTCGACTCAAGCATCGATAACACGCTGTTAACAACTCAAGAACATATTCAAGATTGATACCGACCACTTCTTCAACTGGACTCACCGTCTACATCACCTCGCAATGCCTCGAGGAGCAGAACACGAGGACGGAAAGCCTCAGTCTGACAACGCGGTGGAGGCGGGTCAAGACAAGATCCACGGAGGAGGAAAGGTAGGTAGTCCCTGGAGGGTCTTCTCGCGAGCAGCACCAACTAAGAGTGCGGCATACAGACGACCGACGAAGTCGAAATCAGTCACGCAAAGAAGACGGCACCTCTCCCTGATTTGAGCGAGGTCAACGACCGTACCCTCAGCTTCGGAGCAGCACCCGGCCACCAAGATGGCCATGGCCACGAGGCACCAAGGACGCAGGGAGAGAGGACTGGAATGGGTTCCAAAAACGATCTCGGCAAGGCGGGTGAGCACCCATTGGACAACCCCACGGATGAGTCGGCCATTCGTCGATAGGCGCATCAAGGTCAAAATAATAAGATACGGTGGTTATTAAAATCGACACGGGTCGCATCAATGAGGAGTTTGGGCATATAGCATGCAGGTTGAATATACACTACTTCGGTCTAGGCTTGTGGTTTCCCACCGGAACTGAAGGGAAAGCGTATGCATATGCATGTGGAATACCGCTGGGCATGCTCAAAAACAGATGGTTTCAAATATAGCCCTTATGGCGCGAATGCATCGCTGCCTGGAAATCTATAGTTGTACAAGTCCTCGGTGCCGTTACGACACAACTGGCTCTCTTGGAACAGTACGCTCGATGCCATCCGCCCCATCAAGAGCATCCTCCTCGTCCTTGACTACCTCCGGCGCAGTCCACCCGGTCCCAGCCTGAACAAGTAACATGAAAATAGCCAGGACACCACCTGCCATATAGATTGTCTTGAGTGCTTGCTCGTACCCAAACAAGGCCACCTCTTTATCCACGCCAGTCAGCTGTTGAACCATGGTAGGCTTGCCCACAAGCTGCCGGATCAAGTTCTCCTTGCCCTCAAATATCCCACGATCCCGGAACCCCTGGGTCAGGGCCTTCTGCAGCGTCCGCAGGAACAGGCCGCCCGAGACACTTGAGCCGAACGACCCAGACAAGCTGCGGAACATCGCATTCAATGGGATGACAATGATATGCGTCGAAGGCGTAGTAAGGTGCAACACATGCGCCAGTGAGTAGTTCAGCAACGACCCCACGATGAAGCCGTTCACAAACAACAGAGTCAGATATAAATAGATGTTCGAAGACGTCGTGGATATCCAAGAGACCGCGAACATCGAAAGGGCAAATGCCCCAAAGGTGGCGATGCAGGCGGCGTAAAAGGACCCGGCTCGTCGAATATGCAACCAGCCCGCCAAGAGGCCGCCAACGGCAAAGCCCAGATTTGTCGGAATGAGCGTCAGTCCGGCGCGACTCTGAGGCCAGCCCCTTAACGTGAGGACATAAGCAGGTGTGTAGAACAGAACACCCCATCGAGCGGTCATAACTCCGATGGTCGCTAAGCCAGTGAGGATATTGCCCCTGGACTTGAGCACTGAAACGGGTACGATAGGGTGCGTTGCCCAGCTTGACTCGACGAAGAGAAAGAGGACGAACGATGCCAGCGAGAGAATGATCGGCATGATCTGGATTCGTGGAGACGAGAGGCTGTAAAGCAATAGCACAACCGCGGCAACGATGCTAAAGACGCCAAAGTAATCGATTTGAGCCAGCTTCTTCGCCAGCGCTTCGGGGGCCGCAGAGTCCAAGACTTGCTTCGGTTTGGGAATGCTGAAGAATGCCACGGTGACGGCGACCAAGGCGAATGGGATCTGCAGCCAGAATATCGCGCGCCAGCCGACCAGCGGCTCCAACGCGCCAGCAATGATGGCTCCGCATGCCACGCCCGCAGTATAGCCCGTATTGATACATCCAAAGAACAAGCCCCTCCTCCGCTGGCTCGTCAGTTCAGTGACAAGCAGGAATGCCACTGGCGTGACTGACGCGCTTCCCATGCCCGTGATAGCTCGACCCGCTAGGAACCATGGCAGTGACTTGGCCTGGGATGTGACGAAAAGACCGCAGGTCTGAATGATGATTGAGGCGAGCAAATACACCCGCGGCGTGAAGATGACGCACAGGCGGCCTGCCACAGGCGTGATACTCGTAATGGCGATCAGGTAGGCTGATGTAAACCAGCTCACCGCATTCGAGACCTCGAGATCTGAAGCAATCGGTGACTGAATCGTGGTGATGAGCGAGACATTGTTTGTAAGAATAAAGATGAGGACCCAGACGGAAAGGCAGATCAGGGCTCCACGTGTCGTCGAAAGCTTTTTGTCTTGCCCTTTGTCTGTACGCGAGAGTGGTGACACATCTCGTGTCTCAGTCGTGTGCCTGTTGAGGACGGCAAAGGTATTGGGCGACGAGGACAGCAGAGGAGTCCTCTCCGAGCGTGCCTCGTTGGTTGTCATGGTTGAGTCCGAGACTTGCTGAAGGTGTATACCTGATCACCACCGTTAAGGACCGCCCAACGTATTGTCAACTCCAAAAGAATGAACGAAAAATGGTCAAGGCATGCCTTCGTGCACCGGAATAGTTGGCCGAAGATACTTCATTGATACGAAATGCTGACAAACGCCATTGAAAGCCGAGATCTCGGCCGATTGCCCTATTTTAGTGGGGTAACTTAAGCGAGGATATCGTGCGAAGCATGGAGCCTGGTACGGTGAAGTCCCATCGTCGTTGTAGCACTTCGAGCAGTCTCCATCAAGCTGTGTGAGACACGAGGTTTGAATTGTTGCGTATGTCGTCAATGGTATACCGAGTGCCCAGATTACATTATATTTCCTGCCGCGAGCACATTCTCTGCCAGGGGTTTGGCCGCTGCGATACAAACGTACAATTCCTAATCCAAATCCAAATTCGATGCAGCTCCGAAACACCTTGCTTAGCTCTTCCCAGTTTTTCGCGGTCATCAGGCTTTTGCAGTTGCCGGCTTTTGGCCATCCTTTCCTGACCTGATCTCCAGCTTCTTCGGTTTTCGTCTGGCTGGCTTTGATTCTTCGGACACGCCAGTATTGACACTAGGCTCCTTCTTGACTTCAGACTCCTTCTTTACAGCGCTGTCACCAGTTGTGTCCTGATCTTGGTTCGAATCGGCACCCTTCTTAGACCTGATCTCCAGCTTCGGCGGCTTTCTACGCGGCTTCTCGTCCCCATTTGTCGACTCAACGCTGTCCGATGCAGCTCCTTTCTCAAGCCGCGCTTTACGCTCCGCCTCTAAGGCGTCAACCACCCTCCCCGGATCCGCATCCTCAAACGGTACTTCTTCCACCTTGCCACCCTTTCCGCCACCTAGCTTCACCCATGGCCCATGGATGGCACCGACGCCACTTCCCACAAGCATCCCCAGTCCCGTCGCAGGCACCGACAGTATTGCTCCGAGTACAGTGCCCACACCCGCACCGAGGCCCAGCCCACTGGCAGCTCCAATTCCACCGCCAAATCCAAGCCCCTGCCACGGCCCAGATTGCATTCGTTTCGCCATCTTGCTGTGCCCATTTGCTTCCATTTCCTTGTCAAAGGCTTCCTTTAGCAGCTTTTCGCGTTGTCCCGATGAAGCCATGGCCATGGCTTTCTGTTTGAGGCTGTTGGCGGTAGACTGGGCTTTCTGGGCTTTCTGCAACGACTCGATCGTCTTGAGCATTTCTTCTCGACTGGGCATGTCCCCATCCTTTGGAATCTGTGGCATGTCGCCGCCATCGCCGGCCCCGCTGCCACCACCAGCACCTAGCATTGATTTGACTGTTTCCATTGCCGCCACAGACAAGGCTTACTGGACCAGATGACGTCTGAACAGCCTCAGCTGCAGGCTCAAGGCTATCCGTGCCCTGCAATGTGATTCCAATCCTTGGACAGGTCAATATTGGCCTTTTGGTGTGTCTGTCTCAATTATAGACAGCATCCTAGAGTATTGAAAAGAGCATTTGACGGAAGGTCAAGAGTGAGCACGCAGAGAGCGAACTTGGTCGTGGACCGAATTGTTGGACACGAAGCATTGACGTCATGGGTCTTCGACCTGGAGGCTCCTCTCAGAGCAACCAATCAATGCTTCGCATCTGCGGACAAAACCCCTTCTCACAGCCGCTTTCCTCAGCTTCACCTTGCCCGCATTTCAACAAAGATGGAATATTATGATGCCAGTTCAAACAATGAGATATAGACAGCTGTTAAGTACTATGCGGTATTCTGCACGTTGCTGAGTGAATTGAGAGAGACATCCTATCTGCTTGGGACTACTTCGAATGAATGACTTGGTGATCTTAGCCGATCACCTCCTCCATGATAATATCAAGGCGAGGTGCCTTTCCACTACTCAGCACATTCTGCCTTTCTGGTCTCGAAGACTTTCAATGCCTCTTCCGCAGCTTTGACACCGCTGAGCACCATCGCACCAAATGTCGGACCCATGCGGTTGGCACCATCCAGCTCGGACAGTTCCATGCCTCCCATGATCAAGCCAGGGGAGACTTCGCGTGTGCCCTTGACGATCGCATCCTCGGCGCTATTCATGTCGAGGCCGCGCATACCTCCCAACTTTTCTATAGCATTCATGCTGACAAGCCGCTTTGCTGAAAAGGCTCCAAAGGGACCGTCATGACCTGTGGTGCTAATGACCAAGGGAGCGTTGATGGTGCTAGATGCAATTAGTACTAGGGTATCAACGGTAGGCTCCGCTTCAAACTCACTTTGGGTCCATGCAGCTATCTGTTGGTCACACATGAGTTAGCATCGTCTTCGGATATGGAGTGAGAGAAAAGCTATTGTGCAAAATCCTTTTCGTGGCTGGGAGACTAGGAAGAGGTATCGATCAGGCATCTGGATAAGAGACGGACTCACGGTCGTCATGGTGGAGAGTGACCAATGTCCAGTTCGTAACCACGCCGACAATCCTGACGTTACCGTCGGCGGCTGGACGAGTGATCAAATCCTCGACGCAAGTGGCATTGAACAACTTGACGTTTGGCATGGCCAAAACCTTGCTCATCAAAGTCGACATGAAGAGAGCGGCATGCTTGACGACAACGTAGTTGCCCTCGTCCTCAAAGGGTACGCCGATGTCGTTCAAGAATTCATCGGCTGGCTTGCGCAGGACCATTGCCGAGAAGAGCTGGCCGCCCAACCAGCAACCACCACCAGGGCTCACGGAAGCCTCGACAATGGCGATCTTGAGGTCCGGGCGAGCCTTCGCGAGGGTGTACGCGGTGGACAGGCCGCAAGAACCTGCGCCGACGATGACGACGTCGGACTCGGCATATCGGTCGAGGTCCGCAAAGTAACGTCTCGTCATGGCGCGAGAGACTTGGGACTCGCGAATGGGAGCAAATTTGAAATCACCCCATTTGTCGCCGAACCTGTCCAGCAGAGTTTGGTCCTCGTTGGAGGCCTGCAAAACCACATTTTTGGCATCAAGGGCGCCTGTCTTCAGCTCCTTGGTGGCAGTGAAGCCATCAAACTCATTGAAAGTGGCGATTGGCGGAGACATGTTGCACGTCCTGTCAAGTGTTAGGAGATTCCTCGAGGAGAGAGGGAAAGAGAAGAGATCGCAAGATCCTTTCGCTGGTATTATCCAGATCAAGTTAAACCGTATGATCTCAGAACGCAACTTTCTACGATCCAGCGACGACCGCGCCATCTCCAGATCAACGAGGAAGCTGGGTGGATGGCTGGAGCGACGCTGGCGTGCAAAAGTTGCGAACACCGGTTCATGCGCAGACACTCTCATGTCTGTTAAAGTGTACCTTGACCATGATGGCTGTCAACCGAACGAGGGGATAGCATGACAACCCCCATCTTTTTGCAGTGAGATTTACTACTCGGAGGTCGATTGGTTGGTTTGACCTGGAAGTGTTAGCAAGTTGTACCGCTGGGGGGCACCATGTCGGCTGGAGGGGAGTACTCGAGGTCGATTTGATATTGTTCTTCTTTCGTGCCAATTCAAGGTTCTTGACTCACGGTGGTTGGGACAGAGGGGATAGCAAAGAGCAAGGAAAATCAGAACAAAGATTCCCAAACTTGTTCAAAGGCTGGTCATCCTTATATGCGTAGGAATGATACGGAAGCTCGGGAGGGGCATCGAGGGGCAAGTGGGGGTCGAGCGGATGTCCAACGCGTTATCAATATGAATCATCACACATCCTCAGTGGCCCGGTTCGCCGCGTCTGACGATCCTTAATGCTTGCGAATTCTCAAAGGCAAACCGCCACTGGTTCAATGTGTATAGCGAAGCCTTGGCAAAGCACGACACTGGCTTATCATGGACCGCATGCGTTACCTGTCTAAGGAGTCCCTCAAGTCTGTTTGGATGAGCAAAGGGCATTCCGGAATTCGTAACCGTGACTTTTATACTGTGCATTAGCACGTTATGCGGCTGTTGCAGCGTCCGTAATCCAGAAGGCAGCCAATCAAGTCGTACCTACTCACATAACCATAGTTACCTTTTGAGCAATAGGAAACCAGCGACCGGACCTGTTGCAGGCTTGTCTGGCCGTAGTGGTTGAGCAGGGGACCGCGGGACTCAGGCCCGGAGATTTTCAATCAGAGTCTGCGCTCGGCCACTGGAGGCTTCGGTAGGCGGCCTATTTTCTTTGATTTCTTGAACAGTGTTTCAGCACGTTGGTGCTGTGGGGGAGTCTTAGTCCAACCTCCAACCTTCCCACGTTGCTTGAGAGAGAAATTGACAAAACAAGATGATCACATCGACATCTCCATGACGCTGTTCCGTCCGCACTGCTCTGCGCCCGTTGTCGGGGATCAGTTTCACATCCCGAGATTCTCCCTTCATTCCCTAGCTGCAACGACTTCATCTCAACCACTGATAGATCTTCTCGGCTTTCGAGGAAGAGCGCCGCGTCGAGACATTTCCATGTCTGGGCACGCGTGTCAATGCGGAAGACACAGTTCAGCTTCGAATACAGTCTTCTTCGAGACAACCACGGTTTTCAGTACGTCCTCCTCAACGAACTTATCCTCCTCATAATCCTTGGCTCTCTTGCACAACCTGCCGCAAGCACCGGGGTCTTCATGTCCGACGATGTCCCGGGGGCAGACATAGACCTTTTTGGTCAACCAGGCGGTCTTGTACTCCATTTGCACGTCCGAGGAGCATGATTTGGTCAGCTCTCGAGCTCCCTCGAACAATTCGGCCCTGTATTCGAGCATCACCGCCTTTTCGTATGTTTTGTTCCTCAGCCAGGCCGTCAGCTGTGCAATCTGGAAATATTGAGCCTCTGCCAGCAGCGCCTGATACATGCTGTAATCATGTCCGGTGAGGCTGGTGTAGAACAATGGGAGGGCTCCTGATCGAAGGTAGCGGAGAACGTAGGTGAAGAGAGATCCGTCGGCATCCACGAAGTAAGACCCATCTGCCTGTCGTCGCTCCCATTGTGTCGAAAGCAGTCTCTGGAAATAAGGGCTTTCGCCAGTCAAGGTAGAGCGGAAGGCGACGAAGCGATGCTCGCCCACCTGGACAGTGATGGGGTCACTGGTTGGAGAAGGAGAGGATGGAGCTTGATCGCCATTTGAGACCTTGGTGTCGCCGAGTTGCTCTTGATCTGTTGACATCCTAAGACGTGACATGTGCGGGAGGCTTGCTTGTGGTGGGCTGGTAGAGTGCAACAGGGCTGGAAGCTGCGTAGACTCGATGCAAGGTTGGGCTAAGGCCCTCTCAGAGTCTGGAAATGGTCAAGTCTACGCTGGCATTTAGCTTGTCATGGAAAGCTGGGTCGAGGATATGTTGAACCTGACCTGTTCACGCGTGGGCGTGGCGTCAGAACCTCCTGAAATTTCCGAACAGAAGCTGCTGAAGGTGACGTGAGTAAAGGAAGAGACCTTCAGATGCGTCTCTACAGCTTCTTTTTTCATCCGTCAACGTGAACACGTGCGCGAAGGTGATATCTTCACCATCCTCAGCCTCGCCACCAGCCTCGTCGACTCCCCGCTGCCTGATTTACTTCACTTTCGCACCACTCACGTGAGTTTCTTCTCTTTGGGCATATATATCTCGGTTTTCGAAATGTTCTCGACAATCCCGGACAAAGTCATCCGCTTCTTGGCCACGGTTTCACAGTTAATGGGCACTTTGAGGGATGGGATTGTCGCAACCCTTGTAGATTCGAATCATTGCGGAAAAAACCTGCTGTCTAAATCGGACAGAAAAGGTTTCACTTACCTTCGATCCAACACCGCAGCATAATGTGGATGATGGTTCAAGGGAAAAAGTTTTTGCACCCTGAGGTCGATGCCCACCTGCCCCTTTTTGTCTTTGCACGATGCTGCTGCAGTCAAGTCAGTCCCAACCTCTTCCACCATTATTTCTCAACGAGTATGCTACACCACACACAGTTTCTTCAAGCAACGACATTGTAGAATTGATTTCAGAGCTCGGGATCTGAGAAACAGATTATACTGAAAAGTGCTGGGCAATCGAGAAGCCGATGATGATAACGCACCTGTCGCAGTCTGACCCGTGACCCGGGCGTTGGATGCCGCACGATGTTTTCTTCAGGCGCAATGAGCAATGCTTGGATACAGCACCCCTAGTTGGGCTCTAAAGAGAGCTTGCGGTGTGATGCTTGAGATGCCTTCGAGGACACACACGCAACAGCACAGCCAGAGAATTCAGCCTCGATCTCCATACTTCTAGGATCGGGAAGGCCAATGCGAACATCTCTAGTGATGTCTGCGTCGAAGCGTTTTGATTGTCGTTCCGTTAAGCCTGCTAGAGCTGAAGAGTGCAAACTTGATTACGCACAATCTAGATCTCTATCGAACAAGCCACGAAACTGGGTGAGCAGCTGAGCTCAACCGCAATTGCTCTTGGTTGGAGATCAGCGGGACCAGGCCGGCTGGAGTGGAGCATCTGCTCCGTGCAATGTCCGCTGCACCGGGCTGCTCGTTCTCCTTTGGTGACGCAAGCCATTGCGATCCATCCATTCGGCCTGGTGTCGAGACAGGGTTTCTGCTCTGCATTCCCTCGATGTGCTGAGCAGCCCGCCAGAGATGTTCAGCTGAGGCTGGAGACTGTGCACCTTCTTCCAGAGGTGCACCGCAAAAGCAGAGCGCTGAATCACACTGGATGGATACAGGCATTGTGCCGTGTAGCACAGAGCATATCTTGCTCGAAAGTGCCCATGCCGCATTTGCACCGGGACGCGTGCCGCCGTCGGAAGTTCAGCTGAAGTTATCTGTGCACCACATTGTTGGTAAGGGACGGATTCACTACAGGTAATGTGTGTTTATGCATCTACACGATTTGCACAAGCATTTTGTCCCAACAGGAAAACCGAGCCGACCTGTCCCGTGTTGTCGCAAGTGGCTCACCTGAACTAAACGCCAGCCATATCATCTTGCTGAGTGTCTTTGAAATGAGATCGAACCGAGACCAACCCACTAAAGGGCGAACATCTGGAATGTGTACCCGATAGTATGCTTGAACGCAAACAGGAGCTTCAGCACGTAGAGTATGTCCTTGTTCAGAATATAAAACTGCCTCTGACCTCCATCCCAGAGACAAGCGACTCAAGCATTCCCGAAGCCATTCTGACCACATACCCGTCCCAGGCTCCCAGCTATCCTTGCACCACGCATCACACGCAACAGCAACAGCCAAACGCCACGCTGATCACAACGTCGACAATGAAAGTCCGCATATACAACTCCGTCAAGGAAGACCAATATATCGCTCTCGCAGATGTCCCCATCGACGGCAAGCCACATAGGGTCGGCGACTTATGTAAGCCCAACGACCCAGCATATCCGGACAAAGTCACCGGCAACACGGTGTATATTCGCGACTTCCACGGCGCCAAGTTGACCGTGACTACTCCGTCCGGACTCAGGTTGGCGCGCGATCCCCAGCAGGTGGCAGTGTGTGCGAGAATCCCTACCGAGGAATGGCCTCTCGGGGAGCCCGACTCGGAAGACTACGATGTGACCGAGCATACTATTACTGCTACCAGGGTTGCTTGAGCAGGGTACTCATCGATGGCCACCGAAGCATGGGGGGATTGAGTTCTTGCAGTCCAGACAGTGAACCAGTCACGCTATATCTGGTGGCAGTGCAAAGAAATCAATCTCCGGTGCAAGTTGTCTCCCGTAAAGTCAAGAGCCTGTGGATGGACAGTGACGAAGCAGGAGTAATGGGGATCGACATATTTTCTGGTGGGCGACGAATGGTTGCATGGTAGTACCATTCCTCCGGCGCGGTTCGAACGCGTCGAACGTGTTCGTGAATGATAAGCTACACATTTGCTGTACCTTCGAAGGCCAGTCTATTTACTCATATAGACGTGCAATGGTGACAACGAAGCGATTGAATTTGCGCAGGTTGAATAGGTGCTATTGTACATGACATGTCAACCTTTGTCTTTGAGCTCTTGCCCAAGATATAACCTGCCTAACCGGAGCGTCCTGTCCTGTGTACACACAGGCGAGGAGTTAGAGATTCAGAGTACACACATACTTGGCCCGGCTAACTCGTACACCCCCGCACTCACCGACGGCATATGCTTGTCGTTTGTGGTAACGTTCTGAGAAACTGAACAGCATCATGAGTATCGGCTGGCCCAATGTTGACCGAAATGATCGCGAACCTGATAAAGTACGTCTTAGGATACCTGCGCAACTGGAAGACAGTGAGGAGGACACAAGGACAGCCCCTTTCCCAGAATGCACATGTTGTACTCCGTACGCAGCAGCACATGTACCATTGACTTTGCCATAAGTTCTCTCATGCCGGCGAGCGGTGCACCCAGAGCATCACTTCCCTCCATGTACCAGTACTTCCATATCCCCGAGATCTGCGAGATCTGCGAGCTTGGTCATGTTCTACACATCTACTCCGTAATTCTCCGTAGGTCTGCCGTACCTGATACAGCCCGGCGCATTTGCCATCCCATGGCCCATCAGTCGTTCCCATGCGCCGAGCTGGGAAGGTATAGTATCTTGAGGATACCATGCTACAAGCGCTGAGACGATTGGTTTCAGGTGGCGAAGAACTCCTGACAATCATCGCTCGTTCACTTCGTACGTATTGAGGATGACAGACCCACGCAACGAAGTGCCGCCCCAAACAGGATCATGTGGAGGTTTCAGTACTCATACTGCGAACTTTCCTGATCCGTACTCCGTGGTGAAAAGGAGACGCAACGCCAAGTCTCCCGCTCGTTTGTATGCCTGACTTGGGTTTGGCATGGCATGGCTTGGTCCTTTTGAAGCGAGCAGTAAGCGTGATTACTGTACCCAATTCGATGAAGTCGCGCCCGGGCATGCTGCCCGCTACGCAGGGAGGCTTCGTCGTTATCCTCATCTCGGTTCTCTAGTGTGACGTTGACCAAGTGGCAGGATCGGCGGAGTTGGTGACGGTGGAATCGTGAACAGTGGCATGTGCTTTCTTCGCCGTTATCACTACGAAGTACGGGGTACGAGGCTGATCTTCCTTGGCCTCCCGTTGTTTCAAGTCGGTAGGAAAGGGGAAGAACGGGGTGAACGACATCTAGAAGGGAACAGGTAACGGAGGGAGGTTGAACGACATGTTGGCCGCTCCGTCCATGAGGAGACGTCGACCGGATGCAGCGGAGATGGCAACCTCCCGCTGGACTCTCCGTACGGCGTCCGCTACGGTCTTTGGAGGCATGAGTATGCTCTAACGTGCCTTGATTGGAGAGAGTCTTCTCCCTTTCCTGTAGTCCGATGTCAAGGAGCCCGTGCCTCAATATTGCTACAGTCGTTGCTATGCGAGCTTCGAGTTTGCCTCTGTATTTCAACTTCTCTATAGCACTAGCCTTGAGTTCACTCGACATGGGCATGGCTATCTCAGTACTCGACGGGAACATGTTTGGGTTGGCACGCCATTTCTTTTGGCGAGCCTGGAACATATGATCTTTTGGGCTATGTAAATGGCTGCTCCTGCTTGTGCCAAGTAGAACGTAGGCACATAGCAATTTGGACGCCGCCGAGGTTAGAGAATCTCGGGATAACTTTTACTGTACAGTAGAGATCGTGGTTATGGCTGAACGCTCCAAAACATCATCCATCAGGAGGCCATGACTGTGTCTTCACACTTTCTCACAGATATTTTTCCGACATCTTGATATTCAACATTGTTTTCCACTCAAGGCGCCTTGAAGAATTCCTGCTTCGACTCTGTCCGGCGGGCATCGAACTCGGCTCCGGGGACGCTAGACGTAGAAGTCATCTCGAAGTTGGAGTTGTCGCTCGACTTGCTGTAACCTTGCCGCGACGCGTAACCTTGTCGGGACGTGGCTCGAGAGAAGAGATTTCTAGCCGCAGTCGATTTGGTAAGGAGTCGACCACCTTGGTATACCAGCGGTAAGTTGCAGACGACGACGGCGACGAAAGTTTCTCGCACGGCCCAACTGCCAGCCGCTTGAGCACCTCCGATTGGATCCTGTAGAGCTTGTCAGCGCTCGATACTGCATGACCGGCATTTCTACCGTTCAGCAAGAGGTATACCTCGAGAACCAGAGCCGCGCGAAGAATGCCAGCGGCCATGACGAAGATTGCGCCGCTAAAAATGAAGATCAAGGATAGCTTCTGCACCAATGGGACATCCGCTTTCATGAGCATCTGAAAGCCAAACATCGGGTCAGCAATAGTCATGGTGCGACGATAGTACGTTTGTGCCATCGACTCACCGGGATTGGGATGGACAGCAAGTATGCGTCCGAGAAGACGTTCAGCACGACAGTAACGTAGAGGTCAATTCTGGAGATGGCAGGTTGGCAATGATCTGGAAAACGGGTAAGCCGAAGCATCTTCGAATCCCGCCGGACGCCAAACTCACTGCCTGGGTTCGGGTAGATCTGCCAATTCTTGTGGAATGGATGGCATCCGAAAAGAATCGACAGCTCAGTAGCCAGGTATGTCCCAATGACAACGGCATAGCCGACACGAACTCTCATCTTCATGTGGTCGAGGCTCTGCCTGTGCGTAATAGGTCAGCGCGTTGCCGTGCGATGGAGCGGAAAGATAACACCTACGTCAGTCGCTGATAGAATATGATCATGCACAACTTCAAGACCCACAACAGTAGGGTGTAAAGACTCCAGCCTAGGAGCTGGGTCTTCGAACCGTTCTGTCGGAACTGATATTCTTGTGAACTCGGGTCCAAGGTCCGCCGTTGTTCGTCGGTCATCCCATTGTTCGCCAGGCCGTGCCACCACGCTCCTACAGCATATGCTGTACCTGTCTCGAGACCATAGATGACCTAGACATGTCAGACTGGGCGTCGCGTAGTGTTTCAGCCAAGACGTCGTACCGTGGCAAACAGCATCAGATAATCACTGTGATTCCAGCCCGGTCAGCATTGAATGTATCTGGCAAGTGCTTGAAGGTGGTAGGAGACACAAGACTTACTCAAGCCATAACCCCTTGATACCAGCAATAGACAGTCTGGAGGCAGTCCTTACTGCCACGACGAGCACGCCCACTCCAAGGAGTGTAAAGGCCTCGGTGTTGAAGTCAGTCGCCATGGCGAAGTGTCTGCAAGCACTGTCTTGAAATCGAAGGTATGAATATAGAGTTCCGGAGCAAGAGCACGAAGATACCGTGACGTGGCGGAGGTGATATAGAAGATATGTGTCCCCTTGGTCCCCACGTGAGGTTGGCAGTTGTTGAAGGCTCTCTGTTCAAACTGCAAACGGACGTACTCCCGGTCGCATCATCCAGGAACCAGGAGTTTGTGATTCCCACTTGGCACGCGAAAGGTCTTGAAGGACATGGCCCTCCCAGCCGGAGAATATCACAGTATGGCGTAAGGATGCATCATCGACAACAACCGGGCGCTATGCTGCATCTTACCCTGGTGCTCCTGGAGGCCTCGCACAGTTCCCTAGTCTGAAAGAAGCCATTGTCCGGCCGGTTCGGGTCAGCTTCATCAATTGTCAACCCCGGCAAATTTCGCAGTGGGTATCAATGTAAAACTCTATGCGAGGCGACAAGGGACCTCATCTGGAGTCTATGCTGCTCGGTAATTGGCTGGACAAGTTAGCAAGGCTGGGTGCTCGGACAGCGGCATGGTTCGAGGCTCCATGTGCGCAGAAGTTATCAAGAAAATGGAGGTGGCCAGTCACGGCCGTTGAAAAAAATGGCATGTGTGGAAATCTGCCGGTAGATCATCCGTTGTTGTGTGGACCGGAAGCCCGAAGCAGCGGTGCTAGAAAAGACGTGAAACTTCGGTAAATCGGTCGTACAGCTCAAAGCGTTCGGAGTCGCTGATCTACGGAGTACTGTGGTATTCGAGCAGTGGAGTGAAGTGAAGTGAAGAAGCCAAGAAAGAAAGTTCAGGAAATCCCCGGAAGAGATCGACAGGCACTAGCCCAAGTTCCCCATGAGCGGCGATTGGCTCGGTCCTCGGTGCCTCTTGGCTCTCAAACCCCGCCAACAAGGAGCCACTAAACGAATGTTTCTCGCCTCTTAGAACAGCCGTGGGCAGCCGGCCCCCACCAAGGACATTTTTCGGCAGTGAAGAGGCTCGAGGGAAGGGCCGCTGCCCGCGCTATGCGACGGACGGAGTACTGAACAGCACTTTCTCACTTGCGTCTCACCTCAAACTCGTCACTGCTCTGCATTTTGTCAGCTAATCCTGACAGCTGGCTTAAACTTGACATGGATACTGATATCGCCCTGCCTGGGTTGCTTGTTTATCAAGAGATCAAGACTTTGCTCATATCTCTTTCTTTTGCCAATGTGGATCTCGGGGCTGTAGCCCTGGACGCCAATGCAGACGCACTCTTGACGGTGGGTTTGTGAGTGGTGAGCTCGTCTCCGCTTGACACTTCAATTACTTAAGGACCCCCCCATCAAGCGAACCTGTCAAGTGAACACAATTGCAGTTTTGCCTCAGGTACTGTGGTACTGTGCTAGTTCGGGCCCATCGACGCATCCGCAGGGAGATGGCGTCCAAACCGCGAGACAAGCATTATTTTTTTCAGAAAATGATCTTCAGGGTTGAGGTGTCAGTGTCTTGTCCAGCTACCCCGTCCTGTTCGCCTTTCGCAATGTCTCGTGCTCTTCGTTGCAACGGCTCTTGAGGACGGCTGTAACCCATACGAAGCAGTCGCTGACGGGGTACACTCCGCGCGAACTTCCCTACGAACGAGGGCATTTGCAAGTCACCGAGCTGCACCGCGTCGCTGGCACGAAATTCACCACTTTTACAATCCATGCTCTGACTGCATATCCGAAGTACACCAAGTTTCTCGGCGCAACGAGTTGCTCGTTCGGAAAGGACAACCTCAACTAACTTCCTGGGCCTGCCTCAAACCCTATCGCGTATTAGGTTTTGCCATCGACGAGGGGCGCAATCACGCCGAGCAATATTTCTTATCGCCTGAGCGGTCAGGCAATTATCACCAGTGGGAAATCCAACCGTCAATTTTAACTGTTGGATGGACGAGCACAAACATCTCAACCCAATGGATAGATTTGACCTCGTCGTCGTGGGCACCGGTAAGTCCGGCCTCATCCAAGTCTCAATCAGAATACCTCCGATCGCCCATGGTACCGCGTACGACAGCTAACATGCTCTTTCGCTGGCGTCTTGAAAAGGCTGGTACGGCCTCGCAGCCGCGAAAACATACATCGAACTCCATCCGTCCGAGAATGTGGCCGTCCTGGAAGCCAACACGTCAGTCGGCGGCGTCTGGGCTCAAGACCGCCTCTACCTGGGCCTCAAGTCCAACAACATGCTGGGCACGTACGAATACCCTGACTTTCCCATGAAACAGGATACCTATGGAGTCAAGCCCGGCGAGCACATCCCAGGGACTGTCCTTCATCGCTATCTCACGGACTATGCCGACAAGTTTGGCGTCCTCGAGCGTACACGGTTCAACACTAAAGTCGACTCCGTGGAACCAACACAAGATGGAGGCTGGCTAATCAAGACGTCTTCCCCATCCTCTGATTCTGCGACTGCTGCTTCTTCCGAGCAGAAAAGCTCGACCTTCGAGACCAAGAAACTGATACTCGCCACGGGGTTGACATCGCAGCCATATATTCCCGATATACCCGGCATGCAGGATTTCGAGGGTTCTTTGTTCCACATCCGAGACTTCGCCAAGAAAGCTGACACTATCGAGGCCGCGAAAAGTATTGTCGTTGTCGGCGGCGCCAAATCAGCATGGGACGTCGCGTATGCCTACGCTACCGCTGGCGTACAAGTCGACCTGGTGATTCGGGAGTCTGGCCGCGGACCCGTCTGGATGGCGCCGCCCTACGTGACGCCGCTGAAGAAATGGCTCGAAAAGCTCGTCCACACGCGCTTCCTCACGTGGCTCAGCCCTTGCATCTGGGGTGCCGAGGACGGCTACTCTGGAATTCGCAACTTCCTTCACTCGACCTTCCTGGGTCGCGCCATTGTTTCCACCTTCTGGAAGATCCTCGCGAGTGACGTGATCGCGCTGAATAAGTACGACTCGCATCCGGAGTTGAAGAAGTTGAAACCGTGGGATCCGGCGTTCTACATTGGCAGTTCACTGAGCATTCACAATTATACGACGAGCTTTTTTGACCTCGTTCGAGAAGGCAAGGTTCGCGTGCATATCGATGAGGTCACTGGCTTTGGACCACAGTCAGTGAGCTTGAAATCCGGGGATACTCTCAAGCCGGACGTCGTGGTCTTGGCGACGGGCTGGAAGAAAGAACCCACGCTGCACTTCGAGGCTGGGAGCGAAGCTGACGTGGGACTTCATCACTCGCCCGCTGACCTGGATGAGCTAGCTAAGGACGCGGACCGAGAGATTCTTCAGAAGCTGCCAAGCCTCAACGCTCAACCGCCGCGAAGAGGCCAGCTTGAAGAAAAGTTGTCCGAAAGAATGCATCAACCTCTCCGGATGTACAGATTCACAGTGCCCCCTGCTATGGTTCCCAAGCGAAATATAGCTTTCGCAGGGATGCTCTCCTGCATTACGACGTCGACCGTTGCCACTGTCCAAGCGCTCTGGATCTGCGCCTTCTTCGACGGCAATCTCAGCAGACTGCCTTCTTCGCAGGACGACATCCGATGGGAGACGGTTCTGCACACCCAATTCGGCAAGTGGCGATATCCTACTGGCTATGGTCCCAGCTTTCCAGACTTTGTCTTCGATGCAGTTCCCTATCTCGACATGTTGCTGACTGATCTGAACGTGAACTCGCACCGCAAATCAGGGAAAGTGGCGGATATGTTTGACCCCTATGGACCGGAAGATTATGTCGGCTTGGTCGAGGAATGGAAGGCGGGACGTGAAAAGAGCGAAAAGGCTTAAGATTGATCTGACGGTAGCGCTGATCGCGAAATGTGGATATCGGCTAATTCAGCAAAGCCGAGATGCTCTCCTGCAGCAACCTCTTTGTGCTGCGTGTCGATGAGAAACGAAACTGAGCTTCCGACACCGCCATTCGAGCCCGTGAGCTTCCACTTTGTCGGTGTCCCGGCATGACAGCTGAAACGGGAAGGATGGAATTAAGAAGCAAAGCTTTGGTCGATTGGAACGAGGATGTCACTGCGGCTGCATAGAGGTTGAAACGCCCGGTAGAGTTGTCTTAGTGTGGCTTTGTCCAACTCTGTGCACTGAAAGACGCAGTCGACAGAAGAGATTGTACGAATAGTGGTTTAGCCGACTCCAAATGGGTCTTGGTTGATATATTGAGATTCATCTGGCAAGTCAAAGAGGCTTTCGAGTGTCGCGTTTGGCCATGTGAATGTTATACCTCCGACCAGTCCCATGAGAGTTGTTCGAATTGGCTCATGAGACTATCGTGCGCACCACCACTGATCTGAGGCTGAGTTGTATGGATATTTATGTTTGTCGGAAATGGTAGTGGTGTATTCCGGTGGAAATGCATTGTTGTACTTCAAGTGAATATTATTGCTTTTGTTTCCAGAATCAGAATCCACAGGTCTTGAACGAGGTTGGACGCTCTGCCGTAAAGAAGAACTGTCCGGGGAACCCAAGATGAGCACAGGACTCTCTTCGGTGTTATTCCAGACCCGAGATCTTGGTCTCTGGCTTCGTACAGGTGGCTGAGAAGGTCGTGCATCTTGCCGGATGCGACAGCCCACGGCTTCATCTCCCTCATCAAGGACAGAGTAATCTGTCCTTGCCTGTGACATTCATCCCTGATTTGGCGGACTGCGTCCCTTCCAAAACTGGAATGCTTGAAGCCTATCTGGTGGGTCTTGCGCTGTTCGGCAACCTTGGACGTTGATCTCCTCACGGAACACATACAAGCTCAGCAATGGCACCATGCACATTTGTAGCAAGTACCATGTAATATGATTGGGCGTTCCGGACGAACGCTTCTTGGCCGAGTCGACCGTCTCGGCAGAGAGGGTTGGGCATTTTCGTATGCACAAGCGCTGATCCGAGGTGAGGTCACCGAAAGGGATCCGGTTGAGGACGGCTTCCCTGAGGCTTGGCCAGTAAAGCAACAATTTCAAGTTGAGATAACGCCACTTGATCGTCAACAGAGGCTGGATGCATTGACTCGAGGCGGAGGCTTCTGGCGGTGTGGAGTCAACGTTCCCGATCAACCTGTGGAAGTAATTCGGGAGAGCTTCGTACCAATCAACAAGATGCGCGTCGAGGCTGAGCGACTCTGTGAAGGTCAATGTCGGGGCTGTCATCAAACGGCTTTGTATCTGTATCATTATGCGCGAGAAGCCAACGTTAATGGCCAATATTGAAGCTGAAGCTGAAGACGGAGAGTCTAGAGCGTCATCCGGCGAAAACATCCAGAGCAGTCAGCAACTGGTCACGGGGAAGGATATGAGGTTCGCGCGGGGGAGATGACCAACAAAACAGAGCCTTTCCACTTCTCTCGGACAGTGAATTTCGGTCTCAAAGACCCTTGTGTCTAAAGAGCGACCCAGAGTCACAGCCTCAGCTGCGTCAAAGACAACAAGATTCCACCAGATCTTCCGCCTCAAATCTTGAGGCTCTGCCGTTCCGGTACTATCGGGCAGTTCTTTGTGGAGGCCTGAGACATATGCCATGCGAACGGCAGCTTCAAGTAGGGCAGATGCAAGGTTTGGGCGGTTGCGGTAATGGTTGTACCAGCCAGCCATGAGAATCAAGGCTTGAAGTCTCAAAACTTTTGTTCCCAAGCCCCTCGAGATCCAAATGAGATTTCGCAGCTTGATAATAGGTCAGATGTTCTCTTGAATCCGTTTTCGTTGTCTCGATGGAACCTAACGCAAGCACCATATTAAACAAACATAGCAATAGAGAGTCATTTCGAGTTCCAGAAGAAGCAGTCTTTCTGAATTTTACCCCATCAAGCACTGACGTTGCAGGATGGACCCAGCGAAAGTAGGAATCAATCAAATTATTCACTCTCTCGGTTATCTGAGGAGACGGTGGTGGTCGGTAGGCAGCTCCAAGGGAGCGAATCGAACCACTTCGTTGGGTAGTCGCGGGACTTTGGCATGAGCGTTGTTGGCCCGTCGACTCGGGCGCAATCCTGATAATAGCGCGAAACAGTTGCATTGTGGAGGATGGGCTGACATACGACGAGGGCTGTGCCGACGTGGCCGAGAGGGCGTTCACATTATCTCAAGCCTCGGAGGAAGCATCGGTGCCTTGCGAAACAACCGCAGCGCCAGTAACAGTGCTTTCTTCCTCTCCTTGGCGGAGGGGGCCTTCTTGGACTGCTCCCTCTGGCAGCGAGACAGGAGATGTGACGCCGTCATGACCAGAGGCGTCGAGTTGAAGGCTTGCTCGGGGAGGCTCCTGTCTCAATATTTGTGTTCTCAGCGTCGAGGGCAGTCTTTCGAGCAGTTCCTCGCGAGAAAAGCCGCTCGGTGCATCGACTGCTTGTGAGGGAAACAACTTTGCAAGAACATCGGTTGCCATTTCGAGACGTTGCGGGACAGACTCAAAATTCCTTCTCTTGCTTGGCAATTTCCTTCGTGCCGATGATGGCCCATTTGGCAGTACTCACTTTCGACTCAGGATCAGCGCTGGGCGCGAGAATGTGTAGATGCATCTTTCCGGGTGCTTGTACCAGCGACATGAATAGCATGGGCGGCTGACTTTGTCGTTAGCACTGAAAAGTTTGTGTTCAATACCATAACCGGGAATCTGGCTAGACGGAGCAGCGTTTGCGGGGTACTTACGCCCCGTCACACTTGATCTTCCGACGCCGTAAACTATTTCTTGAGCCTACGGTCACCTGCAACCACGTAGAATGGTGCCGGTGGATGCCTGCACATGGCATCAGAATGAACAGGCTGTCTCTTCATACCGTGTGGAAGAGCGCTATTGCCACTGATCATATTCCGCGTTGCGTTGGGTCCCAGGTACAGGTTGACTGCGTGAAAGAGGAGTTTGTTGAGATAGATATCGTCAAAGAAGTATTTCGAGGGAGTCAGCGGAGGGCCTTGCTGGATGTTCTCGGCTCCGAAGTTCTTGTAGAGATTTCTCCTTGCTGAGTTCCTTCTTGGTGTCCTCGACCATGAAGTCGTTGATGACATCGAGGTGGTCTGGATCAATCACATTTTTGAGTACCACGACGCCGTCTCGGTGCACTCCAGAAAGGAATAGTTTGATATTAGCATCATTGAACCGCCCGGCAGCCTTCTCCTTGGGTGAAGGAGTCACTTCAACTGGGGTGTTCAAATGCTTGGCAGGCAGACCGGGCATATACTCGTGAGGCAATGAGAGCCTGCCGTCCTTCGGTTCAACCACTTTGCTGATTCCATTGGGCGACATAGTGATGGCTCGATGGCGGGTGTCTCGATTGCCCCAAAGTTTCTAGTCAAAGCAGTAGAGATAGACAATTCAGAGAGACTTACAGACTGGTGATATAGACCATCTCGACCTGTAATGTAAACATCATTGCTCACAAGTTCCTCACTAGGATGTACCATGCCACGACTAGAAATGGCCGTTCCATTGTGGACGGTCATGTCCGGAAACCTGACCGGGAGACACTTTGACGACACGGATCAGACGCGTCAATCTTCCGTGTAACCTGCCATCGCCGGCTTTGGTGGAGACAATGATAGGATCTGCGGTTGAGAAATCACTATTGTCTTCATGCGACGAAATTGTTCCACACGATAGCAATGGCTGTGGTGTTAGTGGGGCGAATGAAGTTGTCAAGGGGAAAGAAAGGAGGAATTAGAAACTATCCCGTAAGGCAAGGGGAATAGCACTAATAGTGAACTAGCTTGGGCGCAACTTCACCGTAGTCGCACCGCGAGCTCTGCTACGGAAGGGGACATGGCCAACATCCGCCGTTCCAGCAAATCTCGTTCCCGGTCCATTGTTAACTCTGGCCCTAAATCAGCTTCATCGCCAACTGACGAAACCTGGCCACGCTTTTGCACGCGCGAACACGTAAGCACAATATTTCGACTATATGGCGAGGATGCCACAGTCTAGTATGCTCCAAGAATGCGCCGCGGCAGGTGGAGGCCGTGATCGCTATTCGACGCGCGTTGCTGGCCAGTGCTCGAATGCTCCGGGAGAGGCAAGATTTACGTGCACAGCGCGCCGTGACTGCGGTTGAACAATGTAAGGGGGGTGGACTCTAAAGACTTTCCAATCCTAGCCTTTCCGACTGTCCTTCTGCTGCCTCAAATCTGATCCCAGGTGCAGCTTTTTCCTTGCAAGACCAGCCGGTCGACTCAACGCTGCCCTGATTTTGGCAGCACACACGCGAATTATTTGAGATGGAGCAGATCGTCCCTCTCTTGCACGAACCATGCTTAGACAACGTTGCTGAGAACTACCCTAACCCTTTACCCAGCGAACCATCCTTACCAATACCTCGACAACTAGAACCTAGTCGGTGGAAATGGACCCAACTCAATCACCTGCTGAGAAGCCTCCTCGGCGGCCTCTTACCGACCTACATGCACGGCGGGGCGACGACCGGCGAAAAGGATCCCCATCCGACGGCCTACCTTGACGCCCTGCGCGGCTACGCGGCTCTGATCGTTTTCTTCTACCACTCGTACCCACTCCCCAGCTTATGGGTGTTCCAGAATGTGTTCTTCTTCCGCGTCCTCTTCCGCGGCGGCCCCGGCATGGTGGCCATTTTCTTTGTCATCTCCGGATACGTGCTGAGCTACCGCATGCTCGTCATGATACACAACAGAGATACCGCCAAGTTGCTGGATTGTCTTGCCTCGTCGACGTTCCGGAGATGGCTCAGGTTATACGGCAGCACGGGCGTCGCGACGTTCGTAGCAATGGCAATTACCTATCTGGGGTGGTTTGGGCCACACGCTACAGAGAGAAAAGACACACTTCATGAGCAGCTATGGGACTGGTTCAATGACTGGCTATACTCGAGCGACCCGTTTGCGCACCTCCAAGGTTGGATCCATGGGGGCGCTTTCGGATCCAGATACTTGTACCAGATGTGGACCATCCCCGTGGAATACCGAGGCAGCATGGTGGTGTTGGTGTTTTGCGCTGCGTCGTGCAAACTATCGACCCGGTCGAGGTGGATCGCTTTGTGGGTGGTGGTCCTCCTGGCGTATTACTGGCGGGCGGTGTATGTTGCGGAATTCCTCGCGGGCACGTTCATCGCGGACCTGGCGCTGCTTCCACGTCCCGAGCGCGTGGGTAGGTTGTTGCCCCAAGCTGAAACAAGCGAGAAGCAGCCGCCATCAGGTGGGTGGCCGGGCCACGGCTTAGCAGGCAAACTCGGGTGCATCGTCATGTGTACGGTCGGGCTCTTCTTGCTCAGCCAGCCCGACGATCCCGACACCAACCCTGCGATTCCCTTTCCCTGGCCGTATTTGCTTCGACTTGTGCCCTCATGGTACGGCGAGGCTATGTACACTTTCTGGGTCAGCATCGGAGCCGTCCTGCTCATCTTCGCGCTGGATAACTACCCCGCGTTGCAAGTCCCCTTCCGTTGGAGTTTCTCTCAATACTTGGGCGATCTCTCCTTTGGGATCTACTGCATGCACATCATTGTGTTGGAGGGTCTTTTCAAGCCGATCCTGAACCCTTGGCGTGAGAAGACCCTGGGGGAGGGATATCTTGCCTGTTTTGCGATCGAGGCGGTCGGCACGATATGCGTGCTTTGGATGGCCGACCATTTCACGCGGTTGGACAAACTGGTCGTCCGGTTTGGGAGGTGGCTACAGAGAAGGACATTCCAGGAGTGGTAATGCATGCCAGTATACACAGGTGAAGATGAAGATGCATCCGCCAAACCGGGTATCATATGTTGAAGACTATCTACTCAGTATGTACTCGCACGTACTTTTGACCCACATGACAAAAGTGAGGAAATGCACAACCCAGTCTATGCTATGCCTCGTCTCGCCTCACTGTTGAAGTGGACTTGTTAGACGAAGCGAAGCCATGACAAGACAACCTGAGATCTTGACGGACGTCCATTTTCCAACTCACTGACGCCACGCCTATTTCGACAAATCATCCCCCCAGACCTTCTTCGCAATCTCGACCTCCAACCGGAGCTTCGCCCACTGCTGCTCCTCGCTCAACTCGTTGCCCTCCATCGTACTGCTGAACCCACACTGATGACTCACGCACAGCTGATCCAGCCCCTTCTTGCAGTACTTCGCGGCCTCGTTGAGCCGCTGGGTGATGGCGTCCTTGTCGTCCAGGTCGCCCTTTTTGCTCGTCAGCACGCCCAGGACCACGACCTTGTCCTCCGGCAAGTGCCGGAGTGGGGAAAAGTCGCCGGACCGCGCGTCGTCGTATTCGAGAAAGTAGACGTCGACGTTGAGATCGCGGAAAAGCACCTCGGCGACGGGTTCGTAGCTGGACAGCGTAGAGTCAGAGTCAGTAACAGTTAACATGAAAAACGGGGGAAAGAGGTCCCAAGACCCCGACACTTCTGGTGGGCCAGCTTACCCGCCCTGAGCGAACCACTGGCTCCGATGATTGCCTCTACACAGGTGAATCCCCACCGTCATATCGGCCGGCCGTTTCTCAATCGCGCGATTGATCAAACTGGCATACTGGCTTGCGATCTGACGCGCGTCGCTCCCATGCCGGGCCTCGGCCTCGGTCCGCATCTTCGGATCGCACAGGTACGCGAGATTGGTATCGTCGAGCTGCAGGAACCGACAGCCCGCGGCGTACAAGTCTGCAACCTCCTCCTGGTACACGCGCGCGAGGTCGTCAAAGAAGTCGTCCATGGAGGGATACGCGTCGAGGTCGATCGTCTGGCGCCCTCCACGGAAATGCACCATCGTGGGACTCGGGATCGCGACTTTGGTCGTGGCCTTGCCCGCGCCGCCGGCTTCCTGGATCTGGCGTTCGAGGAACCTAAAGTCGTCGACCTGGATGGCCTTGGGATGGCCCAGTTTGCCCGTCACCACGAGCGTTGGCGGTTGGAAGCCGCCCTTGGAGGTGTTTGTGCTCATGAGCTGGCCGCGGACTTCGATCCCGTCCAGGTGCTGTAGAAAGTCCAGGTGGAAAAAGCCCCGGCGGAACTCGCCGTCCGTGATGGCCCTCAGCCCGGCGTCCAGCTGCTTGCGCACCACGTCGGCGATGTATTTGTCCTCGAGCGGCCGGAGGTCCGAGATCGAGGCTTCCCCTTTGGCAATCTTTTCGCGGAGTGCCAGGATTTCTTGCGGGCGGAGGAGCGACCCGACTTGGTCGGCGCGGTACACGCCTGTGGGGAGGGGCATGGTGTCGAAGTTGGAGGGTTGTGTAATTAGGGACAGTGGTGTTGACTACGAGACAAGGCAAATCCAGTCGACTTTACCCAACACACTGAAGCTGCAGCACCTTGTTCTTTAACTACAATAGTTAATGACCAAAGTAATATGCACTACGTGCTATGTACCGTGGTCGCTCTGGGAACCACCTTTGATCTTTCTTGAAAATTCATGCACCTTGGTTCTGCTTCCGCCAGCCAGATTGCACGTCTGCAACTGCCGGGGATCCACCCTTGTCATACTTTCCAGGTGACTTTGTCCCATCGATGCGGCAGGCATCTAAGATCTCCACAACCACAACGTTCTGGCTGGTCCCCGAGCCGGACTCGACCTACGTCATGCAGTGACCCCTCGGTACTGTAGGCCCTGCGGCACCGTAGGGCTGGCTCTGATCTAACGTGCCTAACTAGATAGGTAGTCTAGTCACGCACCTAGGTATGTACATACAACAGCGGCAGCACTGTTTGCCTTCGAAGCGCTTGAAACTTGGAAGGCCATCGGTGGTCATCATCGTGAGCATCCGGACTCCGTCGTCGTGCAGAGGGGTTTACCACGACGGTTACGGGGATCGACATGTCTTCCTATCTGTCAAGTGCTCGTGTACTCTGTTCTTACTTGTCAGTGTCCTACAAGGTAATTATCCGTCGTCGCGAAACTCCCACACTGTACGCATGCGTGCACTGGGGCTCTTGGGACAGTTCAATTTCCATGGCGTCGGGGAATTGCGGCCCAAAGCATAATCTCGAATCGAAGATGGAGAGGTGATTTTGAACAGAGCATGAGTGGTAGATGCTAATGAGGAGAAGAATCAGGTCTCGCCCAGGCTCGGTTCGAGTAGTTGCGGTACGTTAAATCGCGTGCGCGTGGGGATATGGAGCCCGAATCTCATGACGGGAGCTGCTTCATGACTCAAGCTCGTGTCCCTCTCGCCGTCGAGATAAGTAAAGCATGATGAAAGCGAGAAATCATTGTCGGACAAGGTCAAGAGAACTCAGGACATCCTTTCGAAAGTAGTCATGTTCGCCTCGCTTGTTTCCTGTGGCTCATCCTCATGCTCATCCTCCACGACCCCTCCCCTTCTCTCTTCTCTCTCTTCAGTAATGCCTCTCCTATTCACGCACACGGACCTCCCAACCCGCACGCATACCCCAGCGAAACATACCTCGCCGGATGCACGACGTGGAACCACCCCGAAAAGCACACCATGACACACGCCTCAAACACCCAAAAGTACGCCTCGTCCACCCAGACGCCAGAAAGAGGCGACATGAAGACCTGAACCGTGCGAAACACATTCCGCACGACAAGTAACACGGTCAAGCCCAACAAGGAGACCACAAATATGTGCGACGATCGAGCCGTGGGCCCACGTCGTCCTCCGACTGCATCTGCATCCTCCGTGAGAAGCCCACTGATACCCCTGTGGCTCCCGTTGCTGCGACCATTCCGCCAATTCATGAACACGACGACAAGGACACATAAGACGACGGCATTGAGGGACAGCTGCAGGAACAAGCTTGCCTTCAACAGCGCGAGAGCCGAGGTGATGGCTGATCGTTTCGCCGCCGGGTCGAAATACGTCGCGCACCCTTGTGCCGTGCAGGATATGATGGCGCTAGTCAACGCCCAGATGACGATGTATGATATTGTTTGGTTCAGCCAGGGTAGAAGCTCGGTGCTGACGGGAGAGCAGAGGAGGAACGTGTACAGAGGGAGCGCGAAAACCGGGCTGTGCGGGATAGGAGGGCCGTGTAAGCTGCGTTCGCGAAACGCGTGCACACTGTAGGGGAGGACCTACGGTGCGCTGTAGAACAACCCCTGCACGACGCTGGCGAGGTCATCTGCTTCAGTTGTGTCCGCGCTGATCTCACGACAGATGAAGCCGGCCATCATGAGAATGCAAGCGCATGGAAGCGGCCAGGTATACGGCCAGGACCGATACTTCCTGGTCAAGGACATTTCGTATCAGAGACGTGACATGTCGTATCAGCAACAAACAACACTGCTTGGACAACTCTACCTGCTTTGCCAGAGGTGCACTCCACAGGAGATTGCGAAGAAGACCGCAAAGACGCCGGATGGTCCCTGGACGACATCGGCAAGGAATTTGTTGATGTCGGCTATTCCGAGTTTGCTCAGTACCCGTGTCGTTCCTGGCTTTGCGCACACTTACAGGTCTGATGCATCGTTCTGGATCGCAGGCAGCCGTGCTGAACAAGATGCTTCAGTCGAGTCGACTGTCGAAACGTCCTTCCGGCGGCAAGCACTAGAAAAGTGGCAGAGTGAATGCCCGTGGTTTTGACAACAAATTTCAATATCGACAGATATCCACAACATGTGTACGGGGTATCAATTGAGAATCTAGTAATATAGGGGTGGCGTGCTTCGTTTTCGGAAAGGCAATCAGCCTTACGGCCGTCATCCGACAAGGTTGACTCCGTCAATTCGTCGACATTGATGCGACAAGGAAAGGCTGCATCGCCATTGCGGCACAAGACAAGCAATGGCAAATAGTATTCGCTCACCAAAGCTGCCGAGTCAGCCTTGCCATGGAGCCGGGAGCACATCTTACCCCACAAAGCCAAGCAACTGGCTGGCAACTCGATACGAATACGCCAGCATCGGGGCATAGCGCCAAATAAAGCAGAGGTCAGAGGAACTATCCCCCGTTCAAAGCCACCATGAGGCTGAATTATTGGCAGTAGAGGTCCGAGCGAGAGGTCGATAACCGTGTGGAAGAGGATCGGTCCGAGACATTCGTATTGCCGCCTCCATCGGCGTGTTGGGCTCCCCCATATTATCGGAGGACCGTGATTAGGTTGCCCGAGGCAGACCTGCTCCTTGTTACGATATGAATGCTGTAGTCCCTGTTTTCCTCGTGGCGCGAAAGAGAGAGAATGAGCTCCAACCCGACGTGCCGTGGAGGGACGTTGCAGGACATTGAGGGGCCGGTAGTCCTATCGTACCTGAAGGGGATGGGTACTCCACCGGTGCTAACTCTGGTCAATGCGGTCGTCCGGACAATACGGCGTCTCATATTAGGCTCTGGGGTCGCACGATTATCTCCGACGTCCATAGTCATCCATGGCTCTGGATGTCTTGCAATGGTAAAGGAAAACTGGATCCTACCACTGTCTGCATGTCAGACAGAATAGTGCTGTACCCTGCCGTCAACTCAAGTGCCTCAGGCTCTTCCGACACCGATGGCTTCGTGGCCGGCATTAGGTTGTTGAGAACCGCCATCGGGAGCAATGCGCCATGCCAGTCGTTGTACGAATACGTCAGCTGAAAGTGAATTCTTCCTAGGAGAGCGTGTCCGAAAAGGTAATCGGGTGTGCCAAACGCTGCGCTGTGGAACACTAGTACCACAAAGTAGAGGAGCCCGATGTTCTTTCCCCAGAACGCGTCCAGATCTGTTTTCTGGAGAGCGCAGCGGATCCTCTGCAGGATTGATGTGCCGACGGCTTCGGAGCGCCAGTGTCGATGGTTGTCCACAGCTCGAATGAGGAGCAGTGAGGTCAGTCTGCATGCTTCGTAGACATGGTCATTCGAGGATGGCAGGTCAGGCACTGCCGAGCATGGCATGTTGAATATGCGCTGGTGCAGCGACTTCAGGATGAGGCTGTTTAGTGGCGCTTGTTGTGCTGCAGGCGATGTCCTGAGGCGCATCCATATTTTGATCGTCGATTGAGTCATCTGCAGGAGAAGCCGAAGGTGTTCTCCATCCACGAACGGAAACGGGTCTTCACTTAGGTCTTGCCTCCCGTCGTAGAGAGGCGAGTATAGCTCCGGTTCGGGATGGGTACGTGAGCGCCATCTGTCTTCGAAAACACGCTCGTACTCTCTGAGCAGCGTACGTGAATCCGCTCGCGGTGCCAGCCCAGAGGTTGGTATACCACATCGTCTTGCGACACTGGTGGCCAGGTAAGCTTAGGACGATGACCAGAACGATCTTCCCGCTTACGCAATGACAGTGATGACCCTGAGGATGTCCTTGCAAAACCTGGAATCTTCAAACATCTTCAGTCTGACGGCTTCTTGGATGAGGACAGCGTATGCATTGCGATGCATCAGATCTTTCAGGACGATAGCATCAGCCACGGTCGAACAGATGCTGTGGGAACTATCGAGGCTACGACTTTCACCAACGCAAAACTCCCTGCAATCGAGAAACATGTGTCAGAGAAATGACAACTTACATTCTTCGGCGCCTGCCAGCTCTCCCCGGACCTAACACAGTCAGCACCCGAACAATTGCGAGATGCGTGGCCTTTGCCGACCCCTCGGCTATGCGTGCGGAAAGCTCAGCGGGGTACACGTACTAGAGCGCACGTAGCCAGGCAGGCGATAGCAGAAATGGAGGTGATTATCGCAGCTCGAGATGCATCCTGAACGCTCTCACGGACAAGACGCATAGCTTCCACCTTCAACGCCCTCGTCGTGGCGGAACTTGACCCGGTCGTCAAGCCGTCCAGATGGACAGAGCACATCAGTAACATTGCTGTAAAGAATGTACAGTTCTTGGTCCCCTCGGGCCAAATTGTCTGTTGCATTTCTTTTTGGTTGTAGACAATGAAGACTATCGAGGTGGCGGGCAGGATCAGCCGATGTTGCCCTCCATGCAGACGGGAGTGGAACAGGTAACGGCCAAACAAGTAGGGGCCTACCATTGTGTTTGACTTGATCCAGGATGCCGGGGTGCTGCTCTTCCATGGGGAGCTGTGGAAGGCTATGAAAAGGATCCATCTGGGAACCATAGAAGGTGATCCCAGGACGATTACGCCGGCGACGTGCAAGAGGCTTGGGACAGGGACGTTAGGTGAGCATTGTTGACCGTGATAACCCGACGTACCTGGCCATTTTCGCGCCTAGTCTTATGCAGTTCGCGGGTAGTATGGGCGCGGATCTGGCTGATACCTTTCTTGTTGAGAGCGCCGTCCGATCCCATCAACACAAACTCGAATTCGGGAACGGACAGTGGCCCCTTCTTCTTCGCGGCGTTTCCATTGACGCATCCTCCGCCGTCGTCGGCAGCCATGCTTCTGCAAACTCCGTATGGAGACAAGCGCGACGACAGGAGACCGGAGTGCCAACTTCTGAGGAGATACCGGGCCCTTCCTGATGTCGTCCTCGTACGCTTCCAGATGTTTGTGGACGAGGTGAGTTTCCTGACAAGCGGGAGATGCACTGGGAGCTCTCTCACGATTCAAACATGTAGCCCGGTCAGCTGTAGAATCCTGACCATCGCGAAATCACCTTCTGATGCTCCAGAGGCTGAGGCAGCTTCGTACAGGAGGCGGCCAGAAATGCGGGGGTAGTGTATGACACAATGAAGACGAGACGCTCCTGAACCAATCAATGTCGGCTATTCGCTCCCAGCCTGACGCCGGTGGCTTATCTGCGCCTCATGTAAGCACTGTGCTGTGTACGACCTTTTACCCTTTTACCCTTTTAAGCCGTGTCGGCCGAAGGATGAAGCCCTGTTGGTCGCGCCTGTGCTGCTGAGGACCGCAGCCCACTAAATTCCGCTGTTTCCTGCGAGCAGGCAGCCTAAATCAAACATGCCACCGACATGGCTCCTGGTAGCGTTGTAAATCCATGATCAACAGTGTCCCGAAACCGCATACATCCAGGGGGTTCATGGCCTCGAAGGCTTCGACTCCACCGACTTTATTAGCTCGTCGAACTTCCCCAGCAGCTTTTCATGCTCCTGACTAAGACTCCTGAAAAGCCGTCCGAAGTGATTCCTGACGCTGACCGCCTCGTCTAGTTCCTCCTGCAACGAACGCATTCTTAGATTTGCTTCCGCAAGGGCCTGCTGCTGGCGGACTCGAAATGCTCTCTGCGCCGTGCGAATTTTGAGCCTTCCGCCTCCATGTACATATGGCATTAGCTTGCGACTCTGGCTCGGCTGGTCAGTAAGGGCACCGGCACTCATTTCGTTCCTGCTAGTGGTTGTGCTGATAGGATCGAACGTGGCGATCGGATCTTCTGATTGATTTGATGAACACGTTGTTGGGCCTGTGCCTTCGTCGACGAAAGGTATCCTCACACTGCAAAAGGCCGGACCAGCCTTACCTGGACTAGATTGGCGGTTTGGTAACGGAGCCACGCCAAGCAGCGTTTGCGGCGACTCGAGATAGACGGCGTTCAAGACTGGTTGGAAAGGTTCTGAGGTCCGAGTGTGCATCTTCGTGCTCCAAATGGTCCCCAGGGACATGTGACCCTGCATTGAAGAGCACGCTGACGTCGCAGGGCTCTGATCAATAAGGGTAAAGAATGTCGGACATCTCTGGCCACAAAAAACAAACACCTAAGCAGGCGTCAGGCAAGGACATATGCAGTGGTCCGCACTGGCTCTGCTGATCGAGGCCATAACCGCTGTTGCCGGCTGGTGTTGCTATATAAAAGAGTTGGCCAAGTTGATCGAGCAAACTCGTATTTGTCGATGCGATGATCCTACGCGCCGGGTTTGATCTGACTTTTAAACGAGATTTGGAGTGTAACAGAAAAGTTCAGCTTCGGGAATACCGCTCCAGCTCGCTCTTTTATCGTGCTGCGATCAGATATGCCGGCCTCGATGGCGCAGGATGTAGTGAAAAGTTTAGATAGCACCGGCGGCAACCAGAGGCATGCTTCCCTTCTGAGATTGTGGCGACATGGACGGCATTATGGTGCGCGTTCGAGATACAGGCAAGGGATCAGTGAGCTGCTTGCCGCGCTTGTAGGTCATGTGCTCCCGGCCGTAGTAGCTGAAGCGATGGGGAGCAATGCAGACATTTTAAGTTCTAACAAATGTGCTTGTTCCAAATTGTCTGACAGCGGCTGAGAAGGCGCCGTGAAGTGGGAAGATCGAGAAGGGAGGATAACAGAGCCGGGCAGGTCAGGCGCGCTATCGCCGGACTCACGCGCCTTGCAGAGCTCGTGGAGGCTGGAACGCCAGGAGATATCCAATCTAAATGTCCGCTGGTCGTTTCCGAACACTATCATACCATGAATATACGCATCGTCTGCGTTTGAGTGCATAGTATGACCACCCACCAGCGTTCATCCACCAACAGCTTTGCCTCATCTTCGCTACTCAGCTGTCGACTGACCTGGGTGGTCGTGAATGGTCGATCGTCGTGAGACACGAGCATACAGCATGGATCCGCAAAACTTGACTTAGGGGAGGACAACACCTGAGTCGGAGAAGCGAGCTGGCTGTACTTCCAGCAGCCTTTTCGATCCATCCACAATGCTCGAAATGCGTCTTTCCTCGGCAGAGCCCCACCCAAGTCAGGCGAAGGGTTGATCGGCGGCTAGGCGCAAACAATAGCTTCAGACTGGATCGGCTCTCAGCCTCAACAGAAACCGGGCCCTGCAAGACGACGTCCGTCTGCATGGGCTTCCATGGACCTACCGTATACTAACCCATAATTGGAGTTTGCGTTCCGATCAATGCGATTGAAGAAGCGGTAGCCGAGGGCCCCTGATGTACTGAATCCTCGACTTGTTGGGCTCGAGAAGCTACATGGGACGCGACACAGCCCACTAGACAACGCAACGCTTTAAGGGACTGAAAGGCGTATACTGGAGAGGTGGGTTAGAGTGCTCCGCGCTTACCCGTTCCCCAGCCGCTCATACCCCTAATGCGCAAAACTGGGAGCTTTGTGGATTTTATGAGATGTATCCCAAGCCAGCCAATACCGTTCTCGATTGATCACTCAGATATCATCCAGAGTTTGCGAGCCAGCTGCCCAAACCTGGGCGGCGATTAATGTGCTCGGTCTCGAATAGCCTGTGGCGGAGTCTAAACGTCCAAGATGTCCTGTCATCAACAAACAATATACACTCCAGGCTTTGGCGCCGCTTGGTAACAAGCATAACCGTTATGATGTAAGCGAACCTGCAAGGCTCAGAGCCAGAAGACGCTCACACACGGCGTCTGACAAGCTTTGCTGGATCCTCCCAAATAGTACCCTTTGAAGCGACCACAGCTCATGGTGTCATGCTGGATGCGGAGACACTTGCAACATCTCGTTCGAGTGCCCGCCAGCTTTGTCAGTGCTTCAAGCGAGGAGCACATTCAATTTTGTGAAGTGACGATGGTACAGGAGGCGCCTTCCCGGAGTCGGTCCATATTCATGCATGAATTAATGGCGATCAACTCCTTTCGCAAGGTAGTTGGCCATTACTACCTGGGTCCGGCGTCTCGTTATGGCCGTTGACTATTCAAGCATCGCCACTCGGTGGCCTGTCTTGATGTACGAAGCCGGGTCAGCCATACAATACTTCACACACCCCACCGATAGGCACATCCATGACGGCATCGGTACCCTCGTTCCAAACAAGCTTCCAATCGGGGTATGAGGGGGAAAGCCCTTGCCTCTGGTACTCATGTTGAGTCTGCGTCGAATAGATATGTGTAGAAATAAAGGGGTTCGGTGCTTGACGCTGATAAGGACTTGAGGGTGATGCCGAGAAAGATGGTGGCGAAGCTCGATAATCTCGCGCCGGCACTTCACGCGGCTCCGGGTCACGACCACTGCTTGCTCTTGAGGACTTTCGCTTTACTTTGTCTTGTGCCCGATGGGCCGCTTTCTTGCCTCTCCCAGATGTAGCTCGCGAGGACTCCATTTCTCGTTCAAGCTTCGCGCGCTCTTCCAGCTCTTTGACGAAGCGTTTGCTTCCGCCTTTCCTCAGGCGCCCAGAATGGTCGAGGATGGCCACATTCGCAGCTTCATCGACCATGCACTCCAAACTCCCAAGTGGAAGAGTGAGATACTCGACGTTGTAACTCAGCAGTGCAACATATATAAAAATCAGGAGCATGACGATCCATGCTGGAATGGCCAATGACCACCAACGATTGGGGTAATATGTAATTCCCAAGGCATGGAGGAACGGAGACGGTAGGTAAGACCAGAGAATGTAAATCAGGAAGGCAAGCGTAGAGGCCAAGTACAAGACAAAGCCATAGTACTCGTATGTCGGGACCTTTGGAGAGGTGGGTGGTGGTGGGTTTGCACGCCGGGCCGAGTGAGCCACAGCAGCTTCAGTGTCGTTGGGGGTCTCCACGTCGGAGCTGTCAGGTGTGGTAGGACGTGTAGACGCTGTAGAGCGATTGAGCAGAGATGGGGGTCGAAGAAGGGACGTTAGACTTGGAGACGGTGGCAGAGGAGTGGGCGGGCGATTGTAGAACGGCGGATATAGTGGCGGAGGTGGTGGGGGAGGCAGAGACGTGGTCGACTGAGAGGTATGAAGCTCACCAGATTGCTGTTGGGGGTGAGGATGCATTTCTGTTGTCTGTGGAATCGGAGGCCGAGCAGGCAATGAGCGGACCCTGGACAGCAAGTCTGGTCTTTTCGGCGCGACTGGTGGATCTCCATTCTGTCGCCGTTCCTGGCGCCCTTCGTCTCCATTGTCCTGCAAAATCCCCTGTCCCTCATCTTCCTCCTCAGAGTACTCGGACTCCTGGCGGGAGTAATGTGACTCAAAATCATCGTCGTCCAAAGTGACGCCCGCTACATCCGCGGCGTTATCCTCCTGCTCCGCGGCTTCGCCCAGTGTCAACTCGCCTCCGAGTGAAGCCGATGTATCTACCCCTTCATTTGTGCTCGCATCTCTATCATCCGCTCCGTCTTCTGCGCCAAGCTCAAATGATGTGACAGCTCGGGTCCTCCGAGGAGTGGGTGTGGGTGTGACAACGTCTCTATCTGGTATGACCACGCGTGGACCTGTGGGAGTTCTTTGATCGCTGGGGACCAGCACTGTCGGCGAAGGTAAATTCTCCAGATACGGCCTCAGTGTGAGTGGGATAGAATCCGACTTCGAGTACGGGCGCTGGCCTGCAGTCGGCGACATTCCTCTGCTTTGTGGAGGCATATGCAACCATTGTGAAAGAGGACTCGCTAACGCGTTGAACAACGGGAAACAAGACGCGGAGAAGCAGGAGGGACCGCCAAGCCTCTGAATCACGTGAAACGCGGCGTCTCGGAAAATTATCCCTGCGGCCCGTCAGGTGATATATTCCGTACTATGTGAAGCACTGGGCACACGAGCAGAAGATTCATAACATGGTGTCACACAGAGGTTTGGTATTACTATGATAATCGGGTCACCATACTGGCGAACAGTTTAGCGCATTCAGCCTCGCTCGATCTCAATAACTATCTGTTCAATGTACTAACGCTCAGAAAGCCCAGGTCGTAACTTCGTCCACGAGCCAAAGGCTCCTGTTGATGGATATTATAGTCCCTTTTCCCTTCTTGGAGCCCGCACGGCTGCCCTATCTTTGCGCCAGACCCTCGACACTTCGTAGCCCTAGCCCAACGAACCCTCCGCTACTCCACGCTCGAGAAGATGAGAAAGAGCTTGCGCTATTCTTGGCAATTCGCGGAGCAGGCAGAGGCGGTGTAGGAAAGTCGGAAGGATCGAAATGTTGCACCTTCTTCGGCGTCGTCAGGCCGGACGTTGTTGGTAAGGGAACGTCATGCTTGGGTGTGAGTTTGCTGAGGCCTTTGATCGCTTGTCCAATGCTCTCACTTCTTCTTCTCAGGGTAGAGAAGGATTTCTTTCTTTGCATAGCAGACTTAGCCTCCAGGCGATCCGAGATCTCGTCATCAGCTGAGGGCGTGGGCGGAGATGGCAAGGCTGTTATGGTGTTGCCCGCTCCTGCCACTGATAATGAAGAGCTCTCCGACGCAGGTATGCTTGCGGTCGAAGGTCTGCTGATGTGACTGGAGGGGCGAGAGATCGACCTCCGATGCGTCGCGGAAGGAATAGTAGTTGTGGGGGTCTTGATAAGGTTCTTGACGCTGCTCATGCGTGCATGGCTCAACGCTGTCGATAGACGAGGCATACTTGGCTTTCGTTCAGCTTTTGCCCTTGGTACTTCCTTGCATGGTAATGGCAGGGATTCTTGGCTAGCAGTGGCAATGAGCTCGAAAGCGTTATCGGGCAAATTAGGCACTTCGAAGAGCGTGGCTTCAGCCGCGGGAAAGGCGGAGCGGATACTGCTTATTGACTGACGTTGCGCGGATCTTTCCACCGCCTGCGGCACCATCTGGGACAGTGGGCTCTGCAAAGAAGCTGTCCTTCGTTTGCCTCGATGAGATATGCTGACTATGGATATCAGCGACGGACGCGATTTGGGCTGTTGGTAGGAGATAGGCGTAGCTGTCTCGATTGGGGAAAAGGTCTCATCCGTGTCGAGGTCAGGGCTGAGTGTCTCCGACAGTGGAGAGTCTAGGATCGTCGAGTAGCGGTCGTATCTGAAGTCAGACAGAGTAGCGAGCGATGCCTGCAGCAGTGGTTTTGGGGAGTGAGGGATGATGATTCGATTCTCGTCCAGCTCCATTCGTTGGAGAACTTCATCTTCATCCGGTATCTGGATTTTGAGCGCCGTGATAGTGTGGGAGGCGGTAGAGGGTTGCCCGCCAAATCTGGCTTGATTCTGCAGCATGTCGTCCGGCGTCAGTGCACTTCTCTCCGACAGTGTTGAGACAGAAGACTCTCGATCAGAATGTCTAGCGCTCCCGTCGCCCTCATCTGCTGTATCGCGTTCAAGGTCATCCGTATATGGAGACTGGCGATCCACCCTATGATCGTACATCAGAATCCTTCTCTTGTGCTCCGCGTATCTCTCTCGGTCCAGCGCCAGCTGCTGCTGTCGTTCTTGACTCTTTCTCTGTCTAGCGGAAACGGAGCCCATCTTCCGGGCCTTCAAGGCGTGATCCATCGGTTGGGAGTCGAGTTCGTCTGAGGTTGCGGCAAGGTCGGAGGTCGTCAACGGCGAGCCGTTACAGGAAGACATTCTCGGAGCCATGACGGGAAGTCTGCAGAAGCCTTGACAGGTTCCGTGCTGCAGGCTGGCCGATGAGAGGCACCTGCCACCTGAAACTCTAATAGTAGCAGGACCCGTTTGATGGCAACGAGGCTGCTACACAGTACAGGGTGAAATGTGCCTGGGATAACCTGGACACAGAGATCGGGCCATGACAGAACGACACACTCAGACTTTTCCAGCTCCGTTGTCTCTCCAAAGAAAACGGCAAAGCGTCAACCACGATCAGCCACTTCTGCTAAATTCAGAGTCGTCGACCAGGATTTTGGCGAGAAAACAAAATGCCCGGCCCAATGACGGAGGAAGAGTCGATACCGGATTGAGAATACGAGACAAACTCTATCTGGCAGCCGAGAAAGGCGGAGAGAGGCGCGGACTGACGATCAGGTCATCGAGACTGAAAATGAAATTGCAAGGAAGCGGCGGCCTGAGCCCGCAGACCGTCACGAGTCAGAGCGAACAGAAGATCTTCTGTTCGCCGTTTGATGAAAAGTGTTAGAGGCTGCTGCAAGTTCGAGGGGAAGTGGAGTAAGCGGGAAGCCCTGGTGGATGGCCAACGTTTCATCGACTGCACGAGGTGAGAAGCGGGTGGAGCAACTTGGAGCTTTGACACATTGTGTGAAGCTCAAAGACATGCTATTGCTCCTGTCTCTTTACCGATTTGTCTCCTCTGAGCAGAAGGCGTGTCCGCTATCCTGACGCCCGAGGACGAGTACCTCGTACAGAGGATATTGGATTGATATGTTGTTACTGACCGCCGGGTTGAGAATGTGGAGAGTGGATGGCGGCATCGTCACGTCAGCCCCTCTGGCCAGGAGGAGAAACACAAAACGAATCGAGATCAGACAAGCGTCAGGTACGCGAGGCACCACGCCCGCACCGAAACCTTTCTGGGGAAGGTCCAGGTACCGGCCAGAAAAGATCCCGGGCGGTGAAGACACTGAGCGAGTCAGATGGCGCGATGGCGAATGTGACGGGCTTTAGATTGGAGCGACCGATGCAGCCAATTGACAGGCTTGGCCCGCTCCATCACAAACGAGCTTCATGTCAAACAGAAGAGACGCAGTCATGGGACTCATAGCATCCCCAGCTCGAGCGCCAACTGGTCACCGACGAGGCAGCTTGTCCACCTGCGGTTCGGCGTCCTCACACAGGCCAGGTTGGTGAGCGGGTTTCGTGCAGAAGACGAGCGTTGGGACCTGGACCCTGGAAAACTTGAAGGCTTCAGTTTCAGAGGCGGTCAGAAGAGAACACGTGCATGCACCTTTCTGTCTAGCACCGATTATCAGGTCTTGCTCGTGCTGGTTGTTCGGTCCCGAAATAGAAACCCGGATGCCACAAGCCACTGTCACTTCAAAGTTCTCAGCTACTGTAGGACACCCAGCTACCTACTGTAGGTACAGTAGTAAGTGGGCAACCCATAGTTTCTGTTTTGCTGTCTCTATCTCGCCCATCTCCACCTGAGGTGCTTCGTACTCTGTACTAAAGGACACTTCGTACCAAAGGTACATACCTAGATACTGTAGGTAGGTTGGTATTCAATGCCTTCCACCGTGTCCTCCTATGCGCGCGACTTGCATATCCGACATTCTTCAAGTTCCGACCATTTTATCCTTGCACACACTCTGCCTGTCCTTAGCAATACAGAATACGTTGCGCTCAACGATACACCCCTCTTACGCAGAGATTGCGCATCTTCATGCTGGACAGGAATCAGCCACAAGCCAGAGCACGAGTTCTGTTCGTCGAAGCCAAGACGGAGGTTCGAGAGGAGTATGGGAGATTGCAACGATGGAGACGTGCAGTTGCAAATTTTATCTTTGAATCAGGCAAAATCTTGTTGCCTACGCAACTCATGGTCTGCATTGCCGGGCAGATTATCGTAACCGCCACGCCGTCTATCACAACCTGCACTGTCTCTTCGAATCCTCTCTCAATGCGCTCAAGAACTTTGAGTTCATCACTGACATTGCCAGCCACAGAGCGGTCACCGCAGTCCGCTCTCCAAGTCTTTCTGGCTCATACGCAATGGCCGAAAACAGCCGGTTTTTCATCCGTAATTCTGCCCTGCTTTAGTGCTACCAGATCATCGTCGCTCAATGTTTCTAAGGTATGGGAAAGCTTACTTAGATTCACAATCACGAACAGCCTTGTCGTCAATGTTCAAGATCTAGCCATTCACTCGTATGCGCCAACTTCGTGAGCCAGCGACAAGAACACTCCTACAGTCTGTTGGCAGAATGCTGGTCACGACTATGCAACCTTTTCCACGAACCAAATTTTAGAGGTCCGGGGACATGTACTGGATACACATACTTCTGCGAAAAGACCGGAGCAATCTCGTGCGATGAACATTGGCAGCTATTCCGACGAGACGCCCTGCAGGAAAATCAATTCCAATGATGGGCCAGCTATCTTGGGGGAGGATGTTCTGCACAACATTTTACCTGTACTGACATGTCTACTGTACCATCTTCATACACATCTGCCGCCATCGACTTCTAGATTGACGCCGGTTATGAACTCTGCCTCGTCACTTGCGAGATAGCAACACGCATTCGCCACATCCTTGGGGGTGCTTCCTCTTCCTAGCGGTATCGTCGACACAAATCCCTTTCTGTTCTCCTCGGTATCTGCCTTGCCCAAGAAAAGGTGGGTTCTGTTGCACGCATATGACGTTAGCAAACGCGCATCTTGGTTAAGACGCAGAATCATCGAGACAACGTATAGGGTCTGCTGGTAGTACTTACAATCCAGTGCTCCCAACGACAGGACAGACAGCATTGAATCGGATTTGCTTCGGAGCATATTCGACCGCCATGGTTTTCGATGCATTGCTGACAGCCGCCTTAGAAGCATTGTACCAAGTCAATCCCGGTCGAGGCCTTATTCCCGCAGTCGATGCGATCTGAATAAATGATCCGGGTCGGTTGTTTTCGATGAAATATGGTACCAAAACATTGCTGGAGAGGTATATGCTCTTGACGTTGACGTTAAAGACCAAGTCGAAGTCATCGTCCGTGACGCTCTCCGTCGGCTTGTTCTTGTAAGTTGTACCCGCATTGTTGACAACAATATCCAGGCCGCCGAAGGAATCAACAGCCTTCTTCAGCAGGGCTTCCCAGTCCGAGCGTTTCGTGACATCGGCAGCGAGATATTCGGCGCCCAGCGACTGTGCCACTTTGGCGCCATTTTCCTGTGACAGGTCGGCGATGAGGACTTTCGCACCTTCCTGCACAAATTTTGTCGCAATACCGGCTCCGAAGCCTGAACCTCCTCCAGTCACAATCGCGACTTTGCCCTCGAGACGGCCGACCATCTTCAAGGTTGTATATATAAAGCGTGAGGTGTGCACTGACTCTCAGGAAAAGCGCGGGCGCGTGAGTCGCGAGAATCAGGCAATGGCGGAGGATACTTGTAGGAACAGAGTCAAGAAATAAAACTATTGCTTCTCCATGTATGAAACAAAGTCAGAAAGTAAGATTATCACTCCAAATTCTGTGCGCTGTATTGTGTGAACCGAGGCCACAAACGGTCACTACGGCGCACAGCCTTGTCCCCCTCAGCGGGGAGTGGTGGCACGCTCCGTCAACCAAAGCGAACACGCGGGGAGAGCCTATTGCGGCCAGGGTTGACATTTTCTCGGCAAGCTAGCCGGATAGCCGTGCGACTCTTCAGAATCGGGATATGCCTCCGCCAGCTAAAACCATGTTGCCTGGTGAGCATCTGGAGCAAGCGGCCTTGAAACCCCTGTATCGTATGGTTGCAGCCTTGTAGACAACTCTTTCGCTTGTGGTAAAGGTAAATGTCAGTCTACCTTGCGTGGTAGGTACTCGTAGACGGCGAGAGAAGAAGATGAAACAAGACAGAGCCTTGAATAGAGCTCGGATCGGTTTATCCGGTGACCGGTGACATCAGAGGCCAACTGTACGAGACATGCGGCGAAACATCACAGTCCTCTGGCTCGCCCATTGCTGTTCATCGGACTCCGGTGCATTTTTCTACGAGATACACTGCGTCCACCACCTGTCGATCGCGACTGATTATCAAGATGAGCCAGAATCAGGTCGTCGCCCCAGGTCTGTCTGGTCTGGCGGCGTGGGCACTCAAATTCAGTCCAAGCGCCTGGTTTAAGTCGTGGTTGCTATACCTAGGTATTCAAACACACGTCGGAACCACGATGCAGCCTGAAATGAAGCCGCTGCACAATATCTGCGAATATCTGCACGCGCTCCACATCTACACGGATGAAGCTCGCCGAGGAGAAGTGAGGACAGTAAGTGCCTGAACCTGAGTTATCCCATATGGTGTGTCGTCGCTGACAGTTTCTTAGGTCTCAGCGCATCATTTCTGCTCTCACGTTGAGAAAGGTGAGTTCGAGCCGGAGCCCATGTGTGAGGAACATCACATTGACCAAGTCTTAGACTTACGTCAGTGTCTCATCTACGACTCATGCAAGCCCGGAGCCAGACTTATCGGCGTGGAATACATGATACCGAAGCACCGTTACCTGAAACTCGACCCTGAAGAACAGAAGTTCTGGCATTCGCATGAATTCGAGGTTAAATCTGGAATGCTGGTTCTTCCTTATCCCGCCTCCCATGCGCGCCAGAAGGACAGGTGGGACGAGCTGGAAACAAAGGCGATGGAGGAGGTCGTCACGCTGTGAGCCTTCCAAGCAGCGGCTAAATCCGAACCACATGGCTAACGGCAATGGCAGCTATGGTAAACTGTACCACTTCTGGCAGGTCGATAGGGGCGATGAGTTGCCGTTGGGCCCTCCGACTTTGATGGGCTCGCTTACAGAATTCAAGCAGCTTGATGTCGACAAAGAAATGGCGGCGAGAAACACCGAACTCGGGATCAACCAGGGACAGAAACGGAAACTGAGGGAACCCATCGACTTGTCCGGCGTTCCCGAGAGTTCGGATAGCTGGTGGAAGGAGGCCAAGGCAGCCAAGAGAGGCATCTATTCCACAGAATGATTGCAACCTGAAGCAACTCAGAAGTACGGCGTACGACGTTCAACAGTGGATTCGTAGTCGCACAAAGCAAGCACCGGATGAAATGGAACTACCCTGAACAACCCCTTGCAAAGCGGCGTGAGCGGTCATTTGAAATGACGTATTTCCCGTTCTCCCAACCGCCTCCCACTCAGGCTGTCAACACCCATACACTGATTCTACACTGCATATCTGGCGTTGCCTTTTGCAAGCTAAGACCAAGTCACTGAAATTTTTTCGTGCATCTTCTGCCGGAGTAGTTGAAGCGTTCCCTGTTGATACCTTTTCTACTGGCTGGCCTGATTCACGTTTCCCAATATGTTCAAGAAGAAGCCACAGATCAAGAACCTTTCCCCGCTACGGTCCTCCGACCGCCGCAAGCTCGCGGACCAGATCATCGCCGAATACAGTGTCCATATACCGACGCTGGAGGAGATTGACAGCACCGCAGCAGCAACGGCAGCAGAGAGCCAAAGCCAAAGCCAAAGCCAGCCTCCGCCTCCTTCAAATCCAAACCAACCCACACCTGCTCTATCCTCTATCCGCACGAGCCTCGTACCTGAAACATGCCTGTCCGCCAGATTCACCACCCACTCCGGCGCCAGTTTGACATTAGTCTCAGGCACAGTTTACGTCGGTGCACACCCCGGTCAAGAGGAGCGGATACTATGGATCCAATACGGGAATGGGAAAGAGTCCAGGCTATACCCTACAGTTTACACACTGTGGCACAACCCCGGGCTGACGCCACTATTACACTCCCAAGACTTTGTCGTTGAGAAACTGCGCACCGGCGCTGACTTGATGACGCCGGGATTGGTTGGGGGCCCGCCATGGCCGGAGGGTGCAAAGGTGGGATCGGTTGTCGCCGTGGCCGGCTTGGAGAGACCAAGTGTGCCCGTGTGGGTGGGGACGTGTAAAATCGACGTGTCAAGCCTGGGTCGAGTCCAGGGTGCGAAGGGTGCAGCTGTGGAAGGAATCCACTGGGAGGGCGATGAGATTTGGAGCTGGAGCCAGTTCGGGAATGGCGGTAGAGCAGGGCCCGAGAGTATAGAAGGCTGGGATATGACGCCACATGCAGGCATAGAGGCCGGTATGGAGGGCCTTGACCTCGAAGACAACGAAGAAGAGGACGACGATGAAGGGCAAAATGGCGGCGTTGCGCTGGGAGATGGAGCCGCGAACGGTGAATCGAATGCCAACGGTCATGGTCATGGTCATGGTCCAGCAGGCGCTCCGGAAGCCGAGACGGAACAAGAACGAGAGCCAACCACCGCCGAGGTCGACGACGCGTTCATGCAAGCATTCCTTTATGCTCTGTACGATGCCAAAAAGAACGCCGACCCGCCCCATCACGGCCTCGACTACCCCATCCAGCCGTCCTTCCTGATCTCCAACATGATCCAACCACACCTCCGCGTTCAGAACCAGCACTACACCATCAAGAAGACATCCTGGAAGAACACGAAGAAATTCATCAAACACCTGGAGAAACAGGTCCTCGTCAAATCCAAAGACCGCAACGGCGGCGAGACCGTCATCTTGGACATGGACCTCGACGACGAACGAGTCCGCATCTTTACGCCCTACAGACTGCCCAAGCCGAAAGTCCAGACATCAACCTCAACGGGCCCTGGCGCGGATGCGAACAACCAAACTCCAGCAAGTACGGGTGATACCTCGCTGGGCCAAAAACTCGCGCTGCAGACCGTGTATCGCGCGTCCGGCAAGCTCGTACCCGACCTCATCCCCTCCAAGACGACATACTATACTGCGTCGCAGATCTCGGCCTTCCTCAAGAAATACATCGAGAATAACCCGTCGTTAACTGACAAAAGCTCCTCGCCTCGCTTCGTCAAGCTCGACCCCTTCATCGCGAACAACGTCCTCGGTTCGAACCCTTCTGCCGCGGATACCCGTGTGCTTGCCGCCGGCGAGATCTCTCGCGACGCCCTCGTGAAACGGATCCTCGAGGACTCTCATCTGGCGATCCCGCACTGGCTGCTGCTCCGCAACGAGCAGACGTACGACCCGGACTCGCCCGACTCGTCTCTGAAACCCAAATCTGGACCAGCTCCGCAAGTCAGTATCGTGCTCGAGAAGCGGTCGGGCACAAAAGTGGTCACGAAAATCTCGGGTCTCGAAGTATTCGGGATTAATCCGCAGGTACTGGCACCGGAGTTGCAGAAGAAATGCGCGGGCAGCGCGAGTGTCGGGCAGCATGTGGGTGGCAAGCCTGGGATGATGGAGATTTTGGTGCAAGGTGATCAGAGAGACGTTGTGGAGAAGGAATTGAGCAGGAGAGGAATAGACAAACGATGGATCACCGTGGACGATAAGACCAAAAAGAAGAAGAAATGAGGTCGATGCCAAAAAGAAGATATGAAACGAGCAAGCATGATGAAAGTTGTCCATTAGTGTAGCCAAAAAAGGACTGCTGCGAGCTTTTTCTCCGAGTCCATGTTCCGCCTCTCCCTCAGCTGTGGGGACGACCCCCCGACGTCTACTGGAGCGGCAATGGCTCATCCCGGATCAAAAGACCTGTACAAAGAAACCCATTTTGAAACATCCATACCAACGCCATATGCTTCGAGGACGCCGTATTACTCGAGCTAACGACTCCCCCATGTGCTGCCCACAGGTCGGCCGATCCAAATCATCATCGATTACAACTGGACGTCGTATTTGTAGCAGAACGGACCAGCAGTGGTACTGATGAGGTCCCCGACTGTGTGGAGTTCTTGCCCGAAGTAGCCCCAGTCTGGCTCGACGGTGTCAAGAGTGACATTGGCGCTAGGTGGGACATTGACTGCCGTCTCGGTACCGAAGGTGATGTTTGCGAGGTCAGGATGGCGAATTTGCCACGAAGTGTACACGTTGTCCAGGAAGGTGTGTAGCGGCCACCAGATGGGGTCCTGCACAGACACATAGATGGAAGAGCCGGGCGATCCGATGATGAAGTGAGCGCCGGAGTGCAAGCCGAGTGAACCTCCACCGAGGACGCCGTTGATCTGAGTGTCGAATTCTGCGAGGTCCGCGGATTCCAAGGCAAGATCCAGGGCTGTGTAGTTGCACCAGGTCTGCGCAGCAAAGGTATTAAGGTCCCTAGTAAGGCAGGACTGGTTGAGTTGGAATGCCGTATCGGGCAATGGCAAGCCTTGAAGGATATACGTGATAGGGATATCCGCCATTGTCGTCTGCCAGCCGGCAAAAGGACCAGAGTTGACACATCCTCCTCCTGATCCATGAGGAAGCGAAAGCGTTGGTGCTAGGACGACTGGGCCGGTATCGACATATTCACCGTCGCCGGACATGGAATACTCAGAACCATCAAAGACTGCGCTGCCGTGCAGGTTGTCAGCAGTGGCAGGCCAGTTCCAGTACGGGAATGCCCCGGTGTAACCGCATTCTGTGCGCAGATCTTCCTCAAACAGGTGGAGGTAGTAGCGATGCCACGTCAAAAAGAAGCCCGAGAGATGAACTTGTCTCGTGCGGTTGACGTGGGTTACAGCATAGTCCATGTATCGGTTGGTGGCCGCAGGATAGATAGTCTGGTCGAGCTGCGAGGGCTTGGATGCGATGCACTTGATAGCATCGGTGTATGCTTTCCGCTCTTCGGGCGCCATCGAGTCGAAGTCCTTTCGGATCTTGATAGTCTCATCTGTACAAGGCCGGAACTTCCCTGGGGATTTGTGCTTCATCCAGGCGTCGACAACGGGGAAGTCGGTGCTCTGCCATGCCTCTGTAGTTGGAGCAGCCGAAACGAGTGAGGGCACGGTGGCCAGCGCGAGCGCAGCGAAGGATAAAATCGAGTTAACCATGGTGTCGAATGGTTGCTGTCAATGAATTCTGAAGTCTGTGAGCTGCTGTACAGGGAATGAAAAGAGAGCGAGGCGAGCACGAAGACTGAAAGTGAAGGACGACGGCCTATTTGCAAGAAGATCCCACCACGACTGCCTCTAAGGGCACAACCACGGGCAATGACTTCCTTTTCATCTTCAATAGCCACGATCGACAAGGTACCTGGTATGCAGATGTCCGGCAGTAGCAGCCCTCGCCTGCCCTGACAGCGACATGTCCGGCGTGGCGAAGGTGGATACTCTGTAAATTCTCCCAGCCGCATCGTTTTGTGGAACCAACGTGCAGTGAAAGGCGTCCAGGGCTGGCGCAACCGTACGCCCGTCGCCGGAGGAGACCTATGATGACGAGTCGATGTTGGTTGGAGACGCGTATTTTGATAGTGTTGGGTGTGTGTTGTCCATTTCCCATGTTCTATTTTGGTGTCACAAGCAAGGTCCGGGCGTTATGCTGGCCTGGCAGGGCCGTCGGGGTGCATACGCCATACAGTAGACTGACGGCAAGGGTCAAGATACTTGGACATGCTTGTCAAGGATCTGCGACGATCAATGACAATTCGTTGTGTGTCTTTCTCCTTGTTTAGCCATCAAGAAAGCATTCCAGAGTTGGAATGACTTGGTGCTGACTACCCAGTGCACTGTTACGAGACTTACCTTGTGTGGTATGGGTATGGCCATCACACCTCAAACGCTACAAACATGCGCCTTGGAGGACTTATTCACAGCATGTTGCCAAGAGGAGTTCTCGCATGTAAAGAGAGAGTACCTCGTACGAAGTGTGGATCTAGCTCGGGTCGCACATGGTCATCCACTGACATTTGCCTCTTCCCAGGCACCGTCCCGCACGCCTTATGCTGCCTATCGATTGCCCCCGCCTGCTACCATTGGTGGCATAGGAAGCCCTAGAACCGGGTGTGAACCTAAGGACTCAAAGCTTTGCTTATGTCATTCGTCGCATTTTCCCCCTATGGCGTGGTTTCTGGAGTTCATGACGCCGGTTATTTTTCGCAGAAGCGAGTCGAGATTTCAATGAAAACAAGCACCGCCAGTTCAACGCCACGGTACAATTACATCTCCAGCCTCAGGCTCACAAGCAATATCTGTGCTGCGCCAGCCCCGGGGCTGTACTGTCAGGTTCCGATGATGACGCGTTGCATGGGTATCCAGACCACTGCCGTCAAGGCCACCCTCATGCCGTTTAGCCAGAGTCAATACCGTCATACATGAATGGCCAAGCACCAACCAAGCCGCCAGTATGTACAAGCGGGAGGCTTCGCCGCCTTGACCCACGAACGGCTCCTTCCTTTTCTGGAGAATACACTAGGTGTCCGGGTAAAGGTGCATGGACTGCATGCTTTCCGTTGGGATAGGGCCGGGACACCAGTCGGAGCACTATCGCCATCTAGTTCTGCGGAGAATAAGCATCTTGCATATGAGGAGCTACATGTGGGCCGCCTCACGACGACACTTATGACTGACGAACCACGGTACCTTCTTGTAGCCCAGCGGTAAGGCCTCTTGTTCGAACGAGCGGAACTGCTTTTATGCGCATGTCTCAGACGTCGCAGGGGAGCCTGCATAACCAATGAATCGTGCAGAACTGTCGCTGAGCTTGTCCTCTCAGGACCACATGCTGTGGTGCCATACACACAGCGCCTCTCGCGAGTATAGTGCCGGACACTGTCAGGGCCAATAACGCTATCCTCACCACATCAAGTCTACCTGTTCGCAGCCAGAGAACCCAATTTTCATAACGCACATATTTGATCTGATCCGGGGTATCTTCAACGAAAAACTCCAAGTGTCTGCCCAGTAGACAACAACCCTGCGCTAACAGCCTGCGGATTGAGAATTGATTGTTCCTGACTCTCCAACAATAGAGGTCTCCGTGCTAGGAAGTGGGTGCGTTCAGGACTAGACCATCTTCTGCTCCGTATTTCATTCAAGTGGTGGCGGATACACGCGAGTCCAGACGACCTGTCCGCTCATTGGGTCCATGATCGTCGCGAAATGTGTCTGCTCGTTCGTGGTTGGGTATGCGGACAGCCATTCAATGACCTCGTCGGTGGTGACAGTCAAGTTCCGCTCAACTGTACTGGCGTCTTTCCCATCCTTCTTTGCTTGTCTCTTCGCTTTTCGAACATGGCCTCGCCACCTGATCGCGATGGCATCCAGTCTGTCTCGGCTTTCCTCTACAAGTGCTTCCATTCCAATCTTGAAACCGGAGTCCTTGACCGAGATCTGTTCCAGGATAGCGTTGTCTTTCCGCAACCGAGGGTCGTCATCATCCTGATCGTTGTTCGTCACGCCGATGAATGTGTCGGAATATCGCATGACGGCAGTCCCATAATCCTTCTCCAGGACGACAGTCGAAACACCGTCGCAGAAAGTCAGGTAAGCTGCAGTGGTTGGCCGCGGAATGACTTCCTCCATAATATCCTCAAGACGCTTCGCATGCTCGTTTTTTGGATCTTCAGGGATGATGTATTCTCTGAGAATACCGGCGATTGACTGGCGGTAACCCAGAAGCACCAACAAGTGGTGGAGGTAGAATCGCATGTGGTCCCTTCTCCTGGTCGCGTTATGCAGAGGCCGGAAGTTGAGAGAGACGCTTAGGTCCTCCCGCACTCCTGTCAGGACTCCAATGAAGCCCACGTACGTGACGCTGCGAGCCAGTATCTGGCCAGGGGTCGCCGATCTACTGCGAACAAATTCCAACCGGACGAGGATTCTGCGCAGAGGATCCATCGACCAGTCCAAGGTGCGGAAGTGCAGCATTCTTGTCTTGCTCCACGGTTCCCCTTTCTCCAATGTCTTGACTGCGCCAGACGTACAGCCCATGAGGCAGTCCAGGACCACGTTGAAGCTGACTAGCAAGTACATTGGCACTCCCGTAACTTGAGCTATGCCTCGAAGCTCCGCCGTCTCCACCGGAGAGTTCAGACCGCGAAGGAACATTCGCGCGAAGAGATTGATTGGGCCATGGGAACGCTGGGACAAGCCCAAGTCGCCAAGAAGGGCGTTGAAAAGGGTTGTAAGGCCTCGAAGCTCGTCTGCGTACGCCAGCGCCAGCGCCTTGTAGCGGTCTTCTGGCTGGAGGGAGAGGTCGATGGTGTGAACGGGGGCGATCAAGGCCACACCGTTGCTGGTATCCATGGCGATACCGACGGGTCTACCGTCGAATTTCTAGATGGTGGTCAACATGGAACAAAACGAGAAGAAATGAGTGCCACAAACACTGTTCCAAGCCTCGAGGCTGAGGAGCCTCCCTCTGCCAAGGCCAAGCAGGCAGCCGCCGCTGATCCTCGATAATGGACTCGATAGTGAAGGTGTTTCCTGGAGAGCCAGATAATCAAGCAGGTGATTTCCCAATGATATGTTTTTGAATACGACAGGCGCTTGTTGGCAAGGGAATTCGTGGTGGCAATGGCTCTGTAGGCTGAACTGTCGCAACCGCTGCTGTTGACATTTCGACATTTTGAGGGTAGCGATGACGTAGTTCGTTATCGATAACTCTAGCGTGCCTCTAGCGTGTCGATTAGCGTGTGGGTCGGATCCTGGAGGAAGCTGTGCCGACATCTCCTCTCATGACCACCTATGCTTCGCAATGCGTCAATGCTGTAGCGGTGAAACGGTGGAACAATGCACGGTTGTCACGGCGCGACAGACACGAAAACTATGTGTGAGTAGTCAAGATAGATCGCCAAGACCCTCAAGCCAATGCGGCGTACGGCAGGGGATCAAGTGATTACTTGTGCACACAATCCGAAATGGGCTATTACGACGCTCTTCTTACAATCAACAATAGACCAGAAGGTGTCGGCTTGTGAATTGGAGGACGCGAAGAAGCTGGGATGGGCGGCAGTTCAGCTATCACGCTATGACTATGGAATGGAGCACGAGTACACATCTGGCAGGAGTGTCCAGCGACAAAGCTAGAGAACCTGTTCAAGTTTGTGAGCTGGAATAGAGAAAGGCCTGATGAAGGCTCATTGAGACTGCCGCCTACGAAACCCTGGTCTGCGATATGTTGTTACCGATCTACTTGCTCGCGAACTTCACTAACAGGTCTCGTCTGTCTTCGTCCTTCATAAAGACCCCGCGAAACCGCACTTTTTCAACCGACCGAACCGTCAGCTATCTCATTCCTTAAACCGTCAGTATCTTCTCAGCTCGCAACTTTCTCACCTCCAGTCTTGCCATCATGTGTTTCTCTTGCGGTGCCTGGCCATTTGGTCAACCTCAAGTCGTCCTCGCCGCAGAACCGACCAAAGAAGAGTACATCTTCCTGGACGACAACCACGGGTTCTATCCTGATCATCGGAAGGTGCGTCGCAAGTGAATTTTTGTCTCAAGGCTGGACCTCAAAGCTCTCTGTCAATCACACAAACTCTCTCAATCCTACATCTGTTGCAAGTCTACTGACTTTCGATCCCACTCACTTTATCCTCTCGCTCGCTTCATGCCTCCAACAGAAGAACTATGCCCGCTCACTTCTACACCTACAATTCTCTCGACCCCTCCGCCGTGAACACTCAACCTGCCGCCTGGCACTGGGAAGATCCAGCAGACTGGCCGCGCACCTATCTCTACGTCTCTAACCAGAACGGCGCACAGGGAATCCATCCACCAGCTCCAGTCTATCAGTCAAACCAACCTGCTCAACCCACTATGTACTACTTCCAGGCAAGTGCCCGGCTCCGCGACACTCTCACTGTCGACTCACTGACACCTCACTTCACAGGGCAGTGCTAGTGCCCCAGCTGGCTACTACGTCAATGGCATCTACCATGGAACAAGCCCTCCCACTGCCTCAACTGGTTGGCCATACACCTCCTCTGGCTACACTTGCTATACCCTGCCCACCGCCTCTGCTCCGATTATTCCGTCGTACTCCCCGTACACGTACTCACCATATGCCACAGCTGCAGCCGCGACCTCATATCAAGTCCCGTTCGCCGCTGCGCCGATCTGGTCTCAATCTCCGGGCCCAGCGCAGGCCGCCGCCGCAGTCGCAGCCAACGCCGCCCTTGCTGCAATGCCGAATGCCCCAGCCTACTTTGTCGGAGCGACAGCAGCAGAGATTCAAACCCAGAACGCCATTTTGCTGGCCAACATGCAAGCCGCGCAACAGCAGCCAAGTCAACTCGTGCCGTTCAAGCCTGGTCAGAGTCCGCAATTCTGGTGCAAGGAACTCGACGGCAGCTGGACTTTGCGAGAATATAGCGACGCCTTGAAGCCGGACTTTCCAGCTGGTCATTGGGAGAAACATGCCACAAGTGGCTATCACTACTACGTCCGTCACGCTACGTGAAGACAATCTGCAAATGAGGTGATACATGCGACGACCGCGGATCAACTGGCATCAGGATGGGTCAAGCCCACGACAAAATCACAAGCCTCGGCATCACCATCGGAACACAATTGCAGTCAGGAGCATCAGGCTCTCAAGCAGCGGAACTTTGCATCACGATAATGTTGAGCTAGGGAATCGATAGGGGTTCTTGGTGGTAGGAATGCATGGCTGTGCTGGATTTCTTTCTTCCCTTTGTTTACCCGTGACAAGTGCAGAGCTTCACGGGCATAGCTGAGCAGAGATAGACTCTAGCTCTTGACATAGCTACACATGCGTGCAGCGCGAAAGCCACAGGCAGAGATGACCTTTTCGAGGCTCAAGTAATCATATGCACAGTTCAATCCGTCATCATTTCTTCTTCCAGTGTGCGGCACTGCATAGGTAATGTTCAAATGTCGACCCTAAACATCTCTGCGGCGCGTGAAATGAAGCAAGACGCCCAAAGCACGCTACAGTATGTGAAGTATTGCTTCATGCGACCAACCCAATCCCTAAGACTACACCTCACGCCTTCACCCTACTCAACGCACTCTCCATCCAAAGCTTCGTATACAACTTATGCGCAAACCACATAGTCCCCTGCATGGGCCCTCGATTCTCCCATTTCTGTACCGCGCCGTCCCCAGCAACAGGACTACTAGATGTACTTGTCCCCTTGATCTGCTTGCGTTGCTCCACCTCCACCTCGCCCGGCCCCGTCCAGCTCTGATCCCCCACAAAGAAAATACTCTTCAGCCGGAACTCGGCGAACCCTTCGTCGGCATTCACGGAAGCGCACATCTCAAACAGCCCGTCCGACTGGCGCGGCGAGTCCGGGTGATTGAGCGGCGAGTCGCCGCACCGGATGAGCACGCTCGTGGGCGTCTTGTCCAGCACGACGAAGTGGTCCGTGATTTGCGTGTTGGGGCTGTAGTCGGACGACTTGAGCTGGTCAGAAGTCCAGAGTTGGTGCGCCGTCGTGGTCGAGTTGCGGTATTTGCGTTGGAGGTACAGGCGTTGGAGGGTGTAGCCTGGGAGGTGCGTCAGGGTCAGTATGGCAGATAAGGATATTGAAGTTGGACCTTGAAATGGAGAGAAGAGGGGGTTCGTGCAGGTGTGAGGGTGTGCGGGTGTGAGCGTATAATACGATGAGCAGGAGGTTGTGGGCTGGGTAGTAATAAGGGCTGAGTGGCGTGGAGGAAGCAGATCACGCAAAGGAACCAAATCAGCACCAGCACCAGCACCAGCACCAGCACCAGCACCAGCACCAGCACCAGCACCAGCACCAGCACCAGCACCAGCACCAGCACCAGCA